TCCGGCCCCGGCCCCGATCGCTCGCGATGGCCGCTCCAAAGTACGCTGCGCGCGCATGAGACGAGACCTGCAAGGCAACCTCACAACCTTGGAACAGCTGGGAAGCGCCCTTGAAAGCTCTGACAGGGGGAGAAACCCAGACCGTGAATCCACGGGTCTTGGCCCTCGCTTGACCTTCTTGGCGCTGCCGGTGCGTTGCAACGCTGCGATAACCCACCACAAACCCACACACCCTCAAGGTTCAAGGTGAGCCTCCTCCTCCTTCAAGATTGCGCTGAGCCAATCGATGGGCCTGGACTGAGAACGGGGGTGTGTGCAGACATGTTGGGATGTCGTCTTTTCCGGACAACCTCACACACAATGCTGCGCGTTGATATGTACTGTAGGAAGTACGGTGGTTCTGTTTACTTTTCGTGGCTTCCTCGCTTTATTTATCTCGATATTCTTCGGGCTCTTTTCCGCGGAAACGAGACCAACGACACAACATGGATGCCTCACCGGCACCTGTCTCACTCTCACACCGACAGCCGACCAGCCGTTTCACTCGGCTCTATCCTGCCGGTTCTCAACATAATTAAATAATTAACCAACATCCGTCGTGGAGAACGAGGCCACTTACCGCCGCCGCCATGCGGGTTCAACGGTGGAGTCCCGCCGAGGTCGCACGGGCGGCATGTCGTACATGGTTTGTGTGCAGCCGGTGAGGTTGCAGGTGGGTTTTGAGGGGGATGAGCTTGGGGTTCGTTGGTTGGCTGTGGAAAGTGTACTTCGTACCGAGCGTGTCTTTTTTATGTGAGGAAGCAGCAGGTGAATGGTAAGATCGCCCTCCCGGGTGTCTGATGTCCGCCACTTATGCTTCGTTTCTGTGCATTTTGTGCTTGGCCCCGGAGATTGTGGCTGGCCGAGTGGGCTGCCACATGATGGCCAACGGTTTCCGATGTGAGACAAAGCGAGCTTCTCGAAATGCTTATTGTGGCTGCCGACGATCGGAGTACAACACCAAGATCATTATCGTTTGTTATTTTTGCCTTCTTTTCTCCATCCCTGGGGTCTAATGTACTTCGCCTAATCGTGTCAAGATCTCATCTCGCAAGCTCATCCGGTGTGGTCGTCCCGCAGGAGCCAATCTTTAAGTCACACCAGCTCAACCTGTCAAATGGATCGACCCGGCCGCCGTTTCGGCTACTCGCCGCTCCCGCTCACTTTGGCCAGATGCTTGGTGGTGTCCTTAGTGGTGGCGATGGTGGAGATGGTCGACCATGAAGTCCGAAACAAGACACCCCCCTCCTTTATGTGTAAATACACCCTACACTATCTCGGCAGCCGCTGCACCCCTCCACCACTACACCGTGGCGTGAAACTGTTTTCCATCGCGCGGCTCTAGCACCGTCTTGCGCAGGAGGTTCACCGGCCCTCACCGGCCCATAACCTCGAGATTAAGAACGGAGATACCCCCCTTCTTTCCCCCTGATCACGGCCGGTATCCACACACCTTTACCCTCTCTGTTATCCTTTGCATACAACTGGAACCCCAAAGGTGCATTCAGGCGTAAATAAGCGCGGGGAGATTGTGTCCAGTTGCCCCTCTCTGAGTTACGAATCCTCCACCCCTCCTCCTCCTCCTCATTGTGCCATTGTCGCCGACCGGCCGAGCATTCACCGGTAAACGACCACCTTCTCTCCTTTTTTTCGTCTCATCCCCGCTTCGCGGACCCGGGAGACCTCGCCGGCGCCGGGTTACTATGTAACAAGTCGGCAGCCCAAGGAGTAAGGTCGTGTCGCGTCCGGTGTATGTACAATTGTCTCCTATCTTTAATCCCGCGAACGACCCCCGCCCCGACTTGTTCCCCTTATCTCTCCGCGACCAGTACCTCTCCCGATGCCCAATTCAGACTCCGGAAATGCGACCGCAAAGTAGTGTGTTCACATGCGCGTAAACTCCTGCACACTCTGCCTTTGGCGAACCACAGTCTGCAAACCATTTCCACGACAGAACCTCCCCAACCACAAGGTCCGGCGAGTAAACCAAGGACGGCATTCGTGTGGTCGCGAACCAACAGCCGGACTGTCGGAATCCGGGGCTGAACCTATCGCCGTCTGTGCTGTACAGAGTAGCGTAATTTGTCGCATTAGTGTAATTAGGTTCCTTGACCGAGAGATTCAACGGTCCCCGGCATCGTCTCCCATTCGACTGCGACGTCGTTCAAATCCGGCGTCCTGCACCCGCTGAAGCTGAAGCTGTGGCCTCCCCCCTGGAACGCGTAACCGAAGCATGGAGCGTTTCCCGTCTCGGAGATGTTCGCAGGTAGGCTTAAAGCAATAACACGCTGTGGTTGATATGCGATTTGTTTTAGGATATATTTGGCTTGCTCGCCAAACGGCTGGATGTATGGATAGATGGATTGGTGGGGGATGGCGAATTTGGAACCGATAACGACCAAGCGGTTAATGGGGGTTATCGAAGGGTTCTCTCGATTTTGTGTAACCCGGGCCATCCGAGGGAAGGACGTTGGGGCAAGCGAAAAGAGGGGAAATGGTGTGCAATGGGATGGGAATTGCGGATAAAAAGGACCATGGGATTTTGGGTGTGCGACACAAAGCTTCACCGGTGAGAGGCAGGCCGTTGCCGTTGACGCAGGGCTTTATAGGTCTGTATGGGACAGGTGTGCTGCTCTCGGATATGGGGTGCAGATGCGTGTTGCATGCGATTGCCTTGGAGCTAACGGTCGGATGGGGGTCGGTTGTTTGTTTACAGTGAAGCGAGGGATGATCCTAGCTGTTCATGCTGGATTAACTGATTTACTATCGTAATTAGAGATCTCGCGATATAATTAAGAGGACTCATTGGGCTCGGCTGTTGGATCGCATATAATTAGTTGAAGTATCAAATATAATAAGTTGCCTTCAAGATAGAACCACATGTCGAGACACCTATCCACACCTATCCACCCCGGCTCTCTAACACCTTACGCGAGCGGCGTTGAGATGTACATCATGTAGATTAAACACTGTGTGGTTGTGTAAGAAGGCGGCGCAATGATCGGAACCAATCTAACCACCATGGGTTTGTACTACACCAGGTCAATGTGATGCAACTATTAGGGTCCATTCTCTCACCGACGTCGCAACCATACGTAACATTAGCATATTAGCATCTTGATATCGTCCCCAACAGAGTAATTGTTGAACTTGTGGTTAGTAGAGGAACAACGCGGAAAACAATCAGATGCTGATTGTTGATCACAGGGTAGATGCCGTAACCAGACTCAACATTGTGTCATGAACTGAGGAACAATATGAGGCCATTTGATTATTGAACCTTACTAGTTTTAACTTGTTCAAGACAACCATTTCAAGGGCGTTGTTTAGCGAGACCTTCCTCAATAACACTCAATATCTAATTAACTACTTACCAGGGGATCGGTGGTACGTTGATTCTCGATGGGAATATCCCCTCTCAAGGATATTATTCCCCGTTATCACCCCTCCAGACTTTTAGCGAACCATCGCCACCCCACGCAGCATCCTAACCTTCCCGAGCTTCTACACCCTTTTCATTCTACAACCCAACCGGTCAATGCCTCACAACGCCCGTATCTGGCTAGCAACAAAACCACACTAAACTTTCAGACACCCTTCGCTTCGCGCAAAGTAAGAACGTGATTTATACACATTTGTCACTCGTACATACACATACGTAGTTCGCCATGGACGCATGCACTTCGCCCGCCGATCCCTTACCCTTCGCACACAACCGTGCATGCATATATCCCCTTTCTCGCCTCCCGTAACAATTCCATAAGCACAAGATGGCAAACTTGAATTTGCCACAGAGATAGCGATAAAATTGGATGGGAACAGTGGAAAGGTCGGGTCTGGGATTGGGGTTTTGTGAACTGGCTCTGTTATGATTGGATGTGATTATGCTGTGCATATCCTGTAGAGAGAGATTGATGTGACTGGGTGGAGGGTTGGTGAGCGGGGAAGGGATCGACAGGGTGTTGAGGTCATTATGATCATTGCGAGGTAAATCAGTTCGGGGTAGCTTAACGGTGGGTGGTTGGCCGTGGGAGATTATGGAAGGTCGGTGTGTGGTTTGTATGGTAGATCTTATAAAGTGGCGAGCGTGTTTTGGATTTCCGGCGTCTTGGATGATGTGTTTGAGTGTGGGATGGGGTGATCGCGATAGGGGCGAGGGGTCGACGTGGACGTGTGGATGACCGTGTGCTTTCTGAGCCTACTCAAGCCTGTGAATGGTGCTTCCGCATGTTGTATCCGGTTAAGCGCAGGTAATATCGGTGATTTTTAACTGAGCTTGATCTTCCACTGTTGCTGTGTGGAATTCCCAAGCCGAGGAGATGGGGTCTCAGGAATGAAACTCCATTTGTAAAGCAGGACACTCAAAAGTCAAAAGTGATAGGCATACTTGTCCTGTGAGAAGGATCTCTCATCAGTGATATGAGATTGGATTCAATGGCCAGGCATCACTCCAGATGTGACCATCGTACGCTGTACTCGTCACCGTGGCAACCCTTGCGAATAGGGGGCAAGTCAACAGTAGAAAAGAGCAGAACGCGCAGTTGCTTCTAACTTGACTCTAATCACTTTCGCACCGTAAATACATTATACCGTAAACAAAGGCTCCGAAAACAGAGCTTCCAAAACGGAAATGACCGCGTAAATCGCAACATCCAAGCAAAAAGCACAACGCAAACCCCTACCCAAAACCGAAACCCCCATCTCAACCTCTACATCCCGTCTTTCCCTTTACCCCCATCCCCATGTTGACCCATCCCATCCTCCTCAACGCCCTCAATAACACGATACCTATCCTCCCTGCCTTGATACCTCTCTCCTTGATACCTCTCTCCTTGATACCTCTCTCCTTGATACCTCTCCCCTTGTTTCATCACGTCCTCCCGGCCATCATCATCATCAACATCGTCATCATCATCCTCCACCCGCACACACCACAACTTCACCACCATCCCCCGCCACCGTCATCGTGTCGTAGTATTACTACTGTTCCCGCTGGTCGAGGCGCTGTTCTCCGTCCCCTGAGTCCGCCTCACCGTCCGGACCGCCGGGGCCTGCTGCTGCGACTGCCGCGGCTGCTGCGGAGGCGGAGGCGCGACCGTACGACGGCTGGTGTTGGTCGACGACGTGTTGGATGTCGAGGCGCTGGGGTTCCCAGTGCTGCTCGTGGTCGCTGTGGTGCGTTTTGATACGTGGCCCGCTCGCGACACGCCCGGGCTGATGGCGCCCGAGCCTCGGGAGTTGTCGGAGGCGCGTTGGCTCTGGGACGCGGGTGGTGGTGCGAGGCCGGGGCTGCGAGGCCGCGAGTTGCTCGAAGATGGGGGGTTCAGCTTGGTGCTGGAGGTCGTAGGAGCCGGGGCAGCCGCAGCGCCGCCGGGTTGGACGTAGTTTCGCAGATGCCGGTTGAGGAACTTGAGTTCCTCGCTGGTGTCGTAGCCGCGCGTTTGGCCTTCCTGGTAGAATTGGAGGATGGTCACAGAGGAGGGTTTCGAGTCGTAGAGGCCATTCTTGCTGAAGGACTCCCATCTGAGGGGGAAGTAAACCATCATCTGGGTGTTGAAAAGGGCGACACGGTCCCGCTCGGACATGCGGCCTAGGAAATCATTGATGATGTCCAAATTTCTCAGGGACACGAGCATGGCCAAGTGGGAGGCGGCCTTCTGTCCGTTGTCGGCCTTCTGTCCGTTCTCGGCCTTGCCGCTCCAGCGCGGCACCCACTCAAAGGTCGTCTGGTGGGAGGTGTCGTGGTGCCCGTCGGAACCCATGATCTTCAAGGCCGGGAAGGACGCGCCATATGGGTCCATGACCTGGTACAGCAGCTTACGGTTCTCGGGCTTCCAGCCGAGGTCGTCGCGGGCCCAGTAAAGGGCAATGCGCGTCTGGCGCAGCGCCCAGTGGTTATAGTCCTTCGGGTCGCCATTCTTGTACTCCGGCACGTTGGACGACTGGGGCACGGTCGTGGTCTGCACGGCGGTCCTCATGATGGCCTCGTAGTAGATGTCGTTGACGGCGCGCGTGGGCAGGTAGAAGGGGGGCATACGGTCGTGGACATACTTACTTTGCAGGAACTCGCGCACGGTGTAATGGGCGAGATAGACGGACCCGTCGTCCCGCACGCGGAGCAGGCACACGCAGGCGCGCCGCAGCCTGTCCATGTCCAAGAAGCTCTGCTGGCCGGGCCCGCCCGCTACGGCCGTCACTAGGGTGTTCATGTGGATGGCGCCGGACAGGTCCATGGAGGCCATGACCAGGGCCAACGCCCGCACCGCATCCGAGCGGCTCCTGGCCTCGATCTTGTGCAGGATGAGCTCGTAGATCTCGTTGAGCGTCTTGGGCATCACTTTGAGGTCCCTTTCGACCTCGGCCGGGTTGGCGCAATCGCCCAGGAGCTCAAGCAGGCACGCGGCATAGCGGAACCTAGTTCAACGGGGATGCCCCTATTAGCACTCGTTCATGCATACATTCAGGGTACCTGTTGAAGATGATAAAAGGGGGGAAGAGGGGGGGAAGTGACGGGGGGCTCTTACATTCCATGAGACTTCGCGTTCACGGCGGTGGCGACCTTGCCCCGAAGGTCCGCCGGCCACCGCTTGTACGGGTCGTCTTTTAGCGAGGAGTCGGTGAACGTGGCGATGTCCTCACGCACGCCGGGGTTATTCATCCCCAGCGGGATGGATACCCCCTGGAACGAGGACTCGACGTCAGCGTACTCCCGGCTTGTGACCACCAGCCGCAGCTTCGCGAAGCGCTGTTCCGTCCCTAGCGCCACCAGCAATTTGAGTAGCTTGCTGAGCGGGCTGCTCTCGTCCACGGCGTCCAACACGACGTACGCGCGCTGGAATTGCCCCAGCATGACCTCGAGGCAGTCCAGCAGAGCTTGGGTCGTCGGTTCTAACCCGCTCTCATGCAGATCCCTTAGCCCCTGGGGGATGTAGCCTGACTTGCGGCAGAACTGCGAGAGGATCCATTTCAGGAACGGCGTCGCCTCGTCCATGTTGCGGCCGTGGTGGCAGTAGTAGTACGCCGCCGCGGTCTTCTTGGTGCGATCCCCCGCATCGAACCCTTTCACCTTCTCAACCATGCCGGACGCCAGCACCGTCTTGCCCGCGCCGGGGATGCCATGGATCCAGAGGAGCCGTCGTGTACCCTCTGGCCCGTCTGCCCAGGCCTTCCACTCATTGCTCCCAAAGATCCACTGGCCCGTACGGCTCTCGTGCAGCTGGATCGCTGCGTTGTGCAAGCTAGACGGATTGATCTGATTCTGCTCGAGCCAACGGTACACCTCGCTGCGTTGTGTCGCTGATGGTAGGTGGTTTGTTAGCCTGGATACCATTTTTTACAATAATACCCCTTTGTGAAAAGTAATAAGTGATGAGGTAAAGACTGTTTATTTTCGCACTTACCATCCAGGTGGGCCTGCATCGTGTTGATGCTGCTCCTGACGTGAGTCACATCCGTCCTGATCTGCTTGACCTCGTGGCTCAGCCCGACCGTCAGGCCGAGGCCAAGGTTGGCCTTGTACTTGCTGAGGTCGTTCAGCAGGGTGTCGCACCGTCCCTTCTTGTTTGACGCGCCCCAGCGGACCGCCTTGGCGATAATCGTGGCCTTGTCCTTCATCGTCATCTTGCCCCTCCCATCAAGCAATGGCTCGGGCATCAGACTCAGTAGTTCCTTGATGCAGGTCGTGCAGTGCGACACTGTGTCGCCAATCTGCTTCTGCAGATTCGCCTCATCCTCTCTTCTATTTTCGCTTGCGTCAAGGATGACTTTGACCGATTCCAGCATCGCCTGCAAGCTTGAGGTCTCGATGAGGACCAGCTTAAAGTCGTGGGGGCAAGCTCCACGAGCCGCGTCGACATAGTACCTGCAGATCCCGTACAGCTGGATCGTGAAGCCGATCAGCGTGGCGAAGGTGGATGCGAGCGCGACGGCTTCCATGTTTGCGGTGGTGTGTAAGGAGGATTATAGAAGAACGGTGTTTGTGTGGTTTGTGTCCTTGTTGGTAGTGGGGAAACAAAGGAAAATGAGCCGACAAAAGAAAAAGTTGGGGAAAACGAAACAGCGGAGAACCGATGGAAGACCAGCTTGCGATGGAATCGAGAATAAACAGACAATAGTGAATAGAGGCAGGTATAATTCCAGCATGCTGATAAACGAGGAAACGCCGAGAACTTATAAAGGATCGGCGGCCCTCTGATAACCACCTCCAGTGGCCCGTCACGAGGACTGGGAGTGAGAATGTACGTGGCGGAATTACTAACCCGCGTTCTTCCTCGCTTCGCCATCTGACATCTGTGCCTCGCCCAAATACCGACCGTCCCTGCTTCGTAAGTAAATCGGGCAGGAACCCCAAGTCGGCGGCGGCCCAGCTATGTGGTCAGCGCTAAGCTTTGGGTAAGAAGTCAAGACAGAGTGGTCTGGAATCTCTGGACTGAAGTGCCTGCCGGAGTCTCAACTACCAGTTCAAGCGTGGGGGTCCCTGTCTGCACAGTGGCTAAGGGTTTGTTGCTGTTAGTCTGAAACTCGCGCCCTGTAGGATCCATTTTGGACCCATACTACCTAGGTAGCCAAGGCTATTCCAGCAGCAGAAAAAAGCTTATCTTGTAGTGCGGTCGGTTTTTCTTCGGGCGGCCCAGCGCCCTCGCCCACTGACCAACTAGTACCCCGCCGCGCACTAACAGTCAGGTTCCACTCTGCTGGTTGGCTTACCACGGCCTGTGCCTATGCCTGTGCCCTTTTGGACATGATAAGAGTTGCCCAGAAATGGAATGCGGGCTGCACTTTCCTCGTTGGCGGCTTACACATGGAGTGTTGGTCGCGTTCAAGTTAGGAGGCAGCTGCGGATCATCCCGCGTATTGCTTGTTTCTTTTCCCCTGTCTCGGCACTCGCGTGTACGAAGTATCCAGGGGTGGTGTCAGACGTTTAAATTTTGTACCCCCCAAAAACCCACATAGTATGGTCTTGAGGAGAAACCGTCAACGAACAGCCTCGGTACCGAAGTCGTGGATCTATTGGTAGTCCCTGCACAAGAAGGCTGAGTGCAAGATGCGATCGGGGTCACCAGTCGGATAAAAACTTGCAAAATCGGACGCAAGGCTTAGACCTCTGACCGGTATCTCCCGAGAATGCCTGGTCTAATCTACATAGGCAACATGATTCCTTCGCTCCCCCCTATAGTGTACATCGTTTCTCATGATGGCGGCGAAATTTGCAGTGGGTGATGCCGAGTTATTCAGCAAGCCATAGTAGTGTGACTAAGGCCGAATGAAGCGTTCGTATGCTAAAACTTGGAGACCGTGGAGAACCTACGTTAAAAGCAGCTGCTAAGACAGTAGTCTCGCATTTCCAAGACCCGGGAACGAGATGTTTGATAGTGTATCCCCGTCCCCGGATTTTAGGCTGGCGTTCCTCTCAGGCGCCCCCGGAGTCTCACCATTGCCATGAGATGTCAGCAGCCAAGACAACAAAGGTGGAACGTCTTGGTCTGTTGTTGGTGGCGCCCAAGCTGACACAATACGCCGTCCTTCGTACTGCGCAGGGCTTCGTAGTCGACGACTCGGGGCAGTTTTCTCATCCAGGAACCGAAAGACTAAAGTGCTCCACGAACACAATTGAGATTGGAATTTGGTAGCGTTAACTAGGTAATTAGGTGGAGAGTCAAGTTATTATTGTCCGTGCATTTCAAACCTCATCGTCCGGGGCTCCGAGGTGAGGTTCGAACATCATGTTATGGGCGCCGAATCTGGTCGCTGGATATTAGAGCGTGATCGGTCTAATCCATCGTCATCCCCCAAAAAAACTAAGATCCGTCGGCCTTTCCAAATGCGACGCGGGCTATTTCTCGCGAATCTTGATTGCAAATCAACAATTCCGATGGAGATTGCGGACATAGTGCCGGCCGGCAGTTTGAAACAAACGTTCCTTGCGGGAGCAATTGAGTGCATCGCGCCGCAGGACACGCCTCGTACCCTCATCCTCCGAGAGTTGGCGGCCAGGGTCCGTTTCACGACGCCGTCTGGAATTGGCTTATCTATCTTTCGTTATGGTTTGTCAATGGGATCTAGTAATGACATTGGTTAGGTTTTCGTTTCTTCTCATAGCCTCGAAAGTGCGTCGATCGTAGAGTACGAGATAGGTACTGCGAAAGGTGCAATTATTGATCGGTATACCGGGCTTGAATTCGAAATATGACAGTGAAGGCAGCTGCTACTTGTTTTCCTCCGTAGAATTTTCCTACTAGTTGCGAGTGTTGGCATAAAATGTGATCAACGAAGTGAACGAACCGCCAGACGCGAAATCGACAAACGAGAATTCTCTGCCATCCCCTTTACTTCGGTTTTTTCGACCAACACTTTGAACATGTAGGCGCAAGAATTCCCTCGCGCAGTATTCCAAACCGTCCGTTGACAGTTCCCGAAAGCAATGCATCGATCGGGGAGGTTGTGGCCCAAGTGTCCAGATTCAGATGAAATGACGAACCGTCTCATGATGAAGCAAACACAACAGGACCCGCTTAGGAAACTTGGGAAGAATGGTCATTGACACAAGTCTAGATCGCATCGGGAGCAGTCTAGAGCAATTGGCAGTCGTGCAATTCGCGATTCGCGCGCCATCTCAAATAAAACACCGGGCTAGAAGATTCCTGTGGAGTTAACCACTGCGTTCTTTCATGATTCTGGCCCCTTGACGACCCAAAGAAACCAAGATCTATCACGTACCTGTTTTTGTGTATTGTGCGGAGTATTTATCCAAGCCTCCTGCCCGCACCATGGCCCTGTTGTCTGTATTTGCCTTCCTTCCGGTTTCTGACCAACGAATTAACCGAATAATTACATTTCCCCAGTTCCCAACAGCAAATAATCAAAGCACAACACTAATCAACAATGGCTGCCGTCCAACCCATTCCTGATATCGGCACCTTTGAGAACCTCAGAAGGAGCAACGAGTTCCTCTTGGTCATCTTTATCTTCGACCACACCTCGTTCCGCGAAGACACGCTACTCGAGGAGTTCAAGTTCGAGGCCAGTCGCAACCAGCAGGACAAGCTCCGTTACTTCACTATTGACACGGCCAACGTTCCCGAGTTTGCCTCCCAGGTGCTGTTCCGGGAGGTGACGGAGGCGCTGATCATCGTGTTCGAGAACGGACGCGAGGTCTTCAGGCTGGAGCTGAGGTCGGAGGAGGATATTCGCCAGGGCATCGAGCGGGCGACGGAGATTGCGGGTCCGGCTAGGTAATTATGTCCTTGTTTCCCCTCAAAGCTATTTGTAGAAGGCGGCTAACCATGTGTCGAACGATAGCCAGGGCATGGGGCATCATCAGCACGGCCAGAGGACGGGATTCGCGACCTAACTTCTGTGTTTCCGGGGCCGGTTCGGGTGGTTATCCAGACTGTATCCAAATGAGTCTGCAGTGCTTTAAGGCTTCTAAAAGTTTTGGGTAGTGACCTAGATTGTATCACGGTGGCCCTGGTAATCTGTAGGCCACAAACCATTTTGTGGCATGGCGAAGGAAAGGAAGAAAATAATCAAAATATATTAGTTAGTTAATTATCAGTTTACCTTTCCGGCCTGTTAAATTCGAAGCACCAAGGTAATCCCAAACGCCTGTAACCAACTTTCCAATGGCCAACAAGTTAATAAATAATTCTCGTCTCGCCCTCCCATAACGGGCTCTCTTCCAAGTCACATTCTATCCGTCCCGCTGTGCCCTGGCCCTTCTTCTCTCTGCCCCCCAACCCCAAACCTTTCAACATCCCTTCCCTTTTATCCACCGTCTTCGACCCCACCAGCCAACACGCCCGATCACTCGCCCCAGCTACGGACCCAGCGCTGTGCGCCAGCTCCTGTCGACTCACGCGGGCTTCGTCCCGGGGCAGCCATAACCTCGGCGCGGGCGTCCACATCTCGGGCGGGCGATAGGCAAGGCGTTTGGCGTAGTTGGCGGGGAGGGGGTGGTCGTCTGGGCACGGGCCCGGGTTGATGCGCGGGGCGAGGTGACGGAAGGATTGGTAGATCTCTGGGTGGAGGAAGGTGAGGAGGGCGTTTGGGGGCGTGGTGTCGGAAGGGGTGATGGAGAATTTGAGGTTCGCAAGGATGCGGGTGAAGTGGGAGGGGGGTTCTTGCGGGGGGGCAGCGGAGGGGTTCGTGGTGATGGTGGTCGGGGGCGGGGAGGCAGAAGAGGAGAAGCTGGATTTGAGGTAGGTTTTGGTCCAGTTGGTGATGTGGTATTTGATGCTGCTACTGCCCTCGATGCCGCGGAGCTGGATGTCGGTGTCGAGGTCCTGGGGCGGAGTCGGATCGGGGAGCGAGGACGTATCGTCGTCGTCGTCGTCATCATCATCTCCTTGATGGTTGTTGTTGTTGCTGTTGTTGTTTTCATCTTCGGCTGACATATTGTAGTAATCTGCGGCAAGCCCACCGGTGGGGTAATCGGCAGGTGTTACGGTATCTTCGCTCGACTGCCCATCCTCAGAAACACGGCCAATATCTTTTTCCAGGGCGAGTGTTCGTGGGAGGTTCGTGAGTAGAGGTGTGACTGCATCGCTGAGCGAGACGTGGACAAGAGCAGTGAAAACGAGAAAAATAGCCATGAGGAGCAATGGCCCGATGGAGGCCTTGAGGGCGAAGAGACCAATGAGGCAAACCTCGGCAATGTAAAGGCCCGTCATAAGCTGCATGAGGGCGCGGGGGTAGAAGAGGCCCTTGGTGTCGGGGCCGGTATCGTTGACATAAATCAAGCTGTAGCGGTAAATGCAGCCGATGAATGTCATGCCAAGACCAGCAAAGACTAGGACTAAAGGGGCGATGCAGGAGTAACTGATGGCTGGTAGGGGTTAGCTTGTTGCTGTCACGTTTGTTGATGTTGTCGAAACCACAAAGGGGGGTAGAGTAAAGAAATACTGACCGATGACACCCATGTTGGTAAACCGCGGGTATTCACTGCCCCAATGCACCTCGCGCAGTTTCTTCCACCGGTAAAACCTCCGCCTCGGGTCTTGGATGCTGTTTGACACGATCTCATGTCGGAACAGGTCGCCGAAGTTGGCTAGTCTCGTTGTGCCCGCAGCAAGGCACTGGATGAGGATGTACGAAAGATAGAAGTTGGACGCCTTCGGTAAGTTTTCGGACAGCATATCCTTGACCATGATCGGATTTTGGATGATATCAAACACCGCTGCTGAGGCAGCCGAGGTGAGGGTTGTCACCAAGAACACCTGTACGACCTGGAAGAAGAAGTAGGCATTCTGGACATACAGTTCGACCAGGCCATGCGATGGAACACCAGCCACCCGCGCACAGCCTCTGAGCATCCAAGGTACGGCCGCCATCAGCCAAGACAAGGCCAGCGCCGGTAGCAAGCCCTGGATAACGCCGAGAATGGGGCTTGGAAGCTTCATGATGAAGGACAGAAAGACGACCTTCTCACTGAGGGATTTGATATTGCTGATCATGCCGACGACGGCGGCCGGGATGGACCAAAAGATCACAGCCGCCGCGATAATGCCCATCATCAAGAATCGGCGCATAATGTGCTCCCACCAGCGGATCCGTAAGGCACTCCAGACGATGTCGCTGGGGTGCATGCCGATGTAGCAGGGCGACATGTGTAGCGGCTGGTGATGAGCCAGGATTTGGAACCCAGCCTGGGCGTTCGCTTGCGTGTCGAATTCGACGAAGGCCGCGTTGAGCGAGGCACCATCGCCACGGCGGTACTGTCGTCGGAGGTTCCAAATTTCGCGGTTGAGCACCTTCAGCCGGGCGCGCGTCCAGCGGATCGTGTCGACGCGGCGCCCAAAGTTACGTAACGGGCGGTGGTGGGGCCGGGCTTGCACGGGCATCCAAAGCGCCGCAACGGAGCCCCGGACGTCGGGAAGCGAGGGATCGAGGCCGTAAGGGTGGATATATTCAGGATCTATATCCTTTGTTCTGTCAAGCGATGGGCTGTCGGGGCCCGTTACTGACGGCGGGTTGTGACTCGGGGTGTGTGTGGATGACGTGTCGACGACTTGCCCCTTTTCTGCGTCGTTTTGTGAGGGCCGAGAAGAAGGAGGGCCGCCTTTGTCTAGGTGGCGGTCTGCGGCCGACGAAGCGGTCGGGTACTTCTTTAGGTGTTTATTTCGTGCCGTATTTGCCTGTCTAATAAGTCGGACCTCGGCTTGCTGTAGCCGAGAAGCCGTCTCCTCGCGGTCGGCAACGAGAGCACGGAGGGCGCTCGTATCCTTGACGATCCAGATGTTTTTGACCGAGTCTCCGAACAGCTTGCGCAATATCGCTTCGTTAAGATACGGCTTAGGAATGCAGGTGAACAAGACGGTCCTTGATGACAACCGCTTGGCGTAGTTTGGTGAAAGCAGGTATGCCTGTCGAAGATTGATAAAGTAGATGCACTCTCGGCATATCATGAACAACACGAAGCCTGGGCCGAATGTTAGTTACGTACTGGGGGGTAGTGGTCACGCTCAACGTGCGGTGGGACAAACCGAAGAAGCTCCAGGCGACGAGGACATGCGCATAGTACTTAGCGGCCAGCTTGACATTTCCAATCGTCAGCGAGTCCAGCTCGCCTAGACCACTAGCACCCGTCCCGTTGATAGGCAGAAGAATTGGCCAGACAATACAGAGCCCAGCGAGGCAGATGATGGACAAGATGCGGAGGAAACGAAGGAAAAAGTAGCCATCGAGCGAGCAGTTGTTGAGGATGTAGTCATCCTTGATGGCAAAGAAGGGTTTGATCCAATTGAACCAACCGTTGGGAAGCACAGGGCTGGGTGTCCTAATTTGGCCGTGTGAGTTCTTGAGGTGAACTTCTGCAGAAGCGACAGACAACTCCGTGATTCCGCCGCATGGGAGGGACACTTACTCGGGGGCCCGAAGCGACGGTATCGTCCTTGGCGCGTACACCCGATGGCACTTGCGCCGGAAGACGAAAAATACCAAGAGGCAGACGGCCGAGTAGACGACAACGGGGATGAACGTACTGCCGAGGGCGGACAGCGATGCTGAGTCCTTCTTGTCCCCGGCCGGATTGAAGTTGACGAGGGTGCCGCCGTTGCTGCCGTCGCGACTGGAACCGACACGGCCATCGTCGCTTTCGTTCTGCCGAAAGGGTGGAATTGATGCGTTAGTCCCGGAGGCACACCACAAACGCCTTCTCAGAATCATCCCCCTTGACGTACAATGCCCAACACCCTGCGCTCCAAACGCACGGCCGACGCATGTATAATCCAGTCCATTATCCTCGGTTTTTGGCGTGTCGACGGGGGCACGTGGCGCTATCACACGGGCGATGCACCATAGCAAAGCGGCTGCAACATCGTGTGGTTTGTTCCCGACCCGTCCCGTTTTGTCCAGCCCTTCTTGTTGCTCTCGGTTTTGCAGTACACTACTGTCCTGTGGTGATGTGGGTGAGTTTGACCGTTGGAGCTAGCGGTGGAAGTGGGAATGTCTCGAGTCGCAAACCAGCCAGAAAACGAAAAGGAAAAGATGGGAAAGGCCCCAAAAAAGGGTCCAACTCCACTTCTCCCCATCGGCCTTTGGTGCGCTCTCAGCGCTCCCCTGGAACCGACTTGGCGAGAGCCACTCGGGCCCTTCCGGTGCAAGGTGGGGTCGCGGGATGTGTGTGCGTCTCGACCCTCCCAGTCTGAACCAATCAGTGGTAATTTTGCGGACTTGGCGAGTACTGAGTTGGCGCCACCAGCCGGATCAGTGACCATGACGAAATTTGAAAGAACGGAGATGGACAAAGTCGAGAAGATGGTAATTGACCGGAGAACGACTCGACACTACACTACATGCGTTTTTCCCAGGACCTCGGAGATACTCTGTGCCAGACAGGCGCCCTAGCATCCGGAACACACGCGGTTGAAGCACTCTGGGATACTCGCAAAACACAAAGTAGGAAATCCCAGCACCAGGGAATTGGAAATCGCGGGAACCCCCCCCAAAAATGATCGGCACTTGAGAAGCGTGCCATGGGAGCTTGGCAATATCATTTCATGTCCCGGGCCAATAAATCGCCCTCTTTCAAGCCCAGCCGCGCCACAATGTTACACAAAAGGAGGCAGCCGACTCAACAGAGAATACAAATCGCCATGATTGTTCAGCTCTTCTTTTCCGCTTTTCGGTACCGAGGATTCGTACTCAAGGACTCTGTCCTCCGCCCACACTCGACCCTCCTCCATCGCCTCACCCCCTTTAGCGATGGCATCCGAAAACCCACCGCCAATCCTCGCTACTGGGATTGGGCACCGCCAAAAACACATCATGTCCCCCTGATCATTCATGTCACCTTAATGAGGTACCTGAGACCGTATCAAGCTGGGCCGAGACTACAAGCGTTACTCCGAGTTCGCTTGAACCGAACACAGGTTGCCCACCACGGCTATGTTGTCGTCGACAACACAGCGAGCCCCTCACACCAACTAACCTTACTTGTGATGCCAGTTAATAAAGTAATTCAGCACGCCCACCGCAAAGTCCCCGTGCTTGCGCATCACCTCGTCCAACCGACTCCGTTGCGCCTGCGAATGGATGTTGCAGCCCACCAGTCGGCAAACAGTTTCCCGCAACGCCAGGTCGCCCGGCGGGGTACCTGTGTACAGTTCGTCCACCACGGCGGGAAAGCTTGGGTGGTCGAACCAGGAGAACTCTGCAGCCCGGTAAAAACGATCGCGCGCCAGGAGCTTCAGGGCAGGCACGTCGAACTTGTCCGCCATGAAGTAGAGCCGCATGGACAAGAAGCCCTGCTGGATGCGAATCTCTTGCAGAAACCGAAGGTTCCCTTCGAGCGCGTTTTCCTCTCCGGTGTTAAGCTCTTTTTCCCGCTGATTGAGAGGAAATTCGGCCTCCGCCCCCGTGCCATCGAGGACTTGGACGTGATCCTCTTGGGGTGCGAACTCTGCGTATTCTTCTGCGGGGTGGTTGGATTCATCGGATGCGGAGCGATGAAAATTGGAGTTATCCGAGAAATTGCTTCCAGTGTCGGATTGGGCATCGCTGGTGGGGGGCCCAGTCTCATCCTGGACGTTGTCGGCATCGTTCTGTTCCCGATCAGCCAGTGCGGGGGTTCCTGCCGGTCCTGCTGGCGACAACCGCCCTGTGTCCCCGACAAAGTGTCTTCTCATTGTCCTTCCCGTTTTCCTTGTCCTTGTTCTCGTCCTTGTCCTTTCCTGGTTCCCTTTCGGTGTCGTTCTCATCATCCGACTCTAGAAACGAGACACCAGGAGCGGTAGCTAAAAAGGCATCAACTTCCTCAGGCGTCAGATTTTGAATCTCGGACGGTGGTCCCCATCCCGGTACATCATCCTCTTTGTACGTCCCTGTGTAAAGGAACTGCAAAAACCTCTCTAGTATATCTGGGTCGTCCTCTGGCACGTTGACGATACCGCTCGCCGCTTCCTATTACACCCAGTACCGGAATCAGCGCTCAATGACTCAATGACCAAGTATCCGTACAGCCATCCCACCCATTTTAACCTACAACTATCCAATTATGTGTGACATACTGAGAACCCGCTCGTCATTGCCTTGTCAAAAAATGAAGATTGAGAGCACACAATGGCGCGGTGTGCAGGAAACTCACGACCGCTACAATGAATGGCCATATCAGAAAACTTGTCCGAGTTAAGCAAACCAGACAATGCGCGGTAAAGAGAGTTGGTTTGAAGCTCCTCAGTTCGATCGTTGTCGCCCATGTAGTCAGCTGTACGGTACTGCCGCCCGGTCGATGACGCCCGAGAGCGGGGCTTTGCTTGATCTTGACTCCCTGGCATGGCGTAGGATATGCAGACGATGAAACAGGCAGAAAAGCGGAAACAGTATGGATGGTATAGTGACTCTAAGAGAACAATCCGCACCGCATAAAAGGACAAAACCGCTGAATCACCGGAGATGTTAGGCCATGCGGACGGCAGGCAGGCGGCACGAAAGCATAGTTGATATCAAGGGGCCAATTACCCCGCTGACACCCCTCGCCTGGGAAACATGAAATTGGGCAAGCACCAACAATTGTTAACCACGTCTCAGACACCCAACTGCTGCCTAGTCAACCCTAACCCTGCTACATCTGGCTGCATGCTCTACGAGGCGATGTTTGCTGTGTGGTGACTGTCGGATGCTTGAAGCTCATCGACTGGCTCACAGAGGCAGAGTTTGGAAATAACAGCAGCGTGTGGGAGTATGTAATCAATTAATGGTTGTGGACCCATTGCTCCCCGGAAAAAGCCACCCACCCCTCTACGGGATGGCTAACCTCAAGTAATGGTGAAACAGCTGCGGCGGGACGGGAGGAAAGAGCCAGGGTCAGTCGTCCAGCAGATACCTACAGATGATCACCATTTCCACGGGGGGATGTGTTTGCCGTCGCAAACCCCCATGCAGGGTGAAACGTGGCAACGTGCCTTAAGACCAAGTGTTGAGTAAGGAATCAAGGCAACCAACCGTGTCATTCTATGGTTGCTTGTCAAAGAATCCAAATTTCCTAGCTCATGCTAACATTATCTACACGTAGTAGTACTTCTTGATGCAGCTATGGTAGTTGTAGTTTGCCCCGTTCAAGCTGTCGTCCTTATATCCACCGAACGTCTTGAACCCATTGGAGCCAGTGCTGTCTCCAAGTTAGTCTCCAAGTTTATACAATGACACACTCAACATCCAGCACCGGCAAGCACACCGACAAGCAGGTAGCGCGACGAGTAGAAAAGGAAGGAGCAACCCACCGGACAGAAGAATAATTCGGCAACGACTGGGCATTGGAAGGAATGTCCCAGGTGAACGTCACACCAGTGGAGGCAAAGGTGCAGCTCTGGCTGCCGCCTTCCCACTGATGCCAGTCCTCATATGCCGTTGAGCTTGAGACCACACATGCGTCGTTGGCTGGGATGTTGTAACCGACGCTGCTACAGTTGGCATCATCTGCGCAGTACTAGAAGAGGAAAAGAAGTCGGTCAGGGAACTTTCTAATAGTGTGAAATGGGAGGGCTTCCATAATTACCGCAACGATGGAGAGAAACGTGTGGTCGGAGGATGCTTCACCAAACGAGCGGCAGTTAAGCAGATGCACGCCCTCGCCCAGAACGTCTCGGGCGAGGAAGGCGACACCGGCAAGCAAGGTAAAAGCGAGCATGTTTGGAGCGGGACAACTGGGGGCAGGGGCGACGATGCGGTCAGTCTGGGTTTCGTGAGAGATGGTGCGGTAAGGTCGAGATGCTACGCAGCATATATATATACACTTTACGAACTCAATTATCGTGAAGATTGTTACTACGCTTGGTTGTCGAGGTTTTAGGCATCCAATGTAGCACTTAGTAACGACGCGTGGGATCCCGTAACCAATGGTGTCGTTATTGGTGGTTTCTAATAAGTGGCAGTCGTACAGTTACATCTGGCGTCGCTGTGGCTGTGGCGGCGACTCGGGTTGATTGAGGGAAACACGTCGAATCGTCAGCTCTATAACACGTAGTGCATGTGAAGTTTTGGCTTTGGGCCGTTTTAAGAAGAGCGTCATGCTGGGCGCTGACAGGAACCCTTCAGCCCTCAAGGCAACCCAGAAAGACAGAAGCGGCTTTAATTACATTTAGAGACCACCGCTTGAGGATAATTAATTCGTGGGTGGTGTTAATTAAAGGATACTGAATGCCAAACGCTCAAACGATCGGGAGAGGCAGCTTCGTCGAATCTCTTCGAGAACATTCTTGTCAACGGCTTTGTCTGGGCGGGCTTTGAGACAAGAAAAGACAAAAGAGGGGGGGGTTTATAGTTATCGGTGGGTGGCCCCAGCGACACCTTCGTACTTGCCCTCGCTAAAACTCGATAACCTAGAGAAGGAACGATTGAGATATTCCCCAGCGTTGAGTGGTTCAGCTTTGAACCGAGTTGCAACTCCCCTCGAACTGAGTGGGGGTTCAAAAACCACGGTGTCGGCCCCCAACTCATATTCCAGGCCGCCAGCGGAGACACACGGAGGGGCGGCTCACTGCGATGGTTCGCGTTCCATCAAGGAAGCGGCCACCGGAATGTCGTATCCAAGTATCACCAGACCGTTCTCGAATGGGGGTTAGCGGGATGCGCGCGTCCCCCTCCCTTGAATGCCCCAACTGCATGAGGACGGCACTCAGCCACTCAAATGGCGCAGATACAGCTGCAGGTCATTGCCAATGCGGCCTGTCGCGACCCAACACCCAGTGGCGGAGGAAAGTGGTGAGACAACTGGGTAGATACTCATCCAGCGGCCTCGCTGTGAGAGCTCACATGGTGGGTGGGCCAGTGATTGGTCTTCTGAGATGGTGTTGCACCCGAAAAGGGTGGTGTCTGGTGGCCTTGTCGCCCTTAGATGCATCATGCAGGATGTTCCGCGCTTGCTTCCTAGAGCTGCCAACCGACAGGCTCATATAAACCGAAGTGCGACGCCTCATTCCAGCGACATCCCGTGTCTACTCGTTTAAGGCTGCGCCAGGCCTCCCGTTGGCTTGAGGCGGCCTTGCCATTCCGCCTTGTCACGATGGCTGCCTTTTAAACACCCCCGGCTAAAGAAGAGTTATTTGCGCGACTCCATCGTCATCATCCCACAGCCTTCATTATTTAACCTTAAAATCGGTGTGCTCCGATGGCAAACCTAGAGGTGACAGTGGCGCCGGCCGCTCAGCCCCTCTTTGCCCGCACCCGCGTGGTCACCCAAACCATCACTCGCCCGTCCACAACTATCGTCGCCGTTGTCACTCTTGGTGATGCACCGCAACCCGACCCTACGGTGACCTCTATCATACCACCACCACCACCGCCACCAGCCGCAACGACTACCACCACTCTCGCGCCAGCTCCATCCACCTCTTCACCGTTAACCCCACAACAACTCGGCGCGCTACTCGGTTCCATCCTCGGTTTCGCCTTCGTCGCTTTCTGCATCTGCTGCTGTCTCACCATCCATCGTCGTCGACTCCGTTACTACCGTTCACGCCGCCGTGGTTCATATTCCTCGAGCAGCGGCAGCAGCGATGACATGACCGAAAGCGAGGTCGTCCGCGTCCAAACGCGCGTATACAGCGGCGGCGGGCTAAATCCAGCGTGGAATGTACCTTTTACTGGACGTGGTGGCGGCGTGACCATGAGTTCGTCGCCTACGAGTGGGACGACCACGACGACGAGCGGGCCGTGGACGACGGTGCCACCGCCGGTGCGGTTTCCGCCGACTACCCGACAGGCGGGATATTCTCAGTCCAGGGAGCAGCAGATTAGGGGGGTGAGGCGGTTTTTATGATGAAGTGGGGGTTGAAAATGGGCAGTTGGATTTATGACGATGATGTGGGATTAAGACTAGTTAGGGACAAATACCGTTGATGATTGTAGAAAGGATGATGTTCTCTGATTCAAAGTTATCAAACAACTTTGGTCCCCATTGCCGAGAGTAATCAATTGATTTTGTTGAGCTAGCCTAAGAAGACGATGACACTACAATGCTTTTAATGTCATTGATCTTCAACTTTGATGTTGTCATCCTCTGGAATGAACATAGGGCAGTTACTAATTAAATTCCAATTTAATTAAATTCTAATTAATTGCATGCCTACTTACCCCTTACGCCTTTCGGTGGAGTTTGACATTGAGACTGAAATTGGGTTCAAACACATGGCCGATAGTGAAGTCGAAGTTAAGCTCAACAAAAATGACAAAACTCTTAAGATAAATCCCCTGTCGACCACCTACCACCTGTCAGCGCGAGATTAGTACCTTGTAAATTTTGCTCGACATTTGAGCGACATAGTGGGAATTCAGGGGATTAATTCGTAAGGGCTTAGTCGCATCAGCAAGCCTAGCAAAGACTCATGAATTTTGAGAACGACAAGCGTGATGAGAGGTAGAAGTGAAAGTGATCACTGGCGCCTTTGTGAGTTGGTCCTGGCGCAACATGCCTCGACTCTTTCAGTTGGAGGGAGATATCTCATCCTGTTGAAGTATAAAAGGGGCCAACTCACAATTGGGACGGACGGTCCTCTTGTGTCATATTACGTTCTGTCTTGTACGTACATTTATTTCCCACTCTTGTCCCTCGACCAGGTATTGACCTATCGGTCAGTCTGTCCCCGGCTAGGTGTTCGTATCGTCTTAAACCGGGCGTGTTCACAAATCCACATTTGTAGATGATTTGAGAAGTTGGTTCTCGGCGTTCTCAGCGTTCATTGTTTCCATGCTATGAATATCCTACGACATGGTAGGCTCACGGACGAACAATAGTCAAGAAATGCATAATGAGAACAGGGGGCGTAAGGGTACAGGATATAGTTATAATCACGACGCTGAGCTTCTCTACCCCCCCAATCTTCTTTCTCCCTTTCACACTGGGAGTTTGTTGCCTGAGATCTGGCACTTGTCCCTCCGATCCAACCCCATCACCCGCACTGCCGTTCTGCCGACCATACACACACACCGGTACACTCACCGGAGCCCCGTTAACCTCGCATCACACACCTACAAACTCACCGGAACCCCGTTGCCCGTACACAACACAACGACACACTCGAGAGCCTCTGCCGCCCACACCCCATGAAGGTTTACCAGAACCCCGTTGCTCACACAGTGCACACCCCCGTCGCCCGCACACCAACACACGCTCGAAGACCCGAACCAACCGCGCTCAGCATGGCCAACCACCCCGCCGCGATTCCGGCCGTAGACTACAGCGACGAGATCGAGGAGCTGTGAACCACCAGCTTCTACCGCTCGCTCTCCAGCCTCTTGGGGTCGGAGAAGTTCTCTGGCATGAGGATCCGCTGCGGGGGCCGTGAATTTCCGGCCCATCGGGCAATTGTGTGTCCCCAGTCGTCGTTCTTTGACGCTGCACTGACAAGCGGATTCGCGGTAAGTGAGAGGGGGTGAAGTTGATTGTTGAGTGGTTGGGATAGAATGATGGAGCTGAAAGAAAGGGGTTCACGGCTGATCACGTTCCTTTCCTGGGTATAGGAGACACACACTCGCATTGTTGACCTCCCAGAGGATGACCCCGATGTCCTCGGGCGCTTCTTGCAGTTTCTCTACACCGGCACATATGAAGATGGTGTGATTGGAGCGTGGACCTCTGCCGCAGAGGCCAGTATAATCACCCCTGAGGAAGTTGAGGAGTTGCTTGCCACCGTCCCTGGCACGGCTATCGAACCAGAGAGCGAGGACGGTGAAGACGGTGATTATTATCCCGACAATGATCAGTACAATGTGAATGACTTCCACGACTTTTCCGAGGGTGACTTCGACGAGGACGACTTTGAGGAGGATTTCCTCTCCGACGAGGAGCAAGAGGATGAGGACATGGAGTCATCAAGCGAGGGGTCTACCCCCGAGGAGCAGCGCATGGCCGAGGCTGCAGAAGAGCTGAGGTTCCTGGCCATCAGCCCCGAGTCCGGTGACGAGGATCACCAGCATGACTTCTCCGAAGCGGACTGTCAGCGACAGGCCCTATTTCTCCCGTTACGACTGTTCATCATGGCCGACAAGTACGATGTCCCTTCGCTCAAGCTACTCGCCCGCAAGTGCTTCCGCCACGCCGCGGAAATGCTGTGGGAGTCGGTCGACTACTTCCCTGACTTGGTCGATGAGCTGTACAGCAACACTCCGGAGCAGGATGACGGGATGAGGTCGATTGTTTGCCGGTTGGTAGGCCTCACGATTGTCGGCCCGGAGTAGCGCCAGTGATTCGCGGCTGTGATGCACAAGCATGGGGACTTCGCGGTGGGAGTCATGAACTACTGGCTCGACACCGCGGATATTTTTCGTGCGCGTTGGGTTTGAATGGTGGAAAGGAGTCGACGCCTCGGGAGTCGGGATTTAACGATGCGGTGCTTCACTGCTTCATCGGCGGGAGATGACTTTTGTTTTTTTCTTCGGGAATAAAATCTCCACGAATCGAAGCCCCGAGTAGATCACTAAGATTTGGGGCACTACTCCGATTGTATCGTTTCCTTCGGTGCACTGTTGCACTCGAACTTCGTCGTTACATCCGGCCGGCAATTCAGCCGGCTGGTAGAATGCATCGGGATCGTTATATTGCCAGTGCACACTCACATTCAACTCCATGAATAACCAGCCACGCTTCCCTTGCACATCACTGATTCCCCTTTATCTCAAGATTTCATCAAAATGGGGTTCTCACTCACCTCATTGTTCAAAAGCTCCACGCTCCCGGCTCTCCAAATTCTTTCAATGGTCTCGCCCGCCGTGGCTTACACGAACCCTCTCATCCCGCAGCGCGCCGACCCCCACATCACCAAGCACACCGATGGTTGGTATTATTTCACAGCCACCGTTCCGGAGTTTGACCGTATTGCCCTCCGTCGCGCGGAGTCCATCCAAGAACTGCAGAATGCCACTGAAACCACGATATGGCAGCGTAAAACCTCAGGCATCGGCAGTGGCCAGGTGTGGGCTCCGGAGCTGCATTTCATCGACGGAAAGTGGTACATCTATGTCGCGCTCGGGGTGGAGGGAGAGTGGCGGATCAGAGCGTCGGTGTTAGAGGGGACGGTCCTCGAGGGCGACGACGCCGACGACAACCCGCTCACAGCGACCTGGACCGAAAAGGGCGTGATTGAGACGAACTGGGACACCTTCTCCCTCGACGCAACCACTTTCACCGTGAACGGCACACGGTATTTGCTCTGGGCACAGCAGGAACCGTCGCGACCGGACGAAAACTCCAGCTTGATGCTTGCGCCCCTTGACAACCCCTGGACCATCCGTGGCACGGCTGTCGCCATCTCCCGGCCGACGCTGGCCTGGGAACGGATCGGGTACAGTGTCAATGAGGGCCCGGCGGTCATCCAGCGGAACGGCAAAATCTTTGTGTCCTACTCGGCGAGTGCTACGGATGCTAATTATTGTATGGGGTTATTGACAGCATCGGAGGATGCGGATTTGATGGACCCGGCGTCGTGGATCAAGGCAGATGAGCCGGTGTTCGCAAGCAATGAAGAGACCGGCCAATGGGGCCCGGGACATAACTCATTTACTGTGTCGGAAGATGGGTCGAGCGACGTGTTGGTATATCACGATCGTGGGTATCGCGATATCGAGGGTGATCCGTTGAATGATCCAAACCGGCAAACGAGAGTCCAGGTGCTGGGTTGGAAGGCTGATGGTACGCCGGATTTCGGAGTGCCCGTGGCAGACGGAGAAACGCCCACTCTGCTATAATCTGCTGGGGGTCGTTTGTTCTGTCAATGCGATGACGGAGTATGGGTTGGGGGGGTGATATTGTTGCTTTCAGCTGCTGTTGAGGTGTTGGCGAGTTTAAGCATAATACCGGGCTGGAGAATGAGGAAGTGTATCGTTTCAGAAATGAATTGGGATTTTGGCCAAGTAGAATGCCATCGGCTATCTTCACCGTAGAGAAAAAAATTGAGTGAGACCGAGTGTTTGTCTCCCTTGATTGATGTTAGTCGAATGCAAGTCTTCTTGCGGGAGCTTAAACAACACGAAGCGGCACGAGGTACGGAGAGGTACGGAGTAATTACAGAGTACCTATGTGTGCTGTCAGCGCATTTCGGCCCCACTCCGACGCCTCCGGGCTTCAATGCCGAAAGTGGAAGGGCGCTGCTCGGTTTGCATGATCAACCATCCGGGGCAAACAACTTGGAGTGTACGTTGTCACCCACCCGAAACGGAAGCAAGCGGCTTTGGCGGCCTTCGTCGGCCGCACTTCCCATGAAACAGCTCCATTGACGTTATCTCGCGGCAGTGCCTGGCCAAACAAACCGTCGGTCGGCGAGATCCCGGTTCGTTGGCCGGACGCTCTGGCCAAATGACACTTACCCCACCTCCCCGCATCCGATGCTTCAGGGCTGGGGATGCTGTGGGGCGGGCCGGACGGCGGAAATCCTCGGCTCAGCGAGTCGAATGTTAGTTCAAAGAAACAACTTAGAGTTTGACTCGAAAACTGATGGGAAAAAAGATGTGACGGGGGGTTATATAACAATGAAGTCCGTCCCCTAGGTTGCACTAGAGGTGAGGCTGTTGGTCTAGGCTTTTGCTGTTCTGTCGAAAAGGAAGACGCTGGTGACTTACACAATGTGAGGGTTGGGGTCTATCTCCTCGGCGTTCGGCTGCGGGGAATGCGGAGTCCCAGTGAGACAATGCAACTCCCAGCAAAACCAACGATCCCTGGATTGCTCAAACAGGTCATTTGTTGGCAAACATTGATAACGATGGCTCATCTGTCTCTGTTAGGTAACGCTTTGTTTGTCACAGCCCTACTCACCTGATCACTTGATAGCCCGCGCCGTGCTTGAATGTAGGAGCCAAGGGCCAGGAACGGACCCGGACAGCTTTTAAGCCGAGGCCACTTACACCGCGAATGACCGGGGCAATACAGAGCCAATGGGCCGGGAGTTCCTTCCTGAATCCGGCCTTTTGGCGAACAACAGACCGGGAAACCGCTTCTGGACGCCACCCAGAAGGCAACTTCCGATCACATGAGAACTTTCCCCATATCCGGATTCTTTCCACTGCAGTCACCCGTTTTGTTGAATCTCCAACTGCACAGCTCAACGGAAGTGGCACATGCCGCAACAGCAGACAGGCTAACAATCGCCTTGCACTAGGCCACGGCGGCTGAGGAGGAAAACGAGCTCCGTCCGGGTCTTGGCCCACGGCACAATATTCACACGGAACCATCAAGACCCGGCTGTCTGGAACCCCACCAGCTAGGTGTTCACGGCTTCTTGAGCTCCCCCGCATTCCGATTCGCGACAATGCCGCCATCCTTGCTCCGTGCAACCCCACTTCAAGCGGCAAGAGTAGGTTGGATATCTCTCCAGGGGAAGCACCTCCAAGACTACCATCCCGGTCCTGGGGTGCGGCTGCCGCAGCAATGACCGGGGTTAGCCGTCACGGCGCCCATCGGTTTATATCCTGGGCCACCCATCTTTTTGGTCATGGTAGCTTCCAATGCTCCGGTTCGATAATATATCGTGAGAATAGTCTTGAACCACGGTCGAATCAGGATTCCCCGGCCATCCCACCACTCCGTCTTATCAACGACACGATTACCGGCCCAATCAACTGCCCCATCAACAGTGTTTCCACTCAAACACGTCGTTCATCCACGGCCACCACTTCACCCATAGAAATTGAGCCTAAGATGTACACGGCTTCGTTCGCCTTCTTCGAGGCGCTATGGGACGCCGGCGTGGAGCATGTCTTCGTCAACCTGGGCTCTGATCACCCCAGTATCATCGAGGCCATGGTCAAGGGAGCGCGTGAGAAGAAGGGCCAATTTCCGCGGATGCTAACTTGTCCGAATGAGGTGTGCTTCCATGACTCCCATCTTCGTTTCGTCGTATTAGGCTACTCACCTTCTTACAGATGGTTGCCATGTCCATGGCCGATGGCTACGCACGCTTGACCGGCAAGCCCCAGGCTGTTATCGTCCACGTCGACGTCGGCACCCAAGGCCTCGGCGCTGCGGTGCACAATGCGAGCGCCGGTCGTGCCCCTGTCCTCGTCTTCGCTGGAATCTCCCCCGTTACTCAAGAAGGTGAACTCCGCGGTTCCCGCACCGAATTCATCCATTGGATTCAAGACGTACCCGATCAAAAACAGATTGTGGCGCAGTATTGTCGGTACTCAGCCGAGTTGAAGACGGGGGTGAATGTCAAGCAGATGGTGAACCGTGCGCTGCAGTTCGCAAAATCCCAGCCACAGGGGCCGGTGTACTTGTGCGGTTCACGCGAAGTGATGGAGACGGAAATTGAGCCTTACCCGATCCCACAGGATCAATGGGAACCGGTCGAGTTGGGCGGACTGCCGACATCAGGAGCAAAGAAGATCGCCGAAGCGCTCGCCGGCGCCAAGGAGCCGTTGTTGGTCACGGGGTACGGTGGACGCAACCACGCCGTACCTGGCGCGTTGGTGGAACTGGCGAACACTGTCAAGGGTCTCCGGGTGCTTGATACCGGCGGCAGCGACATGTGTTTCCCTGCGGACCATCCCGGCTGGCTGGGGCTCAAGTTTGGCGTAGATGATGCCGTTCGCTCGGCTGATGTGATAGTTGTCCTGGACTGCGACGTCCCTTGGATCACGATGCATTGCAAACCAAGGAAGGATGCTAAAGTCTTCCATATCGATGTCGATCCCCTCAAGCAGGTCATGCCGCTGTTCTACATCCAAGCGCAACACCGTTACCGGGCCGATGCCTTGACGGCGGTGGAGCAAGTATCCGCGTTGCTCAAGTCGGATGAGACGCTCAAGACGCGGCTAGTCGGAGACGAGGTGGAAAAGAGGTGGGCAGCGCTCCAAACATCGCACAAGAAGCGCCTAGACGACATTGCAGTGCGCTCACGGCCATTGGAGAACGGCGAGTTTGGGACTAGCCATCTCTGCGCCAAGCTTCGAGAACTGTGCCCACCCGACACCATCTGGGCCATCGAGGCTGTCACCAACACTGCATTCGTCCACGACAGCCTACAGCCAACACGACCCGGCCAGTGGATCAACTGTGGTGGCGGGGGCCTAGGCTGGTCAGGCGGTGGGAGCTTAGGTATCAAGCTTGCGTCGGACCACGCAGCCCAGAAGAGCGGAGGTGGGAAGGGCAAGTTTGTCGTCCAGATTGTGGGAGATGGGACATTCCTGTTCTCCGTTCCGGGGAGTGTGTACTGGATCTCAAAGCGCTACAACATCCCGGTATTGACGATCGTGCTAAACAACAAAGGTGAGCTATCAAATGGTCAAATCGTTTACCACGCTTCGCCTTCGCCATTTCGCTGACTCCTTCCAGGATGGAACGCACCGCGCAAGTCGCTGCTCCTTGTACACCCCGAAGGATTGGGGTCTCAGGCGACTAATGAGGAGATTAACCTTTCTTTTGACCCCGCCCCTGACTATGCTGGTATTGCAAAGGCCGCGGCCGGCGGAGACCTGCACGCTGCGCGGGTCGACAAGGCAGCCGACCTGGACAAGGTACTGAAGGACGCGATTGCAGTGGTAGAGGGCGGGCAAACGGCCGTCCTCGACTGCAAGGTGACTTCGGGATGTTAAACAAGGCTTCGCTGTTTTCTTGTCGTTTTGTGTCATTTTAGGTTTGTCCTTTAGGCCGAACATCGGGTCAACACGCCTGCCTGGCGGGGAGGCACATGGGAACCCGGACCTGGTCGGAAGGACCCGTTGAAGAGTCTCGAGTGAGTTGTCTCGCCGGGTAGCCAGTAATTGTGCCTGCGGGGGTAGTTCACGGGGTGCGGCTCGGGGTTCTCTCCGGGGACGCCGGTGGCCAACGAAAGAGGCGGGGGCTGCAGAGCCACGCAGCTTGTTTTGTTGTTTCCCTGCATCAAATTAGCAAGACAATCCATACAGTGCCACGACAACAGCAGCTAAAAGTCTCGTTGGTCTGTTATCTACACTCGAGTCAACATTTAACCGCATACCAGTAAGAAATGATGGGCATCTTGCAGCAAAGTGCTCCATGGGCCGGTCCAGAGCGAGACGGCTCTCCGCTTGGGTGTGACCCTGTATGCCGGCGTCTCCAGGTCTAACTACACACGTAATACAACTTTTAGACGTCCTCGAGGACGAATACAGTTGTCGCGTGGGGGTGATGTATCTTTAATTTGGGCTGCTTCGACAATTCTAGTCGCGCCGTTCTTCCTCCTAAGTTTCCCATGTAGAGCACATGAGCTACCTAGCTCTACCTAAGTAACGACGGCCTAAATCCTCGGACTCGCGCCATTGTCGCCACAACAAGGAACCGGATTCATTGAACGGCAATTCGCGCTGGTGATTCGCTCGAGAATCAATATCAAGCAGCACATCTGAGGCATCAACAGTCAATGATCGTCGGTAATCGCGTGGCTCGCTTGCGGTATTGAGGTGGCAACTGCAACCATAAAGTTGGGGTTGTCGGTGTTGTGCGTGAAGATTTCGGGAAGAATTTTGTTTTCCTGGCAGGAAAGTGGGCCATTTGCGTCCCAGACTTGGCCTGGGGCACAGGCCACAAGGGCCAAGAGGGACCTGAATGTCCGCAGCGCGGAATGTTTGTCCGGGAGTTGATCTTCAACGCTCGCAACGAATGCAGCAAACCCTTTAATCAACTCGACGCGCGCCGTCCTTAGAGGTCCACCAGCCCCCCGTTTCAACCCAGATATTCGCCCGATCTGAGATCAACTCTTTGCGCCGGCGATGGGAATTGCCCCCGTGATCCCACTTCGAGGCCCAAAAGACCCGCCGAGCCGGGGAACGACGCCCTCCAAATTTTTGCCCCTCTCGTCCCCATCTTAACCCCACCTGCCGAATACCGAGATCTTGCAGCACCACGCGCAGCCCCAAAAAAAGAACTTCTCTCGACCACCCGCGAGACGATGAGATTGGGCCTGGCGCGTACCGGGAGACACAAAACGTGGAACCGCCCCGGGTGATTTGGGCTGCGCACCCACGGGTAACGCCCATTGCGACAAAACCACTCGAGGGAGCGAATCCCCCTTGCGCCCGAAGCGCGGATCACAAGCCGACGAAGGACGCCGCGAATCCGTCCGAGAATATCCCGCCGCGGTCCGATCGAGTCGGCCCTTTTTAGTCTCGACCAGAACAATATACCTTCGGCGACGATAATTCCGTCTGGACTCTTGGCCCGACAAGAGTAATTCTTATTGCAATGAACGAAGGGGAACGACAGCCCGAGGGCACCACCACGAACGCTACGGATGGCCACAACAGCGACTCGAGCTCCCTACATTCACCGCCACCGCCGCCCGTCCCGGCGACCGACCCCAAACTCCACGATCCGGCAGCTGGTTCCGACGAACAGGTCACATCGCCGACCCTGGCGGTGCGGCTCGAAGATGTTTCTCAGGTCTCTCCGCAAGCCGCGCTGAGGCTGCTCAGTTCTGGTGTTGAAGCGCTGGTCAACATGACGGGAGATATCCCGCCAACACCACCGCCTCACAGCCCGACGTTGCCACACATGCGGGGAATGGAAGCTGAAAAGCAGAGCATTGTGCGGTCGAACTCGGAAAAGAACTTGGCTCGCCTGGCACAACGGAACAGTGCGTCGGCATCACCAATGCCCGGGAGGTCGCCTCTGCAACAGGTGTGCGCTGCGCCTATAACACAAGGTGAGGGGTCGACACCCACACCAACGGCGCAAGCTATCGATGGGGTACATCTCCGCGCACCCATCACGATGTCCAACCCGCCACCTCGAACACCGCCCCCCTCTAATAGTTCCGGCTCCGGCTCCGGTTCCGGCCTCAGCTCGCAACCGCAAACACCCCCGCTACAATCTGCCCAGCTCGCTCCGTACATCATTGTCGGCGACAACTCCCAACCTCTCAACCAACAGCACAGCGCCATCACCCGCAAATTCTACTGCCGCATCCCGCCGCCTATCTCCATCACCGACTATCTCTTGCGCGTGCATCGCTACTGCCCCATGTCAACGGGTGTCTACCTCGCCGCGTCCCTCTACATCCACCGCCTCGCCGTACTGGAGCGCGCCATCGTCGTGACCAAACGCAATGCACACCGCTTGCTACTGGCTGGGTTGCGGGTAGCGATGAAAGCGCTGGAAGATCTGAGTTACCCGCATGGGAGGTTTGCGCGGGTAGGCGGCGTAAGCGAGAAGGAGTTGGCGAGGTTGGAAATCAGTTTTTGTTTTTTGACGGGGTTTGAGTTGGCAGTGAGTGGAGGAATGTTGACGAGGCATTGGGACTTGTTACGTCGAGGGGCAGAAGGGTGGAATGTTTGGGATGAGGAACTGCAGCAAGAACATGAGGGTAATGTGGAGCGGTTCGTGGTGCAGTTGGGAAATCCGCCAGGCGCTGATAATGCCACGGCGGAAGCTTGATCCGGCTTCAAAGCGCACCTTAAATACGTTGACAGCGACACGGCGGACAGGTCGCGGGTTCTCATGCTTGAAGGCAGAGACTTTATTCATGTTGTTGACCGTTGGATAAGGCGCAGCCGATGGGAACGTTGTTTTCGAAGCTCTAGCGCTCGGTGATTTATTTACGCACAATCAGGGATAATATTTATCAATACGAGAAGTACTTATCGCATCACAGTCTGACAGCCGGACAGGCCCTAATTACAGAATAACCAAGCTAACATGGCACAGTACGGTTGTAGTATCATGACGGATGTCTATCGCCCCTAGACGTTTGAATGTTGACGGTGTAATTATAATCAACGACCAAGAGATCTCAACTAGATATTAACGACATGATCTGGTTAAGAACCAAATATAGGACTTGGCTGCTCAGCTGCTCGCGATCAACTTTTCAATCTCATCCGGATCCTTCAGCGCGACCGTCAAGTTATCGCTGCCGTCTTTCGTTATGACAATGTTGTCCTCGATTCTGCGCGTGGGTCAGTTCCAATTCGATACCACCTAGCTAACACCTCCGTTTTGACTTACCGAACGCCCCCAACATCCCAATACTTCTCCAATACCTCGACATCGATGAACTTGGCGTGCTTCGGGTCCTTGAGGTATGGCTCAATGATGAAGTTACAGAAGTAAATACCTGGCTCCACCGTGATCACGCTGCCGGCCGGCAGCTTACCCCGGACGCGTAAATACCGGAACAAAGTGTCCTTGTCGGCATAGTTGGGGTTACCTCCTGTATCGTGGGTGTCCATTCCGAGGTAATGGCCCAGACCGTGCGGGAAGAAGGCCACGCTCGTCCGGCTGGCAAGAATTTCCTCCTTGTCGCCCTTGAGAATACCCAACTTTAGCAACCCGTCGATGGCAATCTTGTGCGCCAGGAGGTGCACGTCATCCCAAAGCACTCCCTCCTTGAGCACCGCAATCGTATCCAGCTGCATCTTGAGCACAATGTCGTAGATAGCTCGGCTCTCCTTGGTGAACTTGCCATTGATGGGGAAGGTTCGAGTGACATCGGCGCAGTAGCATTGCCATTCCGCGCCGCCGTCGAGTAGCAGGTTCAGCTTGCCGTCAAGTGGCTGGTTGTTGTGGATGTAGTGTAGTGTCGCGGCTGCCCGTCCGCTGGCAAAAATGCCGTGGTAGGATTGCTCCGGAGCATCGGCAGCGATGCAAGACCCGATGAAGGCACCCTCGAGCTCACGCTCGTTCTTCGCGTGCTTGACTTTCTCGATCACGAGGCGGTGGGCGTCGGCGGTGACAGCGTTGGCCTTGGCGAGCATGGCAAGTTCGAACTCGTCTTTTACGACACGAGTGACCTCGATGGCCTCTTTAAGCAGTGAGAAGTTCTTCTCGTCGAATCCGAGGAAAGTGACATGGTCAGATACTTGGTTCGCAATGGCAAAGGCGGTCGATTTCGACTTTTGGGCTGCGGTATGAGCAAGCTCGGCGTTGATGTCGCTGGTGAACTTGACCTCGTCGACATCCCACTTCTGCAGCGCCTCCTCGGGGGATACGGGCAAACCGGACCAGATCACGCTCTCAGCGTCGATCGGGGGGATGAAGAGGGTTGTCTTGTCCGCGTCTATGTCGTGGACCACGTAGGCATCGGCGAGCAGGGAACCAGTCAGGTAATAGAAGAATCGGCGCTGTCTTGATAGCAGTGTCTTAGCAAAGAGTTCTGTCCAGCAAGATCACGAAACCCGTGCAAAGCACGTACCGAAACGGCTCGGGCTCATCACTGTCCTCCTTCAGCTTGGTCAAACGACTCTCGAGGTAGAGCACGCCTGATGCATTGGGGACCTTGGCGCGAATGTAATCGACGACACGCCTCGCGTGTTGCTTGGCGGGGTACTTCCCCTTCAGAATCGTCTCGTAGTCCATGGTGCGCAATGTACTCAATTTCCGTGGTTGGGTTATAAAGTAGTTACGGAAGGGGGAGCTCGTGTTAAATATCCCCAAAAGCGATCTCCAGTTTGGCATTGAGAAAGAGGGGCGTCCGGCCTGCCGGATGGGATGGAAAACATCTTTCCTGAGGGAAGCTCTTCGAGGGCGGGGCAGATGGCAACTCTCTGGCACAGCAAGGGTCCACAATAGGCCAAGAACGGCAGGTGGTGCGCGGCTTCCAGCGGGCTTCGAACTGTTCGATTGGCGTGCCCTTTTATCAACAACACCCCGCAATCCCTCCCATCTGTCAATTTGTGCGTGTGCTCGCTTTCCTCGGATTGGGTTGCGGGGTGACACAAAATCCTCCAGTATTTACAAGACTCCAGCACCTATCTTCTCTTGCCTCTCGCGCGAGACAACACATCTTCCCGTCATCTCTCCGTTTTCGTACCAAGCGTCAACCGTTCTGCCAACATGTCCTTTTCCGTCTCAGTTGAAGCTAACGTGAACATGATCCCTAGGAACACGAAAGGTCATTCGTTAGCAACGGCATCATCAGCCACACCAAACTCGAGTCAAAGGACGTACCAATGGTTCTGCGTAACATCGCCGCGGTCCTCCATCGGACGCCAGCTGGTCCACGCTTTGACGCTATCCTGGGAAGGGTTCCAAATCTTCTGGCCGTAGATGACATACTTGAGGTTGAGCGTCGCGCGGTTGTTCATCACCCACTCGGCAAGCTGACGGCCAGAGGTGGTGGGAATCTACAAAGGCAAATGATCAATATCAGTCTCGGGAGCCCCCCGGAGCTTGGAAACGGATGACAACTTACGCCACCGCCGTCCGAGCACATGAAGTCAATCGCCTTCCCGCAGCAGTGATCCGAGGTGCCTGGGCAGGCACAGTCGCGGGTGCAGTAGATCTGGCGCACACGACCGGGCCACGCAGCGACAAGAGTCTTGGCGCCGGTCACCGCGACGGCCTTGCAGGCGCCGACGGCCGGGAAAGCGGGCGCCGCGTATCCGCCGAACCCAGTAGCGGCCGACGAGCAGCACTTCATCTGCGCCGGGCCGGGGCATTGGTTTGCCACGGAACTTCCGGCACAGTCGCTTTGCCAGCGGCAGTTTCCGGCGGACGTGTTGGAGCACGAGGCTTTGGTACAGCACTTGATATCGGCCGCGTCGGCAGGGCAGCCACCGGCGATGGTGATACCACCTGCCGAAGAGCAGGCGCTGGTCGAGACACAAACACCTGGAGCGAGGTTAAACCATACCCGGTGAACGTGTGTGATACCGGGCTAAGGGGCGGGCGACATACCAGCCCTGCCGTCTGCGCCAAAGCAGGGTTCATTGGTGGCGGCCATGGCCGTAGCCGCCATGATAAGGGTGAGTACTTTGAGCTGCATGGCGTTGATGGGTAGCCGTCGTGGGTGTGGACAAATTTGATGAGGCCAATTATTCCTCAGGTGGACTTCGAGAGTTCTTATACCCTTCTCGGCGCTTATTACTGTGCAGGGTGAGTTCCAGATTCCGGGATGGTCCCAAATAATAAATGTCTAGTTATCCATCGATCGCTCCACGTGTCTGGTCGTCTATCCTGTAGCCCTGTACCAAAATAGAAAACTCGAACATCAACATTCGCTTCTGCGCTCCGCTTTTGTCCGTCGGTCAGTTTCTTGGCTATCAATTGCCACTGCTCCAGGCAAGGAACAGTGCAGCTGAGCGGCGCCGATGAAGCACGACAGCAGGGGTTGCGCTGTTCCACGCTTCGTTGCATTCCGATCTTAGCCAACCCCGAAGAGATTACAGGATGCGCTGTTGAAGATCGCCGACTTCCCCTAACAACCCCACATGTCTTAAATCTGCCAAGGCGAGTTATTCTTGGACCCCGACACCCGCGGGTAAACTGGTCGCCGTCTCTGCTGCTCAGGCCCATTCTTGCTCTCCCCCCAACTGGGGAACGGAATGGGGTGATTACCTAGGTAACTACGAGTATTGAACTTCTGGCCTACGATGGCGGTTCTTGGTTGATGATGACCCGAGACAAACACCACACGTGTGCGGAAAATCTCGGCGGGATGCAGGGATAAGGTAGTGTAGTGTTAGCGTTCCCAATTTGAGGGGGAAGAATAAATGTGGGTTGCAATTACTACCTGTCTCTGAGATCTCGGCGGGTTAACCACCGGCGACTGATTGCCTTGATATTCTCACGGTTATGACAGTGTGGTTCATATGCCCAATTCTTGGTGCTACTGAACAGTTCGAACCACGGTTCCTCCTTTGAGGTGTTACGTAGTGGTCAATTGCGCCTAGGTACCCGTGGCAGATATGCTGTCCCGAAGCAAGTGTGTTGAATTGTGCCTTAACCAAATTTGACAAGCCTACCATCAATACCTACTGAGTCGTAGGTAAATTAGCTTTGAAGATGACTAGATAGGCCAGGGTGGGTAGAACTTGTAGTAACCATCACCTGTCCAGTTAATGAGACCCAGCCTAACTACATGGATCTGTATGCTTAAACTATGTCCCGTTCTGTTGCAACACAAGTTAAGCACCTTTCCAATCCACATATGGTGATACTTCTTGGGGGTTCTAATCGCATTCGATGTGGGTTATGTTTACGGAACGAGCTATGGGGTTATTCAATGTCTTGCTCCGCAAGCGCGGGATGGTGGACAGTGTAGTTGAGTCCTCAATTACAGCTCGGCACATCGCCATGATCGGGAAACGGGGGAGGTTCATACCAAGTTGTGAGCTGGTACGGAGCAAAGATAAAGGTATAGGAAGAACAAAACCGGAAAGCAAGATGAACAGCGACTCTATTCAAACAATCCTTTCACAGCCCATCGCTATCCCCTAACCCTCTTGAGTAACTCGTCTCCTGGGAGTGTTTTCATCTGATCCTCAGTCATTCGCGGTTCATGGGTTCAGCTTAACTGTTCAGGTATTCATACGTTCTTTCCTTTCTTAAATTGTTTTCTAGGAATGGTGACTATTAAAAGCCTTGGGAGCTCAAAAGAAATCTCTAATTAGCGAAATGTGTTTTTGACCCGTCTTAACACACCTCATCCCCTTCTTAACTCCCCAACAAAAAGAAGATCCTTCATCCTTTAGAACGCCGGCCTTCCCCGTCCCCCGACCGACAACGAAGTGCAATACAAGAACCAAAGTTAGTCGCCAGAGACAATGGCGAACTGGTCGGCGCTCCTCGACCTTCCTGTCGAGATACACCTGGAGATATGCGACAACCTCTCGCTGCACGCACTCCGACCATTTACTTCATTGCAGCCATGGGGTGTAATCACGACCTTCGATAGCTGCGCGCCCGGCTCATTCATCCTTAAGGGCTTGTCCCAGAGCTGCAAATACTTTCGCCGTATCACATTCCCACTGCGATACCAGCGCGTGTGGCTTTCTGTGGATCGCCTTGACGCCTTTATCTCCATCATCAAGCATTTCACCCTCTATCCTGAGCGTGGCGACTTTGTCAAGCATCTCATGATCGACATTCCGCCTTTTGTATCGACTCCGGCCAACCGACCCGAGAATGAGACTCAAGAACTGCAACAAGAGGCAAGGCGACTAGGCCTCCGATTTGACTCAGATAATGTAAACCAGAACCTCGAGGGATTTCTCATTGACATGATCTTATGTCAACTGCAAGGAGTCAGGAGGCTTAGTCTCGAGCAATGGCCGGTAGTTGAAGACCAGGTTAGGGATGAAACGGCACGCGGAATCATCTACGGAGCCCATCTCCCTGGTTCACTTGTGTTTCCCTCGCTGCAACACCTCACAACTGAGCACCCGGGCTCAATCGACCGTCCTGTACAAAGATTTAAGCGCACATTGGAGTCACTCCTTCGTCGTGCCCCATCACTCACCAGCTTAAAAAATACAGGCCTGGTGCAAGAACCGTTCGGCTTTATCCAGGTCAACATGCCGGAGTTGCGAAACCTGTATCTGCAAACGGCAGTGTCGGATGACATGCATGCGATTGTTCAGCATTGTCCCAAGGTCTCGTCACTGCAATTGGGTTCAATGGATGCTCCATTTGGCGCGACGGTTCCTTCCAACGATTCTGGCGACGGGGAATCTTTAGAGGCCACCTTTAACAATGTTGAACAACCAAATGCCCATACGATACCCCGGTTCCTCGAAATCTTGTTGCCCTTGGCATCCACACTTCGCCGGGTCACAATCATAACACCGTCGACCTTTCAAACCGACATCGAGAAACTAGCAAGCGCAATCTCCCAATTTGAGGGCATTGCATACCTGTTCCTGGCCGTTGGAACATGGGAACCCGAGAGCCAGATGGCTTTGATTGATTCCTTGCCATATACCCTGGAGTACCTGAGCCTTGGAAGAAACGCTGGCCCAGCACACGAGTTGGCAGTGGCGGTTCGTGGCCGGGTCGACTACGGGGCCTTGCCAAATCTCAGGGAGTTTCAGTGCCTATTGGCATATCACCCATCAACAACTGTGACGGAAAGTGATGAAATCAAGGACATGATCCGGGAGGTTTTTGAAGGAACTGGTATTACCTCAATTGTTGACCGGGACCCATTTTCCGCCTGAGGCGCTCAACATAAGGATTCCTTACAGATTTGTCGGCGGGGTGGTAGCATACACCACAAGATGGGATTGTTATTTCACCACTGTTGAACCGCCTTGTCAACATCATGGCTCTGAAGGGATAGCGTAGCGGTATAATGTACTCATAATTAGTTCTGCAATTACAACACTTGATAATTGTAAATGCTTAGCCGACCAACCATTCCTTTCCGTGGGAGTGTTAGTTACATGGCCCAAAACATCCACCTTTGTTTAACCAATTAATGGTAATCAATTGAATTCAAACATAGACTTGATTGTGCGTGGATGACTTGTGGATGGCACAATGTGAGCAACGAGGCTGTGTCGACTCTCTCTGGGTGAACTACACCAATGATCCCCTTGACAATTCAAACAGTACAGATGATTTGGGCCAAGTGTTAAGTACGTGATACATCATTACTGTGCTCGGAAAACCGTGTCTAGAAGGAGTTTAATGCCTGGTGAAAATACAGTGGAACAAGGCTGGTGTTCAGAAACAGAACTGCACCACTAGGTTGCTGCTTGTAGCAGACGTGTGTTATCACATACTCGCTCCTCCAGGAGTCCAGGTTGAAAACTATTTGAATGTGGAATCCAACTGAACAACTTGCGTGATGTCGAGCACCCCCACCCCTGTCGACATCGCACGAGATGCCTAATTATATAAACACCGACTTATCGACCCTGTATTCCAAAATCACTTCGTTCACAACGAGCCGACCAAACGTGGCTCACTCTTCCTTACTTCTCCAGCTGCTCAAGCCTCATCCGAGCAACATGAGTGATCAACTCCCGATTGCCCTTTTGCGCTGCATGGGAATGTTGAACGTTGACGAGATGGAGACAGCAAATCATTGTTCACCTTTGGACACAGTGCCAAATGAGCTGCTTCTTCAAATTTGCGAAACACTCCTGTACGGGGCCCCACAAGATCAGACCTATGGTTCGACAACTTATAAGATCAGCAAGTTGCTCCCAAATTATCTGCCACTAGCGAACCTGGCACTATCATGCCGTCGTTTACGCGACGCGGCAGCAGTACTACGTTTCCGACACCTCAGGATTTTCATCGCCAACAAGGATGAGTTTCACCGAGCCGATAGGCTTACAAGCTGGTTTCCGCAATGGACCAAGTATGTCAAACACCTCACAATTTATGATGCCTACGACGGCGTGTCAAATGAGGCCTTCTTCAGCATCCCAAAAGTCGACGCCATCAAGTCACGTCTTGTTTCCACGCTATTGCCCAAGTTTCCGGCCTTTACAACGCTCCACCTGGCTCTCGGCGTGTGGCCGGAAACCACCAACTGGGATCTCATCGTACGAGGCATTCCCAACTCACTACATTCAATCACGCTCGGGTATGGCATTAAAGCGCTCTCAGTGGCGGGGATGGCGCTTGAGATTGGTGCTAGGGTGAGGACCGGCCATTTGACATCCCTCAGGGAATTGAAGTACTCATGCCGCCCTGATGGGTATACTGGCACGGTCCCTGGGAGGAAAAGGATCGCAAAACCCTTGGAAGGAACCGCGGTGCGTTGTGTCCCGCAAGTCATGGCTCCAGTGGTAGTGTTTTTTGGGCTCTCGGCTATACCCCACTGGTGGCTTTGGTGAGGAGGAGCAAAAGGACCGGAAATTGGAAGCCTGGGGAAACCGGCAGCCACTGGGTCGGAATGCTCATATAGGATGTCCACATCAATGATTACCAGAATCTCGCAGTTTCGACAAGCGAGCGGGGGAGGGGGTCCACCCGGGTTGTGACGGAGAGATGCAGAGAAAGCTGGCCGAGGCGGGTAGTGTAGCGAGGATAATTAACTAGGTACTTTGTTTACCTATTTGTAATTACCATGAAGGATAGCAGACACTCAGGTTCTTTTTTGACTTGTAACTAATCATAATTACAGTGCCCAATTGACCATGAACGACAGAATTACCCTGCAAGACAACGATGCCTACGTGATTTTCTAATGATCTCACTTCCGACGCAATTAATTACACCCTATGCTGGTCATTCAGGAACGAAACATTGAACTGACTCCGCAAACAGTGGCTTAAGTTCCTGCATCATTAGGTAATTCTGCTCTTCGCGGGAAAGTGTCACCCACTATAATTTCAATGCGCCTGGCCCGTGACGTACTCAGGTAGGTAAGGTTCCCAAGTCTACCTAGGTGCCTAGGTAGCCGAACAACAAAGCTGTAATGATTCAAGTCGTGCACTGACTCACTTCAGCAAGAGCCGTAATGTTGTCCGAATATGCTTACTGTTCTTGCCTGGGGGCGTCTATCTTAAATTCCGGCCTTTGTGCAACTAGTTAACTCATAAATCACGTCTCTACCTCACCTCCTTCCTTCCCCTACCGTTCCGACTCTTTCCTCATATCCTTTTTCCCCATATCCCCCGTCAAGAGAGAAACGCGACTTGAACCAACACGCAAGTGGTAAATTTCTAATTCATGTTCTACGCCGCCCTCCAAAATTATCGATTTACTCAACTTCGACAAGGAGAGAACCAACACGATGGTCCGCCGTCCTCCGCTGGGCTCCCTCCCGGTCGAGCTCCATCTCTTGATATGCGAGAGTATCCTGGAAGACCATATTGACCCAATGCCGGCAAGATCACCATGGCCCCCGACTCGACCAGGCTCCGCGCCAGATCCGCCCAACAGCCCCCCTTTCATCTGGGATTGTGTGCTTCCCAACCACGCGGCATTGAAGAACCTGGCTCTTGCCAACCCATACTTTCACAGCATTACGCGCTCACTTTGTTATCGACGCGTCGTGGTATCCATCGCCAACCTCGACGTCGCCCTCCAGGTCATTCTGCGTTTGGCGCCGCCGTCAGGCTACGGCGAGTTTGTCAGGGAGCTCACCATCGACAGCCGCGGGATTCGGGCCAGTCGCTCCCAGGCAGAACGTCTCTCGGCACTAGGTGGTCTAATCCTCGAGTCAAAACGGCTGCGCCTCAGGCCCGGTCCTAACGATCTCACCAATCCGCTTCTGTTCAAGGGGGTTTTGATCGACGTGATTCTGAGTCAGGTACCACGCGTTCGGAAACTCTTCCTTTCCATTTACTCCGGAATTCCGCTACCGCCCGAGGCCCCGGCAGCCCCAGCAGCGGGGTCAGCACCTATCGTCGAGGCTAGGCCAGTGGAGCTGTTGTACGGAACTCGGTTCCCGGAGGGAATGATCTTTAGGAACTTACGCGACCTAGAGACGCGGCCACCTTGGGCTTGGCCCGCCCGATACGTCCGGTGTAACAGAGCGTCAATCAGCGCTATCTTGAGCCGTGCTCCAGCTCTCACCCGCCTGGTGATTTGGCCCTTGGAGCCGGTACAGAACCCCATTCAGATGTGTCGTATGCCTCAACTCACGGAGGTGGTGGTAATGGACAACTACCCGGCTGACGTCGCCACCATCGCCCGGAATGCAGGAAAACTGGAGCACTTCACCATCCGCGCATTCGAATATTACCCGCCGGCGGCCCCGGTACAGGTTGTTAATCCGTCCTATCAACCCGCCTACTTTTCCTTCACCAACGCGCACATCTTCCTGACGCCCATCTTATCGGCCCGCTCGACCATGACGCAACTTTGCATTCGCATCGACCGACTAAACGCCGGCTCCATCAGAGGCTGGGGAACGTTCCTGTCTCACTTCGTCGCCCTACGCCGCTTATATCTCCTGACTACGATCTGGCCACTCGATGCTCCAAACCACGAGCTCATCGACAGGCTCCCTGCGTCCCTGGAGGTCTTGTACTTGGGGGAAGGTCAGGTGCCTCTGTATCGCTTGGCGATTGTTCTCAATAGCCGGGCGACAGCGGGGCGAATGCCGAACCTGAAATGGTTTGTACGCATCGTGCGGCGCAGCGAGGTCAGAGTCGCGATTGACGCTCAGATCCGTTCCGCGCTACAGGAGTCGGGTATCAACTATGGGGTATTCATTGCACCAAGCATCTACGACGAGTGATGGAAGGCGTCAAGAATGGCTAGCTAGACAGTGTGAAATCTTGCTTTATTTCTACGGGATAATTATTCGGTTTGCTGGACAAAACTATTGGCAGGATAACAGACGGACACTGGCGTGGTGGGATTGGGATGAAGACAAGATGAAATGGACGGCAAGGATCTGCCAGGATGCCCCGAGCGACGACATGTGATGGCTTGCGGAGTAGATTTACACAGTAGCAGCAACGACCATGAGAGAATTAATTACCGTAGCATGCATAAAATAAAAAGCCAATGATAAGTAAAGAAGCATCGTAGATTTGTTGTTCGGGTTTATCCGGATCACTCCGCTCCAATAATTATGGACGTCCTGGGGACAGCCACGGTTAAAGTAATAAGTGCCGACAGATGCAATTTAGGCAGTTGGTCCCGTTGGCTAACACGAATAATTAGTTGTATTATCCAACACCTCTGGGTTCTGAACTGGTGATACTATAATGATTAATTAATTAATAGATGTATTAAGTATCTTCTGTCACAGTCGGGAACTCACTCCCGAACCCACCTCTGGGCCACGTTGCTTCATCGGAGTTATTCAACGTCATAACCGGAGAATTTTCTCGTCTTGTAAACACCTGAGCGGTGTCACCGGTATCCTACACTACCATGTGGCTTCAGGTTACTCGTAATTGTCCGCTCAAATCATAACATCCTCGCCACGCAGCTATCTCGCTGTTGAACCACGGGCTGTCTGAGGCTAACGAAATCCTCTCGGCCGCACTTTGTTTGGAGAACATCACTCTTCAAAATGGGTCAAGGGTCGGTGTCATGGGCTCGTGTGCTCTTGTTTGGACTTCTTGCCCCCCTTTCCGCCGCCGATTCTTCCGACGGTCTAGCATACGAAGCCATCGACAAGAACCCTATCTTTACCAGCAACTCGACCCAGCACGCTGCCCGAACTCCACTTATTAACGGATGGTGGGACTCGAAAATATGCTCCGGTGACTTCTGTGTCTTTACCAACCGGCGTCTCGGCAAAGGGCGCGGCCTTGTGGCTGTGACGAAGCTAGAAGAAGCCCAAAAGCTCGAGCAACTCGAAAACCACTTCAACAACGGCGAAAACAAATACTTTGACGACCCCGCCCCCTTCACCACGACCGATATCCCGTACAAAGGTCCCAGCATCACTGCGACCAAAACCATTCGCCGCGGTAAACCGCTCATGGTCTGGTCGCCCGTCCTGCTAGTCCACAAGGCCCTCTTCAACCAAGTCCCCAAAAAGAAAGAACGCACCCGCCTCCTCGAAACAGCCGTCTCCTACCTCCCCGACGCGACCCGCGCCATCTTCAACCGCCAGCGCATCCGCCCGGGGGATGACACAGCCCACTCCCACCCTCGCTCGATCGAAGATATCCTCCTAGCACACCCGTTCGAGATCGACCTAGGGCATGTCAACTGGCAGCGTGTCAACGACAACGACAACGATGTAGATGCGCATTCGAAACACTACGTCAACTACCCGGAGGTGTCGGCCATGCAGCACGACTGCCGGCCGAATGTCGCGACGCACTTGGATAATTCCTTTTCGCTGCGTGCGACTGTGGCGCGCCGCGTGCAGCAGGGTGAGGAGTTGACGGTTAGTTATATTGATCCGTTTCTGCCGCGGGAAGAGCGTACGGCGTGGGTGAAGCGGTATCGTGGATATGGTGTGCCTGGTGGGGAGGAGGGTGGTGTGCATAATGGGTGTCCTTGTAAGGCGTGTACTCTGGATGGAGCAAGCAAGGGGGAGAAGGTGGTGGCTGGGGATGAGCGGTTGGAGGAGATTCTCAAGCTGCGGGCGATCTTGCGGAATCATGATAGCAGGAACGTGGATTTCCCAATGATCGAGAGATTCGTGAAGCTGTGCGAGGAGGAGCGGCTGCACATACGGTTTGCTGAGATGTATGAGTTGGCGGCGCTCAATTTTAACTATCTGGGGGATGACAAGCGAGCGAAGAAGTATGCCGAGTACGCGGTGCAGGCGGGTATTGTTGAGGGTGGGTTGGATTCCAACGATGCCATTGCCATGCGCGTCATGGCAAAGGATGTTAAGGGTCATTATTCGTATCGGTTTACGTTGAAGAGGAGGGGCGAGTAGATGTACCGTGGCCAAGGGCGCTGCGAAAAGCGTGTAACATGTGTAGTGAGATACATGTACAGAATCGAAGTTCCCCGTTGGACCTTCGACATTGCTTTCGTGGTTGAAAGACATGGTTGTTGTAAATATCTCAACATGTGGTTCCCATCATTCACCAGGACATAGAACTTGAGCTGCAGGTGCAAAAAGATCGATGGATGTTTTAATTATGCCCTAAAATCAAAAACTCCGGCCTATGCTGTTTAAACCTCTCGCAAGGTGATAAAACAATCGCTCGATCCTCGCAAGATCCCAGGGTATCAGATCACCATATGCCAAATGCTAACCAACTGCCATGCTTCCATCCAAAAGAACTCTCCCAAAATGCTGCCTCTCGCGAAATTTACCTCTCCGACCTGTACAACCGTTCCAAATCATCACTGAACCGATTCCTCTGCATCCGCACCCTCAACGCCTCATCATCCGCTCCCGACCCACCATATCTCCTCACAAACCCTCCCGTCCCGGCATTCACCGCCCCAAATGACGACGCCCGTATCCTCCCACTTCCTATCCCCTCAACCCCGCTGCCCACTCTGGCGTGCACCTCGCACCGCTCACGCTCCCGGTCCACCGTCAGGAAGCTGCTCGACAGCGCACCCTGCTTGGCCCGCAGGCACCCCATCACCGAGCAGGCGTGTCTTGAGCAGTGCCCGCCTTTGTCGAGCGCCCGTGACCGGCAGGCCACGAGGCCACATTCGTGTGCGGAGCAGTACTCGGCGTTGATAGTGGCGCTGTTGCGTGGCTTGTCGCAGTCGAGGCAGATATGGCTGGAGCAGAGCGGCGGGTAAGGGGTGGCTATCGTGTTCGGTGGGTCGCTGGACGATGGGGCGTAGATGACGGTCGGCTTCGGGCAGCCGCGTACGCTGCAGAGGTGGATGGAGCAGGCGTGTGCGTTGGGCTCGGCGGATTTGTTGCAGCCTCTGAGGGAGCAGGGGTTGCTGTCTTTGTCTTGGTCGTTGGAACCGTTGGGGGGGTTGTGAACGTGGCAGAAGCTGAAGGAAGAGCCGAGCGTTTGGCGCGTGCAGTCGCGGTAGAGGCAGCGCTGGGTCCCGTAATGGAGCAGGCAGTAGTGGTCGACGCGGCCGTCGTCGTGTGTGTATGCGGAGCGGGAGCAGCCCTGGACGCGGCAGCGGACGGCGTGTAACTCGCACCGGCGCTCGCGATCGCCTGCTTTTGGGGGCTCCTGGCAGCCGAGGACGGCGCAACGGTGTTTCCGGCAGTAGAAAGGCTTGAAATCGCTTAGGTCAAGGGTCAACGGCTCTCCCTGTTCTTCGCAGCCCTCTTGGCCGCATGTCCGGTCTGTTGGTTGGGTTAGCACAGGCACAGAAGCGAGGGCTGTGGGATAAACTGACGATGGGAGCAGTAAGCACTGTTGGCAACGCGAGGAAAAATGCAGTAGTATTGTGATTGTTCGGGATAGACGCGGCCGCAGGTATCTAAGCAAGGCGTTAACTCCCGATTCCTCAGTGGCCACCGGAAAGACAGTGACAAGACGTACGTTTCGTGCAAAAATCTGAGTACACTTTGAGCCCTTTCGGCGCGCGGGCGTAGGCATGTCTCTTGTAGCAGCCCACGATCTGGCATTTTCGAGGGTCGTCGGTGAGAGCCTCGGAAAAGCCGCTGTCCGACAAGTAAGGCGAGTTCGGCACCGACATGGCGTCGGCGTTGGTTGGTGCAGATGGTTTGGAGTGCTGGTTCGAGGGTACGGTACGGGTGGTAATTACGAGAGCCGGTTGGTTGGCGCGCGGTTGTGAGTTTCGACAGGAACCTCAAGTGGCACTCAAGGGGTTGACGCGTTTAGAAATGGTCGGTACGATATGATACGATGCGATATGATGATGCCCTGCAGCCCTGAAAAAGAGGCCATGTGGTTGTTTTTATAATGCTTGACCTCGACTGGCGCGCAGGACTTTGCAGGCCTAGGCCAAGAGAGGGAGCCGGGGGAGCCACGCGGGCCGCCTGCTGCACGATGCAGTGCCTTGCAGAGGTGTGCAGAAAAGCCGGGGCCTGTGGTGTCACTTGAAGCTGTCGGCTGCCCCTGCGACCCAGATGCCCCACTCTGCACACCCTCCTGCAGTTGCTTCGGCAGCCGGGCTCAGTTGCCAATGCTTCTCGACAGCTGCCAGGCCCGTGGCGGAGCAACGAGGCGCCCAATGTCAGGCTCTCATATCACCTGTGCCACTGCGGCCTCCCTCTTGCACCTCTTCTGGCGCAGCCAACCATCCCGCTCAGCCTCCAACATGGAGGTCGCCCATCCCGAATTGTCGGGTCTCAACGACGAATGAACTTGGCGGCGACGGTGCATCCTGCACGTCATGCAGGCCTTGCGATTGCCCTCAGCAACAAGATGATGCAACTCCCAGCATTAACGCGGTTGACGCGCAGAGTCAAAGTCGACAAACCAAGCCAGTTAGTGGGCTCCCAAGACAGTTGGCCCTCTTGCTACCGGCGCGGATGTTTCACAAATTGGTGTTGGGACAGCCCGATTGTACCATCGCAACAGGCCCAGATGACCTCTGCAAGCCGAAAGCACCAGGACGCGTCACTCGACCACACAACAGTGCAAGGCAGCAGGTAGAGGCACAACTTACAGCGTGTGTGAGCAAACGTCGGCCGCGATGCGTCACCACTAGAGTCCTACTAGTATGCTCCAGATACAAACTGAGCAGTCTGAATCCCACACGTCCGACGGCCGCCCCCAAAGTGTCAAGTGATGGCTAGGACTATGATGGTGGGTTGCCTCTTCGGGTGCGCCACAACGACGCGAACCACCCGCATTCCAACCGCTGTGCCGCTCGGCGGGAACAATTTTTCTGTGGCACCTTAGGCAACCTACGCCGCACAAAAATATTGCAAGCGCAGAGGCAGCCCACCATTGCACCCCTAACCCTGACAAACATGGCAAACATTGTTTCCTCCTACTGACATTGACAACACCTGCTATGTAGATGGCCGAGATTGACGAAGGCGTTGCTATTTCCCTCACAAATGATACCGAAACGATTTGTTCTCCCGATCCGTGTAATCCTCCAACCCGTGCACATCATCCGGCTCCCCATACTTTGCGTCTCGCCGCTTATTTTCCCTCACGGACAAGAAACGAAGGGCCTCGGCGCACACGAAGCAAACGACGAAGCAGATCATCACGCCGGTGAAGCTCTGATCGTAACGCGGTGCATACGACCTAGTATTTTTTGACATGTGTTAGACCGCAATTTCGACGTGATAGGACTTTGGGGGAACATACGCGTCGAACATCAGCGGCCCAATAATGTTGCCTACGGAGTAGGCAATGAAAGTAGCGGCAGCGTAGACGGACTTTTTCGTATGGCCGGCCACGTTGGAAGTGCCCAAGCCAATGCATTGCACCCACGCCGCGGAGAAGAAGTTGATCAGATAGTATCCGGCGATGCGCCCTGCCACATTAGACGAGGGGAGTTGCCATCTGGTTGTAGGTTAGCCATACCCTGCAGTGATGCGCCGCCTGGAGCCGCAGACTTACAACAACGCGCAACCCAGGATGACTGGGAGACATGAGATCGAGATGAGATGGAACCGTGCGTTCGGGACGAACCGGCCGATGTACCCCGACCCAAGGATACAAATAAACGCCAGCGCACCGATGGGCAGGTTGAGCAGCAGCGACTCAAACACTCCGAACCCCATTCCGTTGAAGACAATTGGCGCAAACACCGTCACCGCCGCGGAACCAGTGCACGACACGATTGAGAGCACACACAATCCCCACATACGGTAGTCCCGCAGCGCCTCTAACACCTGGTACAACTTGAACTCCTTATTCTCCGCCCCGGCATTGTTCCCCCTGACCCGCTCAACCAATAACGCTCTCTCCTCCTCCGTGAAACCCTTAGCGTTCTGCGGTGTATCAGGGAATAGCCACCACAAGGCAACGCCCCAAATCGTCGTGGCACTGCCTGCAATCAGGTACATGTATTGCCACGGCTGCAGTCGCCCGCCTTGAATGTGGCCTAGCCCATAGTTGATCAACGGCGACACCAACAGTGAGCCGCCGCTGAAAGAGTACCACCAACTCGATCGCGATACCTGCTCGGCATGTGTGTACCACAGCCCCACGACCAGCATGAAAATCGGCGATACGCCCGCCTCGATCAGCCCGAGAAAGAAACGATTGACCAAGAAGTCCTTGGCGTTTCGACAAGCCGGTGTAGTCAGCACGACGACCGACCAGAGCAGACAGATGACTGTTAGCACGATGCGAGTTGGATAGCGCTGCGCCAGGAGCGAGACCGGGTAGGTGCCAGCTATGTAGCCGAAGTAGAAGATGAGCGAGGCCCAGGAGTACGTCAGGCCATCTTCCAGCCCGAGGTCAGCGCGGAGACCGAAGATGGCGGCTTGGCTGAGGAGGGCTTTATCGTAAAATTGCAGGGCGTAAGTAAAGCAGAGCTAGATAGGCGTCAGTCTCGTCGTTTCTGACGTTCTTGTGAGTCGAACGAGTTGCAACTTACAACAGGCATGACCCGCCAGTCGATGCGTCGGAGGAGCTTCTTGTTGGTTTCCTCGTCGAGCGCAAGCCCGCCGACGCCGTCCTCAACATGGCTCGGCCTAGCCTTCTCTAGCCCAGCAAAGGCGTTCTCTTTCTCCGAGTCCGTCGCCATTTTCTGCTCCCAGGATGCGGAAGTCTAGTCGAGATGAAGGGAAGTGAAGGATAAACGGTCAGTAACCAGAAGACATCCAAAGGTGATTCACTTGCAAAGCTCCGGTTCGGCCACAACTCGGCTTAGCGGACTCCACCGGGTGAGCAACGCCGGATGTTATTGTTCTTGGCAGGTCTTGGATTGTTGGGGTCGCATCACGGCCATGTGGCATCGAGGAAACCGGTCCCGATCGAATTGCCGGGTTTGTTTTGGTGGGCCGGAGGGTTGGTAGCTTACCCGTTTTGGGGTCAACAACGATGGAGTTTCTCCTGTTTGTACGGACCGGATTTGACACACGGCACTTTGTCCTCTGCTAAACTTCTGATTCAACCTTTTTGTTCACCAAATCGAAAAGAGGGAGAGAGAAAGCATATCCGTTCAAGTTCATAATATTAGTTCCCCGGAATTACTGTCATAAATATCCATGATAAATAGCAAAAGAAGCCCTATGATCTTGGTCCGAACTGTTTCTAGGCCTTCTTTACCAAAGCTGTCATTTTGATGAGATAAAGATTTACGGTTTATTAACCTCTGACTTTTCTAGCAATATCTGGGGCTGGCTTGAAAATCGCCGGAAAGCTATCCAAAATGGTTGCTGTCAAGATAATTATCCAGAGCTGAGCCCATATTATGCGCTGCGCTAGCTGTCAATGGTCGTTGTGACCTGTTGGGCTGATGAAAGGCGCAAACAGGTTGCGTAATTGAGACAACACAATATTTACGGCAGGGATACATAGTCATGAAAACTCTTGAACAATTGACGTTAGGCTATGCTCGGAAACTAAAATAAAAGAAGAAATGACACATGATCATGCGTCTCTAAGCAGCGTTGCTTTTGCATGACCACGGCGTTGTCCCCGAATCTTTCGCGATCGCCTCGCCCGTACTCCACAGGCCCAAAGCACATAGTACCACGCCAATCAACACTAACATGGCATTGAGCGAGAAGTAAACAACTTTCTTCGGGCTCGAAAACCAGTTGCCGTAGTGCATCCACAACCACAACATGCCCGGGATGCCATATGAGAACCAGCTGGCGAAGAGAGCCGCCACCAAACCAAGCAGGTTGCTGAAGACGGGAATGGACTCGGCGATAATCCAGGCGAGAGTCCAGATGGCGGCGGTGATACCGAGCCAGCCGAAACGACCGAGGGTGGTGCGGGTGGCGAGGTGCTTGGTGTTGGCAAAAACGCGGACGAAGATGTACTTGGCCGCGACGTGACCGTAGATGACGCCGGCAATGACGATAGTCGGGATGGCCAAACCCCAGATGACCTTGCGGACAACAGTGGAGCCGGCGGCGGAGAGCGCGGGTGAAGGCACATCTGGGCCGACGTAGATATAGATGACGATGGAGACGACCAGGTAGAGGACGGTGTCGCAGATTTGTAGTAGGAACAGGGCCTTGGGCCAGTCGGATGGGTTTTTGAACTCGGACATGACGGTGAAAAAGCATGAATGTCCGCTGAAGGCGACGGCGATGTTGGTGACGGACAGGAAGGCTGATGAGAACCCGATAGTGCGTGACACCTCAACGGCGGTCGAGCCGATCGGTTTTTCGATGCCGACATCGATCATGGTGACCATGACCGCGGTGAAGATGGAGGCGAAAGAGGCGAATGAGTAGTAGCCGGCCGCGCGGAGGGTTCGTGGCGTGTTCAGAAGCCAGAAGACGCCAAGGCCGATGACGCCCCAAATGATGGTACAGGCTGCGCTGCTGGTGAGGGTGTTGAGGCAGATGGTCCAGGTTAACAAGTGGCTGCCCATGACGAAGATCTGGAAGATGGTCTGCGCCCAACCAAACAACTCCTGGAAGACCTTGCCCATTCCAATGGACCGGCCGATAATCTCGCCCGCGTCGCCAAAGCTCTGGACCCAGGGGTATTGCCGACGAAACTCGCCCATGACAAGACCAGAGTAGGTGGAAAAGGCACCCATGATCAAGATGACGACAATACCAGGGGCCAAGCCGAGGTTGGCAACGACACCGGGCAGGGAGAGGATACCGAGGGAGACGGTCTCGGCGACTAAAACGACGCCGGCTTGCCTGAAGGAAACGTCAGCAAATTCGCTCTTGGACGAAGGTGTCAAGGTGCGACTGGGCATACCACCAGGTGAGCGTGTGGTAGTTGATTTCCACAGCGCCCTCGTTGTCTGTCTCCCCCGCGCCTCGGATGGATGCCGGTTCAATGCGGGTACTGTTGGCGTCGATATTGCTCTCCAAATCGCCGTTCATTTTCTTCTCGCTGGAGGCATCTAAGCCGACGCCCGTGATTTGTGTGTCGGACGCCATGGTGAAAATATTTTCGGTTTGATGGTGGAGGAGGGATGGAACGTCTAGACTGGGGGTTCGGCCCAACTGACGCGGGATATCTCGTGAAGGTCGGTGGGCTGCCCTCGTCTGATATTCCACGAACCCCTTCTAGCTATCTTCTAGAAGCTGAGAAGAAGTCAAGGAACGATGTGGGGGGAGAGCGGGTCGAGAAGAGATGAGAAGAACTGTGGGCAGGGGGCGCATGGTATTTATTGTCTCTCCCAAAACCTGGGATCGATGGGGCTGTATGGTTTTGTGGTGCCTGGAAATGGAAGCATCGTAAGGTTCCCCTGGTAAGGTTTCTTGTCCGTTCATCGCATTGTTGACCCTCCTCGAGCCACCTTTCCCGGCCTGCAGGACATGGCATCGCAGGCTCTTGCCGTGACTCTTCCGCTATCGGAAGGTGTTTGAGGCATTTTGGACCAGGACCGGGCTACGTCCATGGAGTACGTGGAGTCGGGAGTCAAGTACCGTCTGGGGGAGGCGATAGTACGGGGTCGCTATGGGCGCATTTGGTGTTGTTCAAGGTTTTCGGGCCCGCCGTGTAGTGGAGCGAGCGCGTTCCTTGGTACGTGCATTGCGGAGCCTTGGAGCGTTGCTTGCGCCGGGTACGGCCTTCTAGTTCTTGCCACTCCAATCGCCCGAGTCGTTCACCGAACACTGGGGCCAGGGTGGATTTTTTACGAAACAAAAACTTGAGACAAAAGCCCTCGGCGCGCTCGGGCGAGTTCTCAATTAGGGAGGTTGACGACCATGGCCGGTTAACGGCGGGCTTTATCCACTTTTGGGGTGGCCTGGCCCAGGAAGCTGCATGCGCAACAATCGTGGTGGTACGGTACGCTACCGTCAGAAACCCAAACCCGCGCGTCTTACAGGTGTATTCGGGCCTGCCGGAACACCCCTTTACACCGGCGTAAAGATCGACGTCATTTTCCCTTCGAGGGCCTGACCACCCTCGAAGCAGGGCGCCGTCTTCACATCTCCTGAGCTGCATGTAACAGCGCATGTCTCAGCGGCTTCGTGAACGTTGCATTTGCCGGCATTCCCTGGTAACAATGGATTAGCGTTCTTCGTCGAAGACTTCTTTTTATCCAACACTCGTGTACACTAGTGTCCCCGGAAACTGGGGGGATCGGAAATGCGACACCCCAGATATTCGAAGCTCTTCGGCTTTCAGTTCCCCACATCTAACCGGTGGGATGAGCCCCTTTGCCCCTGTCAATCTGGGGTTGCAAAGCGGCTGCCGCCGGTGGCTATGCGGTATGTAACCCAACCTCGACCACCACCAACGGAAGGTGGTTGAGAGAAGTTGATAATAAATTCAACGTTTTGGGCTGGCCGTTGCTTGGCGCCTCCTCTTCGGGGCCTGGGCCATTGATGGCGGAGGATACGACACGTTGTTTAACGCGACCTCTCCATACATCCTGGGTTCCGGTCTCAAGCTGAATTCACGACGAGGCTCTCTCGTCCATGCCGCAATATTCACTGCTGTTTTGTTTTGGGGTAGTTAGGCAGATCACCGGACTCCTCGAGTCCTGAGGGTGCCGATGCCGTCGCTCCATGCACCAATAACCGACGACGCCCAAATGTTTCGTTCCATTGCGGTGAGACAGCACCCGAGCTAATGTACGCTCCATGTCAAAGCCGACATGTAATTGGGACCGGAGAAAATGCCCCAAAACAGAACCTGGCCGGAAAATTGTCTTCTCCATTGATTCCTACACTAGTCACTAGGGGGGTGATGGACGTGTGAGACATGGTCTAAGCCTAAACCCGTGTTGTTGCCGAACATGGACAGAGCGGGGGCGACGAATTTCAGGTGCAAACACCGTTTTGGGATCCAACAGTTATTTTGGGACTTCAGCGCGTCTGAATACGCATATTTTCCGATTCAAAGTTCTGAAGCTTGAGCTGGGGATTATTTTCACCCCGATCCTCAATATTCTGCAGCGAGGAGACCGATTGTACTGCGCACCACGTTGCAGCCGGCGATACCCACTAATAAACAGGCGGCCGTGGCCACCTGGACGCAGCTGTCATAACGAGCGAACTTCTCACCATGACATCACCACATCATTCATGCTGCACCAATGGGCGAGGTAATGATCGCAATATGGGACCGTTTCCTTGTGAACGCTGTCATCGAGAACAATTCGAGCCCGCGAAATGAAGGTTAACCCGGGCCGTGTTTGACGTCATGACCACCAGCGCACGACATCGACGGTGGTACTGGCGAGAAACGATGACCAATATCCGGGAGTTGAGTGGCTATAACTTGGGACGGTGCTTTGATCCTTAATATTTCGCTGGTCCGGACAATTTCCTTGAACACCGCATTCTATCGTTGAGCAATAAGACATCGCACTATCACGATGGCTGGCTTTGTACCTGATTCTGTGCAGAAGGTGGCCCACGCGGCCTTGGGCTCCAGGGAGGGCGACAAGCTCAAGGACCTCGCCAAAGACACCAAGGATATCTCGGAGAAGGACCGTCTCACTACGGATTATGGCGTCAAGCAGAGCACTGCGGACGACTGGCTCAAAGCTGTCAGCCCGAACCAGGCGGGTCCCCTCCTCCTCGAGGACCCTTTTGCTCGAGAACGGGTAAGTTATTGCGCCTTTCTTACATCAGTAGGGCCCCAATCCACATAGTATTGACATTGCGCGTAGATCATGAGGTTCGACCACGAACGGATTCCAGAGCGTGTAGTCCACGCTCGCGGAGCTGGCGCTTTCGGGAAATTCAAGGTTTACGACAGCATTGACGAGTTTACGTTTGCCCCCGTCCTGACGGATACCTCCCGCGAGACACCCGTCTTTGTCCGCTTCTCTACGGTCCTCGGAAGCCGGGGGAGCGCCGACACCGTCCGCGACGTGCGTGGATTTGCCATTAAGTTCTACACCGAGGAGGGTAACTGGGACTTGGTTGGCAACGACATCCCGGTCTTCTTCATCCAGGATGCGATCAAATTTCCCGATGTTATTCACGCCGGCAAGCCGGAACCGCATAATGAGGTGCCGCAAGCTCAGACGGCCCACAACAACTTCTGGGATTTCCAGTTCAACCACACCGAGAGCACGCATATGTTTATGTGGGCGGTACGCGCACTTTCACACTGACCCCTGTTGTCCTTTTAGGTACTGACCGTAATGACTAGATGAGCGATCGGGGCGTGCCCCGTTCCTGGCGCATGATGCAGGGGTTTGGCGTCAACACGTTTACTTTATTGAACGCCAAAGGAGAGCGGCACTTTGTCAAGTTCGTCTGGACTCCTGAGCTCGGAGTGCACTCCTTGATCTGGGATGAAGCGTTGAAACTTGCAGGCCAAGACCCCGACTTCCACCGCAAGGATCTCTTTGAAGCTATCTCCAACGGCGTCTTCCCCAAGTGGAAGTTTGGTGTTCAGGTTATCCCAGAGGCGGACGAACACAAGTTTGACTTTGATATCTTGGACGCTACCAAGATCTGGCCTGAAGACCTGGTTCCGACCCGCTACTTTGCCGAGCTAGAGCTGAACCGCAACCCCGAGGAGTTCTTTACGCAGGTCGAGCAGATTGCGTTCTGCACCAGCCATGTTGTCCCCGGAATCGGTTTCTCAGACGACCCTCTTCTGCAAGGCCGCAACTTCAGCTACTTTGACACCCAGATTTCTCGCCTAGGTGTCAACTTTGAAGAGCTACCCATCAACCGCCCAACGTGCCCCGTCATGAACTTCAACCGCGACGGTGCTCTTCGGCATACGATCACCCGCGGCACGGTCAACTACTGGCCTAACCGTTTCCAAGCCTGCAAGCCCGCATCCCACGCCGAAGGTGCATACGTCGAATATGCGCAAAAGGTCAATGGCATGAAGGCGCGGATCCGCAGCGACAAGTTCAAGGAGCACTTCAGCCAAGCACAATTGTTCTGGAACAGCATGTCGCCCATCGAGAAGCACCACATCATTGCTGCCTTTGGCTTCGAACTCGACCATTGCGAGGATCCCGTCGTGTTTGGCCGCATGGTCCAGCGCCTCGCGGACATCGATCTGGGCCTAGCGCAGACCGTTTCCAATCTCGTCGGTGGTGACACCCCGTCCCAGGGCCGCACCAACCATGGCCGGCGCGCACCCGCCCTCAGCCAAACCGAGTTCCCTGGTTCCACGCCTACCATTGCCTCGCGCCGCGTCGCCATAATCATCGCGGATGGCTACGACCAAGCCGCCTACGATACTGCCTACGCCGCGCTGTCGACTGCCCTCGCGGTCCCACTGGTCATTGGCACCAAGCGCAGCAAGGTTATCGGCTCCAACGGCCGCGAGACCCAGCCCCACCACCACCTCGAGGGCTTCCGCTCTACCATGGTTGACGCCATCTTCATTCCCGGCGGCGCAAAGTCCGTTCAGACCCTCGCGACCAACGGCCGTGCGCTGCACTGGATCCGCGAGGCGTTTGGCCACCTTAAGACGATCGGCGCGACGGGCGAGGCGGTGGAGCTCGTGCATAAGGCCATTGGGTTGGGACCGACGGTTACGGTATCGAGCTCGGCGGAGACACATGAGAGTTATGGTGTTGTGACATTGCGGGAGGTGAAGCCGGGTAGTTTGAAGGAGGCGGTCACGCTTGGTAAGGAGGCGAAGGGGTTTATGGAGCAGTTTTTCTACGGGATTGCGCAGCATCGCTGCTGGGAGAGGGAGTTGAGTGGGTTGAATTCGCAGGTGGCGTACTAAGTGTGGGGAGGGGATGTTGTGGGAGTGAGGCACTCGTACTGTATGTACAATATCAATCACAGAGTTGTCTAGGCGGTCGTGGGGTTACAACGCTCGATCCACCTTGCCAGAAATTGAATTCGGATATTCTACACATGGGCTCTCATGCCGATCTTTAGGATGCACATTCTCCGACAGGCATGCGATTTGCACCAGCGCGCCAGCCGCTTCGTTCCGAGCGTGCGGTTCGGGCCCCGGTTGAGACTTCAGGTGCCGAGACAACCTTGGGCGACACGCGGCAGGGAGAACAACGTTGCAAGGAATATAGTTAGATGTTGTTAGAATGTGATCAGCCCAATGGGATTCCCGGAAACCACGGTAAACGTTTCTTCAAAATTGACGAGTTTTTCAATGGCCCGAGCCCTTGTGCTGGTCTACCGGTCTGAATGTCTCAAGTTAACAAAATCCAAACCATAGGAGCTCCCCGTCTCCTGCATACGCAACCCAAAAAAGTAAAAAACGACCGCGTGGACCGGCCACGGCCCGCAAAGCAAGCCATACACAAGGGTCAGATGCCAGCCACCGTTCTTGTGCATGCAGTGAGGCTCTGCGGGCACAGGTACCCTTGTTGACGGCGGGAGTTTGGTAGGGCTGTGGGAGCAAAGGGCCCGGGTGGGATGCAAGCACTGGATTTTGGTGTATGCATGGCGTCCAATTCCTTGTCCTGGGGATTGGATCGCGTGGTTCCTTTTCCCGTGGTGAACAAAGATTGCGGCCCAAGGTCGTCTGACAAGTCACAAGAGCCTTTGTCACTGAAAGCATTCTCGCCATGAAAAGGCAGTTTTGGTGGCCATTTTGAGGGAATTGGGTCCTGAGAAGACGGCTCCGATCGCTTCGGGCCTGCGCCTTCTAAGAGCTGCATTAATACCATTCAAGAGAGGCAAGTACCTTAGGTTCCGTCTAAACTTGATCATCGGGGCCAACTACTCCTCGCTCTTTCCTTTGTTCACACTGCTTGCCGGGTGCGGGTGACCTGAACAGACCACATGTTCCCTAAGACCTACAAATGTCCTCTAAGATTCCGCTTCTCACTCCCCAACACCACGGTTCCTGTTCCCAATCCACATCGCCCGCACTCCCTATATCGGTTATCTACCTACCTACCGACCTATATCGCTATCATAGTAGCCCACCATGAGCGATCCCCAAACCATTCTGGCGCGCCTGACTGCGCTGAGGCCCCCGTTCAAGCAGATGCCCCTTACTCCGCTCGACTACACAGCGCCTCAGAACTACATCATGAAGTGTGCCATTTTTCCGTTTTCAACCTACGACCACGACCAGATAAAGCTGGCCGTAGTGCACCTCTGCACCCGACTCGGGACCCTATTTAGGAACCTCCCGTTTCTTGCCGGCAAAGTTGTCCATCCTGCAGAAGAGGGCGAGCGTCCCAGGCTCGACTACCCAGAGGACGAAACACTCCATGGCGAGAATCTTCCTGAGGGCACCTTTGCGTACGACATCCCAGACGAGGACAGGTTTCCTTGGACGTTTCAAGAACTTTCAGCCGCCGGGGTACCTGCGTATACTATGCAGAAAGACCTTTTCTGGCTCCTACCCGATGGAGTACTTTCCCCGGGAGGTTCTTATCCAGTGTTCACGCTCAAAGCGACCTTCTTTCCTGGAGGGCTGGTTCTTGGGTTTGCCTTTCACCACGGCGTCGTTGATGGGGGTGCCACCGCCAGGATCTTGGAGCTGTTCGCCAGCGACAAAGTAAGCGAGGCACTGTACAGCGTTCGCAGTTACAAAGAACAATTCGTCAAATATGCCGAGATGCTAAGCAAAGTTCACGCCAACGTTGATCCGGCTACTATCCCGGGCTACGACTTCCCCAAACCAACGGCTCCAGCCACGAGCAGTCCCAAGGCCCCGTCTTCATCCCCTAACAGCCCAAAGTCGGCCGGACGCGCAGATTCGACCGGGAACTCCGATTCCGACACGCACTCCTCACCTCCTGCGTTGTCCATCGCATTCTCGCACAGCGGCCGGTCTACGACCGGATCGCCCGCCGTGGCCGCTACCGGCCATGGAAGCCCCCAGAACCCGTCACCACCGCCCACAATGGGTCTTGACACACCGGCACCGGAGCCTGTCATCGGATGGACGCAGCCCCCGTCGCCGGTGCCGGCTATCGCCAAGATATTCGCCATTGGGGCAGGAACACTCAGGACCCTTCACTTCAAAGTGATTCGCGAGCTTCAGAGACTTTACGGCCTGGAGCCTACACTGGGTGTTTCGCGTACCGACGTCCTTTGCGCTCTGGTTTGGATCTACGTCATGCGCGCTCGTGCGCACAATGGCAGGGTTGAAGCCACTGATTTGACACGGTTTGCAACCGCTGTTGATGTGCGCAGGAGACTGCCCGCTGACGATATCCTGGGCCCATATCCACAATCGTACCTCGGGAACATGTTTCTGAGAGCCTTGGCAGATATGTCAGTAGGCGCCATGATCGATTGGGCGCCCGATGATTCGGCTGAGGATCAGAAGCCCTCGGAAGGAATTCAGCCCACCGTTGTTGAGCCCAGTAAAGAGAACCGCAAACTTCGCAAAGTCAGGCCAGCGCAGCTCGTAGACGCCGCGATGGCAATTCGTGCCGCCTTGAAGAAGCTATGCGAGCGGGATACTCTTGAGAAACACATTGCCCTTGCCACGCAAGCGACAACCGACGACGACCCGGTAGCTGTGAAAGATGACGATCAGCAGCAGCCCCCACGCGACAAGATCACCTGGCCTGAAGTCGACGCAGCCGTCCGTCGTGCCATTGCCCGCCACCGTACCGGGTTGGATGCTTCTGTGGGTGTGACGCTGGGCGCGGACGTGGAATATACCATCCCCGGGGTCTGTGGTGGTAAGCCGACCAAACCATCCTGGATGAGACGGGCATATGTGGCGTTTGATGGAGCCATGACCATCTTGCCGAGGCAAGGGGGGATAAAGGGCGATGCAGATTGGGAGGTGTGGCTGGCTCTCCGACGCGAAGATATGGAACTTATCCAGAAGGAGAAGGAGCTGGGCGGTTGGCTGTGCCGCGAGGCTCTGTAGAAGAGTCCGGCTTTCACGATGGAGAACGGACCGAGACGGAAGGTTGGGGATGAGGATTTGCTCGAGACCAGACTTTGAGGTAATGGACAGCGGAGTGGAGGGGATGGAACAGAATCAGAAAGCAATCCACCAGCGAATGGCCTTAGACACATTGCCAACGCCATGCATGGATAGCGAGAAATTTTATGGGAATGCGAAGCTCCAGATACGACTGCAGATATATAAAGGTGAGGTGACAAGCAGAGATTCGCGATTAATTTCCAAGTAATTAGCGGTAACCGGTGCAGTGGCCCTTCCACTGTGACGCTCTCTCTGCTGTTGGACTCTCAGGTAACCTCGATGAGAATTGCTTACCATCAATGTAGAGGCGCCTAAAGAGCCTCAGAAACCATAACCAGAATACAAGCAAAACAATAATAAATATCCCACGCTTCGCCAACCTTACCAACCAACACAAAATCACTCCGCCGTTCACAACCCCCCCCCCCTTTCGTCAACAACGACAGGAACACGACAGAAGGACCCCACACCACCCTTGCCGAATTGCCAAAGAGTCATGAACGGACGACATCTCATTCACCCCCCGACAACGGCGTCGGCATCGCACACCGCCTCCAGACAAAAGTCCAGGCTATGGTGGATGCGTTGACGTGGCCCCAGGTGGTCGGGACGGGGATGGCGAAGCTGGTTGTTATGGAGGAGGAGGGGACGAGAGTCGTGGATGCGGTGGATTCTGAAGTCGGCTCCGAGGTCGATTCTGATGATGAAGGGGACTCGAGCGAGGTGGAGGACTATGAGATGGAAGACTCTAAGGAGGATGAGGGTGTGTGGGAAGGGCTGCAGCCGTGATGATGGTAGTGGTGTGAGCTGGTGCTGGATAATGAGGGGGCAGTTGTTGCGGAGCTGGAAGATGGGAGACAGGACCAGACTGTAATTTCGTCGCTGACGATTGGGGTGATGAGGGAGAGGAGGGCTGCTGTCAAGAGCAGAGGGTGTTGAAATGGTTTCATTTTGTGTTTTTTTCGGCTTCTTTTTGTTGGTCGCGTAATGTGACGATTCGAAGCGTAAGTGAAAGCTTGCGATTCAGGTGCTGGTGTTGGTTTCTCTCGAAAAATGACATTGCCCAAAAAGTAGTGAAATTGACAGCAGAGCGCAGCTACTTTATCCATCGTTGTAGGGGGTACAGATCACGATGTCTAAATTTAGCATGCAAGACCGAAGGAGCAGAGGTCACATCAGGGTAAAGTGTTGCAATATCTACCCGTGCATCGCGATCTGGAAAAGCTGGTAGCGACGGTGAGAATACCCGGTTGGGGCCATGTCAAAGTCGACAGGGCACCAATAACCCGGAAACTGGAGATCCGTCTTTGCGGTTGACAATACGGATAATATGTGTTACTTTACAATAGTTATTGATTCTGCGCCGTGGATTTGGTCGACTGTTAATAACCATTGTCATCGTGGAATGGCGATTATGAGGGTCGTACCGGTGACAATTCAATGCTCCGTGTGGCTCTGGGATATTATTAGTTCAGATGTAATAATTAGAGAAGAAAGAGAAGAGAAAAGCGGGTATGAATGCTCAAACTGCGTTCTCGAGACGGTGCTTTACCTCCGGTCTACCCTTTCCCCATTGTTTTTCCCTCTGTCTTTTATGTTTTGCGCCGTTCAAAGTACCAGAATAGGAACCTGAGTGGTTAGGCTGAGCGGCGTTAATCGTTTGGATGATGCACCCGAAACGTTCCAAGTCGAAGCCCATGTTGAATGAAGTACAGGGGCGAACCGAGTATTATCTACGATGAAGTTTTTTATTTTATCTTGTTATTGTTACTAGACAATGCAGGATTTATATAATTAGAAATATCGGGTTAGGAACCCGAAGCCACATTTCTCGCCCTCCTTAGGGGAACCTCCAAAGTGCCTCGTCTCAGCCCAACTCCCTTATCAATCGACAGTCAGCAAGGTAAAACATACCACCTGAAGCGCCTCGCAGTTCAACTTCGGACTTTAGGAATATTCAGCCTCCCCGTCAATGCCCAACGCAAACGAAAGCGAGGTGGAATCCAATAGTGCATAGCCCTTTTGGGCTAGCTGAAGCGAGAAGCCTTTGCCAAGACGGTCTCGACGACGCCACCATCGTGGAAGCTTTCCTGTTGGCTTCAGCAACGAATGAGGTGCGGGATATCGTGTAATGCGGCTGAAAGAAATGCATTTCGGCGAAAGCGTGATACGTTCTTCTGTGTTGGTAGAAAAGGGGTCCTCGTGCCCGGGACGTTGGAAAACATGGCGAGTTCTGACGCGCTTGTTTGACCTCCTTTCATCGTCGCAGCTCACGACATCCCAACTCAAAGACTGAAAATATTCTCGCCCTGATCATGCGTTCGCATATCATTCTCGCGGGCATGGCTAGCCTCATGGTTCCAATGGCTGTAAGTAACTTATACAACCAACAAACCTCCCTTTTTACACCCCCAACTAACAACCGCTCCCAACCCCATTAGTCCGCATCCACAACCTGCACATCCTCCAACGCAACTCCCATCGAGAAATACATCAGCGACAACGGCGGCGGCGGCAGCGGCGGAGGCGGAGGAGGAGGAGGCGGTTTCGACGTCTTCCTCTCCTACGACCCCTTCGCCGTCCTCAGCAACGCCGTCAAACACAAGCGCGCAGCCACTACCCCCGACGCCCGTCTTGCCAACGTCGCTAACATCATCCTCGCCCCGCGCGACGACGGCACCGGCGCGTCCGCGACTTGTGCAGACACAGAGATTTGTCTGTCGGTGCAGACCTCGCCGTTCTGTTTGGACGTGACGAATGGGGATTTCCATGATGGCCAGGGGACCACGGGCAATGCGTTGAGTGGGGATTATACCCTCGGCGACGGACGCAAGGGGAATTTGTACAGGGGTCCGTATCCGCAACCTACTGCTGCTGGAGGAGGTGGTTCAGCTGCGGCGCAGACGACGGCTGTTTCCGGGGGAGATGACAGTGGGGATGGAAGCGGGAATGTGAGTGAGACTGCTGTGCCTACGCCTACCCCTACGCCTGGGACGGGAGCGGGAACGGGAGGAACCGGTGGCGGTGGTGCTTCTGCGACGCAGACGGGTGTGGCACCGGCGGCTACGACGACCAAGCCGAATGCGGGAGTGAGTGGGCAGGTGGATAGGATGGTAATGGGGGGTGCTGCTGCGCTGTTGGGGGTGCTTCTGGTGTAGAGTGGAGGGTTAAGCTCCCCCTTACTCATAATACTACAGGTGGCATAATTACGTCAATAGGGGGTGGGTTTGCGTAGACATCAATATCAAACTAATTCTCATTGTGCTGCGGTTTAATTATACCCGGCCACTGTCAAGTACAGTTCGTGGTTACCTCTTCCTAAACGTCCTCCACAAACTCCGCAAAATCTATGCTGACTTAGTAGCTGACTTGCTTGCCGACTTGCTTGATGATTTGCTAGACGACTTGCTAGCCGACTTCGTCGTCGATGCGCTCCCAGACTTTGTCGAAGCCGCTGTTGTAGAAGCCGGCGGCTTGGGCGTCCCGCTCGAGATGGTCGTGTGCGGCCCCGAGATACCGATACAGTACCAGTTGTTCGCCCAGAGGCCGGTACAATCCTTGCCCATGTCGCCGTTCCATGCGTAAAAGTCCCTGTTGATGTGTTAGCCGTCTTGCCTAACATTACTACGGAAAGAAAGTTCACTTACTCAACGGAAATCCCCGCAGCATCCGCCAAATCTTGACAAAACATGTCCGCCGCATCCTTACCCCGGTAAAAGAACCGCACACACCCCTCAACCATATCCGGCATATGCGGCGTCGGCGTCGACACCGGCTCGCCCGTTGTGGTGGTAGCCGGCGGTTTAGTCGTCTCCGTCCCAGTCTTCGTAGTGGTCTTCGTCGTCTTCGTCGAACCACCACCACCGCCATTCCCATCACCAGGAACGGTGACCGTCGAAGTCGGCTTTACCACGGGTTTGGTCGACACACAAACATAGTAATTCACCTCGAGCCCCTTACAGTCATCACCCAGCGCCGGGTTCCACGCGTGGAAGTCCTCAGACGAGAGATGCGTTGCGCGCTGGATAGAATCGCAGCTGTCTGAGGGCGAGACGAGCCAGTAACGGGTGCACTTGGGGTTGATGCCGGATTGCGTAGGCCGGGAACCTGTGGGGGTTGGGGGTACAGTGGCGGTACGGGTCGTGGGCGTGCCCGGGACGGCGACGCAGTAGAAGGTGTTTTCAACGATGGTGCTGCAGTCTGGGGAGACGGAGGGGTTCCAGGTGATGAAGTCTGGTGTTAATGTTTTTGTTAGTGGTGTGATGCAGGTACCTAAGTATGCGAGAAAAAAGGGGCAATGTAAGTAATAAGAGTTAATACGCACCGTCTTCAGAAAAGGTCCCAAAAGTGATGGAAATGGTCGCGCAGTTATCGCTGCCCACTGCTTGATACCATGCCTTGCATTCTGACGTCGTGCCCGACGCCGTGGGTGAAGCGCCGGACGTCAGCGTGGCTGGCATGGGCGCTTTGCCGGCCTCAAAGTTTGCCACGCAGTAATACATGCCCGATTGGAGACTGTCACAGTTGCCCTTGAGCGCAGGGTTCCAATCGAAGAATTGGTCTTTGTTGATGTAGTTGTAGATACCTAGCACGGTTTTGCAAGTGTCTCCCTATATTAATTGTATCAATTACATGTTCTCCTGTCCTCGAGCTCATTAACAACGACAAAAGGAAGGACACGTACGTTCTGAGCGAGATAAAAGTTCCCACAGCTGTCAGGGATACCGGACTGGTGCGGCTCAGCAGTGAAGTTCTGCACAAACGTGGCCGGAGGCGGGTTGAACTCCGTTGGCGCAGGAATCGAGGCATTGGTAGCACTCGTGGACCAGCCAATGCTCGAGGAGGTCTTGGACTGCGTGCCAACGCAGACATACCACCCCACGAAGAGGCCGCTGCAGTCATCACCCACGGATGGGTTGTATTCATGGCTGGCGCAAAGGTTAGCAACTTGTAATTAAGAGAAGAGAACAGTAGAAAAGACTACTCACAACTGCTCCGCAGTGAGACGAGTGCTGTAAAGATTAACGATGCTCTGACAACTATCTCCGATACTGACCCAGTGCCAGCGGTTGCAGTTAGGCGGCTGACCGGGCTTGGTGTGCTCGGGTGGGAAAGCAGTCGCCGTCTTTCCAGGCGTGTTGCTGTATGAAGTGACGGGATTCCGCGTAGAATATGGAGGTGTCGATGTGGGCACTGTCTTGGTGCTGCTAGTTTTGGTGGAAGTTTTGGAGGAAGTTTTGGACGTGCTCTTCGTGGTAGAAGTGCTCGTGGGATGCGCATCTTTGTCAATCCCAACCTGTAGCGATGGTCAGATGACTGGAGTAGTTTGAAACGCCTGGGTGGTGAAAGTGAAAAGTGAAGAGGGGGCAACATACACAATATGAATACTTCACCCAAAAGTTCTTGGTGCATTTCTTGTCGACTGCTGGGTTCCATTTGAGAAACTCGGCGGAGGTGATTTTATACTTCTTTTCCACGGACGGACAGTCATCACCCTTCGCAACGACATGCCACTTGTTGCAGTTGGCCGCAATGCCCTTCACCGTCTCCGTCGGAGCTCCGACCCGCACGCAGTACGAGTATTCGGCCTTCCAGTTGGTTTTGCAGTCCTTGGAGACCGACGGGTTCCAGTGCAAAAAGTCGGTGTTTGTGATGTTGTACTTCTTCTCGACGCTCTTGCATGTCTCGCCTGACTTCACGGTATGCCATCCGCTGCAGTCCCATGCATCGTTTGAGAACGTCTTGCCCCCAGGCGAGGTTTCCTGCGCCGCGACGGGGCCAGGGAGTATGAGTAAGAGCAATAAAGCTGAGATAAATGTGGCCATCATGGCCCTGAATTGGGACGCCATTTTGACTTGGACCCAGTTTGAGGAGGCTAAAACAATCTGTTAATGACCGGAGTGTGTACGGCCTGGGTTGGCTAACTCCCGCTGGAGGGTGACTTACACAAACACGGCTAAAGAACAATCTCTGGTGTTGTTGCTCAGATGCTAAAGGCCGGACGACAACGATGGGCCATGGGCCAGGAGGAAATAGAGCCAACGCTGAAATTCCTTCCTTGGAGAGGCGTGTCGTGGGACCAGCGGCAGTACCAGGTCAACACTGCTGCTGCATCACAATCAAGAATTATCGTGCCAAGTGTAAGCCGAGCAAAGGGAGGTCAAGGTGACGTTACTGTAGTGTAGGGCTTCCTGTTACTTGATCATTACCGAGGCTTGATCCTTCAACATCCGTCTGATCCCACGATCGACATGGACAACAAATACGAACCGGATCGTCGTTTAACTGCCATATTTATTGGTAGGACAAGGCGATTGGACATAGCCCGACTCCCTATGCCGGATAGTTGAATTCTTCAATCACCGCCTGTCCGTACTGTCGGTCCGTTTGCCGCGCCTCGCGGGTCACGTTCCCGTTGAAGGCCAGGCACAGCCGGTACGCAGCCCTACGGCATCCCAAGTGGTCGGGAAGTGGGCAGAGACCCCTGAGCCCCTATTAGTGGGCCCCACTGCACGGTACTTGATAAATTAAGCTTATTGGCTTCGTGACACCACATCCTTTTGCATTTGTGCATCCCCAAGTTGTCGGGACTGTGATTGATTTGCCAGGCTTCCATTGGAATCGGGAATGTCGGATGGGCTGTGCTTCCCGCTGGAATCCTTCTCCGGGTGTTGTGTGTGTGGGGTTTTTGACCTCACGGATTCGCTGTTGATCTTTGCCTGCATCGGGTTATTCTGGCACAGTTTGCGGAAGGATTACAAGGACGCGGGGAAGATGGTCGGGTTGTGATTACTAGAGTACCTTGGTATTGACCTATCAGAAACATCATTACCCTGCGTGGCAACAGTGGTTCGTCTGATGAAGAGAAAAAAATAAGGGGCCCGATCGGCGATGCCGCGCCGCCCATCTGAATGCCCTACTGAAGATCAGGACGGCATGAAGCCCTAGGAAGGGATGACAGCCTTGAGGATGGATCACGGGAAGCTCCTCCCACATTCCGGGCCACTTCAGGTGTAACTGTAGCCCCCCTTGTGAGACTCTGTGACCTCAGCAACGATTGTTAGGCTCACCGCATTATAGCCAGCCGTGCATCCTTCACAGAAGGCCATCCCTTGGCGATAATGCCAAGCCAACGTCATGGGGGGGGGGAAGCATTCGTTATATCGGGGTATTGAGATATGGGGGCGTTCCTGATATCCAGCCATGTCGACGGGAATGTCTTCTTCCCAGTGGCCTCCCGGTAATCAGGTCCATCCCTCTCGAGGTCTGGTCAGTCAGGTTGTGCTGTACCTCCTTTACCTCCCTCCCGACTGGCAACGGACGCAACTAAGACCAAGCTTTGTTTTGTTCCCCTTGATTCTTGTCACCCAGGATTGATTCATCCTGCATGCTTTACACCACCATGAAGACACCCCTTCTTGCCCTTGCGTGGCTTCACTGCCTCTGGCCGGGAGTGGACGCATCCGTCTTCCGGGTCGCCAACCCCAACGTCACAAGTGCTCTGAACCCCAAGGTGCGCCCACGAGACGACGACCCAAGTGACTTTGGCTGGGTGAAACGGTGGGCGGCCGTGGGCGACAGTTTTACGGCAGGCATCGGTTCCGGTTCACCCATCGGCAACCCTCTCACGGAGAGTCCGTACCAAAATGACTGGTACTGTGCTCGGTACGACACCTCGTACCCCATGATCATGAACGATGCCCTTGGGAGCTCGGTGGAGGACTTTCAATTCCTTGCTTGCAGTGGCGACAGGACCGGGGGCATTTACAAGCAGATTGAGGAGCTGGAGGGAGAGTTAGACCTGGTGGTCATGACTGCGGGAGGAAACGACTTATGCCTGGTAAGTAAGCCTATGTTGGTATGATTCATAATTATGTCTTATCTAACCGTAAACCAGGCATCCATGATTGAAACCTGCGTTTTCCGTGCATTTGACGGGGAGGATGCCTGCACCGATGTTATCTCCATCGCGCAAAACAACTTGGACAAAATTCTCAAGGGGAATCTTGAGCTGTTGCTTGACGCGCTAGAGGACAAGATGAATGACGACAGCGTTGTAGTTTTCAACGGCTACGCCCAGTTTGTAAGTTTTAATCTCTATTGCACACACACAGCCAGTGTTGCTTTTCAACACCCGGACGGCATGTAGCTAACATAGCTTAGTTCAACACGGAGAATGAGGACTGCGCCGATAACCAAGACTGGACATTGTTTAACTTGCTGAACAAAGATGCGCTTAAACTTACCGTCAAGCGCCGAAAGACGTTCAACGACTTGGTCGTCCAGATCAACGACATCATCAAGGAGGTTGTGGATGATGCCAAGGACAAGTACAAGTACAAGATAGGCTTCTCCAACTGGGACCTGTGGCCGAGAGAAGGGGTCGACGGTCAGTTCTGCGACCCAGCATCGACGGGAGAATACCCGGACCCGGACCAACCGGAGTTGCAATTCTTCAAGCCCGACACCAGAATCGATCTCACGGGCGAGTTAAGAAAGCGAGACGGCACGCTCGAAAGGATGTACAGCAATGAGACGCTGTGGAACATCGAGCGCGAGAATCGCGACCGCTCGGCCAGGGTCAAAAGAAACATCTACAACTCGCTCCTCATGCACTCGCCCAACCCCCAAGCCGAAGCGCGCCACCTCCTCCAGAACCGCGCCGACAAACCTAGCCGTGCGAACTGCCCGGATGACGAAGACGTCGATATCCAGCCCGCCAGCATCGGCCTGCCCAACTCTATCGCTAAGAACTTCCACCCCAACGAGCTCGGCCACTACACCATCGCCTCCTGGGCGCTGCAGACCGTGATCGACCTCCGCGCCGAGGTCCTCGACGTGCCCCCGCCCAGCTGCGAGCCTGTTGACAAGTTCACGTGCTGGCAAGACACCGATTGGAAGGGTTACGCGAACGAGCCCTTCCTCAACGACCAGTATGAGGACTTCTGTGACGACGTCGAGACCGGCGACGAATTCGACGGGTGGACCTACGACGACACCTTCGCCGAGGACACCCCCGACGAGACGCAGTTCAAGGTGACGCTCGAAAAGGACGGTGCGGGCAGCGCCGAGTACAGCAAGGCGGAGTGCAAGGACAGCATGTCGCGCATTATCAACGGGTGCGACGGGAACGACCCAGACAACCCGATGGACTGGAAGTTTGGCGGTGAGTGGAAGCGCGGCCGGTTCACGTACCAGGTCAACCCGCAGCGGGAGAATCGGCCGTGGCCGCCGCCGAAGGAGACCTCGGGCAATTGCAAGGGGTGGTACCACGGTGTCTGGAGCAGCTATGTGATCAAAGGCCAGGGGTGGGCGACCAATGACTGGGGCCAGGATACCCTGGAGCCCGCGGCAAGCGACTGTATTGGCGGTGGCCTGACGCTGTGGCGGTTCAAGTACTTTGATGAGCCTGATGAAGATGGGATGGAGTGGCAGGCTGACTTTAACACGCCCATTTGGGTGCGCTCTCGGTGCTTCAAGAACAACAAGGCGGTTAAGGAGGCTGGTGGGTACACGGATGGTTGTGGCGGCAATGATTAAGATGTTCAGCTATAGTTGGCACAGCTATAGTTGATAGAGGGACGGTGTGCTTTGTGTCATTTCGTTGGGTATGAAACAGTTCATGGTTGTTAGGAATGGTGGTAGTTGGCAATGGTGACTTAATGATTTGTTTGATCAATATGAAAATGAGGTCCGTTAATCTCGTTGGCAATTACCGTTGAACTTTGAAATGGGTGGAAAGGAGAATACGTAAGCAGACGATGAAAAGCACACGTAATTAATTAATTAGTTGAGCAGCGGGACAGGATTTAAATTACATTTGTGTTGTCTTGGTGTCAAAAAAAAAAAAAAAAAAAAAAACATGCATGATGAAACATTGCAAAGAGGGAACAGGTTAAGAATCACTTATATTAATTACTTTAAACAAGGCTAACAGCGTGCGAATTTACCTATTTTTGAAAACCAAGCAAATTAACTAGCCTTATCGAATAAAACTACCTATCGTTCCCTTACTACTTCGTTTACTGTGTGAATGTGGAAAGAAAGCAAAAAATGATAAGAAATGCAAAAAGCTCACTACCAAGCCCTATCCCCATCCGAAGGGATATTAGCGGTTGGTAGCTGCGAAAATCTTCCGGTGAAGATTTAACTTCGCTAGCCCTGGAAATAGAACCCAGAGCCATTTCGATTTACGACGGTAATTAGTGAAAGTGCTCCTCCCAATACTGCACCAAACACCGCTGTTTGGTGTATTATGAGGGGCCGATGACAGGAGGAAGGAGAAACAGAGTTATAATTATGGTGTGGTTGTGGGCTCGGGCCGGAAGGAAGGTACGGAAGGAGGTTATGGGAAGGGAGCTTGCATTCTTTGACCGCCTCCATCCCCGACTCCTTCAAAACAATGTCTCTCGTCTCCACTGTGAACTGACATACACCCAACTACAGGCAGGCTGAACCACCGCTATTGCCCTGGCTCTTAGGGTATATCTTCTTGAACCCCTCGGTCACCTTCCCGCCCGCCTTCTGCAGCAAGTCTTTCGTGACCGCACTCTTACTGCGACCGTACAGCTTATGCATGGCCGCAATGTCGCGCTGGGTAGGGCCCTCGCTGATCTTAATTGGGTCGCCGTTGTGGTCAAGCAAGATTGGCAGACGCTGGTCATTGCCGGGACTCGCATCGCCTCGGCCGCCGGCGCCCGAAGGGTCTACGTAATTAGATAATGTCAGTTCACGGATTCTTCCCACAAAGTTTTTTCTTATTTATTTTTTTGTTTTCTTTTTTTTTGGGGGGGGGGGGGATGAACCCAGTTACCGGGTTTGGAGTAATTACTTACAAATCATGATCGAGCCCCAGTCGACACTCTCCCCGTCCATGCCCTCGGTGTCCGCCGAGCCCACGTCCTTGGGCATCGGGAGATAGTCACCAGCGCTGAAGTCGGAATTGCTCGCATAAACTTGGTCCTTGCACAGCAAATCGCCCGTTACCCTGTCGCCAGCCGGCTTGCCCGGGTTCTGCACGATGAGTCCGCGGTGGACTTTGACCTCATAGTCCTTCAAGTTCTCACAGCGCCAGTTGCCGTCGTTTTCCGGGCCGAACACCGTGCCCCCGCGGCCGTTGACGATACTTGGCTTGCTCCAAAACGCCGGGTTCTGATGCTCGTGATACAGGCCCCAGGCGTGACCGATCTCGTGGGCAAAGTTCTTCTGCTGGTCCAGCATGCCCATGCTGGTGCTGGTGGTGAGGATCATCCGGGCGCGGGCCTCGGGGTTTTTCGTCTCGCGATACGGGGAATCCTCCCTGGGGAGGCCCGCGAATGTCGCCATTCCGCCGTTGTCGCCGCTCCAGTAAATCATCAGCGTGTCCCAGCGCTTCTCCCTGCATTCATCGCGGTCGATCTGGACCATGGTGAACTCGCTGCCGAGTCCCACGTTTCGCCATATATCCAGGCCGGCGCGGAGAATTGTCTCCAGGGCATCTTGTGCCTCGTCATTCTCGTAGCAGTAGCGAATCTTGCGGTTGGGCCACGGCATCCGGTCGCCTTCGGTGCGGTCCGTGTTAATGACGTAGGACCGCTTGCCCACGGCTGCGGTTGCGGGTTTGGCGGGCTGCCAGGACCGGCCGCTCGCCAGGGCAAACCCGGCATTGAGTGCGGCACCGACCAGACATGCAAATGATACCTTCATGATGGTGGTTTTAAAAAATGTTGGGTAGTTAATCACAAGATGGCAAACAAGAAGTTGAAAAAAGGCTGGGACAATCACAAAATAGGACAAAATGGGAGTGTGTCAACAGCCGACTATGCAATAAGCACAACTTGAGACCAACTCCTCTCAGGTCCGCGGGGTGCCAAAGGGGGGATCTCGAGGTATCTGAGCCCAGGGAAGAGACAGACAATCCATTGCAAAAGATCTTCATACGAAGTACGCCAGGGGGATGCCTTGCTGGGCTGTAGATGCATCTAACAAGGGCAGGATGAAAGTCGGATAACTCACCCGTCAGGCAGGTCGTTCGCGTATATGCATATCCCGCCCCGCACAGGCATTCGCCGATCCTCCCGTCTGACCTGCATCGCAATCCTTTTGCCGGGAAGTGGGAAACGCCGGGAAGCAGGACATGTAACATTGGACGGCCTTGACGGGCTGCGCCCACCAAAAACCGGGTCCCCATACCCCCATCTCCGTATCATTGAGCCTATTATACCGACTGCCAAGTACTTTCAACAACGTATCAACAGACATCTGGACGGTCCTGGCAACGGACCTGCAACGTTTGGATCCCACGATCCTAATCCTTCTCAGCTTACCGTGTTCGTTGAAATTTCATGACGGAAAAAAAATCTTTTTCTCACGCACGGGATGCAGCCCTGACGATCGTGACGTAAATGCCACCGAGAGTTGGCTGACCGCTGTCCAACTTGTACTTCCTAAAGTGGAAATATCGGGTACTGGGATCATCATCCCAAGACAACGACCGCTCCTGGTCAGATACCGCAAAGAAGTTTGTCTGTTCCGTATCTATCCAACACCCCTATTACTTCCAGCGGGACTTTGCTGCTCGTGAGCTCTTCCAGATCGTAGCCTGTAGGGACGAGTTGTGATCCCCTCAAACACCGAACAAACGCCCTTCCCCCTTCCACTTGATTCACACACGCACATTCCACCATCCTTGTTGTATCCTTCCCAGGCTGCGCGTCGGAGCCGTCACAGACACTCCGTAGCCACCATGAAAGTTCTCGGGTGTCTTGTGTTGTTCGCGGGTGTTGTGACAGCAGCAATGAGTGCAGAGGCCGCGGAGAGGCACCGTAAGGGCTTCGGAGCGCAGGCCGATGCAAGCAGACACTGGATGACGGCGCAAGACGACACACCGGAGAAGTACACATGCACCAAGACCAAAAAATGCGAGATCGGATGTTGCGGGGAATTGTAAGTGGTCCAAGACAAGTTCCCAAATTCCAACGAACTATGCGCGACACTAACATGCTCAAAGAGATAAAAACGGCGACGGAGTCTGCGGCCTAGGGCCGGACTACTGCGGCGACAAATGTACCTCCACTTGCAATTACAAGAGCGAGTGCGATCCGGGTTGGGGCATGAAATGGTCCAACGCGTCGGCCTGTCCGCTGAACGTGTGCTGCAGCGAGTTCGGCTTCTGCGGCACCACACCGGACTTTTGTGCCGGTGAGGTGGTGTCCTCGCCCCAGTGTGATCCGGCCAAGAACAGCTCCAATGCCCGGACCATCGGTTACTACGAGGGCTGGAACTGGCAGAGGCCATGCGGCACCATGACCCCCAATAAGATCCCGCTCGGGTACTACAGCCACATCTTCTTTTCCTTCTCGCTGGTCAACCCCAAGACCTTCCGGTTGGAACCCATGGACGACAAAACGGGCACGTTGTACGGCGCCGTGTCGAACCTGAAATCACGGCAGCCAGATCTCCAAGTGTGGCTCGCGGTCGGAGGCTGGGCCATGAACGACCCGGGCCCGTATCGGACCACGTTCTCCGACCTGGCCGCTTCGGAAGACGCCCAGGATGAATTCTTCGAGTCGCTCGCCTCGTTCATGATGAAGAACAACTATGACGGCGTGGACATTGACTGGGAGTATCCCATGGCTGACGACCGTGGCGGTATTGAAGCCGATTTCAAGAACTTTGTCAAGTTTTTGAAGCGGCTGCGCTCTCGGCTCAACCAGATCGGCACCCCCAAGGGCCTATCCATCACCCTCCCCGCATCATATTGGTATTTGAAGGGGTTCGATATTGTCGGCCTTGAGCCGTATGTGGACTTTTACAACGTAATGACATATGATATACGTGAGTAGTCCCCCCTTTTCCCTCTGTCCCTTCAGGAAGACAACGAGATCACCATTGGAAAACATGCGGCTAACACACACACCTTGAAGATGGCGTCTGGGACTCAAAAGTCAATTCCCTCGGGCCATACGCCCGCGCTCACACCAACCTGACGGAAATCGAGGAAGCGCTCAAGCTGCTCTGGCGCAACAACATCAACCCGGAGCGTGTCAACCTCGGCATCGGGTTCTACGGCCGCAGCTTCACCATGAAGGACTCCAAATGCATGGAAGCCGGCTGCGAGTTTGAGAAGGGCGGCAGCGGCGGCGACTGTACCGGTACGCCCGGTGTGCTCTCTGCTCACGAGATCACCCAAATCATCAAGAACGGCGCCAAGGTGACGCTCGACAAAGAGGCCGCCGTCGAGATTGTCACCTGGGACGACAACCAGTGGGTGTCGTGGGACAACACCGAGACGTTGGCGATGAAGGTCAAGTATGCGAACGAGCGGTGCCTCGGCGGCGTGATGGCGTGGGCCGTCGACCTCGATGATGGGACACTGATCAAGTCGCTGGCGGGCACGGGTAGGGACACTCACAATTATGTGACCGGCGAGCGGTGGTTGCAGGGGTGTTTCGGGTCTGAGCTGCCGGCATGGTCCCACTTCAATGACACGGATGCAGATGAAGGCAAGTAAGGCCCTCCCTGATCACTGTTGTAAGGGAGTGTGTTGTCTCGAGAGAATGGAAAGGTCTACTTGTTGCGGCATGTTAGTGACAGTTAATTACGTGTTTTGGAAAAAACAACTTATTTTGTTACCAAGATTTCCCATTTTCTTCGAGAATTGAAAATGTCTGTCATCCCTTTAATTTTCCTGTAGGGAGCTCGTCACGTTGCAAGCCCAACTCCCAGCCCCCAGAGATTGTACAACCAATACTGTGACCCAAGCACCTCAAAATCGTCCCACCCCCAACACAGCCAATATCCGCCGGCCCCTTCCTCGAGGCCAAGAGGCTTCCACACTTTCTCCCTCCAACCGACCTGCTCCACACTCCCTGGTTCCCCTGTCTCGCTTCCCACCTTGACCTTCTCTACAACCCTCCGTCCTTTCAAGCCTTCTTCCATCTCACCTTCTGTCCATCGTTGGGCAAAGACCTTCCACCCGCCCTGCTGTATCGCAAGGCTAAATTCCTTACCCGGAGCAGGACCCAACGTTCGGAAAACATCCTCGATCGGATGAATGAAGAGCGTTTCGACCGCGCCCCGAATATCAGGTCCACCGTTCCCATCTGGCGGCGGAAGATAGGCTTGCATGCTGATGTATAGCCGGCGAAGGTGAGGGAATGTGGTGGGGATGAGGTCGCAGAGCCGGTGGAACTTGGTAGGCTCGATAACTGACTCTGACGTGGGCGGTGTACCGATGTGGCGGTCCCAAATGGATGTCATGGTTGAGTCGTGGAGACGGGAGGGGTCGGCAAAGGTCCAGAGGAGCTCGAGGGAGGTAATGGTGGGGAGGTACCGGGGGGGTAGCAGTTGCGGGAGGTCGAGGAGGAGTGGGAGGCTGGAGATGTGGAAGGTGTTGGTCCGGAACAGGACGTCCATGCCATCCAGGTAACTAACGAACGTTTGGTTAGATATAATCTTTGCAGTAACATCTAGCGTCTCTGGTACTCTGTTTATACTCGCATTGATTAAACACATCCAGCTCGTAACGGTCCGAAACGGCCCGGAACGGCCCGAAATAGTCTGCCTCGGACCGATCGGACGAGCCGTACTAGGTACGAACAAGGTACCCGGGACATGAGGGCCTGAAGAAAGAAGAGGACCCCCATCTAAAGGAAGGGTCAGTTCAACTTACGCTTGCCGAGAGGCCAACAACCACCCGAAAACGCCTAGGAGGCACTCATCATGGGAAGATCGGTCGGGGGACTTGCATTCGCAAAATGCGGCAGAAGGCGGCCGGTACCCGCTTCGATGCCCAACACCACTCGGAATGCAAGCGTCTTCCCAAGCTTCAACCGCGTGCCCATTCACAACCGATTCATTGTCGTCCTTGGGCCGTATAACTCTGCGATGACACACACAACTGAACCACTGCCACTGCTGGGGCCGTCGGTCGTTGCGAACGATGCCGCCTCGGAGGCTGTTGGTGGCCCCACTTGATTTACGAGCTGGGAGCTGTTTGCGAGTAAACGGGTAGCCGAATTCCAGGTGGATGTGTATAGTCCGGTTGCCAAAGGCGTAGCCTAAAATCTGCTGCCGCAATTCCACTGGGAGCTTTTGAAACAGGCCGTAATTGGATGCCAAGTCTCCGTTTGGTGCTGAAATGTTGGGCCATTCTGTCCGAAACGGCGGGGCCGGTGGGGGATGCTCGCAGTTCTGCTTCTTTCTAGGGAACATTTTGCGCTTGATCCATTTTTTCAGGGAATTCGGCATGGCGAATTGGTGGCAGTAACGTACCTATTTCATGTGCTTATTCGAGGGGACGATATTCTGCCCATTGGGCTGTGAGAGGGAAGATGAAAGCCAGAAATCGGGGTGGGCGGCTGGCGCATTAATACCTGAGCGTGCTGTATGAAGGGTACATACCAGGTACTGTACATACATACATGTCCCAGCTTACCTACTTATTTTAGTGGGCGATACTTAGGGGATCAGCGCCCCATTACCGCCACCGGTTAGGTACCTACCCTCAGCTCAGTGCCCGATGTCAGATTCTCCGCACCCCACCAGCGGATGGGTCGTCACTTCCGTAGTCACTCCGTATTGGGAAAGGTTTTCAGCTCGCACTGAAGGCTCATTGAAAATTAATTACTTACATTGGATGTGTATTTTCCCCGTGTAGTCGTGGCTTGAGTATCAACAATCTGACATTTGAACCGATCAGAGCATTTTATCCTCTTGCCGTTGTTTAGCATGTTACGAGCGTGCGGTTCTAGCCGGTGGTGCTTTCTCAAATTTGTGAGACGCCCTCAAGAGTGTGAAACTTGGAGGTTGATAACTTTGATCGTAGAATCTCAAACATTTTGGTTTCTAAAACTTCTGATTGGAGCCTTCGGCACCCGATAGTGCTATCAAAAAATGCGTAAATATTCTCATCGGTAATTTCCTAGTAAATCGGTAATAAAATTGCCTACCTTCGCCTACCATCACTCCGTCCTGCCGCTCATTTCCCCAAAGCGTGCCGCTCAAAAAAGCTGTTTCCGTTTGTGCTCTGGCCCTGAATCTCAACTCACTCACTCTATGATCAACCATCACAACCAACGGCCCGAACCACCATCCCGTACATCAACCAATCCTCCTCACGGCCGGCAGCCCATCCCACTCCATCTCCATCCTCTTCCGCAGCCCCGAATCAATCTTGGGTAAATACGGGCTCGTCGGCACATACGCCCGCCACGCCTCACAATTCGGCTGCATCTGATCCAGATGCATCAACTCCATAATATCCGCCTTCCTTTCCAAAAACTGAATCCCTAGTCCCATCGCCACATGCCACCCAATATGACAGTGCATCAACCAACACCCGGGGTTATCCGTCCGAAATGCAATCACTAACCACCCGCTCCCGGGCATCTGCGCGACGTCCCGCCGGATCGGGTTGTCAAACTGCAACTGGCCGGCCATGGTCGCCGCATCAAACGTGCCCGCGCCTGTGCCGAGCACGAGGAAGTCATGCCCGTGCAGGTGGATCGGATGCGGTAGAGCAAATGTGTTTTGGACCACCCAGAACGTCCAGACCTCAGGCTCGGGGACGTCGACGAGGTTGATGGCACCCGGGAATTGAGCGGTGTTGTTCTCCAGTACGTATTCTAGAACCGGGTGGTCCCATTCGACGGAGATGGGGGTGTTGCGGACGCGCCATTCGAAGACTTGGCCGCGGTCGGTGGTGGGGAAGGCAAGGGAGACGGGGAGTGTGGAAGGCTGGAACTCGGAGGGTGATACGGTGCGGGTGATGAGCGGAGCGAAGTTCTTCTCGCCGTCGCAGCCTGCGGTGATGGGCGTGCCGCGGTTGGTGGGCAAAGCTGTGGTGCTGGCGCCGTCGTAGTGGAAGATGCCTGCGGGGAAGGGGTTGCGCGAGGAACCGCAGTTGCCGTTGGCTTCGAGCGTCGCGTTGAACCAGTAGTTGCCCACGGGTTGGTTGGCCGTGATGATGACGTCGTAGCGCTGGCCGACCGCGAGGAAGAGCTTGTCGCGGACGACGGGGGTGATGGGGACCAGGTCGGTGGTGATGACTGTGAAGGTGTGGCCAACGAGGGATACGGTGAAGGAGTTGTCCACGCTTGGGTTGATGATCCGCAAGAGGTGTTTCTTCCCCGGTGTCAAGGTGATCCGGTCGTACGCTCCACCCGCGCCGTTGGGGTTGATGTTCTTGCCGCGAAAAACGACGTTGTCGCTGTCCGGGGGTGGGCCGTTGCTGACCTGCTCCGCACGGAGATGCAAGCGGTCTGCAGTTTCATGGTAGTAGTCACCCACCATGTATGGCCCGAGGTCGATGTCGTAGTTGGCCGCTGCCGGGCCGTGGACGACGAGTGCGCCAACAATTCCGTTTCCGTATTGACTTGAGTAGTGGCTGTGGTACCAAGACGTGCCGTATTGGGTAACGTGGAAGTCATACGTCTTCATGTGTCCGGGAGGAATGGGACATTCCGTCACACCGTTGGCTCCGTCTTGGTTGCTCTCCCCGAACTGCCGGATACCGTGCCAATGGATGGAGGTGCTAGGTATGTTAGAATCTTGATGAGGCACATTTAGTATCCTCGCTCAGTGGCAGCTTACCCATTATCTTGCATGTCGTTGTAGACATTGACGACGACATAATCACCCCAGTCAGCTTCAATTGTCGGTCCGGGGAATTGGTCTGAACCGTGTTAGCGATCATGAGGCAAATATGAGTGGGATTGTCATTGTCATTGCGTACTGTTGATCAGCAGGGCCGGTTTGCGAACACCATCGGGACCCAACCAGTTCGTGACGTTAGTAATGTGCAAGTCCACCTATTTACCAAATGTTAGCCGAACATAGTAACCCACAACCCGTTCCTCCTGCATCGTCAACGGAGGGTCTTACGTTTCTCGTGTTGAATGCGGGCGGCGTTGTTGTCTCGTAGTCGGTATTGATGTTCCATGTGTTCTTCCAACAACCCCGGTTTGTGGCATTGTTTTGACCACAGGGCTTCCCGCCTGGTATGATGGTCTGCCTTGGGGCAAGGTCAACGACCCGATGTGGCTGCAGAGGGGAGCATAGAGCGGTTTGGATTACGAGAATGGCAACCCAGAAAGCTGCAGGGAGCGAGAAAGGAGACCAGTTCATTGTAGTAAGAAAGAAAGAGGTGTCAAATTGTAATTTTGAAAGTGTCTGATAGATTCCTTTTGCAATCTTCAAGCGGCCCAGAATATGCCTTTATAGTTGTACAACGACACCATTAACCTCTATCAAATCCTAGTTGCCCATCTCCTCCGCCCGAAATCCTCTCACTATCGACGGCCTGCATGGGGAGTTATTCCCAAGACGGAACAGCAACACCCTCCTATCTCATACTTCTCGGTTGTTCAGCCTGTCCCGCGATGCATGCCTCCATTGTGAAGCCAGGTTATGCCTAGGGAAAGGAGTACAGGACGGGACATGGGACAGGGGGACGCGCCATTATCCCGTCCCCCCATTCGCACGTCTCTAACCCGTCGGTGAGCCGCCATGGCGTTGTTCGACGGGCCCGTATGGTGCCATACACGGGCTACTCCGCGCAGATCGAGGATATTCGGGCCGTAACACGTTCTCTGACCCTGCCTCCATCTCAATGATAACCCGTCCCACCTTCCCGTCTCTTCTTTCATACCACCTATCAGAATCTTTTACAACCACTTTCGATGCATCCTGGTTCCCAAAACACGGGATGAGCCCAAGCCACTATGCATACTAAACCGGGGAAAGTTGTCCTTCAAGTCGGCTAGCAGATCAAGCGGCAAGGAAGAGGCCGACGCATACTTGGATCTTTTGATGCGCAGGGCTCAGAGAGCGTCCGACATCGCCACATTGGTAAATCTTGCGCACGCGCAGCAGGGGGCCGGTCCTTGTGGTTGGCTGTTGTCGAGCCGTGTTGACGGATTCGGGACCGCTCTCGGGGGGCATGGACAGGTTAGTTTACGGGAAACTCCATTTGCAAGAACGACCAAGTTTGAATTCTGGATTCGTTGCGTTCATAAGTAGAATTTGCGTTTTGGTAACGTACAATTATTCATTAATGGGAGTACTTAGTTTAGCGATTAATTACCTAGCTTCTGGGTGTTGGCGGAAGTCACCATGTTAGCACAAAAGTAGGCTGGCTTATTCTCAAATTAATTGCATTCCATCTCCCGGGCTCCTGGGTTTCTCCTTAGTGAACTGCCGATGTCGAACCCGGGAGTTGGGACGCGTCCCCAGTCTATTTTTGGCGTGCTTTCCTGCAGGTCCAGCTCCTCCCCCTCTCCCGAGAACACGGGACATCGACTTGGGAAGAACATCCTCTACATTCATTCTCTCCTTCTGTTGCAGCAGGGTAATTAAAAGTCCCGAGCAGGAACCAAGCGGGGAAGCCCCAACTAGCCACCACTGACCGATCGATAGTGTTTCAGGAAAAGACTGACGACTTTCTTCTTCGCTTAAGGGCGGGCTATTGATTGAGCAGTGCAGACACGGCAAATAAATTAATCGACACACCCGCTGTAACCCCGTACTGTGTCACTAGAGCCACAAGCGGAAAGGTGTAAGCCTTGTCCATATGGTGTCAAAACCATCGGCTGCCCGAGGAGCCCACCATCCTCAGTTGACTTTCCGCAGTGCCGACGCTAGGAGGCTCCAAGTATCACCTCGGCACCGACATCTCGCTAATTCGTACGCCACGCTTTAGAAAAAGGTGGTTCGGGTATTAGTTGCGAGTACGAGCCGCTGGCCACGGTCTGCGATAAGGAGGAAGAGACCGAAAAAGAGGTTTGGCCGACCCGCCGTATCCGCCATTGGTCAGTCAATGTTCAGCACCATAATTCAGACGGATCATAAGACGGGAAGGAAGTAGAGCGGATGGGTTAGTTGCACCAGAGACTGTCGTCTGGAAACTTATTTGTTATCGATTATTCCAGACTCCTCAAACCTTTCACGTAATTAATTTATGGATTAGGTACCAGATATCCTCAAGCTAACCAAATCAGTTGTAGTAAGGGAGCTAGGCCATTCAAGATTGGCCGATAGTGCCACGGTGGAGAGGGTTTGGAACTTCAACGCCGTCCTTACATTGATGCGGCCGATGTTTCATGGGATGGCACTGAACCTTGCTAAATGTAGCGATTGGACCATCGCCCGGCTGTGTAGATAATTGATTAGTTACCCATCGCTTTCTCATCAAACATTCAGACCAGGGCTAACACCAATTCCACACTCGATCATTCATTTGTCTTTGGGCGGCCTTGGAAGGTTCACCCCCATTGCCGTTCATATCTCTAAGAATCAAAGTTTTGACATTTTCGTCTCCCCCAACCCAGGACCCCTTCCCAACTTGAACCCTAATAATAAGCAAGACTCACGGTGCGCGGCCTCAACTCGATTACCTCGTAAACGAAAAATTCGTTGTTTCATCAATCAAGTCAACCCCTGACACAACGGGTCAACTCAATCTATTCATGATTAATGGCCAAGTTCATCTCGCAGCAATGTCACGACCTCTTCACCAGATAGTTATTAATTAATTATGTCCTTGATTGATTACACTTAATTAATTATTGCATTGGTAAACAAAGCAAAGTAAACACCCAAGGAAACCGACAAGCGGAAGGCGATGCAATGGCAAAATAATACAGTGCCTTCATGTGACTACCCCTAGAAAAGAATACGAAACCCAAAGAAAAAAGAGACAACAAAAGGTCATAGAAGGCACGCATTCCAACTCGGGGCTCGGCTCCCGTTCTCATCCGCGCCGGGTGACTCAGCTCGGGGCCAGCACAACGCCCCACAGGGCTAACCATCGTACACAACAACTGCGCCGCGGTGTTGAAACATCCTTGCTGCCAACGTGGGAGTGACATTATAACATGTTTTCTGGTCGGCTCTCCGGCCACCCAGTCTGCTCTCCCCTTCATATTCTGAAATCGACGAAATATAACGGCCTGCGAGCTGGCTTTTCTTCGATTGTAAGACGCGTGCCAACTCGCAGCCCTCAAAGGCCCACGCGCTCTCCAACGCAAATCCTTAAACCCAAATTAGGCCGAAAGGCTACAACACCAATATCGATCAAAATTCCAGCCAACATGGAACCTATCATAACCGACCTCCGACGGATTTCCAAGTACAAAGTTCGCTCCCATGACACGTCCGAAAATTCCCACATCCCTCTCCTACATTCACAAACCAAAGATGCACCAGAAAACGGGCCTACAGTCGTCCTCATCGGCGACTCCATGCTTGAGCGTATGCTCACGACCGGCAAGGGGGTCAACTTTGTCGAACCATGGCCGTCACACGCCATGTTGACTGACGACACGCTGGGTCGGGTCAATCTCGGACGGGAGACGAAGCCGGAAGTCACCCGTCTGAACCGCGTTTTCAATGCCGGTGTGGGGGGCGACAAGATTCAAAATGTTGCCTACCGCTTGGCTGGCACACCCGCCACGGATGGCGGCGACGGGGAGGAGCAGGAGAAATTATTACCCGGCCTCTTGCCCATGTTGGCAGCTTGTGGGACTGTTAAACTGTGGGTTGTTCATATGGGAGCGAACAACCTGAATCCGAAGCGTGGGTTGTCGGCCACTGATCTGGCAGCGCTGCAAACTCTCATCTCGGCGTTGGGGCGTGTCAATGAAGGAAAGAATAAAGTTTTGGTCACGGGACTGACGCATAGAAAGGACATTTCGCGGGAGCTGGTTGTGGCGGCCAACGTGGGTATCGAGACCATGGTCAAGGGATTGGACGCAGAGATAGGGCCAGCGAGGGTCCTATTTGCACGGGCACCGGCTGTTGATACCGAAAAGCATCTGGATGACCATGTGCATCTTAACCTGGAGGGGTATCGGCTATGGGCCGAACAGTTGGTCGTCGAGGTTGTAGATTCATTGCAAGTTACAGCTTGAAGAGTTCATCAAAATGTCGGAATTAAGTTCTACAATTTGGAACGACTGCAAAGGATCGAATGAATGATGACACAAAGATATCCTGTTCATGGAGACAGGGACACGAGGAATGGAATATGTCAAACCTGTACGGTAACACGAAAAGTAATTAAAATGGTGGTACATTACTTAATTAACTTCTCACGACTGTGTCAGCAGTGACCAGATACCCTCTTGACACATTGACTCAGGACAGTATAATTAGGTAATTGGCCTCTCACGATGGCAGCGGACCGGGGTCGATTTACCTAATTACCTATCTCAACAGGCAAATTTGACATAATATTTAGAATATAGTGTTGTACGGACGCATTTAACGTTCACTTCATGAAGCCGCTATTGATACCTGGAGAAACCAGACTCACTTCGTGATGTCAACAGCTAGTCGCCGTCCATCATATACTTCGGGGACATTGTGAAGCTCGAACCCCTGAGGGTTTGGGTCACTTATAACCACCCCCTTCGTCAATGTTGCGACGGGTAGCGGGTTTGCATTAGTAACTGATCCTTCCCGTTCCCTTTAACATAAATCACAGTATCTCACCTTTTTGGTTTCTTTTACGACAGTGGTTGTCATCATGCCTTTCAAACTCTGGCATCGGCTCTTCGCGAAGCCGTGGTTTCGAAAACCGAATCCCACGCTTCCACGACCTCTTTGAGCTGGCACAAAATTACTCTAGCATCCGGCGGGCTCACCGATGAAGGAACTGACCTAATTACCGCTTCCTACTCGCTCCGGCGCGCGTCCCGGACCGTATTCGCTTCCCTTGCACCACTGCATTTGGAATCACCGGGTTCGAGTATGGTGTCGGAGAAAACTACACGCCTGTGCCTACCTATGTATGTGTCGTTCAACGTCTGAACAGGGGAGTACCGGACATCGACGACGTGGTCCGTTTCATACCATCCGGTCTGCCCGACGGTATGTCTGAGCCGCAGCAACTGGGAGTCGCTGGGTGGAGCTAATTAGGCTTGATGATAACGATGGCACGGCTAAGGATGCGTTGCTTTGGATATCAGCATGAAAGAAGGGTGTGGGCCGCTGCTGAGGGTGTGTTGCTTTGGATATACCTATGACACATCAGGGCCACGGCTTCTGAGGTGGTGACAGGGGGGTGATGGATCGCAACACCAACTCAAGAAAAACGCCTGCCGGGGCTATCCCGGACAGCGACCGGCTTGGGCTATGTGTTATCATACCATTTAATTAACGGCTTTGCTAGGGTTCCTGCCGGCACCTTTGATCTTAGTGATCGAGGTGAAGCGATCTGTGAGCCCCTGTGGCTCGTTCTTTCGGCTTGATTCCACGCAGCCGGAAACGAACTAGGATACAGACACATCCTGGGGGAAAGGTCCCACAAACAGGTTGGAGGGCAGGCGGGGGCGCAGGAATCAGGCGACGGGAGTGTGCAAAACGAGAACATGCCAAGGTCAGCCGCTTGCAGAAGCAGCACTGCCCGTTGAAAAAGGGGCCAACTCGCTGCTTGCTAATGCATCCGTGGTTGGTCGGACGATCCAGACGGTGTGGATGGTAGATTTGGGGCCTCCAGCAGCCAAGGGCATTCCGTAGGGGAGATTTGGGCATTAATTGACGGGAGTGCGTATCCGGCTGTGAGCTGGGTGCCCATGATTAATTAACTGGGCAATCGCCGTAGGAGCCACAGGTGCCAGTGCGTAATTACACACGCCCCCGACCGAGAGAAGCGTACAGCCCACTGAACGTCGTGCGAATTGGGAAATTGTCGCCTTGAGTTCTCGCTACCAGCGGTGGTAGGGGGTACGCGCGAGATGCGAGCATGGAGATGCGAGTTGCTCGCTTGATAAGTGTGTAATAACGGAATCATGGGGAAAGGAACAATAAACTTTGCTCGCATCCGAGGCTGGGCGGAGTACGCAGCTGTTAGCGGTAATAATGAGGAAACATGCAGCAGCCTGACAGGGAGAAACAAAGGCGGAAGTATTTGACCAACCATCAAGACTCTTAAGTGTTCGTGTTGCAGCTTCATTTTTATTTTAATATTTTCAATCAGTACGCCATATTCGCCTCGCCAAGTATGAAAAGATTCCTTTAGGAACGCTATGCCCCCCAACCCTAAGCCGACCTGACTTGGACTCATCCCCTCATCGATGCTTCTCCAGCAACCTCCCCACCTCATACATACTCTCCGGCCACCACTCCCCATTCTCACCCTCCCGGTCCCAGGACAACCCCATCTGCCAGTTCATCTCAACCATCGACTTCCTCAACGCAACAGCACGCCCCAGCTCCCACGCGCCGATGCCCCCAATCCACCAGACATTATCTAGCAACATGACCAACACCAACCAGTGGGTGAAGATTTCAAAGGCCAAATGATGCGCGAGAGTGAGTTCCGACATCGCGCCCATCGCTCCTCCCGACGGCTCGGTGTCAGTCGGCATCAACGGGATGACATCCTGGACGAGAGTGAGGAAACTAGTGGGTACTTTGTGGATGAAGGACATGATGGTGCGACGGGGCATGGGGGAAGGGACCATGGAAGAGATGCTGGCTGTGTAACGGCGAAGCCAGGGAGAGATTTCCGAGAGCATGGCGGTTGGGTCAGCTGCGGTGATGGTGATGTCGATGGGGAGAGGTACCGCAGCGTAATACGGGTATGTGTTGTTCGGATTTGGATTGCTGAGCTGGACACGACTTGTTGGTGTGCTGGGTCTTGTCCCCGGGCATGAGCCGGCCGGTGATTGTGGTGGAGGGAAACTGCTGGCCACAATTTTGCCGAGCATGTCGAGTGCCTCGAAGCAGGATTGCAGAGGACGGGTGTAAGAGCCGTTGGTGTGGGCCAGCAGCTGCACTTCGGCCGCCTTCTCGTTCAGGCGGGTGAGTGCTGGACCGACCGTTGCAGCGAGGATCGGGCCCAGAGGATGGCTGGTGATTGTTGGGCCAGCTGCATCATCTGTCGGAGTCTGCGAGGGTGCACGGTACTCAGAGTGTGCTGCGAGACCGTTGGGCGAGCTGACTGGACTCCCCTGGGGTGAGTTCTTGAGCAGTCCTGCGTATGCCAGACGAACGGCGCGGAACAGGCTCATCCACTGGGGACACCCGGGGGCAAGGTCACCCCCACACGGCTCGCCGTACGGCGCGGTCTTAGCGAGCCAGATCCGGGCGCAGTGGCTGGCGGAACCGTACATGCCCATCATGGCGGCATTCGCCAAGATGTGGTCGTAGTTGGTCGACTGGTGGAGGGTTGCCTGGATCTCGTGCAAAGAATCAAGATGGTACTGGTGTGCCAGCCGCAACAGTTCAGCGACCTGCTCGCGGCGTGCCTCATGATCATACACGTCCAGCGGCTGGTCAATCATATCGCAGCACTTGCAGACAGCAGCGAGCGCCAAAACAGACCGCATAAGCGGCTTGCTTTGGCAGGCTAAGTTGGGAATGCCGATCTGCAGGGTGTACTTGTCTTGCTCACCCACGGTGGGGTGCTTGCTAGTGTGTTCCAAGTAGTGCTTGAAGAGCTCAAAGTCTGCGGGCTCCAGCGTCTGAGCCAGCCACGAGAAATCCGGGGGCTCGGTCCAGCCCTCAGCGTCCTTCCTCTTGCGGTATTGGCAGGAGAGGTTCATCTTCTCGCACCTAGAACAACGCGGCATGGCCTCGTCGCACTGTCATGCAGCCACGAGGCAGCCAGTTAATCGGGGACCTCCCACAAAAGCCAGCCACTCAACGCATGGGGGACTGCGTACCTTAATCCTTCGTGCCTTGCATTTGGTACACCCAAATCTCGACTTTCTGTGGGGTCTGCGGGTCTTGAGCTGGCGTTGCTCACTGCCGCTTAGGCTGGACCCAACCGTTTCGTCGGTCTCATCCATGGGATGGAGGTGAGTTGGGGGCGAACAAGACATGGTTGTGTGAGTTGTTGTAAAATGTGTTGGTGTAGATATCAACAAGTGAACCCCGATTAGGTACTAAGTTACCACCTAGCCAGCTGTGATATCAAACTTTGGTGTAGAGCTAGCTGCCCCGTTCCAGGTTCCTTCCTATTTATGACTGCTAAGATGTTGACGCCTTTTGCATCTCCGGGTCACTACCAAAATAAAGCCAAAATTTCAAATCTTTTAGATTGTCAGCTTCAAGCCACACCCGCCCTTTTCAACGGGGCACCGTGGGTTCTGGGGAAGCGATGGTAGCATAGCCCAGCTTGTCTCCGCTAAACACCGGCTGTGCCCGAGCAGCCCGATGCTTGGCGTGAAGTACCAGACCGCCCTTTTTTGCTGTGTTTCGTCGGAAAAACGTTGATTTTGATGTTCCCGAATCGGAGAGCGGGAGCTTGGCCAGGCCCGGTCCGCCCGGGAGCGTGAGGGGAATGTTAAGTAACTTCCTAGAAGGGTATTTGAAGGTAGCATGGTACTGCACGCTCCTGAGTCATCCAGGGTGATTCATCGTCGAGGTTGTCGTCGAGCACGTGTCGGGGTTAAGGGCGCAAGGGGCGGGTATGCAAGTGCGTATTCGCTTGGTAAATAGTGGGGCTGAGAGGGGCCGATACGCGCGGCCCCACATGCGTATCCATGTCAAAAGAATTCCAAATCGCGAATTCATCAACGACGCGGTCCCCAACATTAAAAAATTCTTCACAAATTTCGCAAGCCAAATACCGTTTGTCAGCCTACACTAGACCAATTTCCCAGTCCATATGCACACAGCCGCGTGTGCGGACCGCGAAACGTGGCACACCCGGGATTCCGGGACGCTATGTGACTGCCGGTCATTTGAGTCTCCGTCCGGCCCGTCGGCGAAGTCAAGTCCCCATTCACTCCGCCATGAAGCGAGACCGAAATACGCTGTTGAATTGAGGCGCAATGGGCAGTACGCGCTGTTTACATCGTGAAGGATGGTCATGGAGGGAAAAGGAAGTAGTGTATAAGTTGATACAATATGGCCGTTCGTAGTGGATGTTTTCGAAACGCAAGCACCGCATCCTTCTCTCCATCATCCGTTCGATACTGCATCGCACGCCGCCAAGTTTAACTTTCCATCACATTCTCATTTTAAGATGAAACTCAACTTTCTCCTCCAAGCGGCGCTCGCTGGCTTCGCCGCAGCCATCGATGAGCCGGAAGGTCATGAGTACCACAGACACCATGGTGATAGTGAGTTTAACCTCGGAACCTTCATCATTCTCCATTGCGTATGGCATGAAACAACCAGCTGACACAAACGTCCAGGCCGTTCTCCTTGCCCCGGCCTCAATGTCATGGCCAACCACGGCTTCCTCCCCCGCTCCGGTCTCAACATCGACCTTGAGGCCGTCCGAACCGGCGTCGTCGGGGCCTTCAACTTCGAATACACCGCGTTCGACATGCCATTCCAGCAAGCCGTTGACTTCAAGTTGACCACCACCGGCAACAGCTCCACTTTCCACTTGGCCGACCTCGCCAAGCACGACACCATCGAGTTTGACGGCTCTCAGTCCCGCAACGACTTTGCTTTCGGCAACGACAATGACTTTGACCCGGTCATCTGGCACTCTGTCGCCAAGAACCTCGGCCTCTACCACACCGGCCCGGCGAAGGAGGACCAGTATGTCACCATCGAAGTCGCTGCCCGCGCCCGCGCCGCCCGCGTGAAGGAAGCCATGGCCGCCAACAAGCACTTCAATGCGTCAGAGGCCCAGATGATGGGTAGCCCCGGCACGACTGCGCTGTACTTGGCTACCTTGTGGGATGACGAGGCGCAAGCGGTGCCCAAGAAGTGGATCAGGGCTTTCTTCGGTATGTTTCCTTTGAGAATGCGGGGTGGTTGCGTGAAGCATGTGATGCTGATGATATTCCAGAGGAGGAACGGATCCCGTATCATGAGGGCTACAACCCGGCCACTCGCTTGCAAAAGACCGGTGCGGATATTGCAGACTTTTTTGGGAAGATTGTGGCGGTCGATACCAGCACCCCGAAGTGCAAGCGGGGGCAATTGTAAGGCAGTACAGAGGAGTATGTACCCTTGCTCCTTTGAGTTACCAGGGGGATGATTGTACCCAGCCCTTGGATTTCCTTCGTTGTTTACAGCGTGCCCAGAGCCGAATGCTGTGAGAATATTCCCAGTGTCATAGAGTCACGATCTCATACATCAACTACAACTATTTAGCCATCCTTCATTCCGCATGACCAAATACACGCATGTTTGTCAATCTGATTTGCAACTCAAAGCTAACATGCTCCTTCGCCCTCACCCGATTTTGTGTGGGAATTGACCACGGTCTATGCTTTGCGTACCGCTCATCCACTGCCTAGTAGCCCACAGCTAGTATAAAAGGAGTGAAGCCTTCCATGTAAACCGCACGGTCGCGAGGCCGGACAGGAAGCACGGGCGAGCAAACGAAGTTTCCGTTCACCCCTGCATGTTATTGGACGCCAGTGTTTATTAACGAGAGCAAGCAGTGAGGCCTACCATCCACGCATCCAGGTAACAAAGGACCCCGCTCAACTTCTCAAAAGTCGTCCCATATCGACATGGTAGAAACGACGTAGCAAAAAGGCTTCACGTCATTTCCTGTCCGACACTTCATATCCATCAATCAGCAACATTCGCACATCGCCCCTACAATGGCTCCGGTGGTTTGCAAATGTGGCAAGTCCTTCAAGGCAGAGGCCGCAATGCAGCAACACCAACGCGACTCTCCAAAACACGAGAAGCAACCAGAAATCTCGATCAGCCCGGTACTAGCAGCCCAGGTTGCGCTGACGACGGCCACCCCCACGACTGTCGTATCCAAGACCGAATCCGCCCTCCGTTGTTCTTGTGGCCAGTCTTTCAAGCATAGTCAGGCCTTAGCACAACACAAGCGCGACTCTCCAAAACACCAGCAGCAGCTAGAGACTTCGACCGGCCCGGGACTGGCAGCCCACGTTACGCCGACTACGGCCAGCCCCACACCGGTCGTATCCAAGACTGAATCCGCCCTCCATTGTTCTTGTGGCCAGTCTTTCAAGCATCGTCACGCCTTAGAACAACACAAGCGCGACTCGCCAAAGCACAAGGGGGCGGAGCCTCAGCCACCAAAGAGCCAGGATGGGGGTCCCGCGGCTAACAAAGCTACCTCTACACAATCCGTTATCACCCCTATTACTTCATTCTTGCTTGTCTGCAGCTGTGGCCAAGTATTCAAAACACCAAACGCTAGGACTCAGCACCAACAAGACTCGCCAAAACACCAACATGAACGGCCAGCTTCTAAGGCCACCGTCGAGTCTCATGTCGTGAAGGAAGGAGAGTCACCCTCGGCGACAAAGAGCACGAAGAAGAAAGCGAGCTCGAAGAAGAACAATACCAGACGTGGCCCTCCGTATGGTTCGGGATACAACCGGTGGGGCGTCGATGGAAGTAGCTACAGCGGTCGGTATCAGAGCGAGGGCGAAGACTATGGACTTTGCGACAAAGACTGTGGTTGGTGTGGACACTGTCTTGACGATCACCCCTGGCTCTGACGGTGAGGGAGGGGGGTTCGATAAACGCGCACATACTGACGACATTACACGGATAGCGGACGGTGGGGGTATGGGTGAGCCAGTTGTGGTGATATTGTGAATACTGGAGGTGCTGTATGTACATACATGAGAGCAGACATATTATGACCACTCCATCAGGGTTCCTCGGGATTCCATTCCCATGTACAACCTAGCTTGCTAAACTCGGGTTTCCTCCATCTTCTTAAAACGGCCCCGCGGCGTCCTCGTCGTCGGTGAACCCACAACCCCCCAGACGAGCTGACCTCGAGGATTAGTACAATGCGCTGAGCCGATTCGTGGGTCGACAACCGTACCTTGCGTGCAATGATTATCCGTATAATGTCCGCTCACAAAACAGTCGTGTTGCTTCGAATAATGCCACCCGCTACGCCGCTGTGTCAGTCTCCTCCGGTCTCAGACAGTTTCAGGGAAAACTTACCAATTCCGGAACCCGTTGATGGTAATACACTGCCCAGAATAAACACACCAAAAGTCGTACGTATTCCCTTTCCTCATGGACAATTTGACAGCATATTTCGTGTTCGGGCCACGTCGGCAGTTCACGTATGTGGAACCGCCGACGATAGTGCAATGTTGTGGGCGGACAATAGCCCGGGCGTCAAGGAGTTCGTCGGCCTCCGCCGTCACGTTTAGGGCTGGAGCAAGGTCTGGTGTTGGGCTAGCAAACAGGCCAATGGGAAGCAGGGCCCCAACCAAAAAGGACTTGAGGTGCATGTTGAGAGTAGTGTTCGGGGGGTAAGAATAGAGCTGAGAAATCGATAGAAACCGAAAAGTAACCCTACCTACCGCCCTTACAAAAGCACGTCAACGAGGTTTAAATAATCCGACATTCACGAGACAAACGGGGAAATGCCCATCCGCTCTCCCGATATCTGACACCCCCTATCCAAGAGGTAAAAGCTCAAAATAGTCTGTCAGGGCTTATGCCAACCGCCAAGTCGTGCTAGTTGGAGGGGCGTGGCAGTGCTAATGGACAGCCTAGGCTTGGCTCTCCAGAACCCACGACAAAACGCCCTCGCAGGTTCCCAAATCCGGCCATTAGTGCGAGAGGGAACAGATTCGGTGTCCTTTCAGGGAACCACACTGACGAGGCCTTATTTAGTTGACGGCAGTCGGAAAACTCGGATTCATGCTTAGCCCCGGATGGTATCCGGGGCGTCCTACTATTGAAGATACAGAATTAAATCCAAGTAATTACGGATATAGTAATTAATCATGCGATTGTGTTCATGTGTAGTCAAAAATATCTAGGCTCAGTTCCGGTGCAAGCTTCTCCAGCTTATCCCTCGCCCCAGTGCTCTCAATCCTCTCCGCATCCCACATCACATATGCAGCATCCCGCGTCCAGTCCGGAATACACTCGCCAAACAATAAACTGTACTTTCCCTGCCACATCAATGTCCAGGCCAACGGCGGGAAATTACCCTGAGTGCCCAAGTGTGACTCGCTATCACCTCGGAACGGCAAGGGGGTGCCGATGAGTTGCGCTTTCTCGTCTTCGTCCTGGTACCTTTCCCAGCCGGCCTGGTCCAGGCAGCTGAACTCGTCAGCATCCAGCCGCAAGTCTGCCGGAAGGCAGATGGCCTTTTGCATGGTGGCAACCAGGCTTTCGTGATCGGTAACCTTGAAGAAAATCTCATGTAACAGTGGTATGCCTCGGGATGAGGTGCCCATGAGGAGGGACTGACGATTCACCACTTGCGAGGGGGGCACAGTCAGCACAGGGCGCTTTCATCTGTTTCCCCATGCCCAGGTAACAATTGAACGCAGATGTTTAACAGGAAAATCCTAAACACGTACCGTTGTCCAACTCAAATGCGCCGTCGGGTGTTGGGGGTCGAACCTGGTCCGCAAATCGTGGATGGTCGGGATGAAGGTCCGATTCGATACTGTCAAAAATGCGATCGTATTTGAGTGCGGCAAAGTAATTGACGCTAACCAACTGCTCAATTTCCCAGGGAACCAAGGTATTCAGGAGGTCACTAATCCTGATATCTCCTTCCAAGTACCAAGTTCTGTATGCCCGGCTCGGTGCGTCGTCTTGGGATCCAAACATGCGACAATACAGTTGAAATCGGTAGAATGCACGAAGAATGCGCACCCGCTCGGTTTGGCTTATGGGAGAGCGTGGTTCCCCCACCGTCCCTGTGTCGCGAGCCAGGCCGTCCAGGGCCCATTCCACGTACTTTTCGACCACGGGTCGAATGAGGGAGTGATACTCGACCACCATATCAAGCACTTCATCATCGGTGAGCTGCGTGTCCGTGGAAGGTTGCGAGTGGCTCGCGTCCAAAAGGTGACGGAAGTCGTCCAGTGCTTCGTACGTCTCTGGCCCCCTCTTCTTCAACATCCGCACATGGTTGAACCGATGGAGAGCGCGGGCAACGATGACGGCGCCGCCCAGGGTGCGCCGCAGGCTGCTGCGAAGAATGGTCGTGCGGTCTAGCAAGTATTGCTGGTAGAAGATAGCTGAAGCTTGGATGATGGTGAATATCTCCTCGAGGTCGAGTGTGAGCAGAATGTGTCGCCGGATCTCGGGCGGCAGGGACTCGAGACGGGAGATCGAAGGTGGTTGGGCGTTTTGGGCAAACATCTTTGAATGGGTCGATCTACCAGACCGCAGGGGCGCCAATTAATTACTGAAGCTGGCCAGGTGGTCTTTTTCTAGATAGGTAGTTGCAAGGTAGACAGAGAGTTAGGCCCTGGGAGGGCCTATCCACGAAATGACGGGGTGCTGAACGATTATCAAGAATGAAAGCCGAGTTGTTGTTTAGCCACCTTTGACTCACGACAAATGTGGCAAGGTGCTGCTGCGCCATCCTGGCACCTCACTCAGGCTGCAGTGGTTCGGGCAGGGGTCGCAACCAAACATCATAACTCACTTTATGTCGGCCAAACACTGCGTAATGCCCGGCAACAAGAAGATAAATTGGGATGAATCCCGACTATGGTAAGGAAAAGGGCCCCGTAAAATCCGATGCATTTTCTCAAAATTTATTAAGCCTCCCTTTAGTTACAAAATGAGCCAAGCCCAGCGATGAACCCAACGACCCCCTCCTCTTCGACAAGTGCTTCAACTTAACCCGCGGATCCTAGCTATTATACCAGTCCCAGCGGTCTTGGATGGTAACACTTTCGAATCCATCCGCTGCCGTCCGCAAATCGTTGTCGGTCATGCTGCCGACAAGCCGGGACGCTTCCCAGATGACTAGGGCTCGCTCCGCCCACCAGAACGGCAAGCAGTCCCCAAAAAGGTCGCGATACCTGCCCTTGCACAACACCCCCCAAGCATATGGCGCCAGGGCCTCATCATCTTTACGTCCGTCTTCGCCCGAAAACGGCATCTTTTCTCGCGCCGTGGCTTTCTGGCTACGCTTCAAGCTCTCGTCCCGTACGGTGTATTGCGCCTGGATGCTGAACACGTCCTCCTCCATCTCCATGGCCGCTCCATGCCGCATTGTACCGGAGAGCATTTGAACGAACTCATCCGAAGCCTCCGCGTCACCCTTGCGTAAAAGATCCCAGAAGTGCGTTACGCCGAGGGTGCTCGTGCCCAGTTCGAGAGAGCCTAGATTCACCACTTTCCCAAAGGTGAGCATATTAGTGAGCAATTACATGACCTTCCCTGCGATGGCCCCCAACAAGAACAAAAAATGATCTTATGTTTGGTTGCCTGCGATGGGGCTAGGAAAGAAAGAAGGGGCTTTGGCTTACTATCGTCGAGCTTCTCGAATGTATCGGGAGAGACAGGGGGCTCATAACCATCCACATACCGAGGGTTCGTAGGGTCCAACGCGGTTGTCATCTTCTCGAACGCTTCATTGTACGTCAGGGTGACGAATAGGTTTACGCTCCTGACCTCTTCAAGCTCCCAAGTTTCCAGCCCATCGAACACTTTGCACGTGTTAGTGAACCCTTGTTCCACCATCCAGCCATCGACCCAACTGTTCGCCTCCTCGGCCTCATTCTTGGCCCCAAACATGCGGCAACACAGGTCGACCCGGTAGAGCGCACGAAAAATACGTATTCGCTCTACCCGGGTTGGCCAGGCGATTTCAGCCTCGGATGAAGAGTCACTGCTTGAATCTTCCGTTGTGTCGTCCTCCGAGTCGCTGTAATTAGAATTCTCCTCTCCCCCCGTCGATATTGCGCTGGGATCCTCCGACTGTTCTCCTTGAGGTGAGTGGATTGCAGGATCATCCGGGTGCTCCTCGTGAGGCAGGTTGTCGGCATCACCCAAGCTCTGCCCATGAGCCGGCTCCGTGGCCAAAGTGAGATGTTCATATTCAGAACGACATTTCCCCAATTCCAAGTTCCCCAAGGCCCAAAACGCAAATGCATCGCCCACAGGCTCTACCACCTTCGAAAAATGAGCCGCGATTGAGACTACCTCCGCGTGAGTAAGTTGCACCGCCGAGTAGAGGCGTGCCTCGTTGGCATTGTGCGCGCGAAGGAAGGCATCGACGGCTTCCGTGGCCCCAGGCGCACTTCGAGATGGGAATTGCCGGAGCGCCTCAAAACGCAGGAGAGCGCAGGCGGATATGGCAGCACTCCCGATGCTGAGATCCAAGCTGTTGCGCAGTATCGCTTGCCGGTCCAAGCAATATTGTTGGTAAAATACAGGGGAAGCGAATACAATGGCCTTTAAGTCGTCGAGATCAAAGTTGAAGAGGACCTGGCGCCGAATCTCGGGTGGGAGCTGTTCCAGGCTGGTTGCCTGGACTGGGGACGCCATGGTTCCATCACCGTGGGACAAGTTGGCCATCTTGTGCGCAGTGATATTATTGGCAGCTAATCGGATGTCCGCGAGTAATTATGCGATGAAAAAGATGCGGTCTGGGTCTCGCTGCGCAAGTCAGGAAGTGTAAAGACCGCGCAAAACGGAAGATATACAAATCATCCAGCTCAAGAGAAAGCATCACGCGTGTCACGATGAAGTTACGGGAGTCGGCACCTTTAAGACCAATTAACTCCGCCACCACTCCGCAATTACGCCAAGATTTTGGGTTCTCCGAATCGGGTCATTCAACATTCCATCCACCATCCTTCCGTGGGTGAAAAGGTGGGGAAGGCTACAGAGAAAGTCCCATCAATATTCAACACTCCCATGGCCCCCTTATTCCTGATGTTCTTCATTCAGAAGCGAGGACCGCTTGTGATGTTTTGACGCTTTGAAGCGTGTCTATTTGGTTCTCGTTTAGGGAGTTTGTCGGTTTCGATATGGCCAAAAAGGGCGGCAGCCGGGCATAAGCTTCACCCTTTTACTCTATATAAACCCGCAATAACGTCTTACATAGTAATTACAGCCGATTAATCATGTACCGTGTTGCCTACCTATGTGGGCTAAGTAACCCCGCTGAAACAATGAAGTACCTAGGTAGGTTGCCTTATTTACGGAGGGAGGTTCCTCCTGGAGCATGTCCATCCAATGATAAATTTGGATGGGAGTCGCCTGGCCAGATTCAAAACGCCAACACGCAATTGGCGGCATCGACCCCTCTTTAATTCCTTCTTCACACCTGCAGGCCTCGAACCTCACGCCGCATCACACCAATTTGATCTTGCTTCCAAATCTCATAATTTCGCAATCTTGGACACTCAAGACATTGACCCCTCAAACAACAACACCCACCAGGAGTACCTGCGGAAGGGGTAGCGTGCGACCGCCTTGATTTTGCTTGTTTTTCACCACGATTGGAAAATGAGCCCGCGCTTTGCGTGCCCACTCTGTGGTGTTGGGATTTGCGGGCCTAACACCGAGATATGGCTTTCCGAGTACCGTGGCGGTGAGTGAGAATGTCTCGCACAATAGCTTCATCAACGACGACTTTCATCACTATCTAACGACACGTTCAGTCTACACCACACCAGAGAAATACACCCAACTAACAGGCGTCGGACGCAATGCGGAGATCGAAATATACCAATATATCGCCCCCCCAGACCCGTCGGCGCGTTGGGACGACCCCGGCTATGACAACCCTGAGGCTGACGAGTTCGGCGTGATGACCCAAGGACCACGAAACGGTCGGCACGGTTATGTCTTTCACGACGCATGTTGGTATCTGCTCGAGAAGGCCTTTGCGCCCGGGGACGTACCCCTCTCTAGGGTAATGGATCTTTGTGCTTCGATTCCGATGGAGATGGTGGGGCACAGGATGTACTGGGGGCATGACTATGGTGGCATGACGGTGCTCAGGAAGGAAAACACTTTCCCTTGGGAGACGCCGATTGTGGACCTCGGTGAAGATGAGGATTTGTGGGCAGAGAACGGGTACTTCGTCGACCCCCGGGCGACAGCAGAAGTGGATGAGATTGTAAGGGGAAAAACCCAAGAACCGCCCGCTGCTCCGCCATCCCTCGCCCCTGCTGTTACGTTATCACAGAGGAATAGTAATAACAGTAACAACAATACCGACGACAACAATGACAGCACTGACCTCAACCACAAGGAAAGCACCGACCACACCGACGGTGACCCCTTTATGACCCTTCCCCAAGAACTCTGCTCGACCATTGCGTCATATCTGCCCACCCGCGACGCCCTCAATGTCCGTCTGGCCTCCCGCTCGTTCTGGCACATTTACTACAGTCAGCAGTTCTGGGCCTCACGCTTTGCTGAGGCAGGGGAACGGTCATGGTTCTACGAACTCCGCGAGCGTCATGGCCAGCGCCTCTGGGAGGCTGACTGGCGCTGGATTTACCGTCGCACTGGATACACCCGTCTCTCCCCGGGTCTCCGCAACCGTGCGCGGATCTGGGGGTTGATACTGGGTCTAGTTCCCGTCTTGAACTTGCGATGGGCCGACCTACCCGACCCTTTACCGCAGAGCTGGCAAGTTCCACCCAAGCCGGCAGAGAAAGGCGACGCCGATCTTCCGTGGCTTTCGGTCGGCGGAAACATGAAAGGCGACCCGGAAAACTCTTCCCCGCTGGAAATCGGCGGACGGCTACTACGTAGCGAACGTGTTGGTATTCCCGAGCGCGTTGCAAGCGTCGACGTTTCCACAACCCGCCTTGCCAATTCAGGGTATATTGCCGGCCTTTCCTTAACATTAGTTTCCGGAGCTGTAATCCGGGTGGGACGTGGAGACTTTGCGCAGGGGTCGGTACGCTTGCGTGAGGGGCTCATGGGGTTTCATGTGGCGGTTGGGCTGAACGGAATCCATGGGCTGCGGTGTGTGGATGGTGGCCAGGAAGAAGAGGTATCGGCCTGGTTAGGGTTTGCGGAGGACGTGCCACAGACAACGAGGCTGACTTTAGGATGGCCTGTAGCGGCGTTGGAAATCGGGTTTGATGTAAGCCCTCATCGAGTGTTCAGCCATTTCCAGCCCCCAGGTCTCTCGCTAATCACCACTGCGAACCGTACAGGGCTTCAAAATAGTTAGCATTGCTGTCGCCCTAGGGCCAACAACATCTAGCCCCGGCCCCTCTCCAAAGGCTAATATCCGCCACGCCAGCGTCTGGTACCCAACCCTACCGCCCCCGACAGTCAACCTTCACGACACGTTCTTCCCCGCTGCCCTCACGTCCACCCGCGGCTTGCATCCGCTCTTTTGGACTTCCTTCGGGGGCCCAGGTGGCATCTACCTCCGGCATCTCACCAAAATAACGATATGCTGGGAAGGTCTGTCCCGGATTGAGTTTTCATTCGACCCAGCAGCCGATGTGCCCGATGAGTCAAGAGTATTTGGCCGGATCGAAGACAGGAGGTGGACAAAGAAAATTGAGCTCGAAATCGATGGGCCTGGGGGTGAGGTTGTGGATCGCATTGAGGTTGCACAGCATGTTGTAAAAACGGATCCGACGTGGAGGAAAGAGTCTGGGGGGACTTTGGCCTGGCTTAAGGTGAGTTGCTTGTCAATATCCGGCACCCACGAGGAGTCGAGGACGATATAAACGGGGTGATTGGATGACCTTACTAACGAGTAATTAAACAATTAGATATCGACGAACCGCGGACGGAAATGTGAGATTCGTAGCTCATCCATCCGCCGCAAGGACACACAAACGAGGGTATTTTCCGCCAAGGAAGGGAGTGTGATCACAGGGTTTTACGGGGTACAGGTCTGTTTGTCCCCATCTGCTTATTAACAAAAGTTTTATTACTTTCAGGACGGGCTACTGACAGCAGTCTATTTACTCCTTGACAGTATACAAATATGGGGACTAGCATAACGTCTCTCGGTGTCATGACGGATACTATTGCGTCGTGATTGGGTATATGAGCATCAACATGAACTTGACGACCTGGCATGCGTACGACCGTTAGCCGTGGCGCTCTTTAACCTAATTACTGAACGAAGCGGACCGCTTTTAAACCTCGTCAAAAACGTAGGTGCGCCTTAATAAGAAACTTATCTCTACCACATTCAAGTTTGAGCCTGAGCCGTGTTGCAGCCTTTCAAACCGAGCTAGACCTGCAGCAACTTCATGAGTCCTGGCTGCCTGCCAATTCACCACAGAAGCTGAGCGTGCTACCAAGCCATGCCTGGATGTAGGCTGCAAAGTGACACAGAATTTGGGCCTGCGCCAACTCGGAGAAAGGTGAGCAGACGATCCGGTTAAGAAGCTTCTTCTCTTAGCAGGTCACCCTCAGAAGTACGGCACATACTAGTACATGGAAATTATCAAAAACGTGATTTAACTGTCTTCGGAAACGGCTACGACTAAACGAAAAAGGTGGCCAAGTTGCGATGTGTCCTTGAGTTTATTTCTAACAGCCGTGTCTCGTTCTCCGGCGTCAAAACGCCGTGTCTGCAAAAGTGCGCAACCCACTGGATTCCCACAATCGGTTTGAAGTCGTCTTCGAAGAGAGCCTTCATAACTTCGCCCTCAGTCATCGTAACAAACTCTGAGACCTCCCCATCGTTAGGCCTTGGGGTAATCTCCGCGGGAAGTTCCATCTCGAACACATGGAGGACATGGGGATACGACCCCGGGTTGTCGAGAAAGCTGTAGTCCAGATGGTACGAGACAATGCCGCACGACTTCAGGTGCGCTGCGGAAATATCAACAGGGATGCTGGCCTACTCTTCCGACTCTCTAATCATGGCCGCAAATGCCGTTTCTCCGAGCTTCATACCGCCGCCGGCAGTTGTGTCCAGCTTTCCAAGATGCATCTTCTTGTTCATTGACCGCCGCTGAAGCCAATACTTCCTCTTGCCCTCGGAGGTCATTGTCCAGGCAATGAGATGCACCCCAAAAGAGAGCACTCCAAAGAGCTGGCTTCCGCCGTTGTATGCTCCCCTTCCGGAGTCAGCACACGCACTGGCTCCCCGGTCCAGGACAATTCCTTGATATTGCCTTCGGCCTTGGCCCGAGAAATTATCTCATTGATCAGCCGCGTTCGAGTTTCAAAAAGGTCGCCTCCGTCAGCTGAGGTTTGAAGGTGCAGCCTCCTACGTTCCTGGTCAATTGTCCAGTATCGAGGCCAAGTGACGCTGTGGATGACGGAGAAGTGCACATATCCCAGGGGTTTGGGATATGAGTCGATGGTGAAATAGTAGTAGTTCTTCATGAAACTGGCGTACGAATGCGGGTCATCCGAGTAGTAGGGGAAGCTAGCAGAAATTGCAGTGTGAGGTTCAAGCCCTTGTGAAAGAAACAATTTGCCAGAGCGCCGCAGTACGTACCTGTCGAACTTGTCGGCAATGTCGAAGAAATTGCGAGTTCCGGCCATCTCGGCGAATCGGCGATGATCAAGATCAAAAAATGTAGACGAACCCCAGAGCGCTCAATTTCACAGGTCAACGAGCGAAGTCCGTTGCCCAGTTGTCAATTTCACGTGCCTGCAAGTCACGATTTCACCTGGGAGCAAATCCAAAGAAACAAAGCGGCCGGGCCGGCTCCACATACACCCTTGGTTTCATGGTCTGCAATCAACGCCAGCCTAACCGCAGTTTCCACAGTCAAGCGCACGTTAGATAACTGTTTCGCACCTCCCAACGTCATCGATTCTTCTGGTCATCTAGGGAACTGGCCGGGAATTTAGCGATTTTCATACAGGAAAGACGTAGATCGGTCTTAAGACGCGCCTCATGAAAAAAATCTGTCAGAAGCAGTTGCATAGAGTTTCTAGTAATATTAACTATATTATGATATGACCAACTTGTTAATTACGAAGTACCTTAAACTATCTCTACCTTACAAATAATTATTAATATCCACTGTATTATGATCGGTTCCTCATATTCTGATCCTCGTCATTCCCAACCACTTTCTCCCTAAGATTTCTTCCGCCTTGTGAACTATCAGGTCCACTGGCCCAAATAACCATACAAGTTTCGCTGACGTCACAACAAGAGGGGGAAACAGTTTAATTCAATGTGCTTCAATTCACTAACTTCCAAGTCTAACGATGCTTAAATGCCAAATCCTAACTCCAGTAACTCCAAAGGTACATGTAGCTAAAAACCATTGCCTGAATGCGCCTTGCGATTCTCGAAGTCGAAAGAGACCCACGACGAGATTAGAAAATGACAATCTTCCTAGGAGCAGTGAGCTTCGCCTTCGGCACCACAATGCTCAAGATGCCGTTGTTCAAGTTGGCGGTGACGGCGTCCTCGTCAATCCGCGAAGCGAAGTTGAAGACCCGGCGGAACTGGCCAATCGACCGCTCACGAACCCAGTACTTGTGCTGAGCCTGCTGTGGCTTCTGCTGCTGCTGCTTCTTGGCCTGTTCTTGTTGCGGCACGACCGCGGGCGTGATCTCCTGGTCACGGGTGGGGGTCGCGGGAGCGGACGCGATGTGGCTGCCGGCTTGCGATGCCGAGTCGGTCACCTCAGACCAAGAAGAACCCGGGGTCGACGGCCGGGAGTTATTCTCGTCCTCCGGGTCGTCCTCAACGGTAGCTTGATGGGAGGAGCGGCGGGACTTCTTGCCCTCGGGCTCAGTCGCGACGGGGGCCGATTCCTCGGCTACGTTCTTGCTCTCATCGACAGTGCTCTCGGCAGCCGGGGCGGTGGCCGGGGCCGTGATTTCATTGGTCGGGGCCGGGCCGTAGTTGCGCTCAACGTGGCCGCTGATGACAATGGTCTCGTGGCCAGGGAACTCAATGTTGAGGTTCTCGCGCTCCACGCCGGGAAGTTCGCCGTACAACTCGTATGCGTTCTCGGTCTCCCTGACGTCCCAGTTGGGGTGAATGGTGGCGCGGCGAGGCTGGCATTGTCTAGCCTTCTGACGGAACTGCGCCGGGGCTACAAAGGCCGGGCAGTGATTCGCCGACTTGTTCTGTTGAGTTTCGATCTCATTGAGAAGCTGGAACAGGCCAGCGTTGAAGTCATCGGAAATGGGGAGGAAGAAGCTCATTTTGTCGATGTGTTGGATTGGTGTGTTGGGAGGTGCTCTAGGCAGGCTTATGCCAAAAAGATTTCAGAAGATGGAGTTGAAGGTTGAAAGTGTGTGCGTGTTGGTTGCTTGGTTGAAGCTTTGGATGTGTGTGTGTGTGTTTGTGTGTGTGTTTCTGGAGGAGACAAGATTCAGGGAACTGGGAAATTGAGATTCTTAAATACACGTTGAATTGGAAACAACATTGTGCTAGGCAGTATGTCAAACGCGTCCAAAGAACCCATTACAAAGATTCAGGTGGCGTCGAGAATGACCGAGAAGGTTGTCGATGTTGCTTGTGAAACCGAAACACGGGCTGAGCTTACAATGCTTGAATGGTTGTCGCTGGAAAGTCCTGTCAGCGACTAGAAACTTTGAGAAGGTTCCATCTGGTTCCACACTAAAATGACAAATTAAACACTCCAGGGTTAGGGTTATGGCAGCTTGGCGCAACAAAATAACCCTAACCCGCACCATGCTGTCCCAGCTGTGTGACTGTTAATGACAACGATAACAAGAAAAGGTGAGATTATACGGTGTCCCTAGGGAACTAGGCTCACCAGGTAAGAATTGCACTTCTGCCTTTGTCGATGAAGAGGTCCTATCTAATCGCGGGGCACTTTCGTGGGTTTGGGACACTCCGGCCTGGGCTTTAAACGCGCCGAGCCAGCCCCACTGTTCCCTCGGCAGACATCAAGTCGACCAAACAACTTCTGTTTTTCAATTCAATAAAACAGCACTTGTTTAATTGTTGCGAAGAGGAGGGTCTTTACCGGCCACAATTGTGACTATGAATTACTCAACTTTCACTACTACGGACAACTGCGTCCTTGCCTTCCAATCTTCCCTCCCTCTCGCCACTCCCACAAACCCCTCACTACCCCCTTCATCAACCTCATCGTCGACAACAAACCCAAACACCTGCATCCTCCTCCTCCACGGCTTCTCCGGTTCGTCCGCCTACTTCACCCGCAACACCACCCCGCTCTCATCTTCCCCCGCAAACCACTGGGTAGTATGTCCCGACATGCGCGGCCACGGCCGCTCCGGCCACAACCCCTCCCGCGGCGGCTTCCACGTCGCGCGTCTCGCAGCCGACCTACGCGAGCTTCTTCTCCATCTCCGCAAGAGTAACGCTCTACCCAACGGTTCCCCGCTCAAGGTGGTCCCCGTCGGTTGTTCCATCGGCGCAGCCGTAGTCTGGACCTACCTCGAACTTTTCGGCGAGACTAGCCTCGTCGCAGATGATGTTGAGCTGGCAGGATACGTATTTGTTGACCAGGCGCCACTACAGGACCGAGCGGCCCTTGGACTGGGCGGGACTTGGGGCGCGGGCCTAGCGCATCGCGGGTGTTTCGATGAAGAGACTATGTTGGCAGCGCAGCGGGCGTGGATGGCGGAAGATGCCGGCGTACGGAAGGAAACACACCGCGGTTTGGTGGGCGAGTGTTTGGGGTATCGATTTGCTCCGAATACTAGCGATTCCATTGGAGTAGAGGAGGCGGAGCGGGACGAGGAGTTTTTCACCGGGATTAGCGAGCTCTGTGATGGGACCTGGTTGGCCCGCTTGTTGGCGGACCATACTAGGTACGATCATCGGGAAGCGTGTGAAGGGATCACCAAGCCAGTGTTGGTCATGGCGGGTAAAAGGAGTGGGTGCTTCTCGCTGGAAGGGATGGGAGAAACAGTGAGACGGGCCAAGAGTGGAGGCAATGAAGATGCGGAGTTGATGGTGTTTGAATCAGGGCATTGGTTGTTCTACGAAGAGCCTGAGCGGTTCAACAAGGAATTGCTTGGGTTTGTAGAACGATGCACCAAAGAGAAAAAGAAGTGAGGTTGTTGGATTCAATCTATTACTGGGTTGCAGGTCCAGCCTATCCCTAGTCTTTGGGTTTGAATCTACCCTTACTCAACTTATTTGGCACTCCTAGATGAGTGAGCACCGTCGTTGGGCCGCGCTCCAACCAGTTATTCACCTCCTTGTCGCTCCCTACCCACACCATCCCTAGCATGCCCGCTGCGTTCGCTGCGTTCGCAATTACACCCTCCCACTTATCACTCCGTCGCGGAATCACCACTATCCATTTTTTATCCAGCACCACGTTATGGGGAACGGCAGGCTGCCCTTCCGCAGGCGGATTAATGCGCAGCGCCCGTGCAGCCTCTCGCAGAAGCTCCTGATACGCTGTCAACAGCTCCTGCGCTGGGGGCAATCCGTTTCGAAACTGGCGCTTGAACACCTTGAACGGGAGCTTATGCACTTCGCCATCAGGCCATAGCTGGAACTTCTCCGGCGCTGCAAATACCTGCATGTGCTTATGCAAGCGGCTACAGCCCCCCTTAATTCCGCAGTTGAAGATGGCGAGATGGCGCGTTGTGAAAGAGGAAATCACCCGGCCCACGGCCGTGATGTCGTCGAAGTCCAGTGGCTCGAATTGTCTCCGGAAGCCGTTCTTTGTGAGAATGAGGTAATGCGGCCTAACAGAGGGGAATTTGTTGATGGTGAGAAAGTGAGTATCCCCAATGGAAGCCACGTCGTAACCGGTCACGTCGATGTCGCTGCCGGGCCGGCATCCCTGGTGTTGAGCAGCGGCGTGTTGCTGGGGGTTGACAGGGGCTAGTGGTTTTTTGGCGTGGCTGTTGAGGATGCGGAACTCGAACTGTATTCTTGTTAGCTAAGGGGGGAACTTGGCATACTTACTGGCGTTGGTCTCACAGTAAGTTCCTGGTCTGTGCACATCACTGTACGATAATTTTCGTCAAAGATGACCAGACCCTTCGCAATTAGCTTGTTGAACTTAGCCAGGAGCCACGTTTCAGTCGACTGACTAGTCGACTGTGTCGACATGGTTTGCAAATTCCGATATGGTTGGGGTGATGCTTTTGGTGTGGGAACCTATGAGGGCGAATTGGGGTTTGTGTGGGATAACTTGTCTCCTGATACCGAGGTCAGACGTGAATTGGACTTTGGGTAGAATAGTCTTATATGAAGTTAAGAACAGCCGAGTTCGCGTCCAATTCGTTTGGCGGGAACCTGGGTTTGAAGTTACGATGACCCTGCCCCACAGCATGGCCGTGGTGTTTCGGCGGCCACCGTGCCAGCCTTCTAACTCGCGTATCTAACAACAAGTGAAGCAAATGCAAAGACACGTGCGAGGCACCGCTGGGCTCTTACTAAGCCTATAAGAAAGACAATCCCCCCCAATTCACCTCTTGTTATCGATTTTCTGTTCTCACATGTTTATTCGGGTATCAGTAATTATTGCACTAGTTAGCATTTGGGTGAAAAACTGAGCTGAGTGGTCAACCCAGACAAACCAGGGGCGGAAATTACGGCGGGCCCACTCCACAGGGCCGTCGCAGCCGCTGGTTTGTGACCAAACCTCTTGGCCCAGGTAATTTTGGGGAAATAACACATCAATTTTCGCAAGCGCTTGATGGCAGTCACGAGTTCGCCCGATCGCCCCTTCCCTTCTAAGGCTCTAAACCTAATGAAAATTTCCATTCCTTTTTTCCCAAATCCGCAACTGCCAAACTATGTCCAGACGCAAAACCTGTCTCAAACTCCACACACATCATGATTTCCTCCACAAACCGCTTTCCACGAATCGTTAGAACACAACGCGTCGCCCATTCTCACGGCCCTCACGGGCCTCGCCGCCTCACCCAGGTCGGCTTCACGGCCGCCACGAGTTTGGACCGTCCCAAGCGAGCTGGTCAGCCTTAGAACCTGTGAGGAAACTGGCCCCATTACGAAGTATCAGCCTCGTGAAAAGGTCAATTTTGTGGGGAATCCCCGACTAATTCATAGAATCCACCGCGTCCCAAGTTTCACCACACGACATCCATCAACTCAGTCGAGCATGAAGAGTCAGTTGCCAACCATGCGCGAATCTCATCCAAACAACAAATGAAACGCGGGGGTGAGAATTGCGCCGAAAGAGTTTCCACGGGACAACACTATTACCAGTTTTGAGCCCGAGCCACCGGAGGAGGTTCTGGAGCTGGCGCGCCAACGTGTGAGAGCCCGGACAACGGCCTCACGTTTCCATTGGGATACCCCTGATGGTAGGGCGCTTGTGGCGGTAATGCCATTGGGGGCAACCTCGTGCCGGAATGCGGGCCGCTCGAGGGGATGAATGGGGGCGGCGGCATACTCCGATCGACTGAGCCAGGGACCGACATTGGGACTGTGACCACCCCTGGGCCCGGGGCCCTGTCTAAATCAACGCCGTGTCCGGTAAATGCCGTCCCGAACTCGCTCCCGACCGGAAGCCCTGGCATCGGAAGAGCCCCCTGGCCGACACTCATGACCTCCGCCTGCGCTTCTCGCGTCTTCTGTGAGATCCGGCTATCTCGCCGGGCCCGATTCGTGTACGACCGAGCGTTGGACTGGATGGTCCGCAGCCCGGCGTTCATGCACTGTGCGAGATCTGTCAGCGCACTTATATGCGGCCTCAGCCCTGGTAAAAAGACTCACCAGCGCTTCCACGGTATCCCATTTCATCCCCACGCGGTCTGCCAACCCCGACCATATCTCGCGCCTCATATTCATATACTCGTTCGACACACTCTCCAACCTGCGTCCGGTGTAATCGTGTATTCCCCGTCGCTCGACCAGTCGCTCGTACCGTTTTCGACATGCGTTGGCCGATTTAGTCGGGAAATGGGCCTCCTTAAGATCGGCCCAGTTTTGGCCCTGCGACCGCGCCTGGATCAGTCGTTTGTCGTCATCCGCCGTCCACGTACCGTGGTTGTATATCGAGTATGGATACTCTGCCAGCGCCGCCGATTCATCGCCCACCAGGTCAGGATGTTGGATCTGCTTTTCGGATGTGGCGCCTTCCCTGTGTTCGCGGCCAGCTGTGGGCGAGGCTGTCTCGATATGTGCGGGGATAGGAACTCGTGGTGCGGTATTATCGGTCGTGGGAAGCGGAGGTGCTGCAAGCGGTAATGGGGGCAATAATGGTGGTGGTGGTGGAGGTGGTGGTGGATAGCGAAGTGATTCGACTCGAGGATCGGTGCTCGGTTGCTGGGCTGCAATCAAACGGTATCCCCCCGTCTGGGTTCCGAGACTTGGGAGCTGAGGACCGGACGAGCTGTTTCCCAACCGCTGGTTGGAGCTTATATCTCGACTGGAACGCCGCGGTGCGTGCCGTGACCTCGTCATCGCTATTGCTTCGAGTCACGGCTGGGTTGCCTCGCCTTTGGTGTATCGATGCCAAACCACTCTCTCGGCGTATCTTTCGACTCGATACGGGACGTTCAGGTTCTCCGCGGACTTTTCGGCCAGGGCAGTGACCAGATGTCGCTCGGTTCTCGTTCAACTCGGCCTCCTCGGGCGGTCAGGCTAGATCGGGATGATGAGGTAATTCTCCCCCCTTCCCCGGGGATCGGCCCTCTTGAAGCAGGCAGTCGCCTCCCCCGGAAGAACAGATCGCTGTGGAACCTCCCACTGCGAATCAGAGCGGGCCCGGAGGCCGCTGCAGAGGTGCCGGTGCAGAGGCGTGGGTCTAAAGGGCGGCCGCAGGATATGCGGCCTGGCTGTCTGCCTTTCAGGTTCAGCCCCGGGCACGACTTCGCCCCGCTGCTTGCTGCTCGCCGTCCACGGCCTGCACAGACGCCTAAGCGACCAGGCCAGACCAGACGGGACGGACAAAGTGTTCAGAGGTCAGCAGCTTTGTGGTCTCTCGACTCTCACATTGGAAACAAAAGAGGTGATTCTACGGTCCCATATTTTGTGGGCGATGAGAATGATTCGGGGGCACAGGACGGCACCCGCTCTTACCGGCGCCGCTTCCGGTCCACGATCCTAGACATCGATCTGAAAATACTACCCTTTGTTCACCATGGGAAAGGGGTTGGGACAGGGAACCACCTGGAACGTGCCAACTCAGGTCGCCAAGGGGGGAATGCACCGGACGGATTATTACTTTTTCCCGGCCTAGCTGCATCGAAGCAGCCATTCCAGAAGGCCTGCCAGACCGTTCTTCTCCCCTTTTGCTGCCAGCCAACTCGCTGTGCAGCGGGTCGTCTCTGGTTGCATGCCAAGCGAGCCCCTTCAGCCAGTAGCATCAGTTCGGGACATTACAGAGCGAACCACCAACCTGCAGGTGCAGGGTTTCACCGGGTCCCATCGAGGGCCGTCGGCCAAGTCAGTAGCCGGAGTATCTGAGAGACTCGGACCAGCCGTGGCTTGGAGTGCTTCACTTTTTGTCTCTGTTTTGGGGTCATGGGCGGCAGCTACGAGTGCGCGGGCCGTGTACGACAGCGCCCGGCAATATGAACTTTGGCGCAGCGGAAAACGAAGATAACCTTAGGACCCGCCCGTCAGCTGAGTGGGGTCGCCCTTCCAGGTTCATAGATCTCGTGTTAAACAAGATTGATTTCGGACTTCCTAGCACGATTATCCGCGTTGAAGAAAGGAGAAAAATATTAAACTCTGTGGTACGGCATGGGAAAGGTGAGCCCAAGATACTTGCCAAATCAAATATCGGGTACCACAACGTAATTAGCTCAACCCTTTCCCAAAACCCAAGCTAGGGCAACGGGCCCATCTACTCCTCGTCTTCCATTCTCTCCGTGTCTTCCCCAGCGTCGTCCATCATATCCTCCTCAATTTCAGTCTCGTACCCGTCCTGCCCCTCCTGCACAGCCCCGAACCCTACCTCTCCATCCTCCGTCTCGCTCTCCATCTCAAGTTCACTCCCAACTTCGCTCTCCCCTTCCCTCTCTAACTCACTTTCAGGTCCACCCTCAAACTCACTCCCACGCTCCTCCAAACCATCAGACCCATCCCCACCCTCACTATCCTCGCTATACTCACTACATTCACTGTCCTCCTCAGTATTACCCCCTTCCCCAAAAAACCGAGCCAACACCTCCGTCCTCTCCCGTAATTCCGGGCTAGGCTCAATCTCCACCCGCATGTCCACCCTCACCCAATCCCGGTGGCCCCGCGCGCGGATCATGTCGACTTGTTGGACTAGCTCGTTGGATGTGAGGCCTGTCATGGAGAGGTAGCGGCCGTCTGTGGCGGGGGTGTGGGAGTGGGTGGTTGCGGTTGGGGTGCTGCTTTTGGTCGTGCTGGTGGCATCGAGAGTGTTGTCGCTGGTGCTGCTGCTGGTAGTAGTGGTCATGGCTACGCCGTCCCAGATGAAGCCCCGTTCTGCGTGGTAGTCGATCTCACGGTTGAAATGGTAGGGTGTGTAGTGGACCATGTCACGGATGCGCACAAGACAGGCATTATCGATGGAGCGGAGGAAGAAATCGGGGGGTGTTGACGTTGGTGGTGATGTTGATGTTGATGTTGCTATTTCCACAGGCGGCGAAGAAACGGGTGCTGTGGCCAACGGCGAGTTAGGCGAAGTTGATTGGGATGGTCGGCCGGTGAGTATGTCGGTGCTGGAAGGTGGGTAGGAGATGGAGCTGGTGTCGGGGAGAAGGACGTGAGTGGCGAAGGTTATGGGGGAGAGAGGGTGGCTGTAGAGGGTTGTGCCGTCGTCGAGTCGGAGGGAGGCGGTGTCGTAGGTAGCTAGCGGCGGGGGGTCGGGGGTTGGGAGGCGGTAGTAGAGGGTTGTGCGGAGGTTGATTAGGAGAGGGGTAGAGGCGTGGAAAAGGGACATTTTGGTAGCTCAGGGACGGCCGTTTGCCGCCGTTAGTGTGAAGTGGTGTTTAGTAGTGAACAAAATGGATGCTGGGTGATGGAAAGAGAAGATTAGTAACTGGGTAAGCTATTTATACCTAGAGTAGCCAACAGATGCCCTCCTAGCCACTTTCTGTTGTGGGATTTCTTTACTAGGTACTCTCTTCAAAGGTCACGCCCAACGGCCCGGGCTTCAAAGCCTGTTCTAATAGAGTCACGAGAGTCCCGTTCAGCTATTTGGCACGCCGGAGAACGTTTGGCTGTTGACTTCAGCACGATAACACATGCAAAGCAGCAATTGTGATAAGGTGAATGCCCGATAGTGCTGATACAGCGAAGTCACCTTGTTCTTGAATGACGCGAACACAGAAGCAGTCCAGCGCAAGAACTAAAATCTCAATCAGTTGAATGATGAGAAAGAAAGAGGAAGAGGGAAGAGAATCAAAGACTGCCAGAACTAAGTCCCATTCATAACAACCACAGCCAACAAAGACAAGGCCCCAGGCGTAGACCCAGGCCACAAAGAGTAGCGAGTGAGCGTAATGTAATACCGTACAGCAACACCACAATCTCCCGTTACCACTAAGCAGCCTGGTAAGTCTCCTCAAACGCCGCCTTCTCCCTCTCAGCAAACTGCTCAAACGTGCCCACCTCCACACCCCAGCCCTTCGCAACCTCCTTCGCATCTTTATCCCCCAGCGGCCGCACATCCCGCAGCTCTTCCTGCATCGCCAACAAAGGGTTCGTCGGAATCCCCTCCTTGATCTGCTCATCCGTCAAATACTCCACCTTGATTTCCCGCCCGGCCGCACCGCCAATGATCTTCATCGCCCGCTCAAACGTCACCGTCTGGCTGATTACATCAACAACCCGTCCCTGAAACCTATCCGGATCCTGGAACGCAGCCACCGCAAACCGCGCGATATCCTCGTGGTCAATCATCGGCAATCCACTCGTCGGCCGAAACCCCACGGTAAACGCCCCGCTTTGTGTAGAGCCCGGGTACAGCATATTGACCCGCGGCGCGAGGAAGTTGCTCATGAAGAATCCCGGGCGGAGGATCGTCCAGCGCGGGAAGATGAAGGGCACGCTGTCCCCCGCCTGCAGACCGCGCTCTAGCTCGAGCTTGGAGCGGAAAACGACAGATAAGAAGTGCGACGGGTCGCGTTTCAGCACCGGCATGTCGATGCCGCTGCTGTAGACGACGTGTTGGACGCCTGCGGCGGTGGCGGCAGCCAGGATGGTTTCGCCGTCTTGACGTTCCGCATCCGGGTTGGTGATGTCCGGGACGAGGTTGAGGAAGAGAAGGTCGCAGCCGGTGAGGGCGGTGGTGAGCACGGCGGTGTCGTTCCAGGAGCCGGCGTGGACGTGGACGCCCAGGGAGGTCAGAGCCGTGGCGGCTGGGGAGGAAGGGTCGCGGGCGGTAGTGTGGACGGTCCAGTTGAGGGCGCGCAGTTGGCGGGCGAGGGCGCCGCCTTGGAGGCCGGTGGCGCCGCAGATGAAGATAGTGTGAGTAGCCATGGTGAATTATCTGAAGTGAGAACTATGGTTTGGGGATTTGTGGGTGTTCTTGTTGTTGTGTATAAGTAGAAGTTGGCGTTGGATCTGTGGAAAGGTTGTGTTGGACTTTTCCTGGAAATGGTGTTCTATTTAACGACACTCATACACTGCGCAAGTCCTACTTTAGGTCTTGGTTACAGCTCAACTTCATTAATTACATGGAAACAAATCATTGCGCCGGCAAGATCTGAGCAAAGGATTCAAAGTGTCCATGTGCGTTTCCTACGTCCCCACCAGGCGGATGTTCGTCATCTTCTCAGCCACCGGGCCGGTTTACACGGCGATGCCGGCCGGCGACAATATCTCCGGGGCTAAAAACGTTGTGCCGAATGCAGTGTGCTGCCGGGCTCGCTTCGCGCCGGCAGAGCCCGGGCCAATCAATCATCAATGCAAATGGCCCTGTGGTGATGCGGAGGAATGCGGCGAGTTTCTCGAGGCTAGGCCGGGCCCGAACAACATCCCGTCCGAGATCCTAACACATGGCGGCATTCAGACCATGGCCTCCACTAGTTACCACCTAGGTAGCCGTTGTCGACACCAAATAAGGATCAAGTAAGCGCGATAACCAAGTTCGTCAATTCGCACCCGTCCCCGAATCACACCTCCGGTACCCCGGTTACCCCCGAGCGGAACGGACACTTGCCAGTCCCGAAGCCAGACCCAACCAAAATGAGACGACAAAGCTGGAAATCCGCCCTCCCTGTAACTGTGGCTCACCTACTAATTGAGAATACATGCATCATGTATCCGTATCTGTACGGTCTCTTTGGCTTTCGGCCTGTTACTTTCGAGGGTTAGGGTTACGGGCAGCCATTCTCTTTTCCCCCATGTTTAGTATAGCTGGCAAGATCAACAAATGAATCGGCAAATAGTGTTGATGCCTTTCATCCTCATGATTACTCATTCTTGTGTTCTGTTCATCCAATCCTTGACCCATGGGTGGCTGTCAGCCCCAGGCAGAGCCAAGATCGCTCGATCAGAATCCCCCAGTGATATCCTGCATACAATGAGAAACCATACGAGATGTTGACGCTCTAGATGGTTCCATCTTAATGCTACCATGGCGAGCTCGCCGTCCTCGGGCACGAGTGACGTCGAGGTGGTCGGGCACGTCCTCCACAAACCTGCCCGTGTCACGCCGAAACCCGCGTTGCACATCGCAATGGAGGCGGGTGCCAGTCTTGGCCCTGCCTTGCCTAATCCACCACACCCAGTGGACGTACTCCCTTGTATGGCCACGATCAAGCCACGGCCAGAGATCGGGCTCAACACACTCTCGGGGGATCGAGCCAAAGGGAATCCAGGACAAGCGAACGGACATTTCGTCCTGGAGGTGAAAGTTATAGCGGTGGCGGAGCAAGTCGTGTCTAGCAATCTTCTGATCGGTCTTGCCGGCGCCGTACGGGTTTGGTGAAGAATCGTCAAGAAAGGATTGGGGTGTTCCCGTCCAAGCAGCGACAGCGGTGTCGGGACGCGCGAGGGAGCCAAAGCCCCAGCGCTCTTCTGTTGTGGAGAGGTAGAGAGCGATGCGGGAATGAATGGTAGGTAAGTCGCCCAGGAGGAGTAGGCCCACCCACCAGAGGGCGACACGGGGCCGGCGAAGGAGGAACACTCGCGCAAGCTGGGTGGGGTTAGGGGTAGAGGTGAGCACAGTGGAGATAGACGCGAGCCAGGGGTTAACCAGGTTGGCTGGGACGCTTGGTTGCCAGAAGATGCTCCACAGGACGGACCCGACGGAGCGCGGGTGCATGCTAATCGCCATGTAGTAGCGAAGGTCGGCCGTATACTGGCGGATTCGGGAGGGCTCAGTAGCGGGCTTACTAGGGAGGGAGGTTCTAGTGGGGGTCATGGAGCCGGGTTTAGGGAACCGCGGATTCTGACCATCATCACGGGTGAAGGGGAGGGCTAGAGCGGCGAGGAAGGCTGCTGTTGCCGGGGTAAGCCCACAGGGGGGGCCGTCGAGAAAGCCGTAGATGGTACAAAGCTCGATGAGCAACTTGGTGGCTTGGCACGAAGTCGGCGGCGACGGCGGCTGTTGGTCAAGCGGGAATGGCTCCGGTGGGACGACGATGCGAAAGCGCAGCGGACCAGAGCAGAAGGCAGCCCACGGAGGAAAGTCGGGTCGATTGCCGTCTCCACACCAGCCTGGCGTCGGGGAAAGCAGAGCACTGAGCCAGCGGACGAGTGCAGGAGAGGCAAACGCAGGCAGCTTCAAGCTTATCATGTCACAAACCGTGTCTTGGAGTGTGCTGGTGGCTACAGGGCTGAGGAAATGTTGCGCGTACGCGACCTTCCTACCCTGCAACTCTAGGAGCCGAGCCGGCAGGATGTACGACTAGCACATGGTCAGGATGGCGAGCCCTTTCTGTGATGCCTGTAGGCCGTCGTCATGGAGTGGCGGCTGGGCGGCGTGGATGCGGCATCCGACGGGCTTCGAGAAACAAAGCTGAAAATGCTTGCGTATGCCATGGGAATACTGAAAGTCCAGGTGGTCGCTAGTGGGGTCTGGTTTCTCATCACCCGCACGGTTAGCCTCGGGATCTGGGACGTACCACAGCGGTCTCCCGGTGAGAGCCCCCCGTTTCTCCGGGAGACGGGCGGGCAGGGCCGGGACGTCCTGCAGCATGATGGATGGATCGGCACACCCGGTAGGGAGGACGTGCAGCGGGAGGGACTCGGCTTCCTTGACGAGTCTGGTCCACGTAGCGCGGCCATCGTGGAAAACACGCTCTATCTCTGCCGTGATTGCGATGAGGGGGTCGTCGGCCGCGCCGCTCAAGATGTCCGGGAGATCCGTGGACGACGAGGCGGTTGAGCAGGAGCTGTCGTCACCAACTGCGGCATCGACGACGGGTCGAACGGGAACATCGATGAGTGCAGGGCCTTCCTTGCGGGGCTTAACATAGTCGGTCTTGACGATATACTCATTTGTACGGATCCAGTGGAGGATCTGCTCATGTCGAGGATCCATGACCGGTAGTTATGCTGTTGTTCCTCGTTAGTCGAGGCTCCAACAATTATTTGTGCTGTGCTCCCGTCGTCTCACGTGACAACGCGTTGCGCGCAAAGGTGCGACGCGTTGGGTTGTTTGCGAAGGAGACAAGGAGATGTAGCTTCCATCAAGTTGTTCCAAAAGGAGCCCGGTGTCCCAAGAAAAAACAAAGGAAATGGAAACTTACTCCTCTTACTTGAACGGGGTCAAGAGGTTTTGCCCAAAAGACAACGGACCTTCGAATAACATTACCCAGCACTGCGCAATTCATACAACAGGCATTAATTGTTTGTTGGTAATTAATTTCTGACATGGGTCACAGTCAAAATGTCAACTTTTGCTAAGCTACCTAGTTGAACACAACAACAACTAGTTAAAATGCCGCGAGTGCGAGCGATTGAGAATACCTGAAATCCAGCTCCTTTTGACCGTGCCTTTTCTGCTTTTCAGTGCGTTGGCAAAACCGCAATCTCACCCAGCGCTGAATGAGGCCTCTCTCTGTTTGTCCAAATGCAAAAGAAGCATAATAATTCGCAGCACAACTAACTTAGCACCCCCCACACCAACAAGGCCAACAAAGCTTTATTTCACAATTTCTGTGAAACCGCGTCATCCTAGCGTACCGAGCCGGGAGCTTTCATTTTCTCAAGATCTCCTTCAACCTGTGCATAACGTGTTGTGAGATGGGGTTGTTGTATCGAGTATGTTTTAGACGTCGGCCCGTTTCGGTCCGCGTTGGCTGCCAAAATGCCAAGCTGCAGCTGCTCGCCGACCGTTTCGCCCCGATTTGCACACGCAGACCTTGACCGGCAATGAGCCCCATCCTCTCAATGCAAACGAGGAACAATCTCCGAAATCACGCGTTTGAACCTCAACCAAACGGACTATGCGAAGCGATCGTGAACCCCAGCCGCGCACGATGCCGCATGTTACCGGCCCGACGCCAATCATTGTCTTGGCTTTTATTGACATCACGATAGTCGCGGCTTGGCAGGGCAAACGAGATGGGGTCTCATCGCCCGTTTAGGAAAGTTTCCAGGGAAGGCGTTTGCCAGAACGCGGTCCGGCCCCGGGTAGCCGTCATCGTCGACCCATCGTCAATGGCTTACCGAGATGGAGTCTTGCTCGGCCGATCGGGATCTTGCGGAGTCGTGGCGCTGCGATGAGCAAACCCCCCCTGAATAGGAGGAAATTGGGAATTTCCCGACTTCAGGAGACGGACTGACGGAGAAGAGGTTGAGACATTGGAGTTGAAAAGAAAACGCGGCGCTCTGCTCATCTGCAAAGTTGCTGAACTTTTTTTTCCTCTTATCCTCTCTCTCACAAAACATCGTACAACCGAATCCTGTCTGTCTTCGAGTCGCTCCAGCTCTCACGATCAACTCGCTGAACTCACGACACCAAACCACACACACCAACTCACCACAACCCCAAATCCACAATGTCTTCCGAGGCCCCCCAACTCGACGCCACCTCGGCCGCCATTCCCCAAACCGAGCAGTCCATCCCCCAGCAACAACAACAACAAGCCGACCAAGCAGACCAAGCCTCCACCAACGAGAAGGACGCCGCGGCCGCCACCGCCGAAGAGGCCGACCCTTCAAGCTCCACCAAGAAGCCCAGCCCGCTGAAGAAGATCAAGGGCGTGTTCAAGACGCTCTTCAGCTGCTTCCGCAAGCCGGCCGTGGGCGAGGACGGCGCCGTCGCTCCCGGGACGGCGAGCGGTGAGGCTTCGGCTGCTGCTGCTGTCGGCGAGGAGGGTGCTGATGCGGAGACCAAGTCGGATGTGGTGGAGATCACTGGGCCTGTGACGGCGGAGAAGGCGCCGGTTGTTGGGGAGGAGTTGACGGGTGGTGAGGGGCAGCCTTTGGAGCCAAAGATCGGGGGGAACTAACGAATTAATTAGAGGATGGTGAGTTTCTGAGTTTCTCTCCTTGTTTTTGTTTCTGTGGCGCTAACATTGTGGTAATTAAGGAAGTCTGTGTTACGTGTTCAAATATGGGGATGCTGAGATGACGAAGGGGGGTTTACATCGTTGTAATAATGTTCTTCCAATATACCCAACCGCTTAATTCCCCTCCGTTGATGGAGGGCAGATAATAGAATCAACTATCATCAACCTACACCGCTCGCTCATCATGACTGCTCCAGTTCCTGTTCCCTTTCATCCTGCTCCATCGCATCCCTGGCATGCCTCCTCTCCATTCTCCTCCCATACGCCGTCTTTTCTTCATGCCCAACCCCTTCCCACGTCTTCGTATCCGGCAGACCATACGTACTAATCCCCCGTCCCCACGTCGTCCACGGATACGTCCAACGCACCAACTCGGGCGGTACTTCCACGTCCGCTTCATCGATAACGTTACCCTCGCCCTGGCCTTCACTCGGCACCATCGCCCGCCAATCCTTCGGCTTGTCCCGATGGATCAAATACCCCCCCAAATGTCGATGCCACACGTCCGGCGGGATCCCATCACGTCCACCGTCACTATTGCCCCCGCTCCCATCACGTGTCCAGTGCCGTGCGAGTGCCAGACGTACTTGCCGATCGATACCGCGGTGGCCCGTGACGGTGGTGATGCGGTTGGCCCAACCGTGGCAGTAGACGGAGCGGTTGAGCGGGGAGAGGTCGCGGGCGACGGTTAGGGCCATGGGTGGGAGGGCGTGGGAGGTGATGAGCGGTTGGATGGATGCGAGGTCAATGTCTGGGACGATGGTTACGGGGAGGTGGAGGTCGGGGGGTACTGGGAGTGTGGACCAGGATTCGAGGTTTTGGCGGAGGGTTGAGGGGGATAGTGGACTCTCGTCTTGGGTGGGAGATGGAGGCAGGATAAAAGCTGCACGCGCTTCTTCGGAGTGTGTTGAGATGGCGTCGATAAGCCGGCGGAAGTAGGCCGCCGCGGCGCGAGTGCAAACCAGCTTGCGGCCGCGCAGAGCCGGGTACAGCACGGCGGATAAGATGTCTTGCCGGGCGACGAGCTCGTTGTTGTCCGTCTCGTGGTCGAGAATGGACCGCGTGATGATGCGCTGCTGGCATTCCGGCTGTTGGGGCACCGGGCCATGGTGCAGGTCCGTGACGAGGGCCACGAGTGCGCTCGGGTCAAGGTTGACGGTGTCTGTCAACCGTCCACAGTCGTCGGCGACGAGCGGGTCTCGGTCGTGGATGAGTGCTGCGATGGCATCTTTGAGGGGCGGTGGTGGCTCGGTGAGAAATGCGCTGTTGGCACAGCTCACGTTGACAGAGACATCGTTGCCCCCGATCTTGTGCCGGATGTAGTGGATCACCTTGTCCACCAGCTCCGATTTGCCTTCCTCGAGACCTGGCAAAATGAGACGCAAATGGTGGCAGTGATTCCACCGAGCAGCCCCAACGAGCTTCTTCACGGTATCTGCAAACTCGGTGTGCCCGACACCTTCTTCCTTCTCAGGTTCATCCTTCACCACTCCCGCATCATCCTCATCTTCCGACTCACTCGCCCACCCTTCCGCCACGACCTGGTACTCCAGCGTCTTAGGTGAGATAGCAATGAACTTGATCCACGTAGCACCGCTATCCACCACCGCATCAACAGCAACCGGCCGCTCCTGAAACGGCTGGTCTTTGTATGCCAACCACCCAGCATCCGCAGCCACAGGTAATCGCGGGCTTCGGGGAAAGTCCTTGTTGATAGCCACCAAGCCACGGCATTTCTTGACGACCGCCCATCGGTCGTCCCAGCAGCAGCTCTTGATGCCAAAGTACTGGGCTGGCGAGATGGCCGGGGCCGATGACGAGGTCGAGGACAAACGGTGTTTCTGGGCGGCCTTGTCTAGCGTGCGATGTTGCACCTTGAGCAGCGCGTTGAGCCCCCGCACCGGCCGGCTGGCCGCATCGGCTTCTTGCTGAAGGCGCTGCAGCTCTTGAAGGCAGCTCTCCCATTGCGTCAGAAGAAAATCTATACGTTGGTCGAGGGCGGCCTTCTCCTCGTTGGCGCTAAGGTTTGCTGGGGGGTTATGCTTCTGCTTGACATCATTTGCATGATTTTGATGGTGTTGGCCGTTCATGTGACCGTCGGCATCGGATTCATTCCCAGGTATCCCGTTTGTCATTCCCAATCCGGAGTGGGTGGCCAGAGCCATTTGTGACTCCATGCTTGGTTGGGGACATGGGTCGTTTTGTCCGTCCTCGGTTCTTCAAGCAAAGGGCTAAAGGGTGGTCACAAAAGAGTGTGCACTGCGGGCTGAGAGAAATTCCGGTGCAAACCAGCTGGCGGCAAGTGCTGTATGCTGTCAGGGTTAGGGTCCAAGAAATCTCAAGTCGAGGGCGTATCGACTCTTCCTCGTTTTGACACTGAAGCCGAGTAGAGCACTTTCGTCGGCCACTCGAGACACCTGATCATGGTGTGTGTAAGCCATATCCCTAACACCAGGCATCCCCGTTCAAGAATGCCAGGCTAGCACTTGAAAGCCCAGGCCGCGATGCTCAATCATGCCAAAACCTTCATGTATTCTTAGCGCTGACGGTATCTTTTCTGTCAGCTTTCCATCGGCCAACTCATGGCTTGTTGGTGTTGTGGCACGGTTGGGTCGCTGAGCCACATGCGGCTAGGGGTCAAGAAAAATACAAATAAGAACATGAGGAAGAAAAGAGAAAAAAAGGCCCAAGATGAGGAAAGGTAGTCACGCAAATAGACGCCCGCAATGCTAAAAATATTCGCACCAGGAGGGGGACCAAAACTTAACGGAAGGATGAATTGTAAAGGGATTATGGTTGTGTGATTTGGGTACATAGTGATTCGTCAGATATGGCCTCACGATAGCATGGCAGAGTACACCGACGGAAAAAGAGTGGCAAACATCCGTGAAAGGAATACTTCACGGTGTTTAAAAGATGCACGCATGTCACCAGCCAGTGTCAAGTCAGGCAGGTCAGTGAGAGAGATCATGGACACAGCTGCCCAAACACCATCCAAAACATCACCAAAAGTCAAAGCTAGCGACAACTCGTTTCGATCGAGTGACCTCCGGGTTATGAGCCCGGCGCGCTTCCCCTGCGCCATGCCGCTTTCTTGGGAGGTGCTCCCGTTGCATTTGGTTGGAAGCTGACAGTTGGAAACCGAGAATATATCTTCCTTGTTCGCTTGATTGTGACTCATTTTGCGCCGTGGGGTAAGACAACCTCTGGTGGGGTTTTCCGTGTCTGGGTGGCAGGGTGCCCACAACAAACCACACGCGAGGCAAGGGTCCTGTTGAGCCGCTTGTGCTGTTGAGCCGCCTGCCACTGTGGTGAGCCGGTAACCGTGATCCGTGGTGAGGCAGAAAAAAGCCCGTTTTGGAAAACGACTACAACTTTTTGGTCCCTCATGGGTGGGATGGCTCCAACCGCCGGACTGTGAATCCTTATTGACGATTTGGACAAGTTGACAGGCTTGACAGGCTCTTCACCTTCTTTAGCCAATCCCTTGTGTCCTCCTCCTCCACCTTTCGCTCACCGAACCAAGTCCGGTGGGCTCCACCGAACGGGTTCGAAGCCTGACTCGAGGCTCGATACGGCAATCCCCAATCATCAAGTTGTTGGCGGTGGACGTCGGGATAAAAGTGCCAAGCCCGGGAGTCTCCTGGGCGGGGCGGGCATGGCGGGCCAAGTATCGGCAGCGAGAGAGGGGTTGAAGAGCCTCCACATCTAACCGAGTTCTTGGAGCCCTTCGAGCGCTTTTGGAAATCGAGGGTTGTCGGTCAGGTTTTCTAGAGCGGAGGCTTTTCCTGGTCAGGTACTCGGATTCATCTGTATATCTCTGCTTTGGTCACCGACTGGTGTTTAGTTCGGGGAGTCGCGGGACCAGAGTTGGAAGCGAGCGTTGGCGGGGAACCTGGAATGTCTTGCTTGCGGACAGCTTGTCGCTCCTCCAACGTTAGTTATCTTGCACAGCCCTCTGTGCGAAGGGCCTTCGCTTTGGACTCCGTGTTGACCGTGGTCGAAACCCATTACCGACGAAAGAAAAGGGTAAGACTGCGAGAAAGATAGGCGCATCTCCAAGACGAGACTGGATCGGGGCTGGGCTCAACAAATATTGCACCGCCTTGATAGACTTGACAGATGCAGCTAGGCATTGGTTTCCTCGAAAACTCCAGTTGGGCAGCCGTTTGGGCAATCAGTACAACGTCAGGGTTTCGGTTGGCGACTTCCCCTGGGGCAACACCTTCTGTCTGCAAGAGAAGGATGAAGGAGGGCCGTCGTGAGCACCTTCCTTATCCGCTGCCCCTGCTATGTCTTGGCGATCTTGGCCGCTCCATCGCTCGGCCAAATCCCCAGAACGCCACAGGGACAAGCCCGGAAACCGATTGGGGTCCTTATCGCGATGCACCGCTCTGCAAGCCCGTTCCGCACCTTTTCGTCGCGCATCTCACCCCATCCCAACCATTTCTTCCCTGATCTTGACTCGCAAAAAGCTGGCTCACTGCCAGCTCAGCAACGGCCAAGCCTGGGCGCCACAATCACCGGGGGAGTTTAAGGACCCTCGGCCGACCTGCCAAGGTGCCAAACGCCCGGAGGAATGCACTGAAGCATCGTGCGAGATTCGTCCGGCGGGATTGCTGTTTGGGGCACCGAAGGCGTGCCCATGAGCTCTCCACCGACATGCGTGTCTTGTCTTGCGCAACCAAGGATTCTCCACAACCTCAACACAATCGACCTCGAGACACCCAAAACACCTTGGAGAAAGAAGGCTGGGCCCTGCGGTTCCCCAGGCTTGCCAGGGCCTCCAGGTGGCGCGCCGGGTTCCCCCGCTTCCAGCCATTGATGCTTGATTCGACGCCAGTGCACCAGCGGCCAAGATCTCAGCGCTGGTTCTGCTGGTTCTGTGCCCCGCCTTTGCAGGAAACATCCAGGGCCCGGTCGCCCGGAGCAGCTTCCAACTCGTTGGTGGTTGGTTATGGAAAGAGACCTAGAAATGGCGAGCTGCGAACCTTGAAGCGGCCAGCACGTCGTATTATTCGGCCCACGCCCTGTTGTCGACGCCTACACGTTGCGCGGCCACATCGCACGATGATTCTCGGGTTTGAGCAAGCGTTCGCTGCAACGGTGAGCAGTCTACACTACCACACTATGTAACTACACTAGTCCGGTGAGATTCGACCTCCTTGAGGAAAAAATGGGAAGGGCGCGCACCAGGCAACTCAGCTTGCTGGGATGATGGAACAACAGCACATGGCGAATCCAATCACCAACAATGGATGGTCCCGTCAGCGCGCGAGCTTGAACCCTGCTTGGTCAAGTTGCAGCATGCCATCCCGCCCAGCTGCCGTTACCCAAGGTGTGCCCCCCCAGCCTAGCCAAACCGTGGGTGAGCCTGCATTGTGCCGCTGCGCGACGCTCCAGATTGGCCGACCGAGAGAGGAAGGGGTCCCATTCTCGCCGGCCGACCGAGGATAGCCATTTCCTCACTAATCAGATGCCTAATCGATGCATGTTCGTCGCGCATGGGACGAACACACAGATTCGGTTGCGTGGAAGAATATTTTAAGAAACCTGGTCCCGACACAACCCTGCCTTGAACCGCTCCCATCCCTTCTTACTTCTTCCCCCTTCTCTGCGCCTTGGAGTGTTGTTGGCCGCTAGGTCCTCTCCCACCTCTCTAGTCCCCAATCCCAATCAGAGCGGAACCTAACACATTTCGCGACCGATCCAATCGCCCACCCACGGCAAAGAGGAGGCGCGCCAGCTATTCTTACGCGGCGGAGCGGCCGACAAACACCGAAGCAACCCCGAAGGGTGGAATCACCAACAGACAGCTCACCACACATACCACCACCATGGCGCGGTTCTTTTCTAGGAAGCGCGGCGACGACGAGGCCGAGAAGACAGCAACAACTCCTCCACAGGAAGTGCGACAGGAGGAGGCCCGCGTCGATGAAGACGCCGGCGCAGAAGATGACCTGCATCGGGGAATGAAGCCCCGGCAGCTGAGTGCGTCATTCTCCGGGATGGGGGACTTACAAAGGCATTGGAACCGGGCGCGTTGCTAATCCCGATTTCGTGATCAGACATGATGGCGATCGCTGGTGCGATTGGAACTGGTAAGCAACCCCGGCGCAATGGCTTGACGTGACCAAGAACATCGAAAAGAGGAGCACGGCGTAGGGGAAAGAGGCGAAATAGGTGGAGAGAAGGAGAGGAAGAGGGTCGAAAACGCATTGGAAAAAGAAAGCTAACTGAAGATCGCAGGTCTCGTTCTCGGTACGGGAACATCGCTCAAGCTCGGCCCGGGGTCTCTCCTAATCGGATACGCCATTATGGGATTCGTCGTCTACGTGGTCATGGTCGCGCTCGGTGAGATGGGCGCCTTCCTCCCGCACAAGAAGAGCTTCTCCGGATACGCCTCGCGGTTTGTCGACCCGGCCATGGGCTTTGCGACGGGCTGGAACTACTTCTTTAAATATGTCATCGTGCTACCGAACAATTTGACTGCGACGGGTATTCTGCTACAGAAATGGCGACCAGATATAAACGTCTCAGTTTGGATTGTGGTCTTTGGCGTGTGCATTATCGCGCTTAATGTACGCCTTTATTCTCTTGTTTTCCGTTCTCCCGGGGATGGGAAGTGAGGGATCCAGCTGACTGACCTCTCATAGATGATTCACGTCTCCTTCTTTGGCGAAGCCGAGTTCTGGATGTCGCTGATCAAAGCGCTCGTCATTGTCATGCTCATCCTTCTCTGCTTCATCATCGCGCTCGGCGGTGGCCCGAACCACGTCCGCACCGGCTTCTGGTTCTGGAAAGACCCAGGCGCCTTCGCCCAATACACGACTAGCGTTGGCGGCGTGACGACCGTCATCGGAGGTGAAACTGGCCGCTTCTTGGGCGTGTGGGCGTGCTTGGTCCAGGCCACGTTCGCTTACCTTGGTACCGAGCTGGTTGGTGTGGCCTTCGGCGAGACCCCGAACCCGCGCAAGAACGTGCCGCGCGCTGTCAACCAAACGCTGCTCCGTATTGTGTTCTTCTACATCGCCGGTGTGTTGGTGCTCGGCATGGCAGTGCCTTACAACAGCAAAGAGTTGCTCGACGCTACCTCCAAGGGCACTAGCGGATGTGGGTTCCCTTCTTTTTCTTTTTCTTTCGAAGGGTTTGGCTGTTTTATCGCGAATCAAGCAGGATGCTAACATCACCCCTTAACAGTGGCGTCCCCCTTCGTTGTCGCCGCTCAAGTCGCCGGTGTCAGCCATCTAGACGATGCCGTCAATGGCCTGCTCCTCATCTTCACCATCAGTGCCGCGAATTCGGACGTATACCTCGCCTCGCGCACAGTCTGGGCTCTCGGCAAGGACGGCCAGTCGCCGCACATCATGCAGCGCACCAACCGGAACGGCGTGCCCGTCCCCGCTGTCGCGCTGTCCTCCCTCTTCATCGCGCTGGGCTTCATGAACGCCACCAAGTCGTCGGCAACGGTCTTTGGCTACTTCGTCTCGCTGGTCACCGTTTTTGGCGCTCTCAACTGGATCGCCGTGCTGGTCAGCTACCTAGCCATGATGCGCGGAATGAAGGCACAGGGGATCCCCCGCGAGGTGATGCCGTACCGGAATATCTTGCTGCCGTGGGGCGCGTACATTGCGCTGGCCGTTACGGCGCTTGTCATCATCTTCAGCGGATATTCGGCTTTCATCCCGCACTTCCAGGTTGACAAGTTCTTGACGGCGTACATCGGCATTCCGGTCTATATTATTAATGTGTTGTGGTGGAAGCTTGTCAAGAAGACAAAGAGGGTCAAGGCGTCCGAGATGGACTTGGTCACGGGGAGGAGAGAGTGGGATTAAACGCGGCTTGTGTGGGGCAGGGCAGGGCAAGACAGAGCATTGCTTGTACAGGCAGGGGAACGTCGTCCGTGGTTGACTTGCTTGCTTAACATTGCCTACCCGGCTGCTTTTTCAGAAAGGGTCAGCTTCGAGCTTCAGGTGTTCTGGCGCAGGGCTATTTCGAGCACGTTGGCCCCGGTCTCTTCTTTTTTTCTCCGTCTCTCTTCTTTTTCGGGCAGTTCTGTCTGCACGTCCTGCTTGGCCTTTTTCGCAAGAACCGGGAAATGAACATAATGATTTCTCCATGAAGCATCGATGGGCGTTGATGAACGTCGCATTCCGCTTTCCCCTGGGGGTGCGGCATTTGTCAAGCCCCTTTCGTCACCCCGCAGAGGCTTCCATTTCGTTCTTTCGCTTCTTTGGCCCGTTTCAAAGCCTTCCATATCGGCATCTGCTCCTTCGTGACCACTCACGCGCCCCGAAACGCTGAACTTGTGTCTGACACTCAGTGCAAACAAAGTACAACTGTGGAGAATTCCTACCCCAGAGACGGGCTCGGTATGACCTGGCGTGGAGTTTGGCCGGGCGACGATCGAATCCCGACTTGGGAATCTTCGGCTCCCGCTCCGTGCACTTGCCCAGAGTCGCATTGGGCCCGCGCCGGACCCAGTCTAGCCGATTCTGATTCGCACAAAACAATGCCCAGACAACGACTTCCCAGGTTCGGCACCATGTTGTCGGCCGATCGTTGCTCGTCTTGCACGCAAGGCACGGAACCGTCCCTCCCACGGGCCGTTAAACCTGTCGATCCAATATCGGCGAAGAAGCAGAGCCCTGGCATGCCTGGCAAGTGATGACAACGGGCCATGCTTCGATCGCGCCGCGAGCCGTTTCCGCACTCTTGTTGATGAGGTCTGTATTAAGGGTTATTGGAGCAGGTAAGCAGGGTTGGGGGGGACGGAGGAATGGCGCGCGGCCCGGCTTGGTCCCCAGATATGGGGGACAGAATCTGGGGAAGACGGGGAAGGCGGAAAGAACGGGTTTTGATGACTCCAGAGACATGTATATATGAAGGGGCCGAAGGACCTCTGGATCCCTTCTGAGATCGTCCCTCAGTACCTCGTTTCCAAGTCAGACCACACGTGCTCCCTGCTCATCACTTTGTCGATCTCCCTTCCCCGGATTATTTTAAGACGATTTGCAGCGTGTCACCCGTACATCACCTGCCCAAGATGAAGACCACCAACGCCGCTGTCCTCGCTGCGGGTATCTTTTCCCAGTATGCCGCCGGCCACTCCATCTTCCAGCAAGCTGGTAGCGGCTCGACCGACTTCGACACCAAGTGCACCCGCCTACCGGTAAGCCCTAGACGGCCACCCACCCACGATCATCGACGCTGGTGAGAAGAAGATGGGACTGACAGACTTGCTTTGCAGCCAAACAACAACCCTGTCACCAGTGTCAGCAGCGGCGACATCGTCTGCAATGTTGGCGGTGCCTCGGCGAGCGCCTCGGGCATCTGCGAGGTGAACGGTACGAACTATCTTAATTCTCATCATCTACCTAAGAACGCCCCGGGGGAATTGACCACCTCATACTAACATACAAACACAGCCGGTGACCAGTTCGACGTGGAGATGCACGCGCAGCTCAACGACCGGTCGTGCTCCAACGAGGCCATCGGCGGGAACCACTATGGCCCGATCATGGTGTACATGAGCAAGGTCGACGACGCGTCCTCGGCCAACGGGTCCGGCGACTGGTTCAAGGTCGACGAGTTCGGCTACGACGCCAGCACCAAGACCTGGGGTACCGACTACCTCAACGCCAACTGCGGCAAGCGCGCCTTTAAGATCCCCAGCAAGATCCCCGCGGGCGACTACCTGGTTCGTGCTGAGGCCATCGCCCTGCACACCGCTGGCCAGACCGGCGGCGCTCAGTTCTACATGAGCTGCTACGTGAGTATCCTTTTCTTCAACATAACGTGTCAATCTTGAAGCAAAGATACAAAGATGCTAACCGGGTTGTTTTTCCCCCATTACAGCAAGTTCGGATCAACGGCGGCTCTGACGGCCAGCTCCCCGCTGGTGTCAAGTTCCCCGGTGCGTACAGCGCCTCGGACCCCGGCATTCTCATCGACATCTACTCGGCCGACCTCAGCACCTACCAGATCCCCGGCCCGGCCGTCATCGACTCAAGCTACTTCTAAGTTAGCGGTCTCGGGGGTTGGTGAAAGATGGAGTTGATAGGGTCATAAGTGATGAGATCAAGAAGACAGTGGGATGGGATAGATTAGGGAAATACCACGGTAGGGGGCTCGGGTGCATAGTCAATTTGGAGTCTCGGAAATATTAAGAACACAACTGTATACACCACGAATGCATCTTGTGTTTGAGTGAACTTTGTGACACTATCCATGTTTATTTCCATTCGACCTTTAGCCAGTGTATTTTAAAGATGCAAACTTCGAGTTTGACCTGGAGTTTTTTCTTAGTAGAAAATATGATAATATTCGCCCAACTAAGGTGGGGTAACTTCCTCGTTTTCCTGGGAACTTATTTTTCGATCTTTTTATCATTACACTTACTTTACCTAGCTGCATAAGTTCGCATCGATGTGTTGTCCTGAATTTACAAGCTGTAAAATAACAAAATTGGTTCTTGTATTGATTGACACTTGATTAGTGGTCTCCACTCTCTTCACCCCGCTGTTCCAGCAACTTTGATGTGCAAGCTGTACCCCTCAACTTTCAAGACCGCAAGACCGCATCTCACTCTTCACAACGTCGACCTCTGACAACTCTCACCTCGAATTACCTCCCACGCGAATACTCCCGGATTGCCCAAGCACTAGATTCGCACCTCCCACGCACCGGTCCAAGTACCAACTACCCCGCCAAAATGACAAAAACCCAAGAACCCACCATCACCTCGGTCACCGACCTACCCACCAGCGACGCCAAATGGCTCACCCTGCAACAAATCGCCTACGTCGACCAGACCGGCAAACCCCGCACCTGGGAAGTCGCCGCCCGCAAGACCCGCGCAGACTCCTCCGGCGGTGTCGACGCCGTCGCCATGGGCAACATCATCCTGCACCCGTCCCGGCCACCGGCCACCGTACTCGTGATCCAGTACCGCCCGCCGCTGGACGCGTACACGGTTGAGTGGCCCGCGGGGCTAGTGGATGAGGGGGAGAGCGTGGAGAAGGCGGCAGTGAGGGAGTTTCGCGAGGAGATTGGGTGGGAGTGCGAGGTGGTGAGTTTGAGTCCCGTGCAGGCGGCGGATCCGGGGATGAGCAGTGCGACGATGCAGATGGCAATGGTGGAGGTGCGGTTGGGGGAAAGGGATGATCCGCTGGCGTTGCCGGAGCAGAGGTTGGAGGATGGTGAGCATATTCAACGGGTCGTGGTGCCGCTGGCGGAGCTGTATCAGAAGTTGTCCGAGTATAGTGCCAGGGAGAGGACGATTGTGGCTGCGAAGCTGTTCCATTTTGCGGCGGGAATGGAGTTTACACGGACGATGGGGAAGCAATATGGGCTTTCGGGGTAAAGGGGGGGATATATCGGAGCGATACTAGCAAGTTTACATATTGCTATTTCTTCCTTTTCCTTTTCGAGTGCATTAATTACGTTGTTTTAAGGTAGAGCCAGCATTTCCAACTGGAAAATAAACAACTCCTTGCGGGCGCCGGCAGCTAAAGATTCCTGCCGTTCATTTTGATAGCGGCTCAGAGAGGTGTGGCGGTAGGCTGTGGCTCTCTACGCATTGAGTGTAATTATCAGGTTTACTCCGGGTCTAGGTGCTTTACCACGATCCTTGTGGATATGCGGGAAACTACACCAAGAGACGGAGATAGTTATGCAGAATACACAGATAGAACTGTCTAGTAAATAAGGACCAACAAGAGAGATACGACGGGAAAAGCTCGGACGGGGCGAGGACAAGCGGTCAGAGCTGGCTACTCCCAACCCCAGATGCAACACGAGGTGCATTTACAACTAGTAAGATGTTGGTTAAAGTAGGTAACTACGGGTCCGTACAAACCGGTATGGAATACATCATACGAGACAGGAGGCCACGTTCCTGAGATTCGACGCTTGGCGCATAAGTTCTACAGCGGGAAAGAAACATATGAGGCAGGACTGCTCTTCTTCGGCAAAACCTCGCGGTGTTTCAGAAAGTGCGGTTTGGCGAGTCGAAGCGGTGTGGGACTGGAGCTAATGCAACGGTGAAGAATCGGCATGAAGAGGCCCGCTCGTTTGCGAAATAAACCGGACAAGTTCATGCTATTATTAGCATGCACCCCGTCATCCTCATGGCCGTCATGCACCCAAATTGCAACAGATTTTGAATTGTTGTGTGCCTCAGGAAGAATTCTCTTTTTGTTTTGTTTTGGGCACTGCATGGTGACCTTGGTCTGCTTTGGGAGACAAATCAAGAGCCCAAACGGGCAGCAGCTAGCAGGTCATGCAGCCCAACACCAGTGTCAGGCGGGACATGGGGACCCACCTTTGTTGCCCCACCTCTGTGCACGGTTGCTGGGGCGCCAATCGTTGGCGCATGCGACAAGCCCCAGGCGACCAGGAGGAGCGACAAGCGGCCGCCAAGCCAAACATCCTCCGCTGATGAGTGTTCGAAGGGGGTCCCTCCTCCCTCTAACATCGACGACACCGCAATCGACGCCGACGACAAACCACCGCGCCAACAGGTAGGTAAGACCGTCGCGCGCCGCGACCAAACGACTTGGGAATTCTTGCGACACTTGCGGACTGGTTTTTCGCTCCGTTTTCTTCGATTTTCGACGCCCGCGGACCCTGAGCGACGATCCACCTCCCCGGTTGGTTGTGGTCTCCTGGTCGCAACACAAAAGGCGGAGGACGTCGTTGACCCATCATTGTCGCCAGGATTGCAGCGCCGTCGCCAACAGACGGCTACCGAACCCTCCTTTCTTCTTTTCGCCACTCGCGACGCACTTTCTCTTTTCGACATTTAATGATTACGACGCACGACCTTTCTTTTTAGTCACGACGCCAACTTCGCAACGCTCTTTCTCCCATTTTATTGAGTCGCTTTGTACACATGCGAAATCGCGCAGTACAGTACGCCGCTGCGTAACCAAAAAAAATAAAATCGCAACCACCTTCTAAATGTCCGAGCCGCCGTCATCCCCCCCGAGAGCAGGAACCAGTGTGGAGGATGCTTTGGCTTGGTATAAATCGCAATACGAGGTGCTAGAGGCGGAGCTCTCCGAGTTCCAGGCCTCCAGCAAAGAGCTCGAGGCGGAGCTTGAGAAGGATCTCGATGCGGCAGACAAGCGGGAGCGGTCACTCCGCCAAAAGGCGGAGGGGCTGACCTTCGAGGTTGAGGAATGGAAGGTGAGTCCGCTCTCTCGCGAAGAATACGCGGCTGTCCCAGTCAACCGGTCCGCTAATGTGCCTTAGCGGAAATACAAAGAGTCCAAGTCGGAGTCCAACTCCGCACAGAATGGTCTCGAAAAGGAAATCACGAGCCTGCGGGACGCCAACAGGACACTCCAGCTGAGACTTCGTGACATCGAAGTCGCGAATGACGATTTTGAACGACAGGCCCGGACCACCACCTCTTCTCTCGAAGATCTCGAATCCAAGTACAATATGGGCATAGAACGAGCCGTCATGCTGGAGGAGGAGATCAAGATTGGGGAGAAGGAGCGTGAACAGCTACGGGTAGAAGCGCAACGACTTCGGGAGGAGCTGTCCGACCTCAAGATCGAAGCCGAAATTCTGCAGGACAAGCTCAAAAAACAAGAGTCGCGGCACCTTTCCACCATCTCGACCGATATTTCTTCGATTCCCGGGTCACCATCTTTCTGCAACTCGCCACACTCGACTGCCAGTTCGCCAATGATCATGACTCCGCCGGACCTTAAGTCGCTATCCGCCGCGGACACGGTCCCCGAGCTTCACGGTCCCCCTTCGCCACCCATGTCGGACGCGTCTCTCCCACTCCCGAGAATGAGTTCGTTAAAGACCCCGGGCCCGCAACGCAAGAGCCGCCTCCCCTCTGCCGAAAATAGTACTACCCCGAAACCGAGAACGGCCACGACTTCGTCGTCTTCAGCTCGTGGGTCTCGTGCCGCGAATGGAACCGGCCCAATGCGGCAACCATCCGGGCGACCGTCGGCTGCTGCTAGGGCGAGCCTCGCCGCCCGCGGCATGTCGTCCTCAAACTCGCTGACCCATATCCGGACGCTTACCGCTCAAATGCAGAAGCTAGAGGCACGTGTGCAGTCAGCGCGATCGAAGCTGCCTGCTCCCAACGCCAATACAAACACTCCACCACGCTCCTCGCCGAGGGGTACTATGATCGTGCCGCCGAGCGTCACGATCCGCAGTCGGAAACGGGGGGCTGGGTCCAATGCATCCAGCCTAGCCGGCTCCGAATCTGCGGCTTCCCATACCCGCCACGGCACATCCGACTCGCGCAGCAGCATATCCACTAGCACAACCAAGCACGTTCCCCGGCTTAGTACGTCGGGCGTCTCGCGTCTTTCCTTCGGCCCCCTGCCTAACCGCAACCCCCCGTCTGCTACCCACTCCTCCAACAACCACACCACAAACGAACCAGATTACTCCCGCCCTAGCAGCCGCGCTAGCCTTTCCAGTTACACCCGCCCCGCGAGCCGCACCGAATCCCACCATTCCTCTACGACCATGCCGCCACCCCGCCCCATGAGCCGTGCCAGTATGTCAGGTAACCGCACGCCGCTCGCTCGTCCCCGCAGCAGCCTCGGCATGCACGGTCACGGGCATAGCGGCAGTGTCAGCTATGTCAACACGGCGGGACCGATGGTGGAAGCAGACGAATACACCGACAGCATCAGCGAGATCCCCACGCCAAGTCGACGTGGCACCTACAATCGACTAGACATGGAGGCGGCTGCCGCTGTTCATTCAGGCAGCGGGATCCCCATGCCGTCGTCGATTAGGCGGCAGAGCGGCGGTTCATCAGGGATTCCCATTGGGAGGAGGCCTAGTGGTGCTGCTTCAGGAACGAGAGTTTTGGGAGATTTGGGAGAGACGTATTGAAGTAGGCTAGAGGTTGAGGAAGTTGGGTATTCAGAGAGAACGGATAGATGGGACCAAACGAGGATTGTGAAGTGATGGTCACCATTGCTTTGCCCTCATAATACGTATATACCCCGGACGATACGGGGATGAGAGGAGGAATAACAGCAACAGAGAATGGGAGGGAATGAATTTGGATGCGGGATATCTGGGGTTTGACGGTTAGAATTGCCCCCCTTTCCCCTTCTACCCACTTCGTTCTGCGTGGTTTATCTGTCTGTCTGCCCAGTTGGGTCAGTTGCGACAGGAAGCGGATACCTTTTTGCCTGCATTGCTTTTTTGCATTGCATTGCTCTGCATGTTTCATGTTTTTATCTGCCTTCGCGCACTTTGTTTGGGTTGGTTTGGTTTATCATCGATATCGAAGCTGGTTTAGGATCTGGAGGGATTGTTGTGTTGGGAAGGGTTGGACCCTTGAGGAGGATTTGAGAAGGAAACGATGATGAGAGGCTTGGGTTCGGACGGTGGGGCGGTGGAGATGGGATTGGGTTCTGGATCGGCGAGGAGGTTTGATGAGGTTTGAGGGCAGTGAGGATGGGTGAGTGGTGGGGGTTGAGGATGATTGTGGGTTTTCTGGGTCTGCCATCTTTTTAAGGGGTTGGGTGGCTGCCGGTCGGTTGGATGGTTGGTTGGTTGGTTGGTTGGTGTTGGGTTGAAACGGACATACCTCTTTTATAACAAACTCGACTTATTCTTCTTTTCTTTTGTACTACAACACCGTTCTTCTCAATTCTGTTCACCGATTCGTGACTCGTCCCTTGCGCTTCTGGTCGGTTTCATGGTCATGCCCTAGTGTATTCTGGACTAATTCAGCTATGCTAATTCTTTTCGCGATTCCGAGGGACCCGGTTGTTTGATGATGCTAACACTCATTTAAGTGAGAGGTACATACCCAAGCAATCTCAATGTGTCCTGCTTATCGGTGGAGCTCTGCTCTAGGCTTCAGTCTCCCGAGACAGCTTATATCTTGTATAGTAGACCATATAGAGACAAAAAGCTTATGATGACATTACGGACATACATGCCTTACGTACACCACCTGCGTTTACGACAAAATTACGATAAACGTGCGTATTGCTTCACTTTTCGTCACGTTGGTCAACTCCGGATGTCTCGGCAGGGCCTTGCGATGATACTCCGCCCGCATTTCTCTTCATTGAAATTTTATTATTCCAGTTCCTAGCTAATTGTGGTTCGGATGACTCGCCGGCACGCGACAGAAAGAGTCGGGACGACAATGAGTCTGGCTGGGCGGGCAAAACGTGGCTCAACACCAGGGAATCCTGGACACGCTGGCCTGTGCGGAGAGCGGTTTTCTGAATGATTTATGTATTCATTGTGGTTATGTACAATGTTTAGCATAACCGATGCTATGCAGGTGACGCCATCCGGCCCGTCCCTCTCACGCCCTTGCAGGAGGAGCGTGGCCTAAATGGGCTCAGGCGCACTGTCCTTCTTTTGGCTTGGACCGAACTGCTCAGTATCTCCCACTGTGCGCTGTTGCGGGAACAGGAAGCGGGTGATTGCCGTAGGGCTGAGCGGGAAGATGTTGTGACAACAAGCTTGGGAGGGATGGGGTGCAACTGTCTTTGCATGGGATGTGGGTTATCGTACGATTTTTGCGTAAACGCGCAGGGTGGGACCGTCTGGTTGGGTCCGCTTGGAGACGATGCGGTCTGGGGAAGGACTGCTCCCTGGTCGGCGGCGTCGGCATCGGACCTGGCTTGTCTCATTGTAGAAGGTTATCTTAACAACACCTCATTACTATGTAGCTAAAGGACAAAGGAAACAGATTGTTATGAAATATCGATGAGGTTGACTGGAGCGCTGAAATTGACTGCACGCATTGGGCCGGAACCGGCACAGAGGTGGCTTGAAGACTTCGGGCACTTTTCGGTGCATTTATCTTTCGGAAATGGGTGCTTGTGCTTACGATGAATTTACATGAAAGATTGATGGAGCTGATCTCCTGTGTATCGATCCACGAACTCCATTGCGGTGACGGACGTAAGACGGAAGGCCGAGAATGGGCTCGCGGTTGACGTCTTATCTGCTGTTGCGGTCGTGAGCTGAGAGGACGAAATGCAGCCCAGTCTCCACTTTACAGCAATGCGTCCGGGCGTTACCGGAACTTACACGTGTACCTGCGGCCAAATCACTCCGGATTCCGTCTTTGTGCCCCGTCTGGCAAACATCATGGCCTACTCCGTAATGCGGGAGGGACGAGCTCTCGATGAGCATACTTTGGTAAGCAGAAATGGTTAGTCGTGTCGTCTCGTCTGAAAGCGCCATCCCCATGTCGCGGGGAGTGTTGGGGATCTGCGGGTCCCAACTCCGACCCCTGGCCGTTTCGAACATTTCACCGATCAGCTAGCGGGGGTACCCGACCGTTCGGTGGTGGGGACTCAACAATTGGGGATTTCATTTTCGAAACTCAGTGCGTGGCACCCACGGCGAGAACTCGCCGCTTGCTGCTCTCCTTCCTTTCCGGTCGCTATATCAGTTCGTCGAGCCCGTCTTTCGTTCGTCTCATAACTGAGTGGCTCTTGCGGGAGACGAACCATCCAGCTTGGATCTCGAATAGCTCAAGTCGGGCGGCGATGCATACTTCGTGGAATCATGTCGGGAACTTCCCCGGGGGTTGAGTTTTCGCTCGGTTGGTTTGTGGCGTGGGCGAAGATGCAAGCCGGCGGAAATTTGGTTGAACTGTCAGGTTTCGGTTGTTGAGATTGCCGTTGTCCCGTCCATGACAGAACCCCACTTGTCGCAAGTCAACGTTCAATCCTCCCACAGACGATTGAACACATCAACATGCAGACATCGTCGGAACTCGAACATTCCATTTGGCTAAGGAAGGGGCCGGGACTTGAGTTGACCTTGATCAACGCTCAGGTCGGTGAACTTCGTCTCTTTTCGGACGCCGGACCCCGATATCCGACGTCGGGTTCCCGACAGGATCTTGGCGTATCTCATAGTCCGAGGCTCGCCGCCTCCATGGACGTCCACCCCGCGTTGAAATGAGAAATCGCGACGAACGCTTTGGTAAGACATGGACGGGCCTATTTGGGAGCGCCCGGCCCAATATCGCGCCACGGCGGTAATCGCATGATGGTGGTCCGCATGGTTAGATAGGCCGTGGGATGCTGCAGGTAGCAGGCCCTTTCCCCAATCTCGAGACGCAAGTTTTCAACCTTTGCCCACCCGTCCGGGTGTCTTGAGGATTCGATGGGGCCTGAACAGGGGGCTGTCATGCAGCTTCCCCTTTCAACGGCTTGGAAGTTGGAGTGCTCGCACTGTATGTAGCTGTTCCCCTCCTTGCGTCTTCCAAAATACCCAGCGGCCGGGAAATAATTGAATTTAGAAAAAAATATACGGGAGGGACGAGAAGAAATAAGAAAGATTTCCAGGTCTGATTTCCCAGAAGATGCTTCGCACCGTCCCCCGAGGACCACCGACGGCTTCGGGCAGTTTTGGGGATGAAAAGAGGAAGTCCCCGCCTTGGGGTGACGGGCACCGTGCCCCACCACGTCGGTACACTGTCACTTTTTTCTGGCTCGGTCCCACTTCTCGTCCCAAGCGTGCAGGTTCCCACCAGAAACTCCCACATTGCCATTCATCTACCTGCTCCTCCTCCCCTTCCTGCCCAACGAACTGTCTCCCTTCCATTCTTTCCCTAATTCCAATCAAGACTACTTGCTGCGTGGTAACTACGGGGCACAAGACGACCTTTCGCTTCTTGTACTCTTTTTCGCCTTTCCCAACCTCTGTTCTAATCGGCTCCGAGTCTCAACACCTCGCAGATTTACCCACGATTCCTTTCTCACGACTCCTCCCACCCGCGGCCTAAAGCATCTTTTGTTCGAGACGCTTTCGCGGTACCTGAAGGTTCGATCCCCAGCTTGGGTTCTCGAGTTGGTTTATGTCATTGGGCCGTGCTTACAGCGGAACGCCGAGATCGCAGTTAGCAAGCATCCAGTTCGTGTGCTGGTGCTCTCCAAATTCGTTATCGATAGCCCGAAGCCCAAAGTCCGGGAAATTGTCCGACTCCGGTACTCGCTTCTTCGAGTCTTACACCCACCCTCGTGGTTTACACAAAGCGGTTGAACTCGGCCGGTGCTTCTCACAGTCATAATCTTGACATCCTTTACCTTCAGCAAGAATGGCGGAGTCCAACGCCCAGGGCAGCGGCGCTGAAGCCGTCCACACTAACGGCAAGACGACCTACGCCGAAAAACACAGCTTACCTTCTCACTTCATTGGCGGCAATGAGCTTGACAACGCCCCTGCGTCAAAAGTGAAGGACTTTGTGGCTAGCCACGATGGCCACACTGTTATTACAAACGTGAGTTGGGCCCTTCGACGTCTTGCCCGTTTGTGTCCTACCGCGAACATCAAGCTAACCGTTATCTCCCTAGGTCCTGATCGCCAACAACGGTATCGCTGCCGTCAAGGAGATTCGCTCCGTGCGGAAATGGGCGTACGAGACATTCGGCGACGAACGGGCTATTAAGTTTACCGTTATGGCCACGCCGGAAGACCTCCAAGCAAATGCTGATTACATTCGCATGGCGGACCACTACGTCGAGGTTCCCGGCGGCACGAATAACCATAATTATGCCAACGTAGAACTTATTGTGGACGTGGCGGAGCGCATGGATGTCCATGCAGTTTGGGCGGGATGGTGAGCCTATTCTTTCACGCGACAATCTGGCGCCTTCGGAGCTAACGGACAACCAATACAGGGGTCACGCATCCGAGAATCCAAAGCTTCCCGAGTCGCTGGCGGCGTCGCCAAAGAAGATTGTGTTTATCGGTCCCCCTGGTTCAGCCATGCGGTCTCTTGGTGACAAGATTTCGTCGACTATCGTCGCCCAGCACGCCGATGTGCCTTGCATTCCGTGGTCTGGGACGGGGGTTAGCGAGGTTAGCGTTGACAACAAGGGAATCGTGACCGTACCCGATGAGGTCTATTTGAAAGGTTGTGTGAGCTCATGGCAAGAAGGTCTGGAGAAGGCCAAGGAGATTGGCTTCCCGGTCATGGTCAAGGCATCTGAGGGTGGTGGTGGTAAAGGTATTCGCAAAGTCGTCGACGAGGAGAACTTTGAGGAGCTTTACAAGGCGGCCGCCAGCGAAATCCCCGGCTCGCCCATCTTCATTATGAAGCTGGCAGACAGCGCCAGGCATTTGGAGGTCCAATTGCTCGCCGATCAGTACGGCAACAACATTTCACTCTTTGGCAGAGACTGCTCGGTACAACGGAGACACCAAAAGATTATCGAAGAGGCCCCTGTCACCATTGCGAAGCCCATCACCTTCAAGGCCATGGAGGAAGCCGCCGTTCGCCTTGGGAGACTTGTCGGCTACGTTTCCGCCGGAACCGTCGAGTACCTTTACTCCCACGCTGATGATAAGTTCTACTTCCTCGAGCTCAACCCGCGCTTGCAGGTCGAGCATCCGACCACCGAGATGGTCAGCGGTGTCAACCTCCCGGCTGCCCAGCTTCAGGTTGCCATGGGTCTCCCGCTTCACCGGATCCGCGATATCAGGCTTCTGTACGGCGTCGATCCCAAGACGGCGACCGAAATTGACTTCGAGTTCAAAAACCCCGAGAGCGAGAAGAGCCAACGGCGGCCCACCCCCAAGGGTCACACCACGGCCTGCCGTATTACCTCCGAAGACCCCGGCGAGGGATTCAAGCCTTCGAACGGTGTCCTTCACGATCTCAACTTCCGCTCGAGCTCCAATGTGTGGGGTTACTTCTCTGTCGGCTCGGCCGGTGGTATCCACAGTTTCTCGGACTCGCAATTTGGTCACATTTTTGCCTATGGCGAGAACCGTGCTGCTTCGCGGAAGCACATGGTTGTCGCCTTGAAGGAGCTGAGCATCCGTGGTGATTTCCGCACGACCGTCGAGTACCTGATCAAGCTTCTTGAAACGGACGCCTTTGAGCAGAACACGATCACAACGGGATGGCTTGACGAACTTATTTCCAAGAGACTTACCGCTGAGCGGCCTGATCCCAATCTCGCCATCGTTTGCGGTGCCGTGACCCAGGCTCACATCGCTAGCGAGTCGTGCATCGCCGAGTACCGCGGTGGCCTCGAGAAAGGCCAGGTGCCGGCGAAAGACATTCTTAGGACAGTTTTCCCCGTCGATTTCATTTACGAGGGGTTCCGCTACAAGTTCACCGTTACTCGCTCGAGCACCGACAGCTACCGTCTCTTCATCAACGGTTCCAAGTGTACTGTGGGAGTCCGCGCCCTGAGTGACGGTGGCCTTCTGGTGCTCCTTAACGGCCGCAGCCACAACATATACTGGAAGGAGGAAGTGGCGGCCACACGCATGTCTGTGGACGGCAAGACATGCCTGCTTGAGCAGGAAAACGACCCCACGCAGCTCCGGACCCCTTCGCCGGGAAAGCTCGTCAAGTACACCGTTGACAATGGCGCCCACGTCCGACGTAACCAAACCTTTGCCGAGGTGGAGGTTATGAAGATGTACATGCCACTCGTTGCCCAGGAGGACGGTATTGTGCAGCTGATCAAGCAGCCGGGCGCAGCACTGGAGGCTGGTGACATTCTTGGTATCCTTGCGCTTGACGACCCCAGCCGTGTTAAGCAGGCTCAGCCATTCCTTGGCCAGCTGCCGAACTACGGCACCCCCGTCGTTGTTGGTAACAAGCCCTCGCAGCGGTTTTCACTTCAGTACAACATCCTTCTCAACATCCTCATGGGTTTTGACAACCAAGTTGTCATGCTTGACAGCTTGAAGGAACTTGTTGCCGTCCTTCGCGACCCCAAGCTACCGTACAGCGAGTTCGCAGCGCAATTCTCTGCCCTTCACGCCCGCATGCCCCAGAAACTTGACGCTCAGTTTACGCAAGTTCTGGAGCGTTCGGCGCAAAGGCAAGCTGAGTTCCCGTCGCGGAATCTTTCCAAGGTGTTCCAAAAGTTCCTTGACGACAATGTTCCCGTCCAAGCCGATGCCGACATGCTCAAGGGTACACTATCGCCCCTTACCGCGATCCTCGACATGTATGCGGACGGCCAGAAGAACCGCGAGTTGAATGTTATCTCGGATTTGTTGACCCAGTACGCCGATGTCGAACGCCTCTTCTCCGGCCGCCGGTTGCAGGACGAGGAGGTTATTCTGAAGCTCCGTGACCAGAACAAGGACGACATCCAAAAAGTTGTCCAAACCGTTCTCTCCCATAGCAGGGTTGCGGCCAAGAACTCCCTCGTCCTTGCCATTCTGGAGGAGTACCGTCCCAACAAGCCCCACGTCGGTAACGTGGGCAAGATCCTCCGCCCCGTTCTTCGCAAGCTGGCTGAACTTGAGTCTCGACAAACTGCTAAGGTCTCTCTCAAGGCTCGCGAGATCCTCATCCAGTGCGCTTTGCCGTCATTGGAGGAAAGGACCGCGCAGATGGAGCACATCCTCCGCTCGTCGGTCGTGGAGTCTCGGTACGGTGAGACCGGCTGGGACCACCGCGAGCCAAGCCTGGAGATTATCAAGGAGGTTGTGGACTCCAAGTACACCGTTTTCGACGTGTTGACCCTTTTCTTTGCGCACGAAGACCCGTGGGTCTCGCTCGCGGCATTGGAGACGTACGTCCGCCGGGCTTACCGTGCCTACATTCTCAAGAAGATCGAGTACCACACCGACGAGACCGATACGCCCTCCTTTGTGTCCTGGGACTTTGCGCTCCGCAAGATCGGCCAGTCCGAGTTTGGCCTGCCTCTCCAGTCGGCCGCCCCTTCGACCCCGGCGACCCCCGTCGACCACAGCTTCTCGCGCATTCACTCCATCAGCGACATGTCGTACCTGACTTCTAGGACACAGGACGAGCCAGTGCGGAAGGGTGTGATCATTCCCTGCAAGTATATTGACGATGCGGAGGAGATCCTTTCTCGGGCGCTCGACACCTTGCCGTCTCAAGGGAACCGCAGGAGGGTACCCAACCCCCTCGCTGAGCTGAACGACAGGCGCAGGCCCGCGCCGCCCCAGCGTCTCGACACCTCCGATGAACTCTCCGCCGTCGTCAACGTGGCGGTCCGCGACGCCGAGGGCCGCAGCGACGATGAGACGCTCAAGGATATCCTGCCCCTTGTTCAGCAGTTTAAGGATGAGCTCTTCGCTCGCCGTGTCCGCCGGCTGACCTTCATCTGCGGCCGGAATGACGGATCCTACCCGGCCTACTACACCTTCAGGGGCCCCAACTACGTCGAGGACGACAGCATCCGTCACATCGAGCCTTCTCTTGCCTTCCAACTCGAGCTTGGACGTCTGTCCAAGTTCAAGATCAAGCCCGTGTTCACCGAAAACAAGAACATCCATGTGTACGAGGGCATTGGCAAGGACGTCGAGACTGATCGCCGTTTCTTCACCCGTGCGGTTATTCGCCCCGGGAGGCTCCGTGATGAGATTCCTACGGCTGAATACCTCATCTCGGAGGCGGACCGCGTTATTAACGACATCTTTGACGCCCTGGAGATCATTGGCACGAGCAATTCCGATCTCAACCACATGTTCATCAACTTCAGCCCCATTTTCCAACTGCAGCCTAAAGAGGTTGAGCACTCGCTTCAGGGCTTCCTGGACCGGTTTGGTCCCCGTGGCTGGCGTCTGCGCGTTGCCCAGGTCGAAATCCGCATCATCTGCACCAACCCCGAGACCGGCACGCCGTACCCGTTGCGTGTTATTATCACCAACACCTCGGGTTACGTTATCCAGGTGGAGATGTATGAGGAACGCAAGTCGGAGAAGGGTGAATGGGTGTTCCAGTCGATCGGTGGCACCACCAAGATCGGCTCGATGCATCTCCTCCCGGTCTCGACCCCGTATCCGACCAAGAACTGGCTGCAGCCCAAGCGTTACAAGGCGCACATCATGGGTACCCAATACGTCTACGACTTCCCTGAGCTTTTCCGCCAAGCCATTCAAAACAGCTGGACCAGCGCAGTGAAGGCCAACCCCGGCTTGGCCACGCTCCAGCCCCCGACTGGCGAGTGCATCGACTATAACGAGCTGGTGTTGGACGACCAAGACAAGCTGGCAGAGGTAGCTCGCGAGCCTGGTACTAACACTTGCGGTATGGTCGGTTGGTTGATTAACGCCCGCACTCCCGAGTACCCTAAGGGGCGCAAGTTTGTTGTCGTGGCCAATGATATCACCTACAACATCGGGTCCTTCGGCCCCAAGGAGGACAATTTCTTCTACAAGTGCACCGAATTGGCCCGTAAGCTGGGCATTCCGCGCATTTACCTCTCGGCCAACTCTGGTGCCCGCTTGGGTCTGGCTACCGAGTTGATGCCTCACTTCAGCGTGGCCTGGAACGATGCTGAGAAGCCCGAGGCCGGCTTCAAGTACCTCTACCTTTCGGAGGAGGCCAGGGCCCGGTTTGAGAACGAGGTGATCACTGAGGAGATCACGGAAGACGGCGAGAAGCGGCACAAGATCGTTACGATCGTCGGTGCCGAAGACGGCTTGGGTGTTGAATGTTTGCGTGGATCCGGTTTAATTGCTGGTGCCACGAGCAGGGCTTACACCGACATCTTCACCTGCACGTTGGTGACCTGCCGCTCCGTCGGTAAGTTTATATTTCCCCTATTGGCCTTGTTCTAATGAAAACATTCAAGCTAACCAGTGTGCCTAGGTATTGGTGCTTACCTTGTCCGTCTCGGTCAACGTGCCGTGCAAATCGAAGGCCAGCCAATCATCCTCACCGGTGCCCCGGCGCTCAACAACCTGCTTGGTCGTGAGGTGTACACCTCTAACCTGCAACTTGGTGGTACCCAGATCATGTACCGCAACGGTGTGTCGCATTTGACAGCCAACGATGACTTCGCCGGTGTTTCCAAGATTGTGGAATGGATGTCGTTTGTGCCCGACAAGCGTAACAGTCCGGTGCCTATTAGCCCCAGTGTCGACGATTGGGATCGCGACGTCGTGTACACGCCACCGCAGAAGCAACCCTACGACGTTCGGTGGATGATTGCCGGCAAAGAAGACGCCGACGGCTTTCAGCCCGGTCTTTTTGACAAGGACTCGTTCGTCGAGTCTCTCGGTGGCTGGGCCCGGACCGTTGTGGTCGGTCGTGCCCGTCTGGCTGGCATCCCCATGGGTGTCATTGCGGTCGAGACCCGCTCCGTCGAGAACATCACGCCGGCCGACCCTGCTAACCCAGACTCGATTGAGCAGCTTAGCAACGAAGCCGGCGGTGTCTGGTACCCCAACTCGGCGTTCAAGACTGCCCAGGCCATCAACGACTTCAACCACGGTGAGCAGCTGCCATTGATGATTCTCGCCAACTGGCGTGGGTTCTCGGGCGGTCAGCGTGACATGTACAACGAGGTCCTCAAGTACGGCTCCTTCATTGTGGACGCCTTGGTCAAGTTTGAGCAGCCCGTGTTCATCTACATCCCGCCGTTCGGCGAACTCCGTGGTGGTTCGTGGGTCGTCGTGGACCCGACCATCAACGAGACCTTCATGGAGATGTACGCAGATGTCGAGGCCCGCGGTGGTGTCTTGGAGCCCGAGGGTATTGTTGGTATCAAGTACCGCAAGGACAAGCAGCTCGAGACGATGGCCCGTCTTGACCCGCAGTACGCGAGCCTCAAGAAGCAGATGGCCAAGGAGGGTCTGTCCAAGGAGGAGGCCGCCAACATCAAGAAGCAAATGACGGAGCGGGAGCAGCATCTGCTCCCTGTGTATGCCCAGATCAGCCTGCAGTACGCCGACCTGCACGACCGTGCCGGTCGCATGAAGGCGAAGGGCGTTATTCGGGAGGTGCTGGAGTGGCGCGAAGCTCGCCGCTTCTTCTACTGGCGTGTGCGCAGGAGGCTTAACGAGGAACACATCTTGCGCCGCATCAACAACGCCATTTCGGATGCAGGTGTCCGTCCCAAGACCGACAAGAGCGAAGTGCGTGCCCGCCACCTCCAACTATTGGAGGCGTGGTGTAATGTTCCCAACTTTGCGACCAACGACCGCGAGGTCTCCACCTGGTATGAGCAGAATAGGAAAATCGTGCACGACAAGGTTGAGGCTCTCAAGAATGAGGCCCTCGCAGCTGAGGTGCGGGAGCTAGTGCGCAACGGCAGCAATGACAGCGAGGAGGCGACAGAGAGCGCGGCTTGGAAGGGTGTGCGCGACATGCTGCGCGTGATGCCGGTGGAGGAGCGGGACAAGGTTCTTGAGTATCTCAAACAGGTTTGAGTGGGGGGTAAACGAATGCACAGGAATTAGAGTTTGGGGTGGCATAGATTTAAAGAGTGTATGAGAAACGAACGGGACTGGATGTGGGTAGTTTGGGTGATGAATAGCTAGCGCATGGTTAAGTCTTCTTGTTAGCGATTGTGAGATTATGTTTGCTACACTACCCCTTGCTACCTACTCTACCTTTGATCAATGTGACATGGTGCGATCCGTGACCACGATGTGCCTGGGTGTCAAGTTTCCACTATTCGAGACTGTTTGCCACGTTGTTCTACCGTCCACAGTTAGGTTGGTTTATTCTAGGTAGGCGTCCACGAGCTGCAGGTTTCGGTTTTAGGGGGCGTCGGTATGTAGATTCGGTGGATTTTGTAGGCCGCTTTCTAGTTCGGGAGGTGTTTATAAGGGGCCCGCCCCAAGTTTGTCGTTCCAATAACTTTGTGTTTCCCCCCTTAGGGGACAGCACATCACCCTAACTCCCCAATAGGGCTTACAATGAGGGAAATGAGGAAACGGTCTTGCCTCAGATGCTCGTTTGTCGTCGGGCTCACTTGTTGACACCATGACTGTTGTTTATGGGTAACGTTGTTGAGACAATGACAGTTTTTTGGAAGATGGTACGGGGGATATCACAAGAGTTTTAAGACAAGAGGGGTGAACGACACCGGCGATGTGTCGATTCGGTTGACCCATGGTGAAGGTGTTATGTGCTGGCCTTGTTTAATCGGAGTATAAATTTGGGGGCCTCTTAAACTGTTATATTTCTTTATTCCCTCCTCTCTTACTCCCATTAGCTAAGGGTTTATCAAGCTCTCATCTTGAGTGAACCAACCTACATATTTCTAACCATCCTTAGCTGCAACAGCAAACAAACACTTACAAACAATAAGAACAAGAACATACACCACCAGAAATGCCCGCAACACTACAAGTCCACCAACAACCCCGGCCCCAAGTGATCCACGGCGAGAAGATGAACCCGCCCATCGAAATTCAAGCCATCATCCCATCCAACAGCCCGGGATTTACGAACATAGGCAACCTCACGGCTATGGCGGCTGTGTATGATAACAACGACAATCCGCTTCAATACCACGAGTATGAGGGTGTCTGGGGGACTCGTGCACCAGGGGTGCAGACTGTGGGGGGCAATAAGGTTGTGACGTTTACCTTCCCGGATTTGAAGATTGATCGGTTGGGGACTCTGTATGTGAGGGTGGCGGTACATTATACGGATGCTCAGGGGAGCGTGGTGTTATCTTCTGATGATAGTTGGAAGTTTATGGTTGAATGAGTCGGGAGGAGGAGTGGGCGGTTTAACAGATTCTGGGAGATGTTTTGGTTTCTTTTTTTGTTCCGCTGTTGGGAAGAGATTCCCTTACTGCGTTGAGTTAGTAAATTGCTTCTTGGAAATGTATTGGGCAATTATCGGGATGGCTGATCCTGGAGTATGAGATTAAAAGGCGGTGGTTTTGCTACAACACGTTTGGGTAAGTTAAATTATGATTTCCTTGCCGGCTTTTGCAATGGTTTAGAGAATAAAGTGTTACTAAGCCCACTTACAAGACTTTGTGATTCAGGGCTAAACTTAACGGAAATTTTGTCGCCCCAATCGGGTGGAATGTTTCGAAAGTTGTTAGATGGTGGAAACCTTAATGTTAACGTCTTAGTTAATGTTAATATTAATGATATAAATATGACTCGAAACTTTAACAAGAATTGATTCAAGATGGGATTAAGCAAATGAATGAGTTTGACTCTTAAAAACTGTTGAAACCTGCTCTAAAAACATGACAGGGTATTTCTCAATGTAGTACATGGCCCAGAAGGGCGACGCAGAAGAGCAGCGACATAAAACCTGTGTAAGTGAGCATGTGGTCGGTTCCCCTGTTGTTTGCGGATTTCCCAATTGGGAGTCAGGTGGAACGTGTGCGGTGGTTCACAAAACCCCCACCCAGCCATAGGGCAAAAGGTGAGGCGCCCCACCATACCCACACAACCCACAGGCCGCAGAACCCACACCGAAATGCGGGAACGCAGTGGCGGATTCCGTCACTCGTACATAACCTCTGGGTTCAAGCTTGTACCTCAACAAATTCACTAGCCTGCCCGGCTAGCTCAATCGGTAGAGCGTGAGACTCTTAAATCACGCGGTTCTAGGACCCAATCTCAAGGTTGTGGGTTCGACCCCCACGTCGGGCTCAATTCCCGGCAAGCGATTGCCTCTTTTTTCGTATTTTTTACTACCGTCTGGAATGGATAGAGACCTCGGCTTCCTTTTTTCCGTTTTTGTTTTTTTTTCTTTAATTTTTTTGGTAAGGGAGGGGGCAGTGGCAATATCTGGCTACGGGGCCCACGAGAATTTGAACTGGTGGTTCGGCCGCTTGCCATGACACTTGCGGTTTATCATATTGCAGACGAGCTGCTCACCTCAAACCAATTCGGCGTCAACTTATTCGTACAGCGACATATGTGCCCGCCCCCGTCGGATAACTAGCGTTGACTTCCCCGGCTCCTTGACACCGAGCTCGCCATGATAGACGGTTGCGACGAGGAAAAGTAAAACCAGAAGCCGCGAACCGCGGCCGACTCTCTTATTTTGCCCCTGAAGCGTACTATTCGCATTGTTGCACGAAAAACGCTTCGCACAACGCCGAGCAACGCTGGCTCTCCCGTTCTTAGAAAATAAATACTTGATGTACTGGTGTAAGCGACCCAAATCCCAGTAAAAAAGGAAAAATAAAAGAGCGCCAAATAAAGTGGTATAATACATCCTGAACGTCGCCCTAGACTCAAGGTCCCCGCGAGTCTGAGAGGCCACCACGAACTCAACGCGTGGTGTCTGTCGGTAGAAACGGGCGATGAACCTGGTCCCATTACCCGGCACCCCTCTCTTGACCGAACCTGTTTTTTGTATCGACTGGTGTGTTGGTTTAAGTAGTGCCGCTGCTGTGACGCGGCCGCTTGTGTGCCCTGCTGGGAGTCGCACCGGGGTGCATCTTCTCGTTGCGTTCGCGCTTGAGTTTCTCGTCGAGGACGCGGGCTGTGAGTAGGGGGTGGTTAGTGAGAGTTGAATTTGGGCTAAGAGGCGCCAAAGCAAATACACGAGGTGGAAGGACTTACTGAGCACGTCGTAACCGAACTGGGGGTATTCGAGACACAGGCTGCGGAACTCCTCTTCGGCCTCGGCGCGTAGGGTGTGAGAGCGGGTGGCCCAGAAGTTGGCGACAGGGGCGCGGATGGCGACGTCCTCCTTGGCGGTGAAGCCGTAGACGTAGCGGGCGTAGGCGATCTCGCCCTTGGCGGTCGAGTTGACGCAGTGGATCTTGCTAGAGGCGAGGTTCTTGAGTGCGGCGAGGCCGAACTTTTCGGCTAGCGTGTACACCTTGGCGTGCTTGAGGAGCTGGTCGCCCGTCAGGTCGACTTCTGGGATCGTCGGGTCCTTCTCTAGCGTGCGCTGTCCCGGCACTTTGCGTGGGAAGTAGTCGCCAGTGTAGAGGAACTCGAGGAAGCAGCCAGTAGCGTCAATATGCTCACTGAGAAGCTCGATCTGGCGGGGCTGTACGGGAACCGAGAGACGTCAGTAACCATATTTAACGACTCAACACCCGTCTCTCCAGCGTGTGTAAACCCTGCCAAAGAAACCGGGCGAAAAGGCCCAAAAAGCCTACGCTCCCATCATCCGCAAACTCCGCACACGCCTCCTGGAAATATGGGCTCTGCACCAACAAGCCCTGATGCGCCGTCAAGATGGTCTCCGTCTCGCCCGACCCAACAAGCAGCGTCACGATCGGACTAGATAGGTATTGCAGGAAGGTCGTCCGTTGTGGGACCGCTGGTTCTTCCTCCCCCGTGTCTTCGGGCCCACTCTCGGCGAACGGTAGTTCGGAGGTTTCGTTGTTGCCGCCGGTGTTCTCGGCGCTCGTAGCGGCTGCGGCCGCGGCGTCACCGCCCTCGGCCATTGTTTTTGAGTCTGTAAGTTTTCTGGTAGGATCTTCGTTGTACTGGGGTCTCGAATGGGATTAATCGATGGCGCTTTGTTGTTTGGTAGGGTTGGGAATGAATGAATGCGCTTATGAATGGTGGGTTGTCGATTGTTTTGATTCACGAGAGGAATGGTTCGAAGGAGAGACCGAGGATTCGGGACCGTCTATTGGCATTAACCAGATGGAAAAAACAGTAAAAAAAAGGAGAAAAGATGCGATTAACAATGGAAGGAGTGAGATGAATGCGGGGAGACAGGGCCTAGAACCGCGGTGTGGAAGCAATGGCTGTTGTCGCAAACCTGCCTGGTAGGGAAATTAAGAGGCGGGCAAAGAGAGCTTGAAGCTTCAGTTCAATTGCTGGTTGCCGGGGCGCTGGGGCAGCACAGGGATGAAGTTCCGGCAATAGGGTGGGTCCGTGCCTGGGGGCCCACAGTTTTCCCTCGACAAGAAGATTCCATCAAGCATCTCGCAAACGAACATTCCACATTGAGCCGAGGGTTCAAATGGAACAGCTTCAGCCATCGTGATGCTCCGTTTGCACGCTCTCCAGCAGAGGAATCTTTTTAGCCGGGGGTTAAGATATTATTGTGTATTTATACATGTCCCTTTTGCAATTCCAAGTCACTATTTACACCAAACCACATCATCATTGAACATTTCCACCAACTCAAAGTTAATCTCCTCCATGGATCCTTAACCCCCCCCCCCTTAACGGCGCGTTGCAGTCCCATTCGCCGCCGGCGGCGCCGGCCACTCATCAAGCACAACAGCATCCCCTTCCAGGGTAAACTGCACACTCGCAGCCTCCTGCACCGGCTCATCAAGCGACAGCGTGTACGTGCCCGGGTACAGCACCGTGTTCCCGTTCTCATCATGCCGCGCAAGGTTACCAACGGTCCACTCCAGCGTCGCGGTGGCGGGCGCATCGGTCTTGACGGCGCTCACGCGGGTGTATGAGGCGAGGGTCTTGCGCGGGTAGGGCTTGGGTCCGTACTCGCCGGACACAAAGGCTAGGACGACGTAGTCGGATGTGCGGTTGCCCGTGTTGGTGACGTTGACGGTGAGTGGCGGGAGGGGGCAGGTGTCCGGGTAGGTGTTGGTGCAGTCGGTGAGGAGGTCTTTGATGGCGGTGGTTTTGACGGTGACGGGTTTGACGTTGCCTTTGCCTTTGCCTTTGCCTTGGCCGTTGTTGGATTTGCCGTTGGTCTTACCGTTGTTCTTGCCGTTGCCGTTATTGGCGCCCGAGGAGGAGAACAGGGAGTGCTCGCCGAAGGCAGCGGTGAAGGTGGTGTAGTGCAGGCCGAAACCGAAGGGCTTGATCGGGGTGGAGTACCAGCGGTAGGTGCGGCCCGGGTTGGTCTCGGATGGGCGGAGGTTCATGTCGGTGACGGGGACGGCGTCGGTGTAGTTGGCCGGGTACTGGGTGGCTGGGAGACGACCGGCTGGGCTTTGAGCGCCGCGGAGGAGGTCGATGACGGCTGTGCCGCCGTCCTGACCGGGCCAGTTGGCCCACAGAAGCGCGTTGATGACGCCGTCGAGTTCGAGGATCGGGGTGTCGTCGATCTGATCGCCCATGCGCACCACGACGATGGGCTTGCCGAGTTTGCCGAGCTCCTCGAGCAGGGCTACTTGGGCTGTGGGCCAGTCGAGCGTCATGCGGTCCTTGGTCTCGCCCGCGGCCGAGGTATCGAGCCCGCCAAAGTACAGGATGTAGTCGGCGTCCTGGGCGGCCTCGAGGGCCGGGGCCGTCCAGGTGTCGTTGTCGCCAGCGTCCTGGAGGATCGGCCCGTCGGCCACCTTGACGGTCCAGCCCAGCTGCTTGGCGGCATACGCGGGGGAGTGCATGAACGCGGCCGAACCGCTGTACCCGCCGGACAGCTTATCACCCGCATCGGCCCAGAACCCGATCAGGGCTACCGTCTTGTCCTTGATGTCCTCCGGCAGCGGCAGAGTGTTGGTGTCGTCGTTCTTGAGCAGCACGATGCCCTCGGTGGCCACCTGCAGGGCGAGCTGCTGCGACTCGGGCTTGTTGACGTCCTCCCAGCTCAGCGAGGCGTGGGTGGAGTTGTCGCCGTCGAAGTAGCCCACGCGCACGAGACTGCGATACAGCCGCTGCAGGGCGCGGTCGACAGTCGGCCAGGTCAGATACCCACCCGACGAGGCACCCGGGATGTCGGAGGAGCCCGAGTACTCGCAGCTGGTGTCCATGCCGGCCTCGAAGCACATGCCGGTGCCCTCGGCGTTGCTGCTAGCGTAGTGGTGGTTCAGCCACACGTCGGACACGGCCTCGCAGTCGCTGGTGATGTAGTTGTCGTGCTCGGTCCAGTTCCAGTGCTCGCGGAGGATGGTGTCCATGAGGTACGAGTTGGCGCACGACGGCACGCCGTTGACGGCGTTGTACGCGCACATGATGGACCCCACGCGCGAGTCGCGCACGCACTGCTGGAAGGGAGCCAGGAAGTACTCGGCGAGGTCCTGCGTCGAGATGATGGCGTCGAAGTTGTGCCGGTTCGAGCCGTTCCAGTCCTCAAAGTCGTTGCCCGCGTAGTGCTTGCACGTCGAGATGATGCGCGGCTCGGCGCTGCGGTCGTCCTCGAGACCCTCGAGGCCGCGGATCATGGACGCCGCGTACCGCTTGAGCCGCAGGACGTCCTCGCCGGGGGTCTCGGAGCCGCGGCCCCAGCGGGGATCACGGAACGGGTTGACGTTGGGGGTCCAGTAGTCGAGGCCGGACCAGCCGCTGTTGCCGAAGGCGCGGGCCTCGGTACCGATGACATTGCCGATGTCCTCGATCAGCTGGTCGTTGAAGGCGGCCGCCATCAGCAGCGGCATCGGGAACGACGTCGACGAGTTGAACTCGCCATCGCCCTCCTTGAACTGTGTACCGGGAGCAGCGGCTACGCCGTGAAGACCCTCGCTCCACCAGTTGTACGCCGGCAGGCCGATGCGGGAAGCACCCGGTGACTTGCTGTGATAATCCAAGTCAAAGTGTTAGTCGTGGATGGTTAACCATTGTTGTGTCCATCGGCCCTGTATGTGCAGACTGCTATGTAGTATGCACTACACACCCACACCCCACACAGAAGAAACAGAAGAAACACGTACCTGACTAGGTTGTCTAGCTTCTCCTCGTCGGTTAGGGCAGCCACGAGGGCAGCGGCCCGGTCCGCTTCGGAGAGGGTGCGATCGCACACCGCGATCTCCGAGAGAGGCCCCTGGGAGCAGTCGGGGTATGTCTGAAAGGGCTCATTGGCGCGGGCCACGGCGCTCATGCCGACGAGGCACGAGACAAGGCCGACGCGGCGTGAGACGGAAGCGGTCCTCATGATGCCGGCGGTGTGTCGTCAGACGGAAGTATCTCGGAGTCACCGAGTCGGACGGAGAGTCGCAGACAAATGACGAGATAACAAGCCAGCCGGAACACACTCTCGATCTGGATCAAGTTTCCCCACGCAAACAACTGCAACACAAAGTGACCTACCACACCCTCACCTTGGGGCTCCCGTTTCATCAGAATATGTAGTCCATGGCACCTCATACCCCGACAACGCGGGGAACGACCCACAGCCACTTTGTTATGTCATATCGGGCATATTAACCGTGACTAGCTCCAGACTAACTGCAGACTAGCTTCGACAGAGTAATTCTTCCTCTTCTTCTCTCGTCTTGTTCTCGGCTGTGTGTTGCCTATGTATGGCCCGGCTCCTCGGAAGGGTCGAGCTGTTCACCCGGTCTGCGGGACAAACAATATGGAGAGCCGTTGGGACGATAGGACGGGATGGCTGGCAACAGGTGTGGCCCGATTGGGGCGCATCCCCCTTTGAGCAAAACCGAGCCTCTGGTCCCTTGGCAGTCCCTGTTAGTCCCTGGCAGAAACCTGGCGATCACCCCACCTCGCCTCGCCCGATGCCCGGATATTGGTCTCCGGAACCCGCTTCCCTGGCCCAGTTCGGTAAAGCAGCGTTACATTCCGGATCGTCGGTTTCTGGGGGCCGGGGGTTGGATATCTTCCACGCAAACATCCACGCGCGCCAATTGGGTTCGACAACCAACAAAACCTCCAGAACCACACATTCCCAGCCGCATCCCGACATGAATTCGTGGTGCCCTTGGACGAGCACAGGTTCCTGAGAAACGTACAAAAGGGGCAAGCAGCCTCCATGACCTCCGAGCAGCATCCCCGTTGCGGAGCGGATGCCAAAGACCGACTCGACGGAGCGAGAGAAGCACCGGAGACCGTCCGAGCCCATGTCTACCATAGTATGGACCCGCGGTTTCAACGTTAATGACCAACCCCCCCCCCCCCTTAGGGCAGGGCTACCCCCGGCATTTGAGATCGGCTTGGAGGGTACAGGCAAGGCAAACAAGGCAGGGCTGCGGGCGCTACCGCGTGGAGGGTCACGTTCAAGGCGTGCAAGTCAGCAAGACTGCCGGGGGAAACAGTCCTTGTTGCAACGCTGGAGGTCGAAGCGAGGGGAATAAGCCTTCTGTAGGAGGATGGTGGACTGGAAGCCGACAAATCAACGCGGATCGCAGCGCCATAGTAGTAGTCGGGCCTTTTTGACATCATCGACGATGTCGGGGGTGTCCTCCCTCTGGTCGGCAGTCGTCGGCAGTGTGTTTCCCAACGGCGAGACTTTCAACGTCGTGCAACTGGTATAAGAGGAGGGTAGATCCGAGAGATCGTGAAACAGGCAGTCACAGACATCTAACCCCACGCGCTAGTGTCCAACAAGACAGACAGACCAACCCGTCTTAACAAAACCATCACCATGCAGCTGTCTCTGCTCCTCCTCTCCTCCGTCGCGGCCGCGACCCCTCTGACGGCCGTCGACAAGCGTCAAACAGCCACGCTCTGCGAGCAATACGGCTACTGGTCCGGCAACGGCTACGAGGTTAACAACAACAACTGGGGCAAGGACGCCGGCTCCGGCCAGCAGTGCACCTATGTCGACAATGCCAGCAGTAGCGGCGTGACCTGGCACACGACCTGGAACTGGAGCGGCGGCGAAAACAACGTCAAGAGCTACGCCAACTGCGGCTTGCAGGTGCCGGCCGGCCGTCTGGTCTCTAGCATCAACAGCATGAAGACTTCCGTCTCGTGGACTCTGACTAACAGCAATGTCCGCGCTGATGTTGCGTACGATATCTTCACCGCTGCCGACCCCAACCACGACCACAGCAGCGGTGACTACGAACTCATGATCTGGTAGGTTATCCGTGTTGATCGAGAGAGGGAGAAGAGGAACCTCCCGAAAAAAAACAAAGAGTGCAACTAACCCCTAACTTTTTACAGGCTCGCCCGGCTCGGCGACGTCTACCCCATCGGTACCTCGCAAGGCAACGTCAACGTGGCCGGCCAAAACTGGGACCTCTGGGTAGGCAACAACGGCGCCATGAAGGTCTTCAGCTTCATCGCGGGGAGCCCCGTCAACAGCTTCAACGCCGACGTCAAGGAGTTCTACACCTACCTCGAGAGCAGCCAGGGCTTCCCCTCTAGCAGCCAGTACCTTCTTAGTAAGATTCTCCCTCTTTTCCTCCTGCTCCTGCGTTGGATTGCAATCTTAGTTGGAGGATATGATATACTAACCGACTTCCCCCCTGCTACAGCCTTCCAAATGGGTACTGAGCCCTTCACTGGTGAACAGACTACCCTCACCGTCAACAACTACTCCGTCAACCTCGCTTAAGCGGGATATGGAAAACATGGGGGTCAGCCGGTCGGTCCTCAAACCCCCAACGCCAATGTCACCTGGCTTGACTTGGCCGTACATAGTATTGAAACCAAGTGAACTTGTTTATTTATAGCACGTAAATACTAGTTTATTTTTGGATTTTGGTTTCCCCATGGTTTAATATCGTGTCACATATTAGTGAAAGTCGTAATGGTCATCTTGCGCCAAGTGGTTGTGCTTAGTTGAGACCAGTGATTCCTGAATCAGAATTTTGGTAGTAATATCGTCTCTGTTGAGTACTGAAGCGAGATAGAGACGGTCATATCATACCTCGCAGTAACATTTTTAACCGATAATATCCGAGCTCCGGATGGAGAGAAGACAAGTAGAGCCGCTCTTCAATTCGAATTGCATTACACGAATGGTTCTGCGCCTGGGTATCTAGCTATGAAACAAAACAGCAAGCGACGTATTGTAATACATTATTATATAGCAACACAACAGCTCCCGCATTTGGCAGCCGCCCAATTGGGACATCTCAACCCCCCATTCCTCACTCCCCAAGGGCCTTCGCGCTAGCCCTCCGGGCCCGCCCACTACGGCGCGCCGTCGGATTACCTGCCGCGTTCGCCTCCATCCCCTTGACCTTTTCCACCCTCCCTCTCATGACCCCGCCACTTGACTCACTACGTGCCACAGAGCTCGACATACTGCTGCGGTCCCCGCCGAGCCGATCCCTCCAGGGCTTGCGGCCCCGGATGATAGCCTCGTCCTCCGGGTGCAGGAAACGGTTGATAAGCCTGTGGTCCAGCACGCGTTCCTCCTTGTCGTGCTTGCCGGCCGGTGCCGTCTTGGGCCACACGAACCCGTAGAGCTTGGAGTGGCGCTCGCACCGGGCGCAGTTGGCCCGCGTGTAGTATGCGTCGCGCTGGACGAACGCGGTGTTGCAGTTGGTGCAATGGATCCATGCGGTCTCGGGCTCAGAAAGGAGGAGAGGTGTGAGCGTGTAGTCGCCGGGGATGCGGAGTCTATCCGCGGGCTTGCTGACGGGTGGCTCGAGGGCTCCACGTTTCTTTCGCCTCGTTGTTGGGGTCGGACCGGCCGCAGCATTCTCTTCGGCAGGCTCTGTGACTGTTATAAGATCCGCCAAGGCTGGAGCTGCGCTCGCCTCTCGCTTGATTCTCGTCTCCGTTTCCTCCTGGTGCTTGCCCTGATCGTTAAGAACGGGCAATACCGGCTCAGCAAGCGGACCAGCGTCCACTGTACTGAGATGTTCCAAGATTGTCTCTTGGGAATCCTGGCGTTCCCGATTTTCCGCGTCCTGGAGGCGCAATAACTCGGCAGAAATGGGCAGTACCGTCGCTGGGGCTGCAACAGGCTGTTGTGGTGTTTCCTCTTCGGGCCTGGAGGAAGGAGCGGCCACGTCGAGTTCTTCGCGTTTTGTCACGGATAAAATAGACGTAGGCTTGGGTGCCTCCGACGAACTCGCCAAGGGGGCAACGCTCTGCTTGACGGGAGATAATTCTGGCGAAAGGAGAGGGTCCGGGTTGTCGGATTCCGGCGACGTGGCCTCCGTAAGAACCGCTTTGTCGTCCTCTGACGACACAGATTCGCTCGCCGCCCCACTCGTCGTTGGACTATCCCTGGAAAACCTAGCGTCCATCACTATTGGAACGACTTCATATTGGGTTGTTTTCGGGCGTTTGGCCGGCGTGAGCGGGGGTGAGCTGAGACACATAGTATCTAGCTTTCGTTTCCGGCGAACGGCTGGGACACTCAGCATATCGGGGTCGGCGGAATCCGTTGTTGATGTTCTTTCGCCAGCCCTCGATTGATTCCTTGCGGTCTTCAAGACTCGGGGTCGGATATCCGGCGTGACTGACGGTGTGCGGGAGCCCGTGGCGCTAGCACTGCGGTCCCGTTGCCGTCGGCGTAGCGAATACCCTTGGTCGACGCAAAATGTGGCGGGCTCAATGCTCCTATGCACTGACGCCGCGCCCTCTGCGCCCTTCCATCCGTTCGTAGCGTTGTCCTCGCAGGTTTGGCAGAGGCAGTCGCAATTATCTTCTCCAAAGTAGCTCTCACTGTAGGTGACTGTGATTTCTTCGCCCATATCAATGTCCCGGCTCGCGAAGATTTCGATCCCTGCCTGGCCGCGAGTAACGAGCCGGGCATTCGCCTTGCAGTCGTGGTTTGCAAACCTCGCTGGCCCCATGAACAGGCTTGTCAGTTTGCTCCTGCTGCTCACCACGAGGCTGAAATCCTTTTTGCGCAGTGCCAATTGAGCCTCCTCCTCCGGCGAGACAGTCACCTGGATACCAGCCAAGTACTTGATTGCTTCATTGCGTCGAATGGGCCGTCGCGCTGTGATACTCGCTTCGTATGACTCGATCGTGTAACGGTTTGTTGCATTTACTTCAAACGGGCAGTCGGGTAGGTAAATGGACATGTAACGTCGGAGATGCCCCTTGAAATCCTCCTTCTCTTTGAGCGTCTTGAGAGAGTTGTGGAACTTCTTCAGCCCGTCGGTCGCTAAGAGTTTCTCCTCGGCGATGGCCACCTCCGGATTGACAATCAGGTGAGTCTGGATGATATTCGCAATCTCTTCCTCCCGGACGCCGCGTGAAGGGTGGTATGAAGGGCGGTTCTTCGGGATCGTTGTCCAGTAGTACACCTACGGATTGCCATTAGCTAGAGGTTCACTGCGATCCAATTGGGGACAACTTACGTGGTCGACCAAAGCGTCGGTCAAGATGTCATCGTATGCCGCAAGTTGGCCAAAGGTAAGCGCCTGTTTTTTGCCGGCTGAGGTTGCTGGCCGAGGCATCGTGAGGAGTTATGTGTCGATCGGGCACCCAGAGCGGTCGTATTAGTAGAATGGGTCGGGTCTTGTTGTCGTGATGATAATTGTATTAAAAGGGGGTAGGAGATCTTTCGACGGGAGGAATATCGTTGGAACGGTGAGGCGGGTGAATGAACGGCGGATAAGGGAGAGTGAGGCCACCGTTGCCAATACTAGGTGTGATGGGTGGTGGCTGTAAGGAGTGGATGTGCGGCGTCTGGTGTCGCGACCGCAATAGGAGAATAAGCGAATGTCAGCTTCTCATGCCCGGGTTGACAACCTCATGCGACTGACTGCATGAGCTGTCTGAGCGTTGCGTCTTGGTCGACTGGCAAGGCGGGCCAGCGGCGGCAAGAGCACGTGTCAGGGGCAGGCGATCAGCCGGAGCTGAGGCAGGATGGAAGAGCAACAACAAAAGAAATTGTTGCTCAGCCGCCCGCTGCGATTTTCCAACCGCAATTGGTGTACCAATCGACAAACTGCAGCGAGTGATTGTTCTGAGTTGCCGCTGTGCTCCCACTGGTTGCCGAGAATTGGATCGGGGAGGCTGTCGTCATAAACCAGGGGGATTCGAGATCGAGACACACAAACCGCTGGAAATGCGGTCGAGTTTTGATTGGTGATTGTGCTGTAAGGAGTAATGTTCGGAGAAAAGTAGGAAAAGGTTGATGGTGGGCGGAAAGCGAGTTACCACGCTTTACAAAGTAGTGTAACCTTCTCCAATTCAGAAAGCAGCTGAATGAACAATAGCAAAGAAACAAGGTATCAGAGATGATGCAAAGGAAAGAACGGGTTCCATGGCTTTGGCCCCTCCTCTCCCCATGCTGCTGTTGCCCTGGAAATAGGGAGGCTAGGCGGCTTGACCAGACAGGGAAGGAACCCCCTGCAGTCATTGCTTTGCGCAACCACGGTGATTCGTTCATCGGGATGACATGCGCCCCACTCCAGCTGGGGTCACACCCCTCCAAGCTGTTGCGGAATTGCACAGACCATTGGTAACTAAGTTCGGAATTATGTCAGCGAGGCTGAGCCTTGCCGGAGCGCGCCAGCCGCGAACAATTTTCTACGGCTGGCAATTGGCTGGGTGCACGAGGAGTGGGCTTCAACATCCGAACTTCGAAGTCGAACGCAGCAGGACAGCAGCAGGCCGAGAGAGCGAGAGAGGAAGTCCACGACCACAGTTGGCACCCGCCCGGTCACAGCTAGAGGAGCCAAGATGATTCAATTAAAGGTACGTTCACATTGGGTTTCCCCGTTGGCAAAACCAGGCTGACATTGCCCCTCCTATCAGACGATGCTAAATTGCATCGACAACTCCGGCGCTGCTGTCGTCGAGTGTGCTATGGTGATCGGCCAAAAGAGACATGCCTCCATTGGTGCGTAGAAGCACGCCCCGTTCAGTTTGCCTCGATTCCCCATCAGTACCTCCCGCGCTCGACCCGCCCTCAAGGGAGCGATTTACCCCCTCGAACGTTGCCCCCCACTCCCGATATCTCAGACCAACTAACACCGCCCCCCCTTGACAGGCGACAGGATAGTAGTCGTGGTCCAAAAACAGCGCGGCGCCCAAGCTGAAGGCATGGCCGGGTCGTCGGCCGGCACTAAAGTCAAGCGCGGCGACATCCGCCACGCCATCGTCGTGCGCACCCGTCAACCCGTCCAACGACGTGACGGCAGCGTTATTCGATTCGACGACAACGCGTGCGTTCTGATTAACAAGTCTGGGGATCCGATCGGGTCGCGGATCAACGGGGTGGTTGGGCAAGAGTTGCGGAAGAAGAAGTGGAGTAGGATTTTGAGTATGGCGCCCATGCAGGCGTAGGCCGAAGGTTCATGGTTGGATGCGTTGGGAGGAAATTATTGGGGGGAATGGGGAAGCGATGCCACGCCACGACCCGAGCCAGACTCCAGACCGATTTGACATTGCTGCGAACCGCGAACTTCGAGGATGAGAGCGGTGATTTTATCTAGTCAAACGAACGATTTGACGACATGGTTATTGGAGTGACGGGATAACGTGGAGAAGTTGTTGGTAGGGATATCACTTCACGATAGGCGGGCATGTCCATGTATGGCGCCAACGGGGTGCTGTGGTGTATACTAAATGTACAAATGTAACGAGAGATGATTGATATCACATCGGGGAGTTTCGCGTGCGATATGAATCAACGGTTGGTTATTGACGACTCTGCAGTACATACATGCCATGGACCCTGGTGGCGAAAACGCTGCACCCTCCCTTTCTGAAGCCAATATCCATTCTAATGAACCTTCCCTTCTCGCTTAACGCCAAAGAGCGCCAAAGTCCTGTGATAAGCCACTTGAACGGAAGACTCTTGCTCCGCCGAGACAAAAGCCTACTGGAAGATGTTACCACAGTCGCAACAGACATAGAATAGTTTCTAAAGAGATAATGTCAGAACCTGATTGCGGAGGGTTGCACTATGGGGGAGTTTCTCACCATTCCTGTTTCAGTGCTGCGCTGCTGTGACTGGAAAAACACGGCCTCGGTATGGTTGCAGGCCGGGCAGTTCTTTTTGGATCTTGGCAGCTACTCGAGGATCATCCGTCAGTCGCTAGTTAGACTCAATCCCTGGATATAACGTGAAATGACCCCATTCAAACGCCAGTTTGGTGCCCCTCGCCGGAATCTCCTGGATAGCGCCGTCACCGTCGCCTAGACGAGACATTATGCCGTATTGTCGAAATGATTGATAAAACATGGTTGGATCGTATGAAAAAGACCCCGCTGTCGTGGCCGGTTTTAACTCGCTTGTTCCGTATCGTTTCTGTTGGTTGGGTCCCGTATTGCGTTGATCGCGTTGCCGATGGGTAATTGCATGCTTTTAAGAAGCATATCCCTGAGCGAAAGGAGCGATGACTTGGGCCTGAAGAACACTTGGGAGATTGATGCCATCCCCCTTGGACTCTAGGCCAAGATCTGTTGCATTCAGTCCAAAGAAATCCTCGGTCTGAGACAACATCGCGCCCAGCTCGGCAAGACTCTCGCCAGTCCAGGGAACGATCTCAACATCATCAAGGTCGACGTCCAGGTTAAGGTCGCTGTCGCCCTCACTCCTAGTAATGTCGGGATCCAACCCCAACATGTCCGGTTCCTCTGAGCCCAGGGGGGCCGTCGCTGACTCGGTGCTGTGCGTCCCAAGTCCCCCGCCACAGCGTACACATATGATCGGGCGACCACACTGCGCGCAAGGCGAGGTGGATTCCGAAGCGACGGTGGCCGAAGTGACGGCGGTGTAGGGATAAAGAGAATGGGGTCTACCCACCGTAGGATCACTACCGACGTCTTGCGTCACGCCGGCGGTTTCACCGACCGCGTTATTCATCTGGTTGCGAAAGATGCACGACGACGTAGCCTCCTCGGAAAAGTTGCAGGTTCGGCAAGTGAACATAAGCTTGCGGTCGACTTCATCCTCCTTGGGGTACAACATGTTGCTGCATTCGGAACAGAAGCGGAAAGTGATTTGCTCGGCCGGCTTCTTGCGGTCGCTCGAGGCGTCGGCAGCAGCAGCAGGTGACGACATTGTAAGTGGTTGGTGTTGTGTGTTTGGTGGTTTCTGGTCGGTGCGTGCCTGAGATGACCAACAGGTTGTAGGTGAGAAATGGTTGAGCGTTCCTGCTTGGCACAGTAAAGCTCAGTGCTCTATTGAAGGGCGAAGGTAGTGAGAATGGAAAGGAAGCGGAAATGGTTCCGATGCTTTGCAGCGATGATGGTATGGGTGTGTGGTGTGATGTGACGTGGTGAAGAATAGGTAACAGGAGGGCTTTGTTCAGTGAAATCGGTCGGCACCAAAAGGCACTCTGGGTGATCTATTACCTGGTAGGAGAAAGGAAAGTGCGAGTAACCTATGACCGGGGGTTACCTCATTTAAGAAGGCCCAGGTTTGGCTATTGTCGAGTGCTGCTAGAATTTTTTGATGGCTAAGGTTTGGACAGGACGGGAACCTTGAATGCACTAAGGTTCTGAGGCAGCTCTTGCTCCGGAGGAAAAGCGCTGCGGCTTTGCCCATTCGCCGCCGCTTTACTATGAAGACCTGGTGTGGGTTCTGGCCATGAACACGTAATACACAGAAACACATGGCAAATACCACTGCTACACCAAGCAGTACTTGCTCAGGCGAAGGGCCTAAGGTTCGACGTTACTCGAGACACGATAGAATATTTTCCCGAATGGTAATGACTCCTTAAAGAGCACTAGAGTATGTGAGTTCCGGCGTGGTAAACCGGTGGGTTGGACGGCGGGGACTCTGTGAGTGTGGGTAATTTACGATCGAGCGATGTCAATACATGTATTTTACACTTGAGGTCAGCCTGAGAGGTGAGGGTCGGGTGTTGGTCCAGATTTTTCGATGTTCTTCAGCGGCCGGGGATCTGGTCGGGTTTCTGAATAATACTCCGTAACGATAGTTAACTAAGTATTACGGGATTGGAACTGGAAATATCCTGCCTGGGTGGGTTGGGCCACGCTCTGTCTGTCTCAGTTGCCCACCAGCTCGGGCCTCGCCCAGCGAGCCCTTCGATTCCAACTCGACGCCTCATTCCACACGCCCGGTCCTTTCTATTCCTCGACTCGTCCGTGTCCTTGATCGGGTTGTACAAGATGAAGCGTAGCCCACGAGGACACTTCCGCAAAGAAACCTCTCTAAGAGCCGACAGGTTGGAGCCAGGGCCATGAGCCTGATTCGCCGCGGTTCAATTATCTCGGCAACCAACTGGCTATGGGCTGGCGCTAGTTGCCTCGATTGTAACCCCGAGTCTATCGAGCCGCGAGCCTCGTGATGGGTGATGCGCGCGGTGGCGCCCACACGGGTGGGACAGGTGACGGGTGACGCAGGCACGCAATGCCCTAGCTGACTGGATGGTGGGGTGCTGAGCCACTGAAACAGGGGCAGCCGGTGCAACCCGCCCACTGAAAGGCGCCAAGCAGGAGCATGGCAGCCCGTCGAAGCCCCCCACACCACCCGCCAAATTCGGGTGGGTGGACAACAACCTGGAAACCCCCCCATTCCATTGCTCCGTCACCCCGCCTTTTAGGCCCAGCTGCACTCCGCAATCCAGAAAGGCTTCAATTAACAATCATTGCTACCCTGTCGTTCTGCCGACCAGAGAAAGAAGACAAAAGCGCGTCATCCCGCACATTGCGGGACTTCCATCATTTCCATTCTTTTGGACTCGCTCAACAAGCTGTGTCTTAGACGCCAAGCACATTCACGTTACTCGTGGTCTTGCTTTATCCTTGTCGGGGCTCCCTTACACTCGCGAACCTTGAGTCTTTGTTGAAGCTCACCACCCTAAGCTCCTCTTCCTTGGTGCCTCTTGGTCCTATAGCCGTTGCCCCGTAACGACGCCCTGTAATTACCATCATGGCCGACGTGAGTTAATGCGCCCAAGCATGCCCCCTATCCCTAACTAAATGGAGACGAACTGTTACTGTTATTATTCTCCAAATCTCCAAAAAGAAATGCACAACTCGCTACCAAACAAACTACTAACATGCTTCCTCCGCCCCTAGACAACGGAAACCGGGCTCCCACCCAACTGGGAAGTGCGACACAGCCAGTCGAAAAACCTTCCTTACTACTTCAACTCCGTCGAACGGGTCTCGCGCTGGGAACCACCGGCCGAGACAGATACTGAAAAGCTAAAGCTTTACATGGCTAAATACCACAACAACAAGGGTGCCGCCGCCGGGTCGGCTGAGGAGGGTCAGCAGGGCAAGATCCGTGCCGCTCACCTGCTCATCAAGCACCGCGACAGCCGGCGCCCGTCTAGCTGGCGTGAAAACACCATCACCCGGACCAAAGAAGAGGCGTACGACATCATCAAGGCGCACCAAGACCGCATCCAAGCCGGTGAGGCCTCGCTCGGGCAGCTGGCGTCGACTGAGTCGGACTGCAGCAGTGCGCGCAAAGAAGGGGATTTGGGGTTCTTTGGGCGTGGGGATATGCAGAAGGAGTTCGAGGACGCGGCGTTTGCGTTGCTCAAGGGTGAGGTGTCGGATATTGTGGACACGGCGAGCGGGCTGCACCTGATTGAGAGGTTTGTTTTGTGTTTTCCTAAGGAATTGCTAAGCTTCAGTTCTCGTACTAACACGTCGTTCTTGCAGACTCGCATGAAAGATTCCCAAAAGTAACCTTGATTTGTCGATGGCCGCGGAAGAAAGGGCGAATCTGGTATAGTTCCATATGTGTACGGTTGCAAGTGCCTGGGGTAGCAAGCTGGACAACCAAAAAGCCATTTCTCATTTCATAAATGCTATGGTGGTGTCGGCTCCGACGTTGTTCCTAGCAACGAATAGACGGGGTATATCTGCTTCCACCTGGTAAATGCCCTAGTTCCCGTTCATCAAGGATCCAGCCAAAGACGCCGGGAAGAGACCAAGGCTAACGCTCTGTCCCGTTCCAAATCAATGCACACACTCCCCAAGTTCATGTCTATCTCTTGTAGCACATCACTCATATCGTCCACATCATCCATGTCGTCCACATCATTCATGTACATACCATACCGCGCCGAGTCACCCTATACAATCCCGATAATCCACTTCGTTAGTGGCGGGATACTCGCGAACACCACCGTCATCACGCCGAGCGCAATCATGGAAAGTGCCGCATATGGGGCAGCCTCACTCTCGGCTTCGTACAAGTAAGCAGTGCCCATGGCAGCTGCGTTGATTCCCACTGTGATACCAGGTGCGACGATCCGTGGGTCGTTGGGGAAGTGAGGTCGTGAGGGGGATAATAAGCGGGCTGGTGTTGGTGTTGAGGTCGGAGCTGTGTTCAGGGCTGGCACCAAGCCAACGGTACGCAGTGTTGTTCCACTTGGTTGAGGTGTCGGTCCTGTGGCTGCTTTCGTCGCCGCTCCTATGGGGTCGCCCGTGTCGTATCGTGTTGTTGCTGTACTCGTACCATCGTCCCCTTCAGCAACCCCGACCGCATCTGCCGTACCCTCGCACTCACCCACATCATCTCCTTCTCTCTTATCGCTTAACCCATACCATCTCGCAATTCCCTTGTCCACAACCACCCTCTCCAACCATACCCCGACTCCCAGCCCCATCCCCATCTGGTACACAATCCCACCTGCGACCACCATAGCCGCGCACAACCCCGCATCACCTCCAAGCATTTTCATGACCGGATTACCCAGCGCAATGGTCACGCTGCGCGCTGCAAAGGCTACTGCCGCCCCGCGAGGTCGTACCCCTAATGCCCGGGCGGCGAGAACGGGACCGCCGACAAGGTTCGCAACGGCGAGGACCGACGAAACGATGCACACGGTCGCACCACTGCGAGAAAGTAGATGCGTGCGGTGGGCGTAAAGTTTAAGTCCCCAAGCCACAAGGCCGGCGTTAAGGATAGTGATGGCGACGTCACCTGCTGCCATGGTCAATGATGCGGAAGGTTGGGAATACGGCGTCGCAGCGTGGAGGATGATTGATGATAGCGGGGTGTTGGTCTGTAGGGTGGCCAGCATGGCAGGAAGTGAGCGGCTGCTGAGTGAGGCATCGGTGAAGACGTAGGATATCATCGTGAGTGCTGTCCAGAGAACCGGGTTGAGAAGGCCAGACAGGAGAGTACGGATCCAGGGGGGGAACATCGAAGATGATTTGATCGTGGCTTGGATGGCGATTGTCGTGAGCCAGAGAGAGAAGAGGAGCAGCGTGGCAAGCAGCGGGTCGTTGCCAGTGCAGTAGCGGAGCGGCACCCCGACAGTGAAGGTCAGGAGCCAGCAGATGACGAGAATAGGGTTGGACATGGCCCAGATATGAAGGCACCGGCCGATCGGCCGGGGCTGGTTGATAGGGTAAGAGGTTGCGGTGGGGGGTTGAGGCGGCACTGGTTCGTCGGGTTCAGACAACTCGGCGGGGAATTCAGGGACAATGGTACAGGAGCTCCCCGCGAGAGAGCTTTTGTGGAAAGGCCCGCGCGTCCTGGCATTCCTAGCTCCCTGTTGGCCTCCCCCTTTCTCGCTATCACTAGTTGATGTGATCCAGAACTCTTTGTCGTACCGAACCATCAGGCATTGGAGCGGAAAGGCGAGGAAGAACGCGAGTATGGTGTTGAACAAGCCCATCAGTGCTGAACATGTTAGTTAATATCCTTTCTCAATGAGAACCATTTATGCGCGCCAAGTCTCACCAAAGCAGATGACGATCATGCCAACGCTCCGGGCATCGGACAACGGGCCATGGCAGAGCATGACCACGGGGATGGTGAACCCTATGGACATGTGGCGGTTCAGGAGCTCCGTCTGCCTTCGTCAGTGCCATTTTTTCACGAAACAAGGAGTTAGGATGTTACTTACAGGCCGCTTAAGCCGTTTGGTATAAAACTCCTCGAGTCCTGGAATAACGACCCCGCCGAAAGAAAATACCAAAAACACCACGGCCATGGCCAATATCGGTGCGGGGAAGTCGGAGCTCTCTTGGTTCAACCCAAACTGAATACCCGCTATCAAAAGTTGAGCAAGCAGGGCGATGACAACCGCAATGAATCCGTCTTGAATGCGCCCCCGCAAGTTGGCTTGCTGGCTTGACCTTGGTGATGTCATCGTGGTGATCTTTGCGGAAGCTTCGGGGCGTCGTGTGGCGGGGAAGGAAGACGGGGATACGCCTAGCATAGTCATCCCGGTATCGTGCCGGCACCACGGTACCGGCTCTCGGAGAAATGTGAGATGGGTGCGGAACAACGGTAGGTGGGCAGCGGGTTGTTTGCTTCTCACACAGGTGCACACGTGTAAGATGGTGAGACATGGCCATGGGGAGAACGAAAGTAGAGACGAGAACAGAAAGAACCCGGGAAGCAGGTAGGCCGAAAAGAAAGACAACAGTCCGCACAGTGGCACTTAAAGGATGACAGCAGGCGCGACTCAAAGGCATGCCTGGGGCACTCCAGCATCGGCACCTGCTCTTGCGTTTATATTCCCCGCTTCGCGTCGCCGTTCCGACGGTGAGGGCCGGGAAGGAAAGTTCGGGTGGCCTAGCCTAAGCCTTCCCTGCCGGGCTGAATGCTTTAGTACGAACTGAACGCGGTGCTATGGCTGATCGGAGAAGTGCACCTACCTAAACCGCTCCGTGTGGTTGAGCATACGGGGAACGGGGCAGGAACCGCTTTCATCGACGGGGGCAAACCAGAACGCTGCCGGAGGACGTCTCTGGCCACTGAACGAATAGAGTCTACAGACCTATGTGCTTCAAAAAGGCTGTGTTTGCCGGGTTGGGCTCACAACATGTTCCGAGGTGACGTACTGAAGCGACACGTCAACATGTCGGTGTAGATTGTCCGTTTTACAAGGCGGTTACCCAGCAGACTCCGGGACATGCCCCGGGCCGCTACTTACGTATTGGTTTTGGCCAAACAGAGAGGGAAAGCACAAGTCCTAGCCGGGAAGGAAACACCAAAACAACGAACTGGTTTTGTTTGTACGAGTTCTGGGGAAGCGGGACGGACACGGGAAGGAGGAAGGGGCACACCGCCGATGTGAGAGAAAGGAGCTCCGAAATCCCCACTAAACCCAAACTGCCGCTTCAGGTCGAGATGCTCCCGGCATCGTCCGGCCCGAGATAAAATGTGCTTCTTTTCCCGCAAGGGCGCCCAGCCAGTTGTCAAACAGGGCTCCTGATCTTGCATGTTGGTTCCTGTCATTGATCACGAACCATGTCCGGGCGTCAGGGCCGGGGAAAAGGGGGAAGTTGAGTGGATAAGACCTGTCAGGCACATCGAAGTACCACCGACAAACGGTTTTAGTCGCAGCAGGGATCTTTGTCTCCATCAAGGCCATAACACAACCAAAGGTAATGGCAATGTGTACTTGCAGACAACATGCTCATTGGCCGTGTTCTCATAGCCCCCTCAGGCATCTGAAGGCATGAGATTGGAGGCCTGGTCAATACCCTGAGCTGGTTGTATGGGGGGAATCCCAAACGTGATTAACGAACAAACCACCAGCCGGCGGCCAGCCCCGTCAACACCGCGTCGGGCGGCGATAGATATGCAGGTTACCGCCTTGCCACAACGGTTGGCTGCGGTTCGACCCGCCGTTTGGTCCGCGGGTGGTCGCGCACGTTTTAAGCCCATGAGTTCTAACAAGATTAGCACAAAGTAGCAAGGAAAGCAACTCGCCTAAAACTGACCGATCCAGGGTTCGTGTAGAGTGCCAGGAAAAGAAAACCATGCGGTCCTAAGTTGGACAGGCTTATGTCCAAAAGTTGTGCTTGTGCTGCGTCGTGGGACTAACTTGGGCTGGAAGTTCCTAGCATATGACGGACAAGGGTAGCAAACACAGCCCATAAGGCTATTGCTTTCTTGCTTCGTCGGATGGCCTCCCGCTGCCCGCAAACACTTCCCCGGGAAACTTAATCTTGCACCAAAATCGGGTGTTCTAAGGATGTCGCGGAACCTCTCTCAAGTCAGGGGTTGCTCCAACCCTTTACATGAATCGAAAATACAAGATTTGATGACGTTGTGGTACACCATCTTCGAGAACTTGGGCAACACGACATCCTCATCTTTGAAGAGGCAGGTGGGAGATACCCTTCGACCGTAGCGAAGATGACAGGCCGTCAAATCATGCTAGAGGAATCGGGGTGCCAGCCGGTGAAAAGGTTTCGGCCGAAGGGCAGCAGTTCCCAGCCAAGATGGAGGAATTTTGAAATCCCCTTTAGCAAGCAGGACAACTGGGCTCGGTCAATGTCGAGGTGTTGGAGCTCGGGGATTGGCTCATGGCATAATGATGCCGTCCACACCAAAGTCAACCTCGCAGTGTGCCGGTCACCTGTAAACGTATGATCGTGGTTTCCAGAAGGTAATAGTCTTAGGCCTTGTGTGCGACTGTGCGTTTTGTCATGGCAACAATTGCCACTCGACTACCTCGTCAGATCTGCCGGACGGCTACGTTAATGCAGAGAATCGCGCCGTGACTTCGACGACTCGAAAGCCGAAATGGTCGGAAGTGAAAGCCGAGACATTTTGACAGGTTTGCTGGCGATCGAAGAACTAATTTCATCGGCTTCGAATGTTGCTTTAGCCCATGCAAGACCGGTAAGAGATGCGGATGCTACTTCAAATGAAACAGAGACAGACGCATGCAGCCTCGATCAGCGGACCTTAAACCTTGACAATTGAAGTTGTTGAGCTCTCTACAAGCAGAGTATGGGTTGTCGTTTTCAGAGGGGCAAAGGAGAATCCTGACTCCTGGGGTTGCGCTCCGGTCGTATCGATGAATTTTTGTTGCGGGGAATACATAGTTGACATGGAATTGAAGGGCTTTTAGCAGGGACGGGGTTTTGGCGTACGGGCGTAAAACAAGAAAGGGCCGAGGCGTGCTTTCGCAAGCTTTGCTGTTGTGGAAGGAGCCTGCCTGCCTCCGGATACTTGCCCTCCTGCTTTGATTGCAGGTGTGAGTTGATGGGGAAGGCGAGATGCCAGCTTGGCGTGTCACCGGAGATGTCAGCGAGCGCACGGGCCAACCTTGGGGCTGAAGCACGGGCCAACCACACGCTATCAGGCCGGGCGGGGCCAGCCCTTGCATTAGCGAGAGACCGCCCAGCAGATGCACCGCGGTGGCTTCTACTGCGTAGGGAATCGAAAACATCGAATTTCAGGAACCAGGGGGCCCACTTTGGGCTGTTTTGGTGCTGGAAGGTCCCTGAAACAACCGCCCTTTCGGGAGACCGAACGGAATCCCATGTTGCTCAACACCAAATTTCCCCGGATTTGATATCCACGTCACCCTTATCACCCGACAATTTCGGAACCGAGCCAATCCCATCCTTGGCCCCCTTCCCTCGTAAGGCCCCGCTCAAAATGAACATCGAGTCAGTCGTTCGTACTTTGCGGGCGTACGACGCCTCGTTCGATGCCGCAGCGGTGAGAGCAGCGCTCGCGGACTCGAGTTCGACGACTGATCTTGTGCGCTGGGCCGCCCTCCACCTCACACCGGATACGTTGCTCACCGTCGATGAGCTAAACCAGTTAGTAACCTAATTTATTGACCCGCAGCCTCGAGTCTTTCCCGCTTGTTACTCAACACATGAGTAACAGGTGACGAGTGATGAGTGACGAGATCGATCCCATATTTGAGAAATAGTAAATTTAGTGCTGACGAGACCAATCATTATCGATCAGGTATGCTGTCCTTGAGGAGTCGGGCGTGGCGGAGAGGCTGGCGTCTATGTCCATGTCGTCCGACGTCACAGCTGCTCGTGTGTTGAGTGACCAAGAAATTAGGGATGCGATCCAAGAACTCGACCGGTCCACCGAGGCCATTACCCGCCAGACGGAGGCTCTTAGGCAACAACAAGAAGCCTTTGGGCGTCTGGTGGGAGCTATCCGCGGGAACAGTGAGGAGCGTGGTGCTGCTGAGGTTGACCAAGCACGGAAATGGGAGGCCGGGCGGAAAGCGGTTGCCTCGGAAGTATGTGGTCCACCCCATTAGGTAGAGATAATTAGTCCGTGCTAACAGGCCATCAGGTGGATGACCTCACTCAATCTTTGGGCGCCCGGGTTGGCGAGGTCGGGCAGCACAACACTGCTGGCGATGCCACTATCCGCAAGCTGGTTGACACCCTGCTATCTTCAGACGACAAACTCCTCTCCAGCCTCCAGAAATTGGGATGGGAGTTGGAAACAGAGGATGACGAAGAACAGCGAGATGTAACCCTATTGCGAGAGACGTGTGCTCGGTGGGTTGTCTCCGAATTGGCCTTGAAGCACTCGATCTGCCTGACACTGACGCCATTGTAGTCTGATCAAATTTACTGTGGAGGGAACTCGAACAAAGCTCGACCGCCTGTACCTGGAATCTCTAGAAGAGTCGCAGGACAGTCAAGGTGACCGTGTCTCAGCGGACGAGGTTTCCACACTACAAGGGGAACTTGAGTCTCTCTATGCTGAGATTCTCCCCGTCGCCCAAATGTCCACCGAACAACAGTTTCTAGAACCCGCGCTTAAGTCGATTGCCACAAAGAACGGCCTAGCCATGGCGAGATCCGGCCAGGCTACGAGCTATGTAAGTCGAGGTAACCTTGTGTTGCGTAGCCGCAGCAGTAATAATTAACGCACGGCAGATTCACGAATGTCTCGACTATCTCATAGACCGTGCCCAGGATCTAATGGCCAGACTGGACGCCTTCCAATCCTACAAAGCAGCCGCCGGTGCCGTCCTTGATGTAGCGAATGTGGAGCTGGACGTAAGGGATTCGAATACAGAGGCTCTTCTCGCGCCAAAATCAAACCTTCGACAGCAAGACTTTATATCACCGGTTAAGCCCAAGCCCAAGGCTCGACCGAGGTACTCGGTCGGCGCAGCCGGCATTGCTAAGGAGCCGCCCTTGGACGAGATCTTGCGCATGCTTGCCATAAGCGCACCCCAAGACGAGGAAGACTCAGTGGGTCCAGAGGGCCAAGTGAAAGAGTTAGCTTCGACATTGGCCATGCGACGGGCAAAGATGCAGGATGTAGCACTCAATGTCCAAGAAACATTTGAGAGCGTAGCGACAAAACAACTTGCAGACGGGAAACTGGCAATTCAGCTACTCCGTGATTCGGTTCTTGCGGAGAGTCCGTATGGCGATGTCCGACTTGTAGATCCGGAGATTGAGGGATCGATCGGCGTGTTATCCCAAGAGCTGGTGAACGTGGATGAGAAGTTGAAGGGGGTTGAGGTTGGTGTTGAGAAGCTGAAGGGGAGAAATGTGAAGAGGGATGAATTCATTAGTCGGTGGGGGTCTTAGCAGAGTTCGACATCTGAATCTAGTTCGACTCCATGAGTCCATAATTGATTAATCATATTGTCGTCGTTGCCCGTCCTTCGCCTAATCACACGCACACTCCAATATTTGCAACCAGGATCTGATTATGTGTCGACGGTCAACCTACAATTAGACCCCTTTTTCAAACACTAGGGTCGATGCGCCTCAGCACACGAACCCCATTATACGTTTTGTATGGTAACCTACTCAAGTTAGGTTTGGGAGCCTTCATGACCTCGGGTAACACTCGACAATCCCGTACTTACGAAAGGCCCATTGACATCAATCATCATTCTAATTCCCGACATGTTGGTGATACTAAATTAAACAAGCCACAGCCGCCTACCCAACCTCATAGCAGAATTACACATCCACCCCTTTAGGATAGCGGACTTCCTCATACACCAACTCCATACATACTCCCCCATCAAAATCAAGGCAAAGTCAACCCCCCCTCATCCTCCTCAGGCAGGAACGTAAGCCAAGAAACCACCACAATAAGCCAGCCAGCAATTGTCACAACAAACTCCGCCGTAACACCAAAGAAGATACCAAAGGTGACAATGCAGACGAGCAGGATGCCCACATACAATACATGCACGACGGCAGATCCCCCCAGGAACAGCTCGAAGAAGCGTCCGGGCTTGGGGTTGATGTGTTAGCTGATATCTTAACACTTTGACGCTGAGAACATACGAAAGATGAAGGCCGACGGGTAAAAGGAATACAGTAAATAAAACAAAGAAAAGACACTCACAATCCTCAACCCCCCAACCCTCCTCCCCGCCCCCGAAGCCGCGGCATCCACAATAAAACTCAACGCATACATCACCACCAATTGGTCAATGACATAGTACAGACAGACCCACGGGCGGCGGGACAAGCCAGTGAGCACAAAGTGGACGATGTTGGCGAGCGCGCGCAGGAGCACGGTGGCCGCGATGATTTGGCCGCGGGTGTTGGATAGGTCGAGGGGTCGGAAGATGCGCGATTTGATGTTGGCTGTGATGGTGTGGAGGGGGTTGTTGGCGGTGGTGGTGGACGGCTGGTCGTCGGTGGGGAGTGTGAGTGGCATGGTTACTGTTGGACGGTTGGTTGATCGTTGGATGAGGTGCCGGGATTGATTATAGGGTCGAAAGTTATGATTATGGTTCCAAAATTGGCGGGTGATGTTGAGCACAGTATGCGTCTGGATAGCGATGAGTAAAATCGGTGATAACTTGTTCGCGATGGTGATGAACGAAGACAAACGGCTAGTGCCCGATGAGCTGCCACAGCCGCAGCCCGAAGGATTCAGGAGACGCGTCGTGCCCCTTTTTTAATTCGGGACAGGGGTGCAGCTTCGCCAATAGCCGCAGCAGCGGGACAGGCTTGGCAAAGTACCAATCACTGGAGACTGAAGAAATACGAAGTATTAATAACTAATTGTTGCAGTTTTTTTGTTTTCATTATTTTCCATCTACCGAGTATTTAGTTGAATATGATACCAGGCTTGTCTCAATAATTATCGACTTATCAGATAGTGTGAAATGCCCATCACCGGAGGTAACAAGAATTATGAGTAAAGGCCAAGCGCCTCATCCGGACTAAGTCCTCGTCAACGATTCTCACGTCAACCTCCACACAGCTCGTTTTCTCGTGACATAACTAATCACTCTCGACCAAATTGCGTCCCATCTCCTATAACGCGACATCGGTTTTATACTACTCCACTTGGAAGCATATCGTTAGTTTGACGCTTCCGTAGCCACCAGTTTTAAGGCTTTCCAAAATTTCTAGGAAGAAGTAATTACACCCCCTCAGATAGAACATTCGGAATCCTAAACAAAAGCCAAGTCACCCAGAACCTCCATCAATTTCCGCCAACGCATCCGCCACAACATCCACCACAGCCGGCGACGGACCACCATCCGACCCAGCAGCCGCCCCCATCTGATTTATGATCCGCTCCAACTCCCGCAACATGCCGAGCACCTCCGTCCGCGAGATCAACGCCGAGTCAAACATCACCTGGACACGAACCCCCTCGCTGGCGGTAGCACCCGGAATAAACTCAATATGCAGCGGGCTAGTTACCGTCTCAGCACTGTGGCCGTCGGTGGGCTCCGCAAGAAAGCCCGCAAGATCCGGATGGGCACCGACGTCATCGCCGCCGACCGGCTGGATGATTAGGGTACACCGGATCTGGCAAGCCTTCTCGGCGCTCTCGCTCGCTCTCCTGATGTTGGCAAACCCGAAATGGGCGTGCGGGATCATGTCGATCGACGTTTGATGCTGCGTGGCGAGGAACTCGCTCACGGTGAGGGAGCGGTCGTCCCAGCGCACGCGGTACGGGACTGCGGTGAACACCGGGCCGATGACACGATCGATGCCGTCGAAGGGGATGTTGCGGCCGGAAAGCACGACGCTCAGTGTCACGTCGTCGGAACCCGCGTGTGTGCCGAGGACCAAGGGGGTTGCGGCGAGCAGGACGGTGCTGGGGGTGACGCGGTGTTGGCGCGCGGTGGAGAATATGTCCACGGCCATGGTGTACTTGAGGACTTCGGGATCGCGCGGCGGGAGCGACGCAGTCGGCGCTTGGTCTGCGGGTATCGCGGGGATGTTTGGTACCGTGGCACCGTCCAGATAGTCGCGCCAGAAGGAGAGGTGCTCGGCTTCCCGGTTGTGTGTGTCGTCAGTGATATGCCGGATGAAGGAGCGGAATGACGGCGCGGGGGGTTCGTCATTGATGGGCTGGCCGTCGGCGTCGTAGAGCCGCTTGAGCGTGCGCAGGAGGAGGGTTTTCGCCCAACCGTCGTACACGGAGTGGTGGGCTTTCCATGCAAGAACGAATCCCTTTTTGCCATCCCTGGGTTCCCTAATTTGGAACCGACTGAGCGAGTCACCGTACGACATGGGGCTGTCGAAGTCACCGCGACCGCCGGCGGTCGCTGCGTCGGGCCGGATGGTAACCTGCACAGCAGAGCCAGGCGGGCCCGGCAAGCCGGCTAACCTGGCGCGCAGGATGAGCACCACTATCTCCAGCTGTTGACAAGCGCGACGCAACCGATCTCGGTCCACATCCGGGCTGAAGTCAAACTGCATCTCAGAGGCATAGGCGCCCGGCATGTACTTGGATAGCATCATCATACCAGCCTGTACAAAGGTGCAAGGGTAGATATCCAGCACGTCGTCGACTTCCACACCGCACTGTTCAGCAACGGAGGCTCGCAAGGCCGGTAGTTCCTCCGCGGCGACGGGGGCTAATGCGAATGGTTCGTTGTCGTCGTGTGTGCTTAGGTCGTCGCGGGTGTCCTCAGCCGAGCGGGAGGAATCAGGCGATAGGGAAACGGCTTGCGCAAGCTGAGACACCGAGGTGTTGCCGAGCACTTGCTGGACCGAAAAGTGGATGCGCTCGCGATGGGCCATGGACACGAGCCGGATGGCGGCCATCGAGTCAAGTCCCAGCTGTAGCAGTGACACGCGCGGGTTGATCGTGGCTGGGGGCAGCCCCAGCACCCGGCTACACATGTCGATGAGTTGTTGCTGCAACTGTCGCGTCGTAGGCGACATTGTAGCATCGTCGTCCTCTCCGTCATCTTGATGGCCCCCTTCCACGTCCCCGTTCGCTTTGTTAACCTCGCCCTGGCCGGTGCTCGTCCAAGCCTGCACCGACCGTGCGAAAACCTCCTCCGAGATGGCATCCATCCACCCTCGGATCGCCATCCGATCAATCTTGCCACTCGTCGTCAACGGAAACTCCGACACGACAAGCCAGGCACTCGGGACGGCATGGGGCTGCACCGTCGCTCGTACCGTAGCGACAAGTTGCTGCAGCACATCTTGCTGGCTGGCCGCCATTGGCAGTAACAGGTCCCATCCTTTGCTTTCCGTCGTCGATACCGCCACATGTTCCCAGGGCTCGGTACCCAGTCCCCCGGGACCGTCCCGTAACGATATCACAGCGGCTAGACGCCCTTCAACCACGCCGGCTTGGGGCACTAGTGTGACGCAGTGGTTGGCGAATGGAAACTTGGCCACGGCGTTCTCAACATCGCCCAGATCCAACCGCACGCCATGCACCTTGACCTGCCGATCCCGCCTGCCCAGCAGATGGATAGTGTGCTCAGAGTCAGGATCATCTGGGTTCAAAGGCATCGACATTCCCAAGTCTCCAGAGCGGTAGAAGCGCTTATCGCCGCGGTAAAAGAACGACGACGACGACGACGGAGCCGGCTCGCCGAGATACCCGCGGAACAACTGCACGCCAGCAATGCAGAGCTCGCCCACTGTCCCCGGGGCAACATCTCCATCCACTGCGGCGTCGCTGTCCGGGTCCGGGTCCACAAGAACAAGTTCCAAATCCGGTAGCCCGGGCCCAACATACTGCGGCTTCATAACCCCTGCCGGCCTCGTCATATCCTGCACAGCACAAATAATGGTCGTCTCCGTCGGGCCATATGCATTGAGCAGCCGAATCCTGCCCCCGTGATTCCCGTCGCGCCCCCATCGCTGCAACACCTCGTCCGTCATCGGCTCACCCGACGAGACAAACAGCCGTAAGCTCGGCACGTCTTCGGGTCGTACCAGCGAGGCTACCGTGGGCGTGAGCTGGGAGTAGGTGACGCCGTGCCGGCGCATGAAGCCGGGTAGGTCGGACATCATGTTGGTTAGGGTGTCCATGATGAGGCAGCCGCCAGCGAGGAAGGTCATAAACACGTCGCCACCGAAGAGGTCGAATGTGTAGGTCGCGAACTGCAGTGTGCGGGTGTCTTGGTTGAGCTCGAACATCTCGGTTAGGTGCTGGATGCTGTGGACCATCCCGCGGTGTTCGATCATGACACCCTTTGGAGTGCCTGTTGATCCCGAGGTGAAGATGAGGTGGCAGAGCGCGCCGGGGCCGATGTGTTCGTCCTCCACCGGCAGGTCAGTATCCGGGAGCTTTTTGATGACCGCTTCCGTCGGGGCATCGTCAAGGGGTAAGATCGCAGGACCGTCTGCTTGACTGACGGCATGCTGCGTAGCTTGCGATGCGATGATGAGGCGGGGTTGTGTCGCGTCCAAAATCTTTTGGATGTATGCTGGGGGAGCGGCCACGGGAAGTGGCACCCAGGCCATACCGGCCTTCAGAACGGCAATGACGGCGATTACCATTCCTGGGCTCTTGTCCAAGCAGAGAGCCACCACTCCATTTTCGGCCCCCTGTCCAGGTCCGCAGAGCTGCCGGAGGTGGCTAGCTAGTTGATTGGCGGCAGTGTTAACGTCTCGGTAGGTCAACGTGGTGTCTTGGAACACGATGGCGTCCCGGTCCGCGTGCTGCTGCGCGCAGCGCTCGAACAGGCGATGTAACAGCATGTTGGGACTGAGTAAGGTAAGTACACAGGACGGAGTTGGCGAGGGAGAAGGTACCGTGAGGATGTCTAGGAGCTTTCTCCTCGGACTGAGCCGTTAATACCTCAAGACAACGCCAAATAATACTTGCCAAGAATGACCGGACTTACATCCCACAGCTTCAGATAATCCTAGCCGTCAAGTCAAACACCAAACACAGGTATTGTTGCGGGCGGGGTGTTGGGCTCACGACGTAAATTCGTGCCCAGGGGAATCAGGCGCCTTATGGCGGTTAAAACCGTCAACTCTTATAACTATTTATGAACCCGTTCGGTCAAATTTTATTACGTCGATCAGGTGCCAACCTATGCACGAGATTCGTGATATGGAGTGATCGGTCCCTGTCTAATAAGTCCGCCCACAACAACCTCGTCACGCTGGTCTTAGATGTCATGCTGTGCTGGCACACTTTGTCAACTTCAGACCATTGGCCCATTCGGTTATAAGAAGCTCAGCTCCCCACATCTTCCCCGATTTGGCATCAAACTACTCAACCTTTTCAACAAAAAAATGCGATCCGAACGGGGCAAGGTGGGAAGTTGAGTGAGACAAGCATGCTCTCGGCAACGGTACCTACTGGAGCAGACCGAGCCGTCCGACGGCTCGGACCACTCACGAAGCGCTTGCGGCGGTTGAGAAACACAGTTAGAGAGAGGGGCAGATCCTACTCAGCGGGCGAGCACCTGCGAAGCGTGTGATATGTATGCTTTTTTGTAGCGTCCATGTCGGATCCATCAATTTAGCGTGTCTTCGTTCGTTATCCAACTCATAAGCGAATCACGGGACATCACCCCCATGCTCGTGGGAGTAGCCCAACTCAACCCGTTGTTGCTGTTCATGCGTCCAACGTGCCTAACGGCCGGGGTGGCTTCTGAAATCCGGGACCTGACGAAGAAACTGTGTGAGGTGGGACCTGAACCTACCTAGCCAGATTATTTGACGGGTTCGATCGTAGAGCGCAAGCGCGGGTTTGATGAGATACCACGCGATGAGAGTTTCGCGATGAGGTGAGGACCAGCGACGGTGGTTGAAAAGATAAGGTTTCCGGTGTGGGTCGTTGGCTCCACAATATTTTTGAGGTCCGCACGCTCACGTGACACAAACCCGGAGCACGTCTTGCATGTGACAAACCACCGCAGTGATCCAGACGAAAAGTTCCACCAAACGCGCCCGGCAGAGGGTCCAGTCTGTGCAAAAGAATTTCAAGAAAAATGCTATGCAGAATACAAAACATCAACCACCAAAGCTCTACCGCTTTCCAATTCCACCTATTTACAACTCACCCCCAAAGCCGTGTGGCCGATCTGTAAATTGAACTCCCTGTCTCCACTTATTCTTCGTATTTCCCGCCCGTCAAAATCGCCGGCCCGCTCCTCTCGAGGTGCTCCTTCAGGTACTCGTAAACGGTGAACGTGACGGCCTGACCGGGCGCAACACGCATGATACGGGGTGTGATGCCCTTGTAGAAGGCATGCATTCCTTCCTGCCTGTTGTCGTGGTATTTCGGTTAGCACACATTTTCTTCAAAATTGCAAACGAGGGGAATGAAGTTGGGGCTGCGACGCACTTGAACATATCCCCCGCGATCCTGGTAATCCGCTGCAGTGCCGACGTGCCCTCCTCGGCCTTCATCTTCTGCAGTCTCGTCTTGATGGTGTCAATCGGTGCATTGCTCAGCGGACCCATAGCACCCGAAACAAGACCGATCAGCGTCGTTTGGTAGCTGGGCAAACTCCCGCCCGCATACTCCGGCTGCCACTGGAACAACCACTCCTTGAAGTACGTGTACGCCGTGAAGTTGACGGCCTGGTTGCTGCCCTGGCGCAGCGCCGTCAGCGACACACCACGGTACAGCGCGCCGGCGCCTTCCTCCTTAACAATCGTGTACAGCGCATGCGCGGCATTGCGGTACTTGGGCACGTCCAACGGGTCAGCCATGCTGTGGTGCTGCGCCTGCAGCCGGATCTTGACGACCTCCATGGGAGTGACGACGGCGACGGCCTCGGTGACGCCCGCAGCGAGACCAGCGAGGAAGAGGCTCTGGCCGGCCACGACGCCGGTCTCCTTGTTGGCGAGGAGCTGCTTGTAGGATTCGAACGACGTGAAGCGGATCGCCATCTTGGGCACGATACCCGTCAGGACGGCGCCCAGTCCCTTGTACAGGCCGAGCGGCGTCTCCTTGCGCACGATTTCGAGACCCGTTGCTACGAACCCGCGCTTGGGCAGCCCTGGTTGCCGCCCACGGCGTGACAGCTGCATGCGCACCTTGATTGTGTCTGTGCGGCGTGGGTTGTGGTTAGACCACGGCCCTGGGGTCAACAACGGTAAGGGGGAATTGGACGTTACTACTCACCGAGAGGATGGCATACCAAGGCCTCCATCATACCGGCGCCACCACCAGCTGGATGGTGTTAGTGGATCAACTCGCAACCTGTTCGGCTTTCCGGAGGGCATACCTATGAGATTGGTAGCTGCTGATGGCGGCTTCTTCCCGTCCTTGCCCACCTTTGTCGCCATGTTGACTTTTCTTGCTCTGCTCTCAGACCTTCCTCGGCTTCAAGAACTCACTCCCAAGACTACGCCCCCTGATATTCCGGCTCGTCCGTCGTAGATGCCCTGTCGTGATGGCGTAAAGGGTCGGTAGAGGGTGTGGATAGTTAGGATAACGGCAGGACAGCACAGTTCAACTCAAGTGTGGTAGCCGAGGACGGACTCAGAGGTGATGTCTAACCGAGCTATAACCAAAATTGGAATATTTGGGGGTATCACCAGAAGAGAAAAGTGACAAAATGGAAAGCCGTGCCAAAGAGAAGGACGAAACACAGAAGATGACGCCTCAAGAAAAGGAAAAACACGGGGACTCGGCCTTGACATATGACTCTACCAGGTTCCGATCCACCGGGGATCGGGTGTCCAGGGACGGATTCGGAGCAGGGAGCCGAGCCGAGCAGGCGGGCGCAAGGCCGAGCTAAACAGGGGACCGCGGGGATGTGCCCACAACGTCTTCTCTGGTACGTACCCTCCTTTGTGGAGGTATAAGACTGGGAGATACATGGTTCAATGGACGAACAGAACAGTAAGGAAATGAGAGTATAACCAAGTCAGCTCCTCGCCTGTGGAGGCATGTAAAAGGTGGCCGGCACAAGGTATCACCCCAATTCATCGCCAAATACGTAGGACGAACGGAACTGTGCACGCGACAAGAAGACTCGGGTGATGGCGCGGTTATTGGTGTCCAGCAAGCATCCATCGGCTTAGCGGAGAAAACCGCCTCAACGGCGTCCCACTGTCTCCAAGATCCCCCAAATCGCGGGGCACAGAAACTTCAACTTTTTGTGCATTGCATTCGCTCCTTCATCACGCATCTTCCCCCCATCTTTCGCATCAATCCCATGTTTCTAAAAGACCAATTGAATATGGTATTATCTGGAAAAGTCCATGTTTCTAAAAGACCAATTGAATATGGTATTATCTGGAAAAGTCCAAATTCCCATCAACCCCCAAAGCCGTTGATGCGGCAGGGCGTAGCGCGTCGCAACTTTCTGGCTTGTGATCGGAACAACCAGTGACGTAGCCCGCTGCCCCTCCCTCCTTCACCTTAACCGAAATCCCCTAACAAAACCCCCCAAAAAAGCCAAAGCCGAGCTTGTGATTCTGCGGGGTGAGGGGCATTCCAATTTCCCCACATAAACGCTATGTTGGCGGATGGAGCCAGGCCCAGACCAAGGTTCCGGGAATGGCCGCTTTGCGAGGTGAGTGGGCACCGGGGCGGGGGCCCACATTATTTTAATGCCGAGGTCAACTTTGAGGAGCGGCAGGACTGACAGAAGGCAGGAAGACGCGCTGGCGAGCCCACGGGATACTTTCGGCGGCTGGTGGGCAGCTGAGGTTCATGGACATAGTATGGCGTGCGGCGCGCAAGTCAGTCACCTTGGGTCGAGATGCAGTTGTATTGGCCGTTGGGAGGAGGGGCACGGAAGACGGCTCAAGGAAGACAAGATCAAGACAGGCAACGCACGACAAGCAGTTCATTGTAGTTCAAAACAACAAAGGGTATTTTGTATCCGACCAGCAACTAACAAAACACAAGCCTGACCATACCCCCCGTTCCCCATTCCCATTCCCGATCCCCGATCCCCGTTTCGCCCTGTCCCATTGCGTCGTCCTTTGGCCGTTTGGCACCCGCCGTCTATCAATTGTATTTTGAGCACCATCAATTTGTCAAAAAAATGCGCCGCCGTTCCGAACGATCCTAACCATGGCGCCTTTTACCCCGAGACCAGCTACCTGAAGATCCGAAAAGTTGAGAGTAAAGAAACACAACCCGATAAACGCCCGCTCCAGAATCGCGGGCAAGCGCGGATACGCTAGAACCAAGATGATAGAAAATTAGGGAAGACAAGGCGTGTCCCAAGACGAGCTTCCCATGGCTCTCCCTTCATAGCAAGTGTTGAAATTCTCCCACCCTCCACGTTCACATCCACGAAATGTTGTCGGCCTAGTTAGGCGTGGACACATCCACGACACATTGTCCGTGCCCTGCCGTACCGCCTCCAATATCACGGAACGAATAGATCCGGATTTCTCCATCCTCACTGCCGCTAGCCATCCGACTGTCGCTCAGCCCAACACACGTGACGGGGCCCCTATGCCCGACAAAAGTCGCGTCGCACTTGCCACTGCGCGGCTCCCAGCACTTCACCATGCCATCGTTGGCGCCGCTGATAACGCGCAGGGTATCGCCCGCCAGAGACCACACGCCTTCCAGATGGCCAAACATAGTCTTCAGGCAGCGTCCTGTCGCGCTATCCCATAGCCTGATGGTGCTGTCGAGAGCGCCCGAGAGGAAGTAGCGAGGTGGAAGCGGGCGGAGAGGGTCGGATGCGAAGGCGGAGCCGTAGAGCAAGCGGACATCGTCGGGGTCGCGAGAAGGGGAGTGGCTGCGCCGGTCAGAGTGGTGGACGGCGACAGTGGGTGTGCTATCTGCGCCGCTGGCAACGGAGACGTTGTCGGTGTTGTCTGTGTTGCCGGCAGTGGCGAGGCTGCCGAGGAGTTCGTCATCGGGCTCATACTCGGGCGGGAGGAGTAGGATTTGCTGGACGTGGCCGACGTGACCCTCAAACGTCCGAATAACCTGCCTGGTGTCCAGGTCCCATAGCTTGAGGGTTGTGTCGTCTGACGCCGACATCACAGTGCGGCTATTAATATCGAGTCGCGTGCAGTTGACCCAGTCCGTGTGGCCCTTGAGGCAATAAGCCTCCTTGGAATTGAAATCGAAAATCTTCACGCTCTTATCGATGGATCCGCTCGCGAGCAACTGCGCGTCAAAGTGGACGCTGACGACGCCGTCGGTGTGGCCTTGAAGCGTCGAGATGCATTCACCAGTGTGCCAGTTCCAAATCTTGATGGTATCTGCGATCAGTCAGCAAAATGAACTATTACTACTTTGGGGAGAAACCGGCAACATACTGTCGAGACTACCGCTGATCAGTTTCGAGTCGTCGAACTGCAGCGCGCGAATGCCTCGGGTGTGTCCGTGCAATGTGCGAATCTCTTCGCCCGTCTCGATATTCCCTAGTGCAGGTTAGTGCCAAGGTTCCTAACGAGCCCTGAGCAGTCAAAGACGTACAAATTTTGATGGTGGCATCATACGACCCAGTCGCGATGATGTTATCGTCGAGCTGAAGGCAGGTAACGCCGTTGGTGTGGCCCTTGAGCGTCTTGATCGAGCATCGACCGTACTTCCAATTGTATCCGATCTGCCATCGGTCGCGGTACACGGCCTTCCAGCTGCGAGTCTTGGGCTCAACCACCGCCTGCCCAGCCAAGCGCCGCCGCTTCTCATCCGGACCATCTGCCGATTCAATTTGCCGCTTGCCCGAGGCTGGGCCGAGGGGCTCTGGCCGCGACCCTTCCGTGATCTCTTGCACCCTTCCGTTGGAGTTGTCCTTCGCCAGCTGTCGTGCACGTGTGTAGTTGCGCAACTTCTTCCTCTCCAACAATGGCAGTCCCCACCCACACTTGGTGCACTTCCGGTTCACATGTTGTTCACACATCCGCACCCACACCGCATCGTCGTCTGCGAGAAGCCGCCACCGTTGGCTAACTTGAGCTGCTTTGGTAAGGCTCACGGTGTCGAGGTAGCAGAGTACCTTCTGGGCAATCTCGACGGGTAAGGCGGCGATGAAGTCGATCTTGAGGGCTTCGCTAACCTCTCGTGACACTAGAGAGAGCTGCGGAAAACAGAGCTGTGCGAGGACGCCCTGCAACATTAGTTCCCGGTGTCGCGACGGTGCGGCAGAGAACAGCGACCAGACATGGGTGATAGCTTGCTGGTCGGCCGAGGTAAGCTTCTCGAGCTCGCGCTGGATCATAACCATCTTGGCTTCGTCGGCGGCTCGTCGACATTTCGAATCGGGTCGGTGGCGGTAGCAGTACTTGGTGTTTGGGTTCTTCTCTCGCGCCGACTGCTCGTTTCTCGACTTGCCCACCGGCGCATAGAGACTCGGAATGTGCTCCTTGAGAAACGGGGTGACCGTCTTGCCAATCAGCGACGACGACATGCTGGTCATACTATGGCGCGACCGGTGCCGCGCCTCTTCCTCTGGTCGCAGGCGTTTGCAACTCTTGGCTGGGTGGACGGTTTGGCCCCCGGCGCCGTTCCCCACACCGTCGGTATCGTTATCGCTGTCGTCGCTCTGTCCGTAGTAATGGTGGTGATATTCGTCGTCGTCGTCCTCCTCCACCTCCCGGTCGGGAAGGGGAATGTTCTTATGGCGATGTGCAGAGCGGGCTGCTAGAAACGGCCGGGCGGCGTCATCTGCTGAGCGATCGATGCCATCGCGGTTCGGGAGCACCGGGCTGCCACGGGTGATGGTTGAGGGAGATTGGAAGTGGTCCATCGGGGGCGGGAGCAAGGGAACGCAAGCAGATGGATGTCTTGCGTTTGTACCAGGTTAGCTGGCCCGTGCCAGCATTGGGCTCGCTTGCCGGTGACGGTCAGGCTGAGCAGATGGCGTGCTGTATCCTGTTGGCGGTTCAGAGGCCGGGCCTGGGGGCTTCTCTGGGGCTCTCTGTGACTCTCTGGGGGGCGCTCTGGGACACGACTGGCCGGGTCTCGGAGCGGTCAAGCGACCGGATAAGTTGGAACAGGGCGGCACGGTGGCACGCAATGCGCGGCTGCAGCTTCGCAATCGGGCAGCAGCAGGGTCAGCGTCAGCGGGCAATGCGGCGGAGGGGAGATCGGGCAAAGGAGGGCGAGTGAGTCGCCGGAATTCGATTCCTCGCTTTCCCTTGCAACATTCCAGCAAACGACGTGCGTTTTGGCTGTTTGATCTGCCCGTTCGGCTAGCCTCGAACTGTCGAAAAGGTTATTCAAAGCCACGCGCAACAGCGACAGGGTTGAGCCGCGCTTGGCGAGGATGCCGTTAAATCTTTGTTAAATGCGTGCCGTCAGTCGGTGGCCGTAGCCCTTTGGTGCAAGAACTGGGCGGAATGGCGAAATCGGATGGTGGAGCTGGTTTGCTGCTTTGCACCAGAAATTGCGTTATCGGTCGGCAGGCCTGGCCTGTGCGTCCCGATGCCCTGCCGCAGGTTCGGATGCGGGGAGGGTCGCCGATGTTAGTGCTCGCCTCAGCTGAGGCACCCGACTAGCACCATACTAGAGCGAAAATAATGACCAAATTGGGCGATAAAAGCGTCAAAGTTATTATCTAAGAAGGTCCAAAAAAATAAATCCCTTCTTTCGAACTCTCTACTGTCCCAGATTCCTGCTGGAAGCACATCGTCTTCCCTTCACAATCGAGTGTCGGATCGGGGACGATACCACTAACATCGGGGACCCACCCTCAGCTTTCCAGGCGGCTCGGCCTTGGTGGGGCTTTGATGAAGAGATGTCTCGCGTAGGTTCGAGCATATTTCATTTCCACCAAAACTGCCGAACACTTCTCGTTCTTTCCACAGGGATTTGATATGTGTTTGATAATCAGAGGCAAATATCACATTGGCAATCCTCAAAACCACATTGGTGAGAAACAGTTCAACAATCTCACTGGTTTGGTGATCAGGCGAGCAACCCACAATGGAAAAGAACTTCTTTGCAGTGGTGGTTGCTTTGCCCCCCCTGCACGCATTGTCGCAATGCAGCGGGCCTGCAGGTGCCGAGCAGCCGGGAGTGGCCAATCCGCACTCAAGGCATCTCTGAACCTCATCAGCAACTCCTTGCCCAAACATCATACCCTTCAAACGGTCTTCAAAGGCGCCACAACGGGCGCTCCCGTGTGAATAATACTTTCTGAATCGAGTCGCTAGGGCCGAGTATGAGTCGAGAATACACAGTGGATTTATTAACCCCCTATCACACGAAACACATGGTAGTCCCCTTCAGTCCAACACCTTGCATATCAGAGCTTGCTTAGTACAAAAGTATCGAGATGCAATCTCCGAAGCCATCAAGGTGCGGCAGGAGTCGCAGCAACAGCATGCGGAAAACGCCCCAGAACTACCCAACCAACAATCAACTCTATATTCCCTTGCATTCACCTTTCATTTCGGCCACTCCAGCGTACATAGTTAAAAACATTTTCGATTTAAATCCTGCTGTTTTGTGCTGTCAAAGTTGCAACCCCGACTCGAGTTCACTGAGTCTTTAGATTGCGCCATTCTTGGCGTTTAAGTTGTGAGCAGTCCGGTGACAGCTGCGTGGCGACCGACAACCGAGCCGACACCGACTCGGACCGACACCCGATAAATTCCCCACTCCAGCTTGGGGAGCAAAGTGAAAGTTCATCCCATGTTGAAGAAGTCCATGTTCAACTGGTGAGGCCATCTACCACAACAGATTCCGGTGTGCCAGGATGGCGATGGCCCTGTTACACTACCGCTTCTCGGAAGCGATTAACAGAAAAGGACCGACGACGCTAAGAGGGTGATGAACGAAACCACCAAGACAATCAATGGCACGGATTACCTAGGCTGTTCAGGACGGGGTCCTATCGTCTCCTAGCAGGCCAACCCGCCAATTCACCGATGTGATGGATGCACGTAGAAGGCGCATCGGGTGTGTTGACGATGCTTGTTTTGACTAGCTTCATCGGTTAGTTATTCGTACTACACCTTGAACTCAGCTCGGCCCTAAAAAGTCAGATCCTTCCCAATACGTTGATCCCACCATGTGCAGCATTTTTGTGCAGTCAATGCTGTCAAAAGGAATATCAGAAGTGTGACGCTTGACATCTTCTTGAAAAGCAGAACTAGCGGGCACAAAAAGATCAGGCTGACTTTTTTATGTTGAGAAACAAGACGAAAGAAACGATTTTAAAGAATAGAGAAAGCCAACGTGAAAGCGCCGATTGAATCCCCAGAAACGAATGCAACAGATAATACCAGGCGAGCGATTTCGCCCCCTGAGACAGAACAACCCACTCAAGAAACCGGAGTTGCAAAACGGGCTGCTCACTCCCGCCAAGCCCGTGCCCGTCCCGGTGGAGAGCCGTGGGGCCGAACCCCTCGGGGATCGTGAACTTCCTAAAAGGGCAAGTCAAGAATCATCCCTGGTGATAAGCGTAACTGTGTACATATCTGACGATCTTATTGACCAAACGCCATGACAAGGAGGTCTCTACCAACTATTGCGGCTCAGGAAGGAAAACTACGTGGTGTAAAAGGGGTGTTTTATTTTTCAGAACTTAGTCACTGTCCTCTTTTTCTAGCCCCAATCCCTTTGCGCTTGAGTGGCGTGGTTTGGATGAAATGTGGAGGATTATTTGTGACGTCCATGACCATAACATGGCACGTGAGGGTCAGCTCTTTGTAAGGCTTTTGAGCATTCAAATTCTGAACACAAATGCCAGAAGAAAGCCGGTAACGAAGGTATCATCGAAATGAGTACGTACTTTTGTGCTTTAATTAAACTGGAAACCCACGCCAACAAATATCTGGCTCCTTACTATCGCATCCGGATTGTTGGGAGTAGTAACGCAAGTTGTTGTTATGTTCAACGCCGCCGATTCTCGCATCGTCTCACGATTATGGCGTGGTTTAGGTAGGTAGTCAAATGATAACGACGGGAGAAACCAAAAGCTTCGTGTTAATTAGGCGACCTAAGAGCAATAATCCGCAGCATCCCGGGGCCTAAAACCATGTCGAAGTAGCCGCCGTGTCAGCCCAATCTAGAGAGGCTCCTCCCCGCCCTAAATGCTGTCCCGTTCTCAAGCCGTACCACCTCCTTCCTCCCAGTCAGGCCCCTTGTGTTGCAATCAGCGCCAGCTTCTGCGCCCTTCCGCTGCCCACAAGTGTGAGTATTGGCCAAACCCGTTGTCGGCGGGTGTATCCCCCAGCAGGGTATGCGCTCCACCAGTGCTGGAATCAATGGTTCTTCTTCTTCCTCCTATTCCCGTTGTCGGGCTTTCGCTTGAAGGTGAGGCCCGGGATTATTGGGGCCGTCTGGCTCTGCGGGTCAAGCGTTGGGTCATAGTAAGCGGTCAGGTCAGGCTCCTGATAGGTTGAGCTCACTCTCTGGGAGGAGCCCACTCTCCGGGAGCTCACTCCCTGGGAGAAACCGGCTAGTTCTTCGGACGAATCGACTTCTTCGTCAGAAGGACGATTGACAAGAACCTCCTCCCATTGGAGTGGACCTGTGTAGAGGGTTTCATTCCAAGTCTCCTCTTGGGGCAAATTGGCTGCTTCTTGGGGAGGAGGACCGACAGCAGCGTGCTGGGCGTATGAAGTGTGGCCCGCGGCAGGGTCAGATACAGCATGCTCGGGGGTGTAATGTTGGATATGATGGGCTAGCTGCTGGTACCGAGCAGAAATCACGGCCGCTGCATTCTCGGGGTCTTCATTATGGGCTACTTCAATCTCGCCTGCTGCATACTGGGCTGCCGCAATCTCTTCATCGGTAGCAAGTTGGGCTAGTAGAGAGTAGGTAGCTGCACACGCTATATAGACCGGACCATGGAAACCGTAGAAGCGACAGACTACGCATCGATTTTGACGGGGGTCAAGAGGGGGCATCATGTTTCTTGTTGGAGAATACGGCTTGTGAGTGCAGTACTGTTTGTTATTAGAAAGTATTGCTTGTGGGTGGGTGTACTGCTGCTTAGGGTGGAAGAGAGCAAGGTCGATGTAGTGCAGTGGCTGGATACTCGGTTGGGTGATGATGGGAATATTTAGTTGAGAACCTGGCGATGGGGAGGGTGGGAGCCGGCCTTTTATAGTTGTTGGCCGCCGAGAAGAGGTTGTGATAGAAACCTCGAGCCCTGAACAGCAACTACATGAACTGGGCTACTGTTCTTTGTTTTGCTATTGTTGACCACCTTGGCACTATTCAACACCTGAACTGGCGAATCTTCCTTGTTGAGGGAGGCCACATGGTGTCATAGAGGATAAGATGAAACCGGGATTGACTTGTTCGTGATGGTGGTCTCGTTTTGGGGGTTTCAAGGCTTAGAGTCTTAATAGAGCGTGAGACCTATTAGAATTTCACAGCACAGAAATCTCCTTCATAAACTCAAAGGCATCATCAGGTTTGTTGGGCCAACGTGATGGTTGTTAATGACGTTACTGGCTCTGAAGAAACAAGATACCGGTATACCATCTTTGAAAACTATTGGGGACAATGAAAAAAGCTTTCAAGCTAACTACATTTTGCTCGTGGTAGGCATGCTCCTAAGGAGCTTCACACAAGATGTGGCAAAACCAATAGCAAAGATCCTTTTTGTCTAGGTGTTGATTTAGAGCCTGAGCCCCTTAATCTTTTTCTCCTAGAAATCATGCCCTCGGCGTTGAGTTGTTGACAATGCTTATAAGTATCAAGCTTCTACAGGTGTACAGAATGAACGTTGAAATCAAGAAAGCAAAAATCTTTGACGAAGTGGCAACACAAATCACTTCAACACCAGGGTAGTCGATCTCCAAGTAGTGTTCAATGATGGTGAGGAATGAACAGGGAATACAGCGTTTGGATTGTTAGCCTTGGTTCAAACGCCAGGAGACCAGAAAAGGACAAAAGGCTCTTCGAAAAATCATTGCATCTGGTCCGTATATACTCCAAAAAATGGCAAAGAAAAGGTATTTACATAATAGAACAACCGCGGCATCCTCCCGAACCGTGCCACCCTAAGCCAGGATTGTTCATCCACCCCTAATTCGAAAAGCTTCCCACTAACATTGGAACCATGAGTCCACTCTGCTTGTTTCCGCAGCCACCTTTCTAGCCCCCCCGCAGACAAAATAAGGCACCGTTCACCCCCCATATTAACGCCAACCAAAGACACGACCAGTCGGTCGGTCGGAGTCAGATCGTGAATTATATCTCTTTGCCCCCCAGGAACTCCCAGCCAACTTCCGTTTCCACTCCTCTCTTACTACCAGCCACATGGTTATCGTTAACAAGAACCGGGGAAAAGAATATTTTTTGAAATGGTGGGAACCGGGGTTTCCGCTCTGCGAGGAGCCCCAACGAAGGTTGAAAGACGACAAGCGGGATAGAAGAAAAAAAAGAGTCCCGCGTTGTATAAAGCCAAATTGTCGCACGCAATGCCCGATATGCCCCCGGCCGATTTGTAGCAAAGTCCGTTATCTACGCCGCGCGTGGACCTGTCGCGACCAAAGGGAAAGAGATGTTGAACAGATTAGAGTCGTTTCGTGCCGATCCCAAGAGTCGACGTAAGAATATGCTGGCGTCCGTGTTGACGAGCCTCCCTTTTTACCCTGTTTACCATAAAGGCGAAGGTCGACTAGGGAGGAGGTAACGGCCGTTCGCCCTCGTGATGGCTTCTTGGAGCTAGCAAGCCGCCGTTGGACATTCCGCGAGCATGGCCATTAGACACGCCGCGGGTGTGCCCATTGGCGTAGCCTTTCTCCGCCAAGCCTGCCTTGCCCTCCGTGTCCTCGTCCTCAAAGACCTTCTTCTCTAGCCACTGGGTAGCTCGCGCGCAGGCGGTGTCTACCCACCTCATCCAGGCCCATGCGGCAGTGTACGTCAAGACAGTGAACACCACAATGGCTACCATCTTGTACGGCCGGCCCTTGGGCTTAACCCAGATTGGATCCCTGTTGGACCCATCCTCGTTCTTCCCGCCGGGCGTGAAAGGCTCACCGCTTGTGCCATACACAATCCACATGCCGACAGTACGCAGGATGGTGCCATGCGTGAGGTAGACGGCGAACGAGTGGTGACCAAGCCAGATCAGAACCCGGTGGGACAGCAGTTGTTGGAAAAGCGGAGAAAGGAAGAGTGAGATGGCGGTGCACATAATGAAAAACGAGGACGTGCGGCGGTTGAGATCAGTGCCCTTGGGGACAATGAGGCTGCCGGTGCGGTGACCATCGACGGGGTTGACAAGGAATTTGTGAAGGCGCAGCGACCAGGGAGCCCAATCCTCGTGCTCAGCGGGGTGAGAGCCAACATAGCCACCGATGAGGAAGATGAGTGGGGCGAGGACGTAGGTGCAAAGCCGCTGGTACTTCGAGAGCAGGTTTTGGGTCGGGCGGTGCTGCGACAGTTCGGCAAGCAGGGTCCCCAGCGCAAGCATGGCACCGAAGGTCTCTGCAGGATTGTTAGCATTGAACGATGCAGAGCGGGGTGGGGCGGGCCGGTTGGCGGCTGCATGCAAGCAAAGGCGTACCTGTCAAAGCGTTGTGGTTCATCAGCCAGTACAGAATCAACATGACATGCACGAGCACACGGTACTTGAACCGCATGCCGATGGTTGCAGCTAGCACGATGTAGACCTGGAAAGCACCAACTAGTAGCGGACGCATTGCCCACTGGTGCCGGTCGTAGAGGTTCTCCGTGTTTGTCCAGGTTGTCAGCGAGCTCCTGAAAAGCCGTCTCACGTTATCCCAGAAGGGCAGTGGGTCAGGCGCATCAAAGCGCACCCAGTAGCTATCACAGTGGTTGGCGGACTTGTAACCACCTAGAATTGACATGCAGAAGCTAATGAAAGTGGCGATTAGGGCGGGCAAAACGAGCCGTGGCGGACGGCGGAAGGCGCTGCGAGCGACAGATTTGAGGGATGCCGGGGCATTGTTTTGGATGTACGCCAGCTTGATCGGTTTATATGCGCACACAAAGCCTGTCAGGAAGGCGAAGATGGGCACGCCGATACGGCCCTGCCAGGGCAGCCGCAGATATGGGAGCTGCAACAATCTCGGTGTGCCATCTTTCTGGTCGGCGGGCCAGAAAAGAGGGAAATCGTACGCTCGGGAAATGTGGGTGACGATGACGAGGACGGAGGTGATACCTCGAAGGCCCTGGAGAATACGACGGCACGTTAGTCGAGGAGGGAGGTGTCAGGAGGAGCGAAGGAGGAGGGAATGGGACGCACCTCAACCCACTTGATGTTCCGTTGGTTTGGCCTCGCGCTCATTGTGCCTGATGTCGAATGCCAAACGTCGACAATTGTTCAGGAATGGAGGACAAAGGACGGAGGAAGGAACAAAATTTAGCGAGACGAGATGACGGTGACAGCTGGATAAGCCTTCTCCACCGATCCAGGGGTGTATCTGAAGATTGTGGAGCGCGCCCGATGCTGCCGGGATGGCACTGGGACCCTTCCGAAATCAGATCCGAGACGAGACAGCGAACGTCGGCCTCGGCGGCGGCTGAGCGTAGGAGAAGCTCAACGTGTCTCGATGTGTTGGTCGATGTGTGTCGTTTGAAAGGGCGGCGTCTGGTAGACGATTGTCGTCGCTGTCGTCGTTAGGAGGAACGCATCGGACGGCTGCACAAGCTGTCGGAGTGACTTTATGAGGGACGAAATGTTGACACGCAACAATTCTTGGCGTGGTGCTCGTGGGTCCGCCTTTTACCAGGAATCCTTTCCCGTCTATCGCCGTTCCCTTTCACTGCAGTCGTTCCGTTCGAAGACCCCCAAGGCGGTTGACGGATGGGAAAAGGAAAAAAAGCGAGCGAAGTTCAGCCTGGATGGCGGAGGGTGGGTGGTGAGCGAGCGACGGCAGGCAGGAAGTTGGCAGCACCCATTTGGAGGAGGGTTTGGGCGGTTTTGGTGGCGCCGGGTTGAGGAAATGGATTTTTCGATTCTGGGTCACGCCCGCCCGCCAAGAGTGCTTCCCAACAGCCGCTGTCGTTGATTGGTACGCCAGTAAGCATGCCAAGCCAGCCAATATGCCTCGGCGGGGGGAGAATGCTCAGGGGCTGTGGGGATGCATGACCAGGTCGAAGCTTCCCTTGGCTGTTGGTCCTGCCTGTCCTGCCTGATTTCCGCTGTTCCTCGACCTCGCCTTCCTAAGGAAGGAGCTGACAGTGGTCGTATGGCCATCAGTGCAAGTCGAAAAACCGGTATATCGTGGCTTGTAACCGGAGCGGAGTGACAACCGAGCGTTGAGAGCCTCTGCGGCCGCACATCGCGCTCCGCTGAAACAAACGGCTGCGGGCCCGTGGCATTTCTTTCGCTTGGCGGTCCCGTCGGCCTGCAGCGTAATGTCCCCAAAGAAATCTACTAGTGGGAATTTTCATTGACTGCGATGGAATCCGAGTTGATGGCGGCACCGACAGGGCGCGTGGATTAGGAAATCTCGGAATCAGTGGACACGCAGTTTTTGCATTTTGTTGTCTTGGCCAAATTTCAGCAATCAATCCATGCGTTCTCGCAGCCGCCGGTCCGTTGTCCGTGGTTCTCAGACCCGAGCCGCCCCTTTTCGCCTTGTCCCGGTGGGCAATGCGGCAATGTGGGTTGCTGTCACAGGATCAGGGTCCATCCATCTCCAGAGTTGCGAGGTGGGTTGGGGCTTCGTGGATTCCTCCAGTTTGCCACTGACATTCCTTCACAAGTCATGCCTCCTTCTTTTCCCTGCTTGAGGTTTCGAACACGGAGTCTGGGACAAGGCTGGCTTCAAAACTCGGTTTTGTTCAATACGGATAGACCTCACCTTTTTTGGGAGCGTGGCTGTCCCGAATGGGTTTAAAACTGCCTGGTTGCATGAATTTTCTGCGATTACAGGCTTGGCGCTTGCTCCTTGAGTCCTTCTCACATCCCGGCAGCCCACCCAGCCGAACGTCGCAAGACAATGGAACCCACTGACATCCATCTCGTCCTGCATTTGATCTCCCACCAACCCGCGGACGCCCACACCCCCATCCCAACTCGGGATCCTCGACGATTCGCCCGTGCCCGCCCACACGGCATTTCGCAACATGGAGGGGCGGGGAATTGATAAATCACAAGCGGCGGTCAGGACACCTCGAGAACTTCGTATCAAGCTTCGTCCCCTCACCGTATCCTACCCCGAGAGCGAGCGGCGTTTAGCACGTCATAAACAACATTTGACATCCTTCGTCCGGGGTCATCCGAAGAAAAAAAAACGCTCGCTTACCCTCGCCGCAAACGCCGGGCCCGATGCCCCGTTAAGAGGATCCACACACCCGGACAAGAGGCGCAGTGCAACCTTGGGCTCGGGTTCACGTCACGTTGCGAGACCGCAGAGTTTCCTGAAACCCCGGGACGAGGACCTTTTCGACGGCTCTATCCCGGTTCCCGGCTAAGAACTCGCGAGCCTCCCCCCTTGTTTATTTTAACCCCGCGAAGCTTTTTTCCACGACTGCCGGCTTGGTTGACAGAAAATGCTATAGATGAAAGGTGCCATTGGACACTATATCAACCTGCGAGAGATGGCTCGGCGTTAAGCGGGGCAGCGGCTCTTCGCGGAGCCGGGCCATTGATACTACTTCATTCCGCCATGGCCTGATAACGCGTTGGATGGCGTGCTCAGCCAGAGAACCTCCGCCGGTCGAAGATTAGAACAGATGGAAATGAAAACCCACGGCCTGAACGAGAGGAGGATGAAACTAGACTAGCCGAGCAAGGTCGGTTCATCAACGGGAGAACCTGGTAACGTTAAGGCTGTGTGGGGCCTGTCTTTTTCTCACCGAGATGAGCTGTGGACGACCCTGAATGCGGCTGCCTTCGCTATCCCTTCCAAGAGATTCTAGGGTGGGAGCGACGCTGGGTTTAACCAACAGTTTGGCGATGATCAACCTCAAATCTTTGAAGCTCTGGTGATGGACATTGTACAAGGCAGGTCGTTTTCCGGCGTTGTCTGGACAAGTTGTCCTTCTCAGAATGTGAACAGTGGACGAGGTCGTCTTCGGCCTCGTATTGGGAAGCTCTCTGCCACGTTATCGGCCCGGTCTTGTTCCTCCAATCACGTCCCATTCGTTTGCTCCTCGGGAGGTTTTCCTCGTCAAGTGGTCCGTTCTCGAAACACCCTTGAACCCCCACTCCACCCCCCCTCTCGGCTTTCAACTGTTGCGGGATCTCCGACATCGTTGAAAGAGCGGCGGTCGGCGAAAGCGAGACCGATTCGGGAAGAAAGGTGCCGATTTCCTCTTCCCGTCGCCGGCCCACGTTGTCGATCGTTGGCCGTTTTTTGTGTCGCTTCGCATGTGAAGATGGGATGTGCAGTTTCAACGTGTCTTGTAGGCAGGTGGAAATTTTTTCCACAGCCGTCTTGGCACTGTTGCCTCGCAATGATCGACGCGCGACTCGGTTGAGAGAAAATATTCCCTATTTCTCCAGCCATAGCCATGCTGGTATAATTACTCTCGCGAGATAAACAATCTCAGAAGTTTGGATCCAACAAAGATGGCGGCGACAACGAGTTATCGGGCGTTTCCTAGGAACGTGCCGTGCGTGACCTCCTGCCATGTCAGGCAAGGTGGAACAAAACGGCCTTCAAGGTTCCTCTCACCCAACCCACAGTGGATTCGGGGGGTTTCTCAACAAGGCTCAAGTGCCGGACCATCCTCATGGGGAAGAGAAAGACGATACACAATCACCGTCGTGACTCCACGTGTGTTCCATAGTCGCTTAGGGACAAGGGAATTATGTGCGGGCTCGCTACCTACCGGCCCGCAGAGTTGTGCCAGAGAGGGACGGTGGCACTCTCGAAGACAAATCCAATCTTGGCCGGTGCACGGATAGTCAATGCAAGATCCGAAAATGCCGATGTCAAGTGCGGATACTAACGCGTCGTCGTCGCGTCGTGGAACGCTAAAATTAAAGGTTGCGTCACCCATCGGACCTCGAAACTCCCGGAGTGCCGGGTTTACGCAGCACGGTCAACCACACAGTAAAAATATGGTCCTCTCTGCTAATAACTCGTATAGGTCCGGACCTACAATTTTACTTCTGATTCTTTGGGGGCCAGACCAACGGGTCGCAGGCAAGTATCCAAAATTAGTTTTTTCATGTTGGGTCCTCCCGGAAACCCGGGTCAAGCAAGTTTGGCGGGATCCGCGCGGGGAGGATCGTTCCGGCAAGGGAACCGGGAAAGGAAGCGGGTGAAATAAGTGTTGGGCTGATCAGACTGGGTGGATTGATGATCTTGCGAGGCTGAACTGAAGGCACACTGCCTGTTTGGGAGGTATTATTCATGCATTACAACTTGACACTTATAATACCTCACGGTCTTGCCATGCGGCTTGCTGCATTTCTTTCCTTTAACAAGATCTTCTATAAAAAAAAAAAAGGAACAAAGTGGCTTTTTGTGGTGCCCTCCAACAGAGTATCTAAACAATTACTCAACACACACATCTCCCGGCTTCCCTTACGCCCCGAAAATAGCCCGGCAACCGGGTACGCCTGCAAACAGCAGCTACGCCGGTTCGTCTGGCTGGCGTTACGCGTCCTTCATCACATCAATGTCCACCGGTGTGGCCGCAGCAGCAGCAGCGGGACAAGAAGCGGTATTATTTTTCCCCTCCATTATCGCCGGTATTCCCGGTCGTTCGCGAGGTATTATCTCTCCCCACTGCCACCGCCCCGGCCGTCTCGTCACTAGTCCCATTTGATGTCCCATTAGCACTCTCATTCGAACTCCCAATCGCACCCCCGTTCCCATTGCCGGAATTCGGTAACCGCGTCAGGCAAACGTCAGCTAACTCATCCGACTCCACGAAGAACGCGATCCCTTCCTCCTGAAACACGCCCTTAAGGACCTCGAAGTGGAACTCCAACGGCACCGCGCCTTCGAGAATCCATGTCCACGGAATCTGGACCAGGAACACGACTTTCTTCAGTTGCGGCAGCCGCGCCACCACCTCGCGCGCAAACTCGGTTAGGGTCCGCAGCGCCTGTACGCGGTAGTGGTGCTGGGACTGGTAGTAGCGGACTTTGTCTTCGACTTTCCAATCGGGGATGGTGTCGATCAGCTCGACGTGGTGCCACCACCAGTCGATGAGGGTGAGTTCGGTGAGGTTGGGGGGGAGGAGGTCGACTAGTGGGGTCTCGAGCACGGCTTGCGGGGTGCCGTAGAGCATGGCGAGTTGTATGCATAGGCTTCGGAGAGACGGGAGTTGTGGGAGGGCGTTGAGGCGGCCGTCTGGGCCGACGAGGCTTACGAAGCCGGAGATGTCCTCCCAGCTGACGTCTAGGGTGCGGAGGTTCTTGCCGTGGTTGATGAGTCCGTTGTTGAGGGAGTCTGGGTGCTCGGCGAGCCCGTTGTCGTCGACGGAGGCCTTGAGGGCGTAGTCCCCTCGCGGGGCCATGTAGAGCGTTTCGAGTTTGGGGGCTTGGAGTAGGAGGTAGTGCAAGTCGCCGGGGTAGGCGATGCTGTCGTGGAGGAAAACGTGGCGGAGGTTGGGCAGGAAAGGTTTGTCAAAGTTGAAGGGGTCAGGGTTGGTGCCGTCAGGCATTAAAGGCCACGTCTCGTCGTCGGGCATCATAGACCACACCCCGTCATCGCTGCTGACTTCGAGCGTCGTGAGGTTGGGGAGACTGGCGAAGAGTGAAGCGTACTTGCGTGGTTGAGCGCCCCAGACGTCGGAGTGGTCGTGCTCGCACTCGCAGTCCTCCTTCTCGAACTCGGCTAGCAGTTCCGGATCCCCTTGAATCGCGAGCGTACGGATGGAATGAAAGGGACGCGGCGAAGACGCACTCTCTGGGGCCATCGCGTCATAATGGCTGATACCTGCGATTTGCTCACAGAGAACTTGGTACTCCTCTTGGTCGTCGCTAACGGGGACTTGGATAAGTACCGTTTCGACTTTCGAAAGATATGCTAGTATGAAGGTGAGGAAGATCTGTGGCAACCGTTCCCCCCCACGACCGGCGACGAGGTCCCTGACGGAGCCATGCAGCAGAACGAGCAGCCGCCCCGTGGCCATGACCATCGGCTCGACCCCCTCGGCAGCGGAGAACGTGGTGAGATACCGTGGGATCAAGTCCCTGAACTCCCGAATCACCGTATTCGACGTCAACGTGAGGTGGCAGGAGAAGTAGCGGGTCCAGGTCCCATAACTGGGGTTGTTGCACAAAGTCCGGAAGAAGAGCAGCATCGATTTCTCATCCCATACTGCGACGGTTCGGTACAGTAACGGAAATGCCGTCTGGGAAAGCCGGCGCGAGACAAGGCAGAGGCTCCTCAAACCACGGTGGCATCTTGTGAAGTTGAACCAAGGTTCGTCCGCGATCATCTGGTTGTAAGAGACGGGCTTAGTCTCGCCAATTTCCGGAGGCTGCGGGATCAGACATTCCAAGATTGATGAGATGATCTCGGGCGGCATCGCGGCCAGGACGCGCGCGGGGCCGTGGAAGTCGGCCATGGCGGCGTCGTGAACCGATGAAGCCCCCCCTCTGGTGAGATGTATTGTTCGCAAAAGTTGCTGTTGGTTGAGCTCGGTTTGCTGGGAGCACCAGACCCCTGGGTCTCGGAAGTGGGGAATTCCACGTCCAGGAGAACGTCTTCAAATCGGCTCTCCCTCGGAAACAAGGTGTGTGGGTTGCGCAGCGGGATCCAGTGAATAGTTATTGTCGCCAGCCGTTGATCAGGAAGTAAGGGTTCTTGCGGTGATGGCGTTCGTTGTTGTGATGGCTGTTTTGTTGACTGAACAGGGGATGACTGCAGCTGAGAATGCGGAATTGAAGTTGGAGCTGCAAAACTTATGGGCTGGCAGCCCCGCCGAGTAAAATACCTTTTTGGGCGGTGGGGCCTGCACAACTCGGCACGATTGCGTTGTTCGAGGGTTGTTCGAGGGTTACGTCAAAAATCCGTAAATCACATCTGGCCTTGAGGAACCGCTTCAACATTCCATGTCGATTTGACACAACGCCGCGATACAGAGAATTTCGTACTAAGCATGCCATCACCTAGGGCACGGATTCTTAACACATGGGTCAGATTTAGGTAATATTGCATTGTCTTATTGCATCGTCTTGGCGTTGGAATTGTGGTTGAGAGAACCTGGAAATTGGCAGGTGATTAACGTTACCATGTCCAGTAAAAAATGTAGGAATCACGGATTAGATAATTCCGGACTGCAGTGCGTTATTGACGGTTGTCTGTCTAATATAATTACACTACTGTACAACAATAGTTACAACATGTCTTACAACAAACTCAGTAATTACTTCGTGCCACAATGGGATCACACCCCTGTAACCTCCGGGTACGTTTTTGTTTTGTATTTTTCGATTTAGTTTTTGCTTGATTAGATAAAGTACATACAGATTCGACGACGAGGCTCCTTGTCCACTTTGACACCATGCCGATACAGCCCTTAATTGTCTGACGATCGTATCCTCACCGTGGTACGAGCTAATATCGAGGAGTACACAGTACACTAGCCGGATTGGAAAAGAGGGACCGGAGCTGTAAAATGGACTCAGGAAATCAGGGCTCATCAATTTGGACAATGGAGTTAATAAGTACACTTAGAACCCCAGGTCGGCCAAGGACAAGGCCCCAATGCCTTCGTACCCGTTCCTCGCCGCGAACACGGTTGGGGCCTTACCCACGAACTCATCATATGATTCGTCTTCCTCCTCGACATCTTCGTCCACCACAGACTCGAAAGTCTCCTCCGTACTCGATGCACCACGGGATGCTCCTCTCGTCGCCATCGTCTGGGTCTGCTGCGGGAGCTTGACCCCCTGGTGCCACTCAAAGAAGTGGTCGGGATCCCACCTCTTTTTTACTTCGCGCAACGCCTGCAGGTTGGGTCCAAAATACGCTTCCTCGTGCGCCTTGAGCTGGCTATCGGGGAAGTTGACAAAGGCAGCGTGGCCCTTGACCGAAAACTTCCTCAGGTCATTGCTCATCGTCTTGAGAAAGTCCTTCATGTCTCTGGTCAGCCATTTCTCCTTCCGCTCAAGCATCACGTAGGTATGGTAGACGGAGGAACGCCACGGGTAGGCCGTGGTGCTCGTCGTTTTCTCCCGGCTCGCTTCTCCGCCGGTGTGGATCCATGTGACCTGGAGCAGACCCTCCTCCCCTGCGAAGAGGTCGCGAAAGTCCTTCATCTGCTTTCGAATGAAGGCGGTGACCCCCGTGATGGTTGGCTTGTCGTTGGTGAGGACGACCGACGTGTAGATGCGATATTTTCCTGTTGCCGACGAGAGCGTGCTCTGGTTCTCAAAAGACCATTGTGACACGAGCGTCTCAAACAGGAATCGCGTCGACAGCTCCTCTAGGGTGCGCCGCTTGAGCGGCTTGGCCAGCTCCTGGTTCTTGATATTTTCGTCGGCCGTGGCATCGAAATTGGCCTTGTTGCCGTTGTGAGGGATCGGGAAGCGGACTTTGAGTTCCGTTGTCGGAGGGTCGTTCAAGTCGCACAGCCAGGAGCTGTCGATCGTGGTCTGGTTCGGCCACTCTGCCGTGTAAAAGTCGACCATGGTTGCCATGAAGCTGTCCATGTTCCCGGGCTTCGGCGCCCAGACGAACAGGCCGGCGACCACACTTTTACCCTCCAGTTTCTGCACCTTCATCTTCATCTCCACCACGACGCCAAAGTTGCCCCCGCCCGCCCCACACAGGGCCCAAAACAGCTTGCCCTCGTCCGAGGTCTTGTCGTCCTTGTCGGTGACCTTCACTATCTGTCCATTGGCCGTCACAATGGTGGCCTCTTGGAGCGTGTCGCATCCCATGCCGAAGCTGCGCGTGAACGGGCTCAGGTCGCCCCCGAGGACGAACCCACTCACGCCCACTATAGGGCAGCGCCCTCCGTTAATGAACCAGCCGTTGTGGCCACCGTCAACCAAGGCCTTGTAGGCATGACCCCAGCGAGCGCCGCCCTGCAGCGTGACTGCCTCCGAACCGGGTGTCATGTCGAGCGTGACCTTGTTCATCCTGGACAGGTTTAGCAGGATGCCGCCGTTGGTGGTCGAAAAACCGCCGAACGAGTAGCCGCCGTTCTTGATGGTGACAGGTCGGTTGTGGGCTTTGGCCTCCCGAATGAGGGCCTAGACCTGGCTAATGTTGGACGGCTACACCACGCATGCCGGCCGCGCGTCGCGGAACATGAGGTTCCCGGTCGTCACCGCGTGCTCATATTCCTAGTCTTGCGGCTTGAGCGCTTTGACGTTGGAGTCCTCCATCGGGTTGATTAGAGAGCCCATGGTGTCGTTGAGAGTCGGGGAACGTGGCCCAGGGTTTGAACTGAGTAAGGTAGGTAGTAATGAAAGTGAATAACAATGAAGAACAGGGTTGTCGTCGGCGCCTGAGACTATCTGAGCTTGAGTCAACAGTGGAACTTGTCAACTTCAGCAAAGGGGAAAGCTTCCGACAGGAGGTCCAGAGGAAGGTGTGCCATCTTAAGTACCTATTCAACCACTTCGATCTCAAGAACCGATCTTGTTGATTTCCCGATCTGGTATCTTGCAGCTTCACTGCTGTGGTGATGGATTGTCTGCACAGGACTACCCCTCGGTGAATTGGCCGTGAATGGGGTGATGGGGTGATGGGGTGATGGGGTGATGGGGTGATGGGGTGATGGGCTAGATCATGATCGAGTTTGGGTCGAAGTCGGAGTGCATGATGTCAACAGACGGGCCATTCCGGCCCCGCAAGCTGATATCCACTTCGACATGAGTGCAGCCCATCGTTTTCTTGGAGTACTCGTACCCCGCCGGCTTGTCTCATGGGATCGGGGAGCTCAGCGATTGGTGCTCATAGATGGAGCCTAGGACGTGCTCAAACTCGTGCAAGATGTCGGCTGAGTGGAAGCATCTCTCTGGGGACCTGTTCGGGGGAATCGCCTAAATCATCATTGGCTCGCCAGTGAGGGCGGCAAGGCATTCAATACCGATATAAATATGATCACGTCCCCCGGCTGGAATCGAATCGGACCCAGATCTCGGCCGCGCACGAAGAAACAAGGTCGAATTTCGGTATTTCAGTTATAAATCGGCCTCATTTTATGTCGGATAGATGCGCCAAGACGCCCTGTGTGCCGAGAACGTTCTTATTCCTAACCGGAGTCTCCATCATGAAGTGAGTCTCCATCATGAAGTGAGGGAGTCGCGAACGACTTGCAGAGCGCCTGGCCAGTCGTCATGTCTCTCGTTCCACGATTATCCAAACAACGGTATACAACTTCACCCGTCTCACCAAGACGGCCCAGCGAGGAACCGCCCTCCTCCCAAAGAAGGAAAGAAAGAAAAGAAACTGATCCAATAGGCAGAAAGCTTTAGATATAGGGTTGGGTCTCTGCTTCGCTGAAACGCCCCTTCCATACGTCAGGGCTAGGGCCCCGGGTCTCTTCCGCACCCGCGACTCTACTCTGAAGGATGAGACGGCACCTCCATCTGTGCCTTTGGAGATACTGGTGAGCAACTGTCAGGGTTGGGGTTATGTACGGGACAGGTCACGTGCACATCGAATGACATCCGAATTACCCGCCTTGGGAAACGGAAACGCGACCCGGACACCGTGAAAACAATATCAACCCCATACTTAAAAGATGTTGACTTTTGGCGTGTCATAATACAGACAACCCGAGAGGATGGCCGGACAAGGGTTCGAGTTGGTGGGAGCCTGCAGAATTTGGACGAACCCTACATTGAAGCCTTTGAAGGAAACCTACCTACTAATTAGCGGAGCGGTTGCTAACAGGGGAAGTTGATGGGGATGTGTTTGGCTACAGTAAGAGATTAGGAAGACTTAAAGCGAAGTGTGGGGTAAAGGAGGGACTTTGATGACCCTCCCCTCGCTTCGAGAATTGGCTGGGGAGACGCGGACGTCACGGCCCTGCCTCAGTGCCTAACTTCTCCCTCTTCAAAGACAGCGGAGGGCATGTGATGCCACGAGTGTGCGCTGTACACAGTTTCGCGCCGTAGATACTTACTATAATGTGCTCACTGGAGGGGTCACAAGATGGCTCCGCGGCTTGCGCCCAATGGGCCGGACTACCTGTTACTCTCCGGCCTCCCATATACGAGTTTCCTACGGAAGTGGAAACACTTCACGAGGCATGGACAAGAGTAACATTCTCTGGACACTTATACAAGTACCGGTGTTAAAATCGAGACATGGAACATGGTACTTTTGTACCATATTGGGTCCATGAACATCGTGCTTGTTCAACTGTGGACCTCAGTACTGCACGAGAAGGTTGGTCCATGCCAGCTTGCTGCGGCTTATCGGGAGCCATCTTCAGGTTGTGTTGGCAAGACCTTATTATTCCATTCTTGAAAGATGCACTGGGCTGTCTGCTGGAGGATGTTGCCTTGTCACGTTGTCGCCTCACCGGTTTTGAGGGTGGGGTAATGAAAAGCATACCACCGTGCGAGAAATACGGTCTGGCCCTCCGAGTTTCTGGAGGCATTTAAAACGAGGCTGTTGGCGCTTGGGATCTCGGGGTGTTCTCTCTTTCCCATCATCTCGCAGAAACACACCTTACCGAGATACTTCACAACGCCAGGAAGCATGCGTCTCCAGTTATTCAAGTCCGGCTCGCTGGAGAGCGAGGCCTGTGCTCTCCAGTGAGTCCCAACAATGTTTTTAAAATCGTCACTATCCCGAACTCCCCAGGGTGACCGTGGCGACGACTTGATGCTAACAGTGACCCGGTAGTATAATCGTCATCCCAGCCCTCGGACTAAGCCGCGCGTTCGACTGGAAGCATCCCTCAGACCCTCCTAGCTCCTCATGGCTTCAAAAGCTCGTTGAGGACATCGTGCCCGACACCGTTGCCTGGGAGCATGTCTACAGCCAGGACCGGCCGACCTCACTCGCGAGTGGGATTGCAGCCGAAGCGGATATTCTGCTTCGTACCATCTTCGATCTTTACGCACGTGTTAACTCTGAAGGCACTGTAAGTTCGAATTCAAATGATAACGTGAATCATTACAGCGGTGAATAAAAAGGCTCACTATGAATACGTAATTAGATAGTCAAACCACCGCTCGTCTTCATCTGCCACGGAACAGGCGGCTTCGTGTTGGAAAAAGGTCAGTTTACCTCCACCCTGTGCCATTGTTTTGCCCTTCAGCCAGTAAACTTGCTCTGACACATCATAAAGGCCTTGCACATTTGCCAACAGCCATTCTCCGAGTATCGCCCCGTCATCGAGCTTGTGTCTGGGGCAATCTTTCTGGGCTCACCCCATCTCGTTGGCGACAAACAACAAGCCAAACTGGTGACCGACCTTCTGCTCAGGGGCCAATACAACGGTGATTGCACTGGGTCCGAGTCGGATGATACTGATGTCGAAAGCGTCTTGGAGATTTGCAAGAGCTTTGAGCGTCTCAACCTTGCGGTATGTCTCGTTTCAGTGGTCGAGAGTGAGGATACCTCAGGCATAGGTACCCTCAAAGCGAGTCATGAAACCGTTGTTGGAAGCGATGCAGATCACCTCGACATCTGCAAGGTCTCGGTCAACTCCAAAGCCTACCAGGTGGTCGAAAAGTTCTTTGAGGAGGTCATGCGCGATGCGCCGCGTAGACTTGCCGAAGCGAGACAGCCCGGTGAGCCTCTCTTAGAGGAAAAGACCAGGGACCCAACTCTCCCGTGCTTCTCGCTTGGCACACGCCAGAGACTGAACCAATGTTTTGGACAACAAGTTACTCTCATGCAGATGGACGATGTTCTCCTCCCCCAAGAGCCGTCAGGATTGGATCTGAAGGAGACTACGGATGGCCCGCTGCGCTCCTTTGCTATTTGCGGCCTGGGTGGCATTGGAAAAACCGAACTGGTGACTGAGTACGCTTACTCGCGCAAAGACAAGTTTGATGCAGTCTTCTGGCTCGGTGCGGATGATGCCAATCTCCTGGCATCAAACTTTGCACAGATCGCGCAGAAGTTGGGACTGGAAGATGACGTGTCGGACTCGACCGCAGCCAGGGATATCGTCATGGCATGGCTCTCACGGCCGCTGAGGAAAGCCTCAGAGCCAGATACGCCTGAGAACTCGATTAACTGGCTCCTGATTTTTGACAACGTCGATAATCTCGATGTACTTTCCGACTACTGGCCCAAGTTTGGCCGCGGTGCAGTGCTCATCACAAGCCGCGACCCGTTTGTCAAGCACAACCTTGGCGTGGGGCATAGCATCAACCTGCCCAAACTGACAGAGCGCGAGACCGAAGCCATGATGCAGCGCTTGACGCACGTCAAGGCCGACCAGGCCAACCAGAATGCGCTCTCGACCATCGCAGACGCACTCGATGGGTTCCCTCTAGCTATCAACCAGATATCCGGGGTGTTTCGACAACTGGGACTGTCCTACGTCGACTTCCTCAAATACTATCAGGAGGAAGGCATCGAATCTCTCTTCCAAAAGCAAGCCGAGGATAGGGGGTCCATGGCAGCGAGCCCAGCGGAACCACGCCTGTTGCCACAGCCGACAACGCCTCCGCCATCCGCTCACTCGCCACTGTCTGGGCATTGGACCGCTTGTCCCCAGGAACCAAAGCCCTCCTCCAAGTCATCTGCCTGCTCGACCCGGACGAGATCTCCGAAGAACTACTCATCGATAAGACCGCCGCCGTCAAAATTCCCAATTACCCTACTACCCGGGATGAGTACTACAAGGCCCAGTCCGAACTAATCTCCCCCTCTCTGATCAATCACTGGGAGCAGCAAGATATTACCCCGGACAGCTTCCACAGCACCAACAAGATCTCCCTGCACCGCCTGATCCAAGACACCGCCAAAGCCCGCATGACTCCCGACGAGCTCGTTGCGGCCTTCCACGCAGCGGGCGCGCTCATAATTGCCTCCTGGCCTTTCCAGAACATGAAGGACCATCACTCGGTCGCGCGGTTCACCGCCTGTAAGGCTCTCTTCCCCAGCGTGCTACGGCTCAAGAATGGGCTTGAGCCGTTGGTGCAGGGGTCTGACGATTTCCCGTTGGATATCAGCTGGGCGAGATTGTTCAATCATGCAGGGTGGTACATGTTCGAGCGTGGATTGATGGAGAAGGCGAAGCCATTCTTCAACTTGGGGCTCTTGATTGGGGAGCGCTTGGCGTTGAGGGGTGGGGAGCTCAAGGAGGCTGCCGTGGATTCGGTGCGGGAGAGCCATTCGTTCATAGGGATTGTGCTTGCCGAGACGAACGAGCATGCCCTCAGCATGGCGTGTAAGAAGAAATGGTTGGCCATGCTGGAGGAGCGGAGGTCTCCAGAGGGGGGTCCAGTTGAGAACTATGAGCTTGGGTACGCGTACAATGAGATTGGTGTGGCGTATGGAAACAATGGTATGCTGGAGGAGGCGGCCGATGCGTTTCGGCGGTCGATGAGGATTTTCCAGGGGCTGGATGATTATGAGGATACCATGCTGGGGTGGCCCCAGCCGAACTTGGGGTTTATCTACTGGATGCAAGGAGAGTTGCCGGAGGCTGAGAAGGTTCTCATGGAGATCTTGGACATACATGCCACTGCGTGGGGTGTCGACGATACCAAGTCTTTCAAGTAAGTCGACATACGAACGGTGGTCTACAAGACTGCGCACTCCTCCTCTACGAGCATACCGGCCCGTTGGCTAACATTATCAATTTATCTAGGACCGGTAAAATTCTCTACGGCATCGGGAACGTGCTAGAAGCCCAGGGACGGTTTTCAAAAGCATTCAATTTCCATGGTCGGTGCCTGTGGCAGTTCAAACAGGTGCTTGGGGCTTATCATCCTCGGGTGGGCGACATTTCTCACCGAATGGCCGGCCATTACATCCGTCAGCAGCTGTAACTAGAAGCAGGGTATGTCCTACACCCATCGGACTTGTATTCCGCGCTAACACTTCCACCTTCTTAACCAAACCCTCAATATGGCGCTCAAGATCTTCAGTGCGAGATCGTATTTGATCAACGAATACGCCAGAACCGCGTATAAAAAGGGGGTTGTCCTGAAATTGATGGGCCAACACGGTGCGGCAAGTAAGCGGTTTGAGGAGGCGTACCAAATCTTCAAGAGATTACGACCGCAGGATCATCGTACAGCGGAAGATCTGACCGAGCGTGATTTTGATCAGCTCGTTGGATTCTGGTCGCGCTAAAAGGGAGCGGCTCATCAGCGGCGGAAGGGCAGTAATTACTGGAGGCGAGAAGGTAATTACCGATCCCTGGATGTAACTACATTGTAAAATATATAATTAGTGTGTCAATTCCCGTGTAGTCCGTTGTAATGCGAACATGCCTTTCCGCCAATACTTGAAAACCCCTTGCTGCCTTTAATCGCCGTTGGTTTCCTCACCGTTCGGTCACCAAGCCTCCTGAATCAACACAACCACATGATCGTTCTCAAATAACACCTATTCGAAGCCCCAAACTCACGGCATGTCCCCTGCGAATCATCGTCCGCCGGGTCTGCCTCGCATCATAACGAGTAACAATGGTTCATTTGACCTAATCTACACTCCCCAACACGCCAACAATCATTTCCTCCAACACGCCGTCATAATCATCCTCGCCACCTTCCCATTCAACGCATCCTCCACCGGCATATGATGTCCCCCTCGAAACACAACCACCGTCCTCCTCGTCTCCTCAAAAAAATCCACCAACTGCTCACTCTCACTCCGCCACGGATCCCGCTCCCCAATCAAATGCACACTCTGCGCCTTGACCACCCCCATCCCTATCCTCTCCTGATAACCCCTTTCCCCGGCCTCGGACTCCTCCTGACCAACCCATTTCCGCCCCCCACCTTGGTAGGGCACAGTCCCGCACACTGACACCATAATCTTGATCTCGCTTATCCCTTCGGCCTCTAACCGCCGGACTACTTCCATCCCGACCTTGGCGCCCATGGAAAACCCTACCAGTGCTACCACCCCCTTGCCGTAACTTTTCACCTCGTCCACGAGCCGTTGGAAACCACCCGTGTTGGCGTCATCCTCGTCGCTGTCACTGCTATCGACAGTATCACCATCAGCCCGTGCGCCCCCCCAGAATGCGCGCTCCGTTGTGGTGGAGGTGTCGTCGAGCCAGGTGAGGAAGGGGTCGCAGCCTGCAAAGATGGGGAGGACGCCCGGGCCGGCGTCGCGGGGGATGGGTGCTGCTGGGTAGAGGAGGGTGAAGTGCGGGCGGAGGTGCTCGGCGAGTTTGCGGGTTTCTATAATTAAGGGGAAACGGTGAGAATGGGGTTGATTAAGGAGGTATAATGTGGTTGGAACTAATTAGGAGGTGGGGGGCGTACGCAGACGGTAAATATCTGGGTTGGTACCAGACCCGTGGAGGAAGAGAATCTTTGGTTGGGACATTGCTGGCTGGTAAACAAAGATCGTCTATCGTTTAGGGTTGGCGATGGTGGTAATATGGCAATATAGATCGTGTAACTTCGAGGTAGGTGTCACTGCAGAGTTACTGCAACTATTGGACTTCAGGACTTGACACTCAAATAACAACAATCGAGGTGGTTTAACGATGTAACGTGAGGAAAAAGTATAAACGAGGAGAATCGCGACGCCATTGAAAGACAGTTTAGAAGAATCCAGCTCACCACAAGCCCCAAATTTGGCTTCCGCTGACAGCACGCGAGTGATAAAAAAATCACCGAACATTCGGAGCGGGTCACCAATTCGGCGTTGATCGGGATTGCAGTGCCACAGTTCTGCAGCTGTCAGCTTGGCGTTTTGGTCCCCGATTAGTAGGAAAGGGCAAGTAACTATTTTAAGGGTCCAGTTCGGTAACTAGGGACCTATAGTTCAATCATCAGCTGTGTGATAATGTGATCAGGCTTAGCTCGCGAATTAAAGAGTAGATCTTGTCTCCACGATGGCTAATTGAGGTGCAAAGTGGGTGAAATGAATATAGGAAAAGAGGAAATCTGAAATTTGGTAGCTCAGCAGATTTAACAGAGTGAAATACAAATACAATTGTCGTGAACATGACTCCAAATTTCCGATCGGCTGTGATGACACTCTTTTATGTTTGCCCCTCTCGCAGAATGATCTGGTGATAATTTAACCTTCCAATATCTAGGGTTCTCACGTTTGTCCGCGCAATCCAACGACCTCCAGAATTTCCGCACCGCTTGTAGATCACTTCACGCTGCCAGACGTCCTTGTATATGGAACAATCAGTTCCATTTAATTATGTCTCGTGCTTGTTTCTAACAACAACCTTACATCGTCCCGATGAAGCAGCCCCTGAGGGCTAATTAGTAGAGGAATGTGGTTTCGCAGCTGAGAGATTGCCGAGACGGTCGAACAGGGGAGGTGGTAGACATCCACACGCTTTGGACAACGTCGATGAAGGTAGAAATAAATAATTAAGGAGTGACTGAAAGTTCTTCCAGGTCCAAGAGTTCGATAATAACTCACAAGGGGCATGCAAAGGAGATGGGGAACGATTTGGACATTGCCGGTTGGGCTGATATTCCGACAGAGTTAGACAGCTTATTGGCATATCTCGTGAAGTATATCTCTTTATAATTAAGAGACGGAATATTGGCGGCGATTGGACGTTACAATAAAACCTAACTTTGCGAACGCGTGATCAGCTTTGGTGTGTCTAGGTCGTGGGCTAGCCCAACTATTATCATAGATTTTGGGACATCATCCTTCCCTGGAACTTGAGGTTTTTCTTGGTGGGGAAGTCCCTGCTTGAACACTGAACCACCTATCCATGTCGGTAAGAGGTGGTCAATGCCCAATGCTGCCTGGAGCAGTGACAAGTTCCTGGACCACGGACTTGATCAACATGGTTGTACAGGGCAAGTTTCTCTCTTGAGGAGATGTTTTGGTGCTGCATATTTAAAGCCCATTCCCTGCCCACTGGTTGCCCCAATCATCAAGCCTCGCAACACATCCACAGTCATCGGCAACGACAAACTCCTCCGACACAACAACATGGAGGTGCTCGCCGAAGGACCCCGCCAAGTATCAGTCCCTATCGAATCTCATCGACCAAGGCTTACTGCGCTCCCCTTTGAGACCCTTCGCCAGATCGTATGGGATGAGGAACTCGATCAAGAGGATGTCGCCGCCCTTCGACTGTCCTGCCGAGCGCTTCTCGGTCCCGCCTCGAGTCGACTCTTCTACCGCATTCGCATATCTAAGCTGAACCGGGATCGGGAGAGTTTTTTGTCGATTTGTCAGATTCCTCGGTTAGCTTTTCACGTCCATGAGGTAGAGTGGCAGGAGATTTCTTGGGATACCGAGTTGTTCGACCGCACTTCGGCACCCCTTTGCCTGCCTAGCTCATGCAACATCATCGAATGCGACGGCGACGAAGAGCTTGTTACGCGTGTCTCGACATACCTACGGGGCGAGGCTGAAGCCGCATTTTGGATGCGAAATGCGCCGCCGAGACCACGTTTCGGTGACGTGATCGAGGACGCGAATCATTTTGAGGACTTGGAAAAAGAACGACACCAGGCTGTTGCCGCGTTCAAGGATAATTTCGAGGCCGCCATCGACCTCCTCCCGAACCTACATACATTCGTTTCGGGGCCTATGAACACAACACGGGTTATCAATGACCCAGAGTCGGAATACCCGGTGGAGGCGAGAATGTTCCAGCGGTTCCAGGAGTGGGTTAACGGGAAGGAGGATGGATAGACTGGCCGCATCCAAACCAATGATGGTCTTTTTTCATTTCTTTTTCCCGCGATGGACCGAGTTGGGTCGACTGTCACCCGCCTGCGATGGGCCGACGAATTTCCGGGCTTCAGCGCTTTTCGCACATTTTCTCCATCAGCCTTTACGCACTTGGAATCGATTGAGCTTTGCTTTACTCGAATCGGCGGTGCGACAAAGCATATGCGGCATTTCGAGGAGGCGCATTCTCACGCTGCCCCCACTCTTCGACATTTACAGCTGTGTTTGGACCATGGGATAATCGTCCCATTCAGGGAGGCCGTCGTGGAGATCCTTTTGGCACAATGTCTTGGTAACCCGCCGAATGTCTCGTTCTTGCGATCCCTGGCCCTAACTGCGGTAAAAATGGATCGCGCCGACCTCACCCGACTCCTCGAGTTCCACGCCAATTCGTTGCAGCATCTTGCTTTCGACGAGGTCACTCTCTGCGCCCGGGTCATCAAAGCGCTGAGGACTAGCCACAACAGTTCGGCTTGCGTACTATATCGATTGTTCACTCCGAAAACCCGACCGAAGTTTGCCCATATGCTCTTGTCTGCTACATTAACGGAGACGATCACGATCGCCCTTGTCCCTTATTCTTGGACGCCACGGCAAAGAGAGCAAGGAGGGGTGACATTGGCAGTTGTCGTCAATGTCACGAGTCCTATGGCGAGGACGATGGGATTTGCACAGCTTGTCATAGCAACTGCGAGGAGAACCTGCGATTCGAGCTCCAAAACGATAAACCAAGGTTGTCCACGTTGCCTCACGAGATAGTCAAGCCCTGGGCGCCTGCGTCTGAGCCGCCGCCTCGCCCCGTTTCCCCTTCCTCGGACGCTGACAGCCTCGACATGCACCTGGACCGAAAGACCCCTTATTGGGTTTGGGACGTTTTCCACGGTGGCTCAGTGTACAGTTACCAGGTAGATCAACCACACCCGAAACAGCATCCCACGGTGACTTGTAAATTTACGTCCCGCGACGGCACGTCCGCGCTGGGCAAGGACCCACTGAAATGGTGGGAGGAATGGGATACCGACGCCGGGGAAGTTGAGGAACCGACACCTTTATGCGACGCTTTGTATGAATTTTCACTGATGTTCAGTGTGCTTTGCATAAAGGCGTAAAGCTAAGGCAATGGGGAGGTGATCCCCCTGAGGGCGCCATTCCTTATCGGGGGAGTCGCGAATGGCAATTATGAATTAGGTTAAGTTCTTGGAATTCCAGGCTGGGCAAAGTGGAAGCGAGTCTGGTGTCGAGCTTAAGGTTCAGGTAGTTATTAGTTGCCCATGTTTTTTTGTGGGAGGTGATTGTATTAATATATGATAACACTGTACGAGTATGTAGATACATACGTAGCAGCAAGCCGTAAGTACAGTGACCCCACTTGTTGCCGCGAATTACTTCTAGAAACTATGTTGTGAGCATTGTGGGGGCAAGCGACGACTCCAACGGCAATGATAATTCCACAACAGGAAGGTCGACTTTGTGCAGCCATCCGAAAACTAAGACCCGTGGTTTCCTGGTGCGGACCATGTGTGTGTGGCGCAAGCCAGCCGTTGTGTTGCTGGTCTTAAGCACGCAATCTCGCGTCTTAGATACGCCACGTGCAACACGCGTAGATTGGGCGTTCAGGCGCTCTTTCTCGTTTCAGAGAGTGCTGGACAGACGCAAACGCCATGACGTCTGACAAATGGGACACCTTCGCGCCTTCCGGATGATCCGTGATCCCTCCTTCCAGAGAAGTTGGAATTATTGTTCTTATCTAGTCGTGCTGGCACTTGGCGTTGCCTCTTTCAAATTCTGTCGTTGCGCATCACCGTCTGGTTTCTTGTCGGCCAAGTTGATGATTTATTGACATATTACTCCAAAGGCAAGCGTCGTTAACTAGTAATAATTAGGCGACTTCTTTCGCCGTCAACCACCGCCCATCATGTCCGAACCCGACGTCGAAACACCACTCCTTTACAACACCAACCCCGGACCCCGCGAACACCAAGAAGTCCATCGGTCCAGCCCATCCTCCTCCTCAACCTCCTCTAGTACCAAAAAGCCCCTCCACCACCGCTCCTCCAACTCTTCCTCCTCCTCCGAAACCGCCGCGCCCCTCCTTGCCCCACGCACCGTTGAAGACGATACCCTCCCCGAAACCGCCGTGCTCGGCCGCAACCTCGGCTGGAGCAGCGCCTACATCCTCATCATCTCCCGCGTCATCGGTAGCGGCATCTTTGCCACACCAGGGGCCATCGTCAGTTCCGTCGGTAGTATCGGGCTGAGCCTGCTGCTATGGGTTGCCGGCGCGGTGATCAGCTGGGCTGGGTTGATGGTCGCGCTGGAGTACGGCTGCATGTTGCCGCGCAGCGGCGGGCAGAAGGTGTACTTGGAGTTTACGTACCGGTGGCCGCGGTTTTTTGCGTCGACGCTGGTGGCCGTGCATGCGGTGGTGATGGGGTTTACGGCGAGTAATTGTATTGTGTTTGGGGAGTATGTGTTGTTTGCGCTGGGTTGGTCTCCCGGGGAGAACCCGGTGTTGGTGCGGGTGTTGGCGGTGGCGTTGATGACGGGGATCACGGTGCTGCATGCGGGGTTTATGAAGACGGGGATTTTGGTGCAGAATGTGTTGGGGTGGGTCAAGATTGGGTTGGTGGTGTTTACGACGGTGTCAGCCGGGGTGGTTGTGGTGTCGAGGTATGTTCGGTCTGGGGGCTCGGGGGATGAGACCGGGACGGGGTTGTTCGGGTTGGACACCGCGTCTGCTACCGGCCCGACTGTTGTTGTTCCTGGAGCGTGGGATGGGATCTGGGAGGGTTCCGTTTGGAACTGGGGCGTCATCAGCCCAGCGCTGTTCAAAGTGTTCTACAGCTATTCCGGACTGACAAGCGTCAACAACGTGATGAACGAGGTTCGGGATCCTGTGAGGACACTTCGGTCGGCTGCGCCTACGGCTTTGGTGACGACGTGTTTGCTCTATCTTCTCGTCAACGTGGCATACTTCTTAGTACTGCCACTGGATGAGATCAAGAAGAGCGGTGAGCTGGTGGCCGCCTTGTTTTTTGAGCGGGTATTTGGGCAGTCGTTCGGGAAGTTATTTCTCCCTTTGGCCGTGGCGGTATCGGCGGCTGGGAGCGTGATGGTTGTGACCTTTGCTTTGGTAAGTCCCGGCGCCTCCAATACAACCACCATCATAAATATTTGAGTTTCTTGGCGAAAACTGACATTTTGGTTAGGCACGCGTTAACCAAGAGATCGCGCGCCAGGGCCTTCTTCCCTTTGGCGAATTTCTTTCCTCCTCCCGGCCGTTTGGATCACCCCTCGGTGGCGTCATCCTGCATTACATCCCCTCTGTCATTGTCATCGCCATCCCATTCAAGAACATTTACTCCTTCATTCTCGAAGTAGAGGGCTACCCCGGACAGTTCTTTACCTTCTTCATTTCCCTCGGCCTCATCCGACTGCGGTGGACCCGCCCGGACCTGCACCGCCCCTACAAGGCCTTCATACTGGCTGCTTGGTTTGGCTTGTTTTTGTCCACCTCCTTGATTCTCGCACCTTTCATTCCGCTGGACAATGAGGACTGGGGGTCGCATCTGGCAAGGGTCAGCTATGCGCTGGTGGGCATTTCCGTGTAAGTCTCCACTAACCCTAACCCTTAGTATGTGTTGCGGGTGGGATCACTGACATGGTGATAGGCTTTTGTTTGGCGTGTTGTACTGGGCAGTATTGACCATCTTTTTGCCTCGGTGGGGCGGGTACCGGCTCGATGAAGTGACTGATGTTTTGGAGGATGGGACAACCATTACCAAGCTGGTGCATATTCCGAAGGATAGATGATTTACATTAGAGTGCATTGGGCGGGAGTACATTGGGCGGGTGGATATAGGTAGGTATCGTGTTTCTATTGGGTAAGGATACTTCTAGATGAGGAGTACGGGTCTTTTTCTGTCACACTGGATGTGCCATTTATGGAGGTTACAAGGATATATCAGGCGGGTTACTTAAGTACCGAGGTAGTTAGGGAGTTACGGTTGAGTTCAGACGACCGCTATGACCTCTGGCAGCTCATGGCCCCTGATGATGTCAACGACGGCGTCAACCGCAGCCGGACGCAGCATTGTCACCCCCATCATACATCCGCAGACATCAACATCAATAATTACAGCAATAATACAACAAAATACCTACACAAGCACATAAACAATGCTACGCCTCCTTCCCCATCTCCGTCCAGGCCACCGCGCCGTCCAACACACCGGCCCAACCACCGTCCCCTCTCGCTCCATCACCTTCGTCCTGGGTCGAACCAGTCGACCCCTGATCCTCACACGTGCAGGACAACAACAGAGGGTCAACAAGACCAATACCAATTTTGTCGCGCGGCCAGTGTCTATTTGGGGACCCAGTTCGTACGTTTCGTTTCTGTATCTAGCAACTTCCACAATGAACAATCCCCGCCAGGAGAAATAAAGAAACCGGGACTGCCGCTAATATTGATACATGATAACATAGGATGTCAACTATCGCGCTAGGCATCATGCTAGCCGGATCATGGTATATATGGGAGGCGGGACGAGATTACATGGTTGGGGAGGAAGTGAGAAGGTATGAGCCGCGGGATATGGGGACGGGAAAGGAGGAGTTGGTGAATGAGGATTATAAGAAGTATGAGCGGTGGATTGATGGGGACAAGCATAGAGGAAAGAGTAATTAGTGGCTTGGGGGTCACTCGCGTCTTGTAAGGTGGGTATGCCGGTGGTGGGCTGGAAGAAGAGGGAGCAGTTACCTGAGAAGGATGATGGAAGTTTAAGGATGAGGGTAAAATAATGAGCTTGGTGTGTGGCTTGTCGACTATCTGACTGGACTTCTCTCGAGAATGAGAGTACCTACGGTCGCGTTGGCTAGTGACGCCGGAAGAAAAACCCCCAAGAATGCTACTTGACCTTTTCCTGGGACGAAACATGAAACGCTGCCCAGTGCCGAAATCCGAGCCGTGGACACCCAGGATGGGAATCATCGACGGGAATGGAGCCTGACTGACACGTAGCGTTGTGTCGGGATCGGCTCGCGGATCATGATCACCAGAAGGGATAAGAGCGTGGAGGGGTTCTATTTTCGGCTGGAGGTCTTTCCGAGATGGAAGCATTTGCGAGTTGGTGGTATCGATGATACCTATGACAATCTGGTTGGTGGCGAACGCCGTGGTGGACTGTTCTTGATACTGCCGTGGGAGTCGAAATGAGGCAGGGGCGAGAGATATCAGCGAACGCTTTTGGGATGAACTGCCGGGTATCAGTCCGCATCGTTCATTTTCGGCGAAGCCGTGGTATTAATATCTCTAACCTGCCCCCCTGTACTCTTCATGGGCCAGGTCAGTGTCTCATATGACCGCATCCATCGTCTCCAATGTTGCTATGCCGTGCCTAATCCAGTTATCACCCCCTGCCACCACCCAGCCCAAAAAACATGAGAACCAGAAAAAAAGGCCCGACGCCAGACATCCATCGCCCCTCTTTCCGCGACCAAGACAAGAACCCAAAAAAACTCCGAATGGCCCATCATTGGGTCGCACCGCAATTATCCAAACACGGAACCCCATCCATCCCAAAGCCTACCCCCCGACTGGCCCAATCGGGTTTGTTAACGGGTATTCTCCCGTTGCGGACCTGCCATCGAATGACGGCACTTGGAGGCCCCACTGACATGCCCCAGAGTTGGCAGGCGTGGAAGGGGGCGTATATTAATTCGTGTTTCTCGGCAGTTTTGGGCCGTGGGGTGGTGAGTTTCTCTTCGTTGTGGGTTGTTATTGGGGTTTGGGTGATGGGGGGAGGATCTTGGCTTGGTGGTGCGTTCGGGTTTGTGGCTCGGCAGTGGTCGTTCGTTTGTTGGATGGGATGTGGGAATTGCAGGGGTTTGAGGATCGACGGGGAGATTGAGCAGCGAGTAAAGCTTGCTGTTGCTGGTGGGTTGTGGTGTGTATAAGTAGGACCGCGTGCAAGGTTGTTTCTGATCATCTGGGTTCTTCGATTTCTTGTCTCCTTTTCCGGCACTGAGCTGTCTATCACTGTGAACCCGCTGCAACTGAACTTCTTGCCTCATATCATCGCTTGATATCAGTCCACAACATGCTCCTAAAGGCGGCCGTCACCGCCGTGGCCGCGGCCCAGCTGGCTATGGCCCAAGAACTCATGCGGTTCGGGTGCTCCCAGCTGACCATCGACCGCATCGACCCCCTCGTCAACCCGGGCAGCCTGCCCTCGCCGCACGTGCATCAACTCATCGGCGGCAACTCGTTGAACGTGTCGATGTCTCCCGAGGACCACGACCTGCCGTCGTTGTCGACCTGCACCAGCTGCACGTACTCGGAGGACTTTTCCAACTATTGGACCGCCAATGTGTACTACAAGGCGCGGAATGGTAGCTACAAGCGCGTGCCGCAGATGACCAACCTCGGGCTTGGTGTCCAGGCGGGTATGACGGTGTACTAGTACGTGATGGCCTGCTAACAGTATAACCCTATGCGTGCGTCAAAACTAACTGACGTGGTGTAGTATCCGAGGATACCAGGCCAGTGCCACTGTCACTGCCTTCAAGCCGGTAAGTTTCCACTGACACAACATCCATTGATACCTCATGCTGATGACTCAACACAGGGCTTCCGCATGCTAGTCGGCGACCCCAGCAACCGGGACGCCTCCCGCGTACCCTCCGGCCTCTGCTTCCGCTGCGAGGAAAACCTCCAGCAGAACCCCTTCGGCGGCGCGCCCTGCACGGGCTCCGACACCAAAGCCTTCCCCAAGGGCACCTGCGGCGGCGGCTGGCGTGTGACCGTCACCTTCCCCTCCTGCTGGGACGGCAAAAACACCGATACCCCGGACCACAAGAGCCACGTTACGTACCCGGCGTCGGGCACTTTCGAGAGCGGCGGCGCGTGCCCGTCCACCCACCCCGTCAAGATCCCGCAGGTGATGTACGAGATCATGTATGACACGCGGCAGTTCAACAACAAGGCCGACTGGCCGGCGGATGGTAGTCAGCCGTTCTACTGGAGCCATGGTGATAACACGGGCTATGGTATCCATGGTGACTATGTCTTTGGCTGGAAGGGCGACGCGCTGCAGAAGGCTATGGACGGAAAGTGCTCGGGTGATAGGTGTGCGCCGTTGCAGCGCCAGACGGATGCCCAGGCCATTGCGTGCACCAAGGAGCAACAGGCGAAGGAGGATATTGGCACGGATACGTGTAAGTGCTTAGCGGCCCTTGGAGGGGATTTGTGCCCCAAGCTGACCATGTGACCTTAGGGCTCGATGCCATTCCCGGCCAGCTCACCCCGACGGTGTAGATGGTGCAACGGTAACCGTGTTGGTGTAGTGTTGTGGGCCGCTGTTGTTATGGACTGAGGATTCTTTGTTCTGTTGTGTTGTGCTGCGTTCCGTAGCTCAAATGTGACAGTTAGCGAATAGTGTAGGAGCTGTCATCATGTTGAAACGCAAGAGTCCAGACTTTGTGATGATACCAGCATTACTCACCGTTCCCGTCCATCGTGACTTATGACTGCTCTAGTAAATGCATGTCCAACTCGGGTGTTGCTTCCCACTGGGTGTTGGTCGACACCCGCCTTACCCAGTACCCTTGTTGAACGCTGTCTTTCCCATCAGTCACGCTGACCGGACTCCAGAATTGAATCGTATCTCCCTCCGACTCAACCTTTTCCGCTTTTTCCCTCTCGCCGCCCATAACCCGGTCAAACCCGTCCTCTCCCATCATCAGCACACATTCTCCCAACTGAACCCCGTATCGCTTCACCACCCCGTCCATGGACCCTAGTAAGTAGTCCCGGGTAGTCTCCGGATCCAGCTCTGCCCTCGTGACATACGACCCTCGCAACACCACTGACCCCCTTTCCAACTTCCCCTCGACGCACACCACTAGTCTCCTCAGCCCTGGAAACCCATCCGGTATCCTACCTATCAACTTCTCATAAGCCAACAACCCCAGATCAATCCCCAAATGCTCATCTGCATAGTCCCACACCGTCTTCAGCGTCAGCCGAACAACCAAACTCCTCACCGCCGCGGCCCGTTCCCGAACAAGCAACTTCTCCGTGTACAGCACCAACGCGCCCGTCCCAATATGAAACGTATTCTCCGCGTACACGATATCCACCACCTCCCGATACACCGTGCGACAACTCATCATCAACCCCAACACCTCCTTTCCCACTCCACACGTACCGCCCAACCCATTCCCACTCCCATCTCCATCCATACCATCCCCGCCCTGCCCTCGTCCCCCAATAAACAACGCACACGCCCTGGGCCCCCCACCCCCAATAGCGCACCGATCCACCAGCTCCGGATAATCCGGATGTCGATGACACGACGAAGCACGCCAGATCCATCTGCGGTTACCATGCAGCCGGGCACCCGCCGTGGAATGAGGCGTGGAGGTTTCGGCGGCGGAGTAAGCCATGTCGATGTGGATTTCGCGGCCGTGGTCGGAAGGGTGCGCGCGGGGGTGGGTGAGGACGAGGCGGTAGATTGTGTTGCGGAGTTCGGGGGGGAGGAGGAGGAAGGGGAAGGTGTTGGGTTTGGGTTTATTAATATGGTCGGGTGTGTCTAGAGGTATGACGGGAGAGGGGTTGTGGTTTGGGGGGAAGGGGGTTAAAGGGCGACGGGGGAACGGGAGGCTGGGGAGAGTGTCGAGGGCGTGGGGACGGGAATAAGGTTGGTTTTGTTGGTCTTCGTTGTCGTCGTGGTTTTGTTCGTTGTGGGCATGGCCGCGGTGGAAGGAGAGTTTGCCGCGGAGGGCTTGGCGGAGGAAGTCCATGATGTGATTTCGGGTTGAGAACTGCTGTAGACTCGGGTGATGACGGGAGAACGTTATCGGGAACTTTAAGGAAGGTTGACGGGTTGAGATCCATGAGGCTGCGAGGTGAACCACGAGCCGCCAAGAGCTGACGCGAGGTCATGCTGCTTTCGGCAGTAGATCACGTGAATTAGGCCGCTTCTGCACCTGGACCTGTTCTGGAACTACCCTTTTTCCTCCTTTCTATTTTCTTTCCTTCGCAGAGTCGTTCCTCTCCGTCCGAGCGACCAGCTTTCGCGATCGTTGTTTGGTGTCCGGTGTCAAGGGGGCAACCGGTGAACAAGTGGAAGATCATGAGCTGTGAAACTGATGAATCCATGGAATGAAGATTTGTCTTGGCGTTTTCTCCGATTGTTATGTTAGGGTTAGGGTTCAGTTGCCATACACTGAGACCGACAGATACTCCCAGGCGCCCAACTCCATGCACCTTCCCTCCCACCTCTATATAACCCCCTTCCGCCCTCGTTCAATCACCATCTCCTCCCAATTAACGCCAAACACCTGTTTAGCGCAGCGGCATTGGGAGGAGGGTCACGCCACTACCGTCGTAAATCGAAGTGGCCCCGGGTTCGATTCCCTGGGCCAACGGAGGAAAATCCTTCACCGGAAAGATTTTCGTAACCACCGACCGTTATCCTTCCGGATGGGGATAACGCTCGGGGTGAGCTTTTTTTTTTTTTTTTTTGGTATTTTTGGGGTTCTTCTTCCTACCTCTATGTTCCTTTCCCTCCTGTTATTTCTTTCTTGGTTACTTGGTTATTTCAAGTCATTTTGTCTTTTACGGAGATCTGCAAAGGAATTCGGCGTGAAGTCGACCACTGCAACCTTGCCGGCGTTGTCGAACATCATTATGCAATATTGTTTACCTATGGCAACACCACCGGACAACATAACATTCGAGCAACTCGCTTTTCTACTCAGATGGCACCTGGTGGTGCTGGTAACAGTAACCCAAGCATTATTGTCAACCATCTCATGGCACGGGTAATGAACTCAATAAAGCATGTTCCACACCAACGTGCCCCAGACATGATGTGCCTGTGGTTTTCGACTCCCTCAGGTTCGGTGATGTCCATCTAAAATGAACAAGATCATGGATGACCAGAACGATTCAGCGACGGGTTGCTTACAACGTGAACCTAAACGGCTAATTACGTTGGTGCTTTGAAATCATGATTAGATTTTTAATGGTCAGTTCCACAAACTAGGCCGCAGCTGGTTGTGGTGATCAATTAATTCTTAGCCAGTGAAGCATCGGGTTGTTTTTTTGCGTTGTTGACCATCTCAACATCTGCCTTGCGATTTCTTCGGCTCAACCTCGTTTGCACAATGTGGTGAGAGATATGCCGGCTAGCGTAATACACCGAGGTTAGGTAGCGGTCAATCCCCGTTTTTCCTGTGTTATTCAAGAGTCATTTGTTGTCGGGACCATTAGTCTTTCATCCGAACTCGGAAGTGGAACACCTTCACAAGCCCGACTCTCTCCAATGATCCTGTACTTGATTACGTCCCTTCCCTGCTTAAAGTGTCATGTGGGGAGGTTATTTAAGCGACACCTAGCTATGATAACTAATCATTCCATGTGCTTGGAATCATTGCCTCCTGAAAATATCCCCAGACTTTCTTGATTACTATTCAAGAAACGTGTCCCGGTAAACTGTGGAACCACCCCTTGGGTTCTGTACAGTAAGAGCTAACCATAAAACAGCATCTCCAGACACCCTAATTCACATACTCCAACTCTCTACAATCCTCCTCAAACCCCACACCAATCCCCAAAAGCCCACCCACACCAAAGCCACCATGCCTCTCTGGTCCATCTACCACCCCCCCTCCACCTTCACCACCCCCGAATCCAAACAACAACTCGCAGCCGACATCACAGCTCTCTACACCGCCGGTGGCCTTCCCGCCTTCTACGTCGTCGTCAACTTCATCCCCCTCCCCCTAACCAACACATTCGTCGGCGGTAAAAACCCAACCGAAGCCAAACCCTTCATCCGACTAGTTGCGGAACACATCGCCGTGCACATCCGCGAGGATGCCACCCGCTCGCAGCGGATGATGGACCGAATTAATGGCGCGCTGCAACCGCATATCAAGGAGAAGGGGTATGATTGGGAGGTGCATGTCGATGAGACGCCGAGGGGGCTGTGGGCTATTAATGGGCTGCCGCCGCCGCCTTGTAAGTTACGGCCTTCGTTATAAGGTGTGTTTGTTATGATGGGTAGATGATCGGGCGCTGATCTTGATGGAATGTTAGTTGGAAGTGCGGCGGAGAAAAAATGGGCCGATTTGAACCAGGCTGTTCCTTGGGATGGTGAAGCCAAGGGTGACAACCCGAAATAGGCAATTAGCCGACGGAATATGGTGGCAAGTATCTCGGAGTGACTCTTCTCATAAAAGCTTTTGGTATGGAAATAAAGATCAGATTGTGAGCTTACAAATTGGAAGAGATAGAACCAAGTGCATGTTGTCAAAGGAAAGGGGGCAAAGTCGGTAAACAAACTCCGAGTAAGGGGTTCTCCAAGCCACCATTTTGATTAGTTAGATTGTACTTCGTAAAATAAACCAGAGCTACTTGCTCAACATAGAGAAAATGGGTTCATTGCGGTTGCGCTGGGCGTTTCACAGAGTCTTTGATGCGCGGGACTAACTGAAGTCACGTCATAACCAACGTCGGCTCAAAGTTAACCAGAAACCCTCCTCGAATACAAAGCGTCAAAAGAGCAAACTTGGGTGCTTTGAGATCTCCGAACAATCTGACGACATGATTCTAATGTTGCCACGAGTCTTCCGTTTGATAATTAGCCCAGCCCAGCCCAAGTATCATGCGTTTGTTCTAACGTCCGCCTCTCCAGGAGAGACGACCCACCATCAACGAGCCGATGATTTTCAGGTGAGTTGCCACCGACAAACGGCGCAAGGGCACTTGACCAGGGCGGTGAGTCCGAGAACTGCCCAGCAGCCGCTGAATCCAAACAACAGCCGGGGATTGAACACTCAAATTCCAGCGGCTCGGAACGATACAACCTCTCTTCTAAGGAATTCGATTCGCAACTTCTGGCGTCCATTGATGTTTAGCTCCCTGGCCATAGTTCGTCGAGACCAATCTGCCTTGCTCATGTGGTGTGCTCCAAACTCTCTCTCCTCGGCTTCGGAACACATCCCGCGGCGCAAACAACCTGGCGTGGATGAGGCCTACAGCCATGAGTCTACTCCGAGAAACCAGAAGAAAGGCGAGTTGATCAACTAGTCACGAGCTGGCCACCCAATCCCTTCCCGTTTGCAAACGATCAGTCTGCCCAACACGAGTTACCCGTTCTGAGAGGCCCAAATGTGTGAACTACTGGTGTTACGACATAGACACGGCCACAGACAGAGGAGTGAAGTGCTATATCCACCTCTTGTTACCCAAAATGATGGCCATCGTAGCGAACATGATTTACAACAACCCCGTCTTCACACCACCTCGTGCGCTTGACCCCCATTCATCCCCCAAATGGCTGTCCACCCAATCTGAGTCACCGCACGCCACCGACCTTTGGAACCCATCCATGGTCATACTCTCACCGTTTGAGTATGTGGACTCCCGCGATTCCCGTCCGCCGGGATCCCAGCCGGGGACGATCCGCAGAGGTTGGTGCCGTGGAGAATGCAAAATGATAGAAGTAAGGTGCTTACACGACCGGAGGAGTTCTTCCTGTTTTACGGTAGACTGAAACGAACGAACGAACGAATCCATCCGGCGGGACCCATATGCAAGAAGCTCCTAAAGCAGGAATGTGGCAAAAAGGTCCTGGACGGGCCGGAGCTGCCGTCTTGCATCTTTTCCTCCTTTGCCGCTAGTTCCTTATGGGAACGGATGGTGAATGTGATTCCTCACTGTTTGTTCTCGCTGCCGAGTTCCCAGCACCCCAGCAGCAGCAGGAATAATGATAGCATTCTGACGTTCGCAGGTATCCTGCATTTCGAGATCCGCTGGCTGGCTAGGTACTGCGGCCGGCAGGTTGTATGTCGGTGGGTATGTAGGCACAGTATAGTAGGTACATAACCTTCAATGGACTACGGTAGGCACATGTATGTACATGTATGTAGCTAGGGTGCTCATGCAGTAGCGGCGGCCGGCTTATGAGTGGCCACCGCAGACTTCCTGCAGAAAAGCATCATCCCACACCGCCGGGGCCCCAATCACCGCCGTTAGTCGCCCGATCGTTTTTTTGAGTTTTTAACTAAACTGCCAAGAAAGATGCGGTTGTTGGTTTGGTGGTATTTTCCCCTCGATTGTTGCTTTCTTTCCTGCGATATCATCTGGACATTTATGAGATGGGGAGATCGCCGACTTCGATCAGATCTCGAAGATTTGGACCGAACGCCGTGACGTTTGCATTGCATACCGCCCCTTGTTGATTTTTTCTTTGACCCCCCCTCATTGCCCCGCCTTGCTCTGACTGCAGAAACGTAGCGGGGCAGAGCGCAAGAAAAAAAAGAGAAGACAACAAAATCTGACTGGGTCCAACGAACGGCCAATCGCCCTTGCATTGGTGCATTGGTGCGCCGGCCTTGCAGATGCATGCTTTCTTGCCTGGCCAACTAGCCCAGTCCGACTTCAAAATCATTGGCCACCCACACAGACGGGTTTTGTGGTGACTGCCGAGACAGTTCCCGGGGTTGATCTGTACGTACCCGCTACAACCTCTGCCTCATGACGCTTCAAGCATTGAGACCTCAAGTGTATGAACCCTAACTCGGCACTACGACCCTGGCTGCAAGGGGATGTCCGACTGAGAGCGGAAATGCTGCAGTCTGCTGTCAGTCGGCTACCGCGGGAAGGTTGCGTTTACACTCATCTTTCCGCATAGTCATACTGCCCTGCCCCCAGTTGCAGAGGGTACACAACATGACCTGACAGGAACGGCGAGGCCACAGAAAAGCGAGCATTGAGATGCGGCCCGACGGTTTGCAGACGGGTCGCAGGAAGAGACGAAGGGGGTTATCCAGGGCGTGGAAGCTCGGAACTGGCCCCGTGCAGCAGATATCCTTGAGCGCTGTTCCGCTTTTGGTCATCTGCTGTCCGTATCGAGAAAGACGCCCACAGCTTAGACGGCGCGGAGGGTTGGGAAAACTGACAGAGCAGCGCAGATGATCTACCGTGGGGCAAGATCCTACCTAGTTAGAGCAGTGAGGTGTAACCCTCGTAGCAGCCCTGGCATGCCGAGGACAACCTGTTGCCACTTTGTGGACAGGGGCTTCATCCATGGTCACATTGGAGGCCGACTTGATGTCTTGTTGATATTCGGCCAAGTTGCCGTGTCTTTCCCCCGTTTTGTTTCCTCTTTGTCCTCGCCGTCATTCTTTCATACCATCCCGAGGACTCGACAGCCACCAGCCTACCCGAAACATTCTTTCTGATCTCGTCTGATTCACATTGCAGCTTTATCTCAACAGCGCCAGTGTAATTCTTTTCGCGAGCTCTTACCTCTGTGACGCTACGATCCTTTCACTCCCGTCCCACCGCTCGTTCTCTACACACGGCAGCCAGCGAGTCTCCAGGCGTTCCTTTCGGGAAGCCACACCGGCCTGCATACACACGAACCAGAACCAGAACCTATCCCCTCTGACCGCCTAACGCTGCGGCCCGAAGCTTCCCCTCACGACTTCCGGCCTCACTACCATCAAGTGGTGCTTTACCTCTGCCCGAGCATCATATTGGGTCATCAACAAGCGGCGGTGAGCTCTATAGAGCAGCCAGCGGTGGAGGACACATCCGAAAACCCTCGGACAAGCAGGTAGAGAGGCAGCGGAAGTGAGGTTTTGCGCGGCGCTTGAGGGGTCAATAGAAACGAGACTGGTCTGACGTAGAGTCTGGGTAGACCCCACAAGCTCGCGGCCCAACCCAGATGTTTATCAGTCCCGACAAGCCCCCGGTGGTGGACATGGTCTCACTTCGGGACAATGTCTTCAGCTTTGCAGCAGCCGACTTTGTGGCCCCGTGGCTCCTCCAACTGAATCACTTGAATCATCTGAATCGTCACGTCAACACGTCACTCTTTCTCCGCCACCACCAGGACCAGATCCAACAGGAGCAGCTGGACAAGATGGCTTCTTTCAACCCCATGTCTCTGAAGGCCGGCTGGTCTCACTCTCAGACTGCCGGACAAGGGCTGCCCGAGCATGGCATGCAGGTTTACGATGGGTATTATGAAACACAGAACCCTGGAACTTCTATGGTATGTACAGCCTTTTAGTGAAATTTCCTTCTGGCACTTCACAATTGAAAAGCATTATGACTAACAACGAAATTCGCGGCATAGTCGACCGATGACCAACCCCTGACAAATACCAACAACAACAATAACAACAACACCAACCGGTCCTCACACTCATCCCGCTCCTCAGGCACCTCCGGTTCCTCCGTCTCGCGCTACCCGTCATCCACGGGTACAGATGTGTCAGCGGGCCCGTCGTATTGGACTTCGCTCCCGTTTGCAGCGGGCACGCACACACAGCACCAAGCCTGGGAGCACCACGCGAACCACGGTCTCGTCAACCCCGCGGAACTCTACTACGGCTACTCCGTCAACGTCCACACCAGCGCCATCCCGCAGAATGTCTTCAACTCGGCCAACCATGGACTCCAAGGCCTTTCACTGCCGTCGATGGCGAACAACACCAAGGACACCAACCCTAACCCTGACCTGAAACGGGAGTACACCCCTTCACGTGTGCTCGACGGGATGGTTCTCGATGAGGAGACGGGTTCGGGAGTCTGGGGCACCGATGCATCGCCGGATGGTCATGCCAGGTATGATGACCCGCAGGGCATGGAGCTGTCCGGGTCTGATGTCACCAGCAGCAGCTGGGTAGACCACGCGGGCGACAAGGATACTGTCTCGCCTCGGATGCTACGAATTCGCCAGACCCCGACGCCGTCGACGTCGTGTGAGTCGATGCACGCGCGGTTTACCCTGGATGCCAACACGCCGTTGGCCACTGGTACGCCTGCCGCCTCATCCACAGCCACGGCGACGGCCGCAGTCGAGGTTGCTCACAACCAAACACCTGAGTCAACCAATGCTACCGCGGAACCAGCGGCTAAAAGACCCCGCAAGACGCTCCCCGACCGCACCACCACAGCCCACCGCCCGTTACTACCGGCCAACGAAATGACCCGGCGTCAACGCTCCGCCGAGCTGACCCAGGCCCAAGCCGAGCCCAGGACGCAGACAACCACGTCGTCCTCTTCTCACAACAGCAAACTAACGCGTCTTCGCCCTCAGTCGCGTCGGACCACGACCACGACCTTAGGTTCGGGCCAGAGTCAAACTACCCCCTCCGCACCAACCTTAACTCTCCCCCATCATGCGAGCTCCACCTCCACCTCAACAACCTCATCCTCCACCCTAGGCCGAGGCCCCCCAAAGTCCCGCGAGCCAATGGAGTTGCCTGATCGAGCATCCAAAGACGACTTCCTCGTTAAACAGAAGCAGGCAGGTCTGACATACAAAGAGATCCGACGGATGGGGGGGTTCACCGAGGCAGAGTCGACGCTAAGGGGACGGTATCGGACGTTGACTAAGAGTCGCGAGGCGAGGGTGCGGAAGCCGGAGTGGTCTGAGAAGGATGTAAGTGCTTTTCTCGGGGGTACATACATACCCCTAGCCAAACCCTAACCCTAGTCCTATGGTGTGCCTCATAATTACCCCTGACTCCTCACATCAACACCAACGCAATCATAAACCCTCGTAGACTAACCCAACCCAACCAGCTCCGCCTCCTAGACGCCGCCGTCCGCGCCCTATCCTGCCCCCCCGACGTCTACACCCCTTCCCCCTCTCACCACCACAACCCTTACTCCACATACCACCACCAGCCCTCCTACACCTCGCACTCCCCCGCAACAGGAACAGGAGCCCCCCCCACCCAATCCTCCAAAATCCCCTGGAAAAAAGTCGCCGAGCACATGGTCGCGCACGGCGCTTCCTACCACTTCGGCAACTCGACCTGCCGGAAACGATGGGACGAATTGGTGAGAGAGCAGACGGCGTTGGGGAAGAGTGTGCGTCGGCCTTTTTTTGATCACACTTCGCCTTCTCCGTCTTCAAGTGCTTCGTCGTTTTCTACTGCTTCTCCGGGGCTTGGGGGTGAGGGTGATGAGGAGAATGGGTATGAGGAGTTTGAGGGAGAGGAGGGGTTCTTGGGTTATTGAGGTTGGTTGGTGTTGGGTTGGGTTGGCTGTCGTTGTTTTCTTTCTGGGATCTGGATGAACGTTAGTGCGCAAAATTATTCGGGGGAAGGGTAATAGTATAATTAGTTGGAAACATGTCGGAATAAGGATTGTACAGATAGCATGTAATATTGAAAGTATGCATTGCAAGATAAATCTAAACCCAGCAAAAAGGTTGCTCAAGAAATGGGGACCAAAAAGCTCACCAGCCGACCCTCTCCACCGGCTGAAGAAGGGTGCTTGGTTACGAAAACCGCGGTCGGTTTTTCTCCGGATTGAACTGGAGCCTCTCGATCGGTTGTCGCAGGGTGAGGCAGCCCCTGGGCCGCCCCCCGCCAGCCAACTGCGCTACGCAACCAGTTGTGGGTGTTGCTGGGGGGTCAGGAGGTCGTTGGATGTTGTATATATACTCTGGGAAGGAAGGAGTGTAATGTGGCTTGACGGGTCCACTTGCGCAGGCCAGGCCGCAACAACACAGTGGGAATTGGTATCCTGAGAACGAACCAAGGCAGGTAGGTAGTCAACTCGAGAACCATAGTTTGCCCACCTCGACCTACAAAGCAACCCCTATCCCCTGCAACACCCTCTTCAGCTGCTCCGGCTTCGCCCTCAACGCATCCCACTCCTCCTGCGTCTTCACCAACGCCGTGCCCGCCAGCACAGTCCCATTCAGCGCCAGCCGCCCAACCTCTTCTCTCCGCCCATCCGCTGAAACCCGCGACACGGCCCTGCTCTCAGCGACCCGCGGCGCGACGACCATCACGTCCCGCGTCATCGCGAGGTTGTACTGGATCTTAGCAGGCCCGCTCATTTCCACGACCCCAGACTTGGCGCTGTCCCCCAAAACAGCGTGACACGCTTCCTGATACAACCGCAAATACACCCCCCACAAATCCGTCCCTGGCCCGATCCGCTCCGCAAACGTCGCAAACGGGACTTGTTTCCGAACATCCTCATCCAGCAGCGACGCCGCTAGCACATCCCACGCGCGGTAATCCTTCCCTTCCAACCCCTCCCGCATCCTCTCAACCGGCAGCAATTGCAAGTGACGATGTGGCTGGCTTGAGCCGGACTCCGCGCCCGAGTTGTAGAAGACGAATAATTCGCTGCCTTTGTCCTTATCTCCGCCCTCTTGGGTGGTTGTGGCCTGTTTGTGCTCGTGATAAGCCTCGATACAACCGTATGCCACTTCCAAATCGGCCCGTTCCAGCAAATCGGTTTGTTCCCTGTAGGCTTGTGTGGCGAGGATGAAGTGCTCGGGGACGATGGCGAATTTGTTTAGGACGAGGTTGTGTGAGGGGGGTATGGCGGTGATTAGCATTGGGGACTGGGGGTTGTCGAAGGGGTCGAAGAAGGGTTTCTTTGGGGGGTTGCTCGCATCGTTGGGTTCTTTTGGCTGTCCTGGGGTGCGTACAGGTTGCGGGTTGCGTGGTTTGTTGGCGAGGGAGGGAGAGAAGCGGAGTTGGAACTGTCAAGGGAGTATATTAGGCATGGGACGTAAGAACGGTTTCCGCGTCCCAAAGCTTACCGGTAGGGAGTTGACGTTAACCAGCGTCACCTGCGTCGGGAAGAAGTGCACGTCGCCGGTGTCTCGCGCGCTGTGGAAGGCCTTGCTCACTAAATCCGGGAGGTTCGCTGGTATCCTGGCTCGGGCCATGCTGTCGAGCCGGCCGGCCATGTTGTCTATACTTCCTATGAGAAGCTGTTGTAGGAGGGAGAAAAGAAGGGTCCTGATACTTCGATGAGGTCATGCGGTCCGTGCACTGCCCCTCGTCCTGCCAAGAAACGACTGCTAGTTGCGCTCTACTTCATTTTCTTCACCTTTACTATTGTAGAGTCACTTGTGACTTCCTTAAAGATGAACTCTATACTGAAGGTTATCTTCCTCCTCTTACTAAACAAGCTACTAAGGCTTTCTATATGACTGTCTACCATCTTCCAATCGATCTCTATGTATTTGATGCGTTTCTTTAGATCGTGCTGACGGCTTTTCTCAATGGATATATAGATGGTCGTTTCTTCGCACGTGTATTTATCGCCCGGAAATTTCTGATCGTCTTTCAAAAGGGCTTCAAGTCAGGCCTGGAAGCTGACCTTCCAAAAGTCTCTCGGAGCCCGTCCGGCCACTCAAAATCCAAGTTCTCCATGACAAATGCCTTCTGAATCGAAAACCGTCGAGGCAAGATCGTTGCCACATTGCCGCCTCTCTTACCGCTGGCGACAAAGGCGTTCATATGGCTGCCTCGCGGAGTTTCTCTGGCTTTCTACGGAATTCTATGGGCTTCTATATTGGTCTTGAGTTCGCTAATTTTAGAGCTTGTCTAAACTGAATCGGCCCCCGGAAAATAACCTTTTCCTTATCCGATGTGTTGCTCGTTGCCAACAGCATCATTAATTGAGGACCCATATTTGGCGGTCGGAAAATGACTAGCAGCTGTGGGCCCCCTGCAACCTCACCCAACAGCGCTAACCCCGCAAGCAACGTCAAACGGGCACTGCTGAGAGCATACGGTGAAAAGGCACTCGCTTCGAACATCGATCGCGTTTTTTAACCAGCTAATTCGGCCAAATCGAAAGGCAAGCTAGCATTGTCTTGGCTAAACGACAGATTCTTTGGAGTGCGATTCATGGCCTGCTGATGATGAAAACGTCAATCACTTTTTGGAGGTTCGAAGCCAATCAAGATGGCGCAGAGAATGTGGTGGCGATGTGGCTGGAGAGGAAGGCTAAAAATAAAACGGCTTTGCGGCTCAAGCGGCGGAGGCTCTTAGCTTCTAACCCCGCATCCGCATGGGAACATCGGTCCCTCGTTTCACGCTCAAACAACCGACTCGGCTCCACACCAAACGTCTAGTAGACATGTCCGTGCACCGGATCGGCTTCACAGAGCTTTCTGGTAGTCAGGGCGCTAGGGACGGACCTTTCCGAGTCAAGTATGCGATCGATGCCGATGCGAGTAGCCGTGACTGACGTATAGCAGCATCATCTTTGTGCACGGCTTGCGAGGGCATCCACAACACACATGGGAGGACAGCCGGGACAGGGGCGGAGTGAACAGGGGCAATAAGGACGCGGGAACGGCGACGCCACGCAAACGAGACATCTTGGCGGCCCTCTTAAAGTCCAAGCCATCGTCCTCAGCGTCGACTTCGACCACGACCCCAATTGCCGACAATGTAACGAGCGAAGAGCGCCCCAACAAGCTGTTCTGGCCCGATGAATATCTTACACAGGACATTCCCGAGGCGAGAGTATGGACATATGGTTATAATGCAGACGCAATCGGCGGGCTCTTCGAGGCGAACAACAAGAACAGCGTGTCGCAGCACGGCCAAGACTTTGCAGTGCGCGTCGAGCGGGAGATCGGAAACCAGGTGCCTACGCTTCAATGACTGGGTAGGAGGCTCGAGCTGATGATAACAGGACCCAATTATATTCGTGGCGCACAGCCTCGGCGGCGTTATCGTCAAAGATGTACGTCTGGACTGCTTAATACAATACCAGATGCTTATGTTGAGTAACAGGGGATACGCCGATCGTATACGTGTCGCGCGCGAACGAAACTAGTCATCTTCCTTGGCACGCCTCATCGAGGAAGTACGTATACAGGATGGGGCGACATCGCGTCGAATCTCGCTCTTCTAGCACTGCAAGACTCGAACAAGAAGATCGTCAAGGCGCTAGAGGTGAACAGCGAGGTCTTGGACAACATCCATGAGGAGTTTAAGACTATTGCGGACAAGTCCCGAATTCAGATCCACTCGTTCCAGGAGGCACGGGGAATATCGGGCGTGAAGGGCATACACAGCAAGGTACGTTGCCAGCACATCTTAAACGTCCTGTCGAGTCCTAATCGTAAATTTCACGGCAGGTTGTAGACGATTTCTCCTCGAGGCTCGATCTGCCGCGCTCCCTCGAGACTGTCGAGAGTATTGACGCAAACCATATACAGATGGCCAGATGTGGTGATAGGATAGATCCACAGTACCGGGCCATCGTCGGCGTACTTCAGCAGTTCATACGTCGTATGGTGCTTGATGGAAATGGAACCGGGCTCCAGGAAATGCCGGCGATGGCGTCTGGAGTTGAGGCCAGTGTAGTAGAAACGGGAGGCGGGATGGACAGGGCATTGACGAGTTAGTATAGGAGAGCTCTATTATAACTGCTAGCAACTGCTGAACCTGCTATAGATCGTACCGCCCGGCCTTGCCACTATATTCCGCTCCCTGAGAACCGGCGCTTCGTCGGACGGGACAAGATGCTCGACACCCTCAAAGAGATGCTGTTCGTGCGCAAGGAGTGGCGGAAAGCCGCCATTGTCGGCCTAGGCGGTATCGGTAAGACCCAGATCGCCCTGCAGTTGGCATACTGGACAAAGAAAAACCGGCCCGAGTTCTCCATCTTCTGGGTACCGGCGTTGAGCAAGGCGACCTTTGAACAAGCCTTCACCACGATGGCTAGGGAGCTCCCTATCCAGAGTGGCAGCAAGGACGATGATGTCAAAGAGTCTCTGCGGCGGTACCTAAGCTCCGGGGCAGCCGGGCCGTGGCTTCTCGTAGTGGACAACGCGGACGACGGAGATGTTCTCTTTGGATCTGCAGATATGCCAGGCGGCATCAGCGAGTACCTTCCGGAAAGCGACGACGGCATCACCCTGTTCACGACACGATCTCGAGAAGTAGCCGTGTCGGCTACCGGCAGCGATGTGATCGAGCTGCACGCGATGGACCCGCTGGAGGCGGCGGACTACCTGGAGAAGCTGCTGATTGGGGGCAGTAAAACAGGGGCGGCCGAACTGCTAAAGGAGCTCAGCTACCTTCCATTGGCGATCACACAGGCGGCGGCGTACCTGAACACGATCCGAGTGCCAATTGCAGAGTATCTGAGACTACTACGAGGGGCGGACCGGGAGGCGGCTAGTTTAATGAGCCGAGAGTTCTACGATGGCACTCGGTACAGGGGCTCACAGAACGCTGTAGCGGCAACATGGCTTGTGTCTTTCGACCAGATTCGCAAATCCGACGGCGCCGCGGCCGACCTACTAGCGTTCCTATCGTGCATCGAACCGAAGGAAATTCCGCAGTCGATCCTGCCGCGCTTTGAGTTAGAAGAGCAGATGGTGCATGCGGTTGGCACACTGTGTGGATACGCCTTCCTGACCAGGCGTGGGGATAGTAGGGTCTTCGATATGCATAGTCTGGTGCACTTGGCAACGCGAATCTGGGTTCAGCGAGAAGGCCTGACGGCAACGACGGATGAAAAGGCGACTCGACATCTTGCAGCAGTTTTCCCATCTGACGATTACACGAATCGCAACGTTTGGAGAGAGTACCTTCCGCATGCTTTCAGGGTATTACAGTATAGCAAAGAGCTTGATATAGAGGAGAAGTCCGATTTGTTGTTCTGGATGGGACGGTGTTTGAGAATGGATGGACGGATCAAGGAAGCTATTAAGAGTTTGGAAGAGGCTTGCCAATGGAGGAATCGTCATTTTGCCGAAGACCACCCCTCCCGGCTCGCCTCGCAGCACGCGCTTGCAGGAGCCTACCAGGCCAACGGCCAGGTCAAAGAGGCTGTCGTACTGCTCGAGCAGGTCGTTGCTATTCGTAAGCAAGTCCTCGCCGAAGACCACCCCAACCGGCTTGCCTCGCAGCACGCGCTCGCAGGAGCCTACCAGGCCAACGGCCAGGTCAAAGAGGCTGTCGTACTGCTCGAGCAGGTCGTTGCTATTCATAAGCAAGTCCTCGCCGAAGACCACCCCAACCGGCTTGCCTCGCAGCACGCGCTTGCAGGAGCCTACCAGGCCAACGGCCAGGTCAAAGAGGCTGTCGTACTGCT